ATTCTTACTGATGTACGACAAGGAGAACATCTGGATGAAGGTAAGAAAGGGAGACAATGGATGGCGGGCCACATAAGCTTTTGCTTACCTCCTCACGAAATTTTATCAGGATGTCAACTGGAACGGTGTTGATGAAGTCGGCAGCGTCGAGCTCAACGTCGGACATGGCGGCGGCGGTGTCGTGGGCGAAAGAAAGGAGCACACAAAATTGTATTCGAAATTTTCGGACATTTTTTGGGAATTGACGAATCACAGCAGTACTTGGGTGCAGTCAGACGCGTTGTTGACGCATTGTTTGTACGGGCGGACAAGCGCAGCACATGCTTATCAATCTGCGACACAGTGTGCAGCCTCCGCCCAAGGTGTCGCACTTTGTCTCGGACCCGCCGTACCCGATCAAGGTGTGGTGCTATACTTTGTATATACTCCCCTCCATCCTCTTCCCCCTCCCTCCTCGTTGCCACCGTTACTCCCCTGCCCGCTGTCGCCATCATCGTCCCTGTCCCCACGTCCATATGTCGTGTGTCAGCAAGTGGCACTGGGCCACAGAGAGTACATCGACTGTTCTCGATGGTCACGGTCGACAGCGTCCCGAGGAATGTCGGCGTAGCCATCGAGTGGTTAATTCCTCTTAGATACAGTGATCTACGACGTCGTGGTAGCACATGCGCGCTGAAACTGGACGCGGGGTGGGCGCGTCAATTGTCTCCACTGTTTACCTTAGATCTGCTCTCATCATCGTGCTCATCATTGTCCTCCACCTAGGTGGCCAACGCTATGCCACCGCCGCCTGCTGCTGGGTCCCACAGCACTATTCCCCTGCAATCATCAACAAACTTGCTCTCTCCCCCACACGCCCCCACCGAGGGCTTCGCCATCCCCACCTGGTCGTTCCAGGAATCTTACGAGACGATTGTCTCGACCCAGGGCGGATATTACGCCGACACCTTCACCGCTCCCCCAGTCGCCTATCAATCGTCCGGCGGAGCAATCGCTCACGATACCGCCTACGACAGCGTCCCGGGCGTCACTTATCGTGTCACGGGTCAGAGCGCGTCCAACGCAGCAATACCTGACGATAGTGCACACGACCTGCAGTCCCGCTCAGTCGAACCCCAGCCTGCTCCCGGCTGGCGTCCGGGCGGGAGTAGGTGGCTTGACGTCTACTTTTGGGCCAAGGAGGTCGCGATGAAGACGAGGGGCACCTCGTACGATGCCCCCGGCTACGCGCAGGCTCCATCGTTCGACGAGACGTCTGTCCCTACGCCGAGGCCGATTCGTACCATCAATCCCACACCTGGAGGAATGGCCACTCCCACCGCCCAACCCCCTCCTATCGACGTCAACGCCAACGGCGCCAACAACGTTCAGCCCTCGGGCACATCCGAATCTCAGCCTGATCCCAGCTGGCGTCCGGGCGGGATCAAGTGGCTGAATATCCGGTATTGGGCCACGGGGGTCGCGCTGAAGACGAGTTGCGCCTCGTACAACGATCTCGGCTACGAACCGTCGCCACAATCCGACGACACGTCTGCCTCTACGCCGAGGCCGACTCGCACCACCGACACCACACGTGGCGGAATGTCCACTCCCACCGCGGCGGTCGACACTGAGGTCGACACCCTACCGACTCGGGTTCCCTCACCCAACGCGACGCCGAGGCCACTTCGCGTCATCAACGTCACGCCTGGACATACACCCACTCCCCGACCGGCGGCGAACACTGATACTCGACCCGCTCAAGTGCCCCAACCGTCCGGGCCCGCGTTCGACGTCGACGCAATGGTCGCTAGGGCATACGACGAGACTGCCCAGGATATACAGGAGACACAGGACCAAACTACAACGTGCATCACGGAGCTCGCCGTGGTGGTGACGGAGCGGAGGCTCATCGTGAGTTCACATGTGTAGCATGATCTTCTGTCCCCTGACACTGACAATCACATCTAGACGCCACCGCCACATAAGGAGCGACCGGACACACCCACGACAGCAATGGCCGTCGACTGCTTACTGCGGGCCGACTTGCGCAGGGGCTTTTACGATCTGCTCAAGATGGCTATTCAGCCCCGATACGTCGCCGAGCCCGCTCCTGCATTGCTCCCGAAAGGGACGGAGGCGAACCTGAAGTTGTGGGGATCGAAGGTCGAGGAGATAGCGGTGGCGGATGTGGAGGCGGACGCGAGGGGCGTTCACCTGTGGCAGCCGAGGGCGTGGGGGATGAGACACATGGCGGATATCCAGAGGATGGAGGATATCGCGGATGTCTTCGCGGAGAATTTCGTGAGGCTGTATGCGCCACGGGGGTGAGTGCGTTCGTTCTCTCTGGGGGGTTGCCGGCGGGGGTTTGAGGGGTGCGTTCGAGGGAGAGACGATGGATTGGTGGAGGGGTGGGGTGGAGGCGGAGTCGAACCAGGGTTGTTTCAAGGTTCGGGAATGAGTGTTTTGCAGACGATAGGGTGCCTGTACGATGTGTGTGTACGTTAGGGTTTGATGTTTCGTTCGTGGGGGAAGGATGTTGACGTGGTCCAAAATGGACCTGGGAGTGTGTTTTGGGTACGTACGGACGCTACGTACCTCGTTTGTGTTTCTCTGCCTCGTCTCTCCTATCCGTCTGCCTGAGTTCTCCGGTCGTTACGACGCTCGTACATGTCGGGGACGGAATCGGCTGTGTTTCGCATATCCGTATTTATTTGGTGGCATGTTTGTTCGTCGAGGTTTGAATGTACTATTACCTACCATGTCTGAGTCCAAAGGAACAAATTTCAGCTACATCATCCAGCCTGATCAGCGAAAATCTGATAACTCACATACCTGTCCGAGCGAACTACCTCAGTCCGCGGTCGGCGTGTCCTGCTCGCCCGGGTAAGCGATTACAGTGTTCCGTGTTTTGACGCATAGTGCAGCACAAAGTGTCGTCAAAGAAAGAACGAAAGGAGTAGAACCTTTATTCGAGACCGAAAAGGCCCCAAAATGGAGGACAACGACAGAGGGTAACCGGCAATTCCCGTTCCTTATTGTGGGACCAGGGGCGCCCGCTGTGTCGACGTGTCCTCGGAAACACCACCGTTGCACGGGGAACCGGCTCAGCGCAGTGAGGTCGCAAGGGCAAGGTTCCAATTGGGTCTGTTTGGGACCATCACGACCTTTACCGTGCCGTGTGTCTACGTCTCTCTGAGTCCTTTTTTGGTCCTTTTCGACGATTCTACATCGTCTCATCTACGAACTTTGATTGCTCTTTAGGTATGTTGCATGCATATTTGTACAAGCTGGTTTTCTGAGTGAATGATTCTATTTCTAATCATTGAATCGTCCAGCGACCAGAATGTAGCAGACTTGTAGCAGACTATTACGACTCAGGAGAAGCATCCGTCAAACGCAAATATCGAGAACTTGGTTCATTCAGTTCTTTTTTAATGCTCGCAATCGAAGGCTCTGTCACGATCAATCCAAACGCTCTCTCGTTATCTTCCGTGCACGAATTTCACGGCTTTCAATCAAGGAACATCACGCTCAAAAGAACAGCCCAGTTCATTGTTTTGCTCCGAAAATGGGTATGAAAAGATTCTTGTCCATTCCATTGGACCTTACACGTCTCGTTTTGTTCATGCGATGTCCGCGTCGTTGAGTCTTGATGCTCGATTTATCACCTGGATTGGAAGTAGATTCATATCCCAGCCTCGGCGTGAAGTGTAAGGATTAAAAGCCCGACATTGGATGATATGGGCACCACGTACGGTAGGCGAAAGTGCACAATCATGTTTATGGCCTGAGTAGGCAAAGAGAAACTTCGGTTGAACAAACACAATCGTGTTCATGACGATCTGGGTCGATAAAGAGAAAAGATCACGCTAGTGGGCCGAACGGTTACAATCGCATTCAAGACGACTTGATTCGACAAAGGAAAAAAAATTACATCGTCGGCTCCCATTGATGGCTGTGGATGTTGGCCTTCGACGTTGTGGGACAAATGAGCGTCTCGAGGGCGCCGGCGGGGGATAAAGCAGGAAACCAAAGGATAAGAATCGTCGGAGAATATGCCTGATCGAAAAGACAATCGACAGAAGATGTTCCTCTACGAAGAGGCTCTTTGAGCGTATGTCGGACGACGAGCGCCGATTGCATACAGACAATGCAATGGCTAGCGATGTGGCGACGAGAACAAAGTCGCATTGAGGTTAAGTGGCTCAAAGGGCCATATCTAAAGCCGACAAAATCGAGCTCGCGCACGGACCATGCATAAAGGAATGACCTGTTAAACAAAGAAATCAACGAAGACACACGAGTAACACGCTCACGGATAATCAAATAGCGCACGATGACACGCTACACTATTTCGAGGAACAAAAGTTGACCAGGGGTTCCGTGCCGTGCCGGAGGACGTGCCGGTGTCCATAAGAAGGCACGGACTTCAGCCCTCTCTCATCCTCCCTTGTCCTCCTCCTCCTCCACGACGTCAATGCGAACAACAAGAAATCCGCTACAGAGTACACTAGCTCCAATGGCAAGTGTTTCAGTACTATGAATTACGGCTGCAGAGACAATGGTAGAGAGTGACTCACATAGGGCGATGTTGCTTTGTTTGTGCCACAGTCTTCAAAGCCCACCACCGCCGTCCGCCACAACGCACTGCAACCGCCAACGATCGCCGGGGCCGACCAGCCTCAGCTGTCGCATTCTTGGGGCATCAAAGCTGCGAAGAAGAATCGAGATGAGAATTCGAGAAATTCGGGAGACACAACAGATGAAGGTACCAGTGCCACACAGGTAAGCACTCCCTCCACCCTTCGTAACTTTCGATCCCTCTCTGCGTCCTCCTCTCCTCGCCGCCGTCCACGTCCCGTTCCCATCGCTGTCTCCGCACCCATATGTCTCATATTGGTGTGTCGCGATGTGTCATGGAGGGTAGTCTGGCTGCCCATGATGTCATGTGTCATGGCCGACGGTCCTCTGGGCCACCGGCTGTATCCATCAGACAGTCAAGAGGTCCTCAGGGATAGCGACGTCCAAGACGGGGCGAACCAGCAATATCCACTACTTACACTACCGTTTGCTCATCATGTTCACGTCCTACACCGTAGGTACACAATGAGACACAACCGACGAACTCTATCCGCTGTGTTGCACGACGAGTCCGAAGAATACTGTCCCGGAGGGGCAAGGTTCATCGTACGCATGAGCGCTCAACCGCACTCGAGGTACGTCCATGCCCTTCATCTTCCTTTGTCCGAAGTCTGGGGCTGACGCAAGTTATCGTGAAGACAAAGGAAAAGGATGAGATCGATTTCCTCAACCTCGCCCCTAACACTGCGCAACTACACGATCTCCCTGTCCTACCTTTGACGGGGCAGGCTTCACCCCAGCATTGCCACTCGCCAGGTCCTTTGACGACGACTCAGGTCTTCACCCAGCCCATCCTCGACCAACGAGTAGCCAACGCGCAAACACTTGACCAATCCGCGAACCAAGGCTTCAGGAAACCTCCTGTCTACACCAGGAATGACTTCCAGCCCCCAACTCATTCGTTCGCTGACCTGCCCGGGCTCTTGGTAGCTTCCATTGAGGACTGCTTTTACTGCTCACATCCACCACCTCAACGTCTCCACCGCCTCGTCTGCACCCCCGACGCACGGCAGCCCACGCTCGAGAAATCCCGAGATCAAGCTGAAGAACAGGAGATCGACACGAACGCGACACGCCACATCACAGACCAGACTGCGTGCGACGCCACAATGCCCTACGATGGCGCTCTCCCGGTCAGCATCCACTACATCACCCCACCACCGGTGTCAGGAGGCCGGTACATCGAGGTCAAGGAGCTGCACACAGACACAAACAGCGATATCAGTCAGCTCGTTGACTATGTTCGTCAGTTCGTGTTTGTGGCCTCCGAGGAGACGGACGCGTCTTCACCTTCCTCTAGCCCGGACGAGACGCGGTCGGCCACTCCGCAGCCTCTCAACTTCATCGACGTCACGCTTCGTAAGGATACAGGCCATACCCCGACACCCAACACCAGCCCCGGCGACGACGCTCAAGCTTCTCCTGCGGCTCAGGTTGCACAGGATAAGGAAGATAGTGAGAATACAACGCGTACCACTGAATGTGCCGTAGTACGGACCCTCAAGGTGAGTTCGCATTTGTACCCCGATCATCCGTCTCCTGATGCAGACGCTGACAACCCGCGCGCTTTGGACATCATCTCTAGTCATCCGAGCCGGAGGAGCTCGTGGAGGACATCAACTACCTCATGGACGGTGTTGAGGCGCCAGTGCCGTCTGCGCCCACGGACACGCGTGAAGGGGCTAAGGCTCCTGTCCGTGCTCCTTCTCCGCCAACGAGGCGCAGCGCTAGGGTCAAAAAACGCACACAACCCTCGGCCACCATCGATACTGGGCGTACAGTGATATCGTCGCACACTCAGTGCCTCACGGAGTCCGTCGCCACTTCAGAGACAGAAGAAGAGCAGGACGAGGGGCTGGCGCTTCCTGTGTCCGACGATAAGGCATGGGAAGAGTCCTACCAGGAGAGGCTAGCGAGAGCGAAGGCTATCGAGGGGTTGTGGATGCCGAGACCGACGGGGGTGCGGTATTTGGCGAATATGAGGCGGATGGAGGATATCGCGACGAGGTTCGAGGGGGAGTTCATCAGGCCGTACGTGCCGGGGTTCATCGGGGGTGGGTAGATTCCCAACGCTGTTTCACTCCCCTTCCTTCGGCCTCACCTGCTTTCACTACTCCTGATCCATCCAACATGGAAACAACCCCTTTCCCACCTTGTCATACCCCAGTCCAGCCTCCACCCTCTCGCCGTCGTCGTCTGCATCACCGCCCATATGAAGAGGTTCGCGGGGATGGCTTAGGATTGGTAGGAGGGAGAAGATGAAGAGGCGGCGTCGGGCGAAGAGGTGTAAGTTGACAAGTGAGGGATCCTGGACGACTCAAAGCTTTCGGAACGGGCAGGTGCAGAGCGGTGGAATGCGTGTACCGCACGCTATGGCGACGTGCGTGTGCGTTGACCAGACGGGGGTAAGGACAATCAGAAGAGCGAGAGAGAGGAGAAAAAGAAAGTGAGGGAGAAAAAGAAACTGGAGAGAGAAGAGGCGAAGCAAACGTCTCGGTTTAGCTTTCGGATCGGATACGTACTGGCCGTACATACCGTTTCACCCTCCTCCCTCCTCCTTCGTCCGTCCTTCCGTCCAGGTTCGTTGGTCGTTACTGCGCTCACGCGAGCGCACACTTTCATGACCTATTCGTGGACGCCGCCAACATCGTCAAAGATCGTCACCAGTTCTTCTTTCCCGGAGTATAGGTACGAGCCGGGCGACCAGGTCAGGCAGCAAGGCTTCATCCGCCCATTCCCCCCGACTCTCTCCCCCCCTCCTCATCCGGATCCTCTTCCAGAAGTGTCAAGTCCACCAGAACAGCGCGCAAGAACGCCTCTTCACCTTACTCGACCCACCACGCTTCTCGGACACGTAGCCCCCAGCCTCAATCCGGACCAGAGCACCATGTGGCCTATATCCACGCCGGGGAGAATCGCCTGTCTTTCTTCTATCTGTCGAGGTCTGGATGTAATAGTCGTACTGCGCTTGCTGTCTGTCGAGGTCTGAATGTAATATCACCTGCTGAATCCGTGTTTCAAAAGTGAATATCAGCTTCATTCGTCACATTGAACGAAAGCCCGATATTGTGCATACCTGCCCGAGAGAACTACCTCATCTCACTATCTACGCCGTCCGCGTCGACGCCCACCTGGACATGCCACGCCATTAAGTATCCCGATAATTAACGCGTCCACGATCACGAAGTCATCGACCAAGAGAGGAAAACAAACAAAGCAGTGAGCCTTTCTACGAAATGGGCGGTGGAGGTCAAGCACAAGAAGTAACCGGGAGTTCACCGAGGCCGTCCTCTCGTTTTGGCTCGCTCAGTATGGTCATGTTCCGTCGTACCGGGACTTGGCTCTATAATTGCAGCCTTGAGCCGTCGCGTTCGTCGCGAGTCGTCGCGTTCACCACGGTAATGTTCATATGTAGTACCTTAGTACTCAGTAGTCGGTCTCGAACGTTCACGATGACTTTCTCTCGTGGCTCCTTGAGGGTCAAACGCTGAGATGCTGTCTTATTGCACACCACAGTGGCACGCATTAAATATCGAGCTCATCCAACAAGAAAGCGGACGATTCCTCAAGAAATATACCATCTCCCTCCTGCATTGACCCGGCAAGGAAACCCACTCGAGCGCTGGCCTAATGTCACAGTAATAAGTACCATACTGACCTGACACGCTAGAATATCCGAGAAGTGGCAACGATGATGAACGAGGAGTGATGGTGTGTGTTGATGCATTGCTCGGTTCGAAAGAAAGATGAGAGATAATATGACGGCTCTAATGTACATGCCATACCATGCAAGAAACGACAAGTCCGAATCCCACCCCAAATTGGCAGCTAGTATCAAGCCAACGATTCGGATATGTGCAGGACTTGGCCGTTGTCGGCGATTATTTTGAAGCGGACTATGTTCCGGGCAAGAAATCGAATGAGTGGGGACGTTGAAGTGGTTTGGTCGGGTGAGAGTGCGGTACAATGCGGAGTGGTGAGAGGGGAAGAGGGAAGAGGGAAGAGGACGTACGGATTGTCCAAGGCTCGCCTTTGCCTTTGCGGATACTGGTGAAATAGAGTGTTCCGGAACCTATGAAGCGCGTCGTTGTATGCGGTATCAGTACACCAATTTGAGAAAGTCCAGAAGAATATACGGAATCGGAAATAGGGGTTGAGAGAAGTAAACGGGATAGACATACCTTTGTGTCCCTTCACTCTGAAGCTAAGGTCAACGCTACCTTGCAGCATACTCACCTACCCCAGCAACAACACCACAACATAATCAGTCTCTCCCCTAACTTCTCCATACGCCTCCATAAGAGCACAAAACGAAACGACTCACCGACCCAGTAACCCACGGATCGCCATTCAACCACCAAGTCGGCTCCAACCTCACCGCCTCCCCAAGCACCTCCCTCACCTCCTCACTATTCTTAATCGTCGTCACGATCCTCTTCATAACCGACGTCGACAGCCTCTCTTGGTTCGCCATATACGTGAGGAACACCGCCCAGACGGAGACGCCGGCCGTACTAAGCAGGAGCAAGGTCGGCCATACTCGCTATTCATGCAGCCGAGCAAACAGTCAGTTTTCCGGAGTGTAGGGAGTAGAGAGGAGATGCGTACACGGTATGGAGGCAAGTCCCGCTGTGGAGGACGATGGTAGTACTCCCGAGGTTTGGACGGACCGTCGAAGGTTTCTGCGGGTGGGGGTGTTGAAGGTGGAGGTCTTGGAAGTTCTCCGGTCGCGTACGTTCGTCGGAAGGGAAGTGAACGAAGTGGATTCGGGGCTACGGTTCGTGTCCGCAGAGGTATTGTGAGTCCTGAGTGTGTTCTAGAAAGGGACCGTAGGGAGTACATGGTGGTTGAGGTGCGGAGGCTGAATTCAAGCAGGACCGGGTCTTGCCTATGGTTTGTGTGGCCCGCACGAGTTTCGCGCCACACCTATGGCAGGATTTGAGACAAGCCTCCCCGGCTGGTGAGAGACACAACAAAACGCTGATCCATTGAGTACACTAGCATGTGCCCGTGCGTCCGCACGGCTGCTTGACAATATTTTGATAGATAACAAAATGTCTGAGTGTGATAATTTTACGCTACCCCAAACCATGCCCGAAGGCTTTTGGCTCCTGTGCTCAAAATGCACAGTTGTTTTATGCGCCACGAAATGTTAAGCACTTTGGCCCGAAGGTATTTTGATGGTTTGGCCCCCGTGCACCAACCGTGCACCGTTGGCAGAAATGTATTTCGCTCCCGTGCTCGAAGCTGTTTGACTCCTATGCCCGAGGGATTTTGTCCCAATATTCAGGGATGTTTGGCTCCCCGTCTTTCATCTGCAATATATACAGAGATTGAAATTATTTTGAGGCCCGAGTCTTGGAGCCACACTGGAGGCACAGCAATGTTCGCCACACAGTTACTTGTTTGGACATAAACCGCCACGTTTCCGACACGTGGTTTGTCTCCACGTGGTTTGTCTCGAGACAACTGCCTCCCCATTAAGTATTAGATGACTAAATGATGTGAAAGGCTGGGAAAGAAGGAACACAAGATGATAGACTAGCACTGCTAGAGAATCAGAAAGCAAAAATCAACTATATGTTTCTTATGATTCGACCCAGGCTCGAACTGAGGACCTTCTGTGTGTTAGACAGATGCGATAACCAACTACGCCATCGAACCATACAAAAAGGTAGCTATGGAAATATATAATAGCATATTATATAATGAGCCACTTTACACCAAGGTCCCTCAGCGCACCCCACGCCAACCAATGTCCTCCTCACCAATAACCACCCGTGCATACCTACCCCCAGCATCCTCCCCTTCCCGCTCCTACGACCGCTCTCTATCCGGAACATCTTCACCAACCCCCCTCTCGCGCAACCCAGTCTCCCTCCGCATCTACAAAGTCCTCGGTGCCAACTTCGACGACGACGCCACCAAAGAGGCCCTTACCACCCTCTCCGACCTCTACTCTTCGCCTTCGACGTCAAACGCGGCAAATGGCACTGCGAAGCCCAAGGTACCTACGAGAAGAGCAAGTGCGTACGTAGACAGTGAAGACGAGGACGATGAGGACGAGAGTGATGAAGATGGTGTTGGTGGGAGGCGCGTCAATGGGAATGGGCTCGGAGGTGCGGGGAGATTGAGTTTCTTCGAAGGTCCACCACCGGGAGAAACGGCCGCGAAAGCTCGTAAGAACTTGAGGAGGGATATAGAGCGGAAGTTGGCGGAGGGCAGTCAGAAGTTCTTGAAGGCGTTCGGGGAGGTCAATGAGGTACGTCGTCCTCGCCACACGTATCGACGTCTACCCATTTTATATGTGTCTTCTTTTTATTCATCGGGATTCTGTGTACATGTGCTAATGTATTAAATGGTGTTGCGTTTGGCCGGCGATTTGCTTTAGAAATTGGATGGATTGCAGGAACACATCACCGCTATGCGGACTCAGTGTGGCGAGGCGCAGTCACAGCTACATTCCACGAATGAAGCGTGCAAGGTACTTCTGGACCGTGCAGGAAGTCTACGAGAGGAACGGTACGTCTCGTTACTCTCCTCCTATATAACGCATTGTCCCTGTCCAATCCTTCTGGGGCAACGGCGGAACTGTGTGGCGTCGACCTGTGGCGCCCTCCGTCCCTCTCCACTCCACGCCCCTATCCCTCTTCTCTCTTCTTTCTCAACCCACTCAACTGACATACTCTATCATCCTCCCACTCATGTAGACAATCAATAGCCACCCGCCAAGCCATCGTCACCCTCTTCCTCTCCCGCTTCACCCTCTCCGAACCCGAAATCGAAGCTCTCACTTCATACGACGTCCCCGTCGGTCCGCGCTTCTTCGCCGCCATGGACAAGACTATGAAAATCAGAGATGATTGTAGGGTGTTGATGATGGGTGATGGCGCCGGTGTCGCTGGGTGAGTTCTCGGTCTCCATTTCCAGTTTCTTCTTTCCCTGTTGTTGTTCGTCTGCTCATGAAATTGACAACCGAATTATTGGTGGTTATTGTGTGATGAAATAGTCAAGATATAATGGCTGCGACGTCGCAATACCTCGAAAAAGCGTACGACAAGATCTTCAAATGGTTAAGTCTCGAGTTCCGCCAGATGGGCAAAGACGCGCAATTGGAGGTCGGGGAGTTGATGCGGGAGGGCGTGCAGAGACTGAGGAAGAGACAAGAATTGCTCACGTATGTTTTTTTTTCTTCCTCTCCCCTTCATCCCTCGTAGCTGACTTGGTCTGCTGGTCGTTTCGTTGTGGAAATGAACTGAATGGGAAATAAAATAGCGAGGCCTTCCAAATCCTTTCGCAGACGCGACAAACGGCCCTCCTGAACGCGTTCCTCACCGCCCTCACGCGCGGCGGTCCTTCAGGTCTTCCGCGTCCTATCGAACTACACGCACATGATCCTTTGAGATACACAGGCGACATGTTAGCTTGGGGTGCGTATTCTTCTTTTCCCCGGCCCACTCTGGATGTTTTTCATTGTTATAATACTTGAGCGATGAATATGCTCATCATATCCCTCCACAGTCCATCAAGCCATCGCCGCCGAACACGAATTCCTCGAATCCCTCATCGTCTCTCCCGACCCTCCTTCCTCTGACCCGTCATCATCACCACAGCAATCTGCGTCCAGGCCCGATATTATAGGCCGAAGACCGACAATAACGGGACGGATGGTGGGCAGCGTGCGGACGTTTGGAGGGGAGGGGAAAGATGCCGGGAGGAGGGAGGAGGAGGAGTGGATGAGGGAGTTGATGGATGGGGCTGTTGGGCGGGTTTGTGTGCCACTACGCGTGAGTTGCCCCTTCCTTTGTTCTCTCCATTTTAGGATTTAGATAGAGTGTCTCTGACGTTCGTGCTCTTGTGTATTGTGTGGCGGGTGGCGGGTGGCGGTTGTAGGCGCGTGTGTTACAGACCGTTAGAGCGCAGGAGAGCAGCATCGTGGCGTATAAAGTCGCGAATCTGTTACAGTTCTATACGGTCACGATGATGCGGACGATAGGTGAGGAGGCCGTTCTGTCGAGAACTTTGAAGGAGTGCGTCTTTTTATCGTTTTCATCCGTTGACGCGCGAACACACTGTTTTCGAGGTACCTTTAAATTTCTGCATTTTGTGCTCACGGCTCGTGGTGTAGGATCACGGATGTCTCGTATAAAGTTTTCTTCGACGCGATCGAAGCGCAGGGACGCGCTCTCCTTCGAGTCGCACTCGTACGTTCCTCTCCTCTCCTCTCTCTCAGAGTCCCTTCTCGCTCCACTAACACTCCCCACACCCAACAGGATCCCTCCGACACAGATCTAACTCCACCCCCGCCCCTCCTCTCCCACTGTCAAACCCTCCGCGAGATCCTCTCCGTCTACGATTCCTCCCTGCTCGGCGACGAAACGCCAACAGAAAAAGAAGAAGGCGTGCGGGGGATACTGCAGCGGATGGTCGAGCCCGCGGTAGAGATGTGTGTAGAGAGCGCGGAGGAGAAGGCGAGGGGTGTGTTGCAGAGGGGACATGGGAGGGTGAAGAGTAGAGGTGGAGTCGGGATTGGGAGGGACGGGATCGGGATGTTGTCGGGGCAGAGGGAGGGCTGGGATAAGGATGTGTTTGTGGTTAATTGTTTGGTTTATTTGTTGGTGAGTTGGGTTTGGCATCGCATGGTGAGTTGGACGGTATGGGGCTTATGAATTTTATGTGTGTAGAACGTGCTTGAGCCGTATTCGTTTACGGCGGAGAAGAGGAAGTGGTTGGAGGGGATTGTGGAGGATAAGGTCCAGGAGCTTATCCAGCAGGAAGTGAGTATTTTCTTCATTCATTTTCGTATGTAGCAGTAGCGCTGACAGGTTTTATAGTACGACGACATCCTGCGCGCCACATCGCTCCAAGACGCCGCCCAAGCCCTCTCGAAACCATATAACGTACTTACCCTGCTCCTCTCCTATTTCTCCCCATACTAACATCACCCACCCCCTCCAGGAACCCCTCTCACACCACCCCTCCCTCCAACCCTCCTCCCTCTCCACCTCCCTCCACACATTCTCCTCCTGGCTCTCCTCCCCCTCCGTAACGCACTCCGCCCGGCTCTCCCACCTCACCTCTAAATCACTACACGCCCAGGTCCCACTGCACGATCGGATCCACAGGGCGGCGTTGAGGAAATTGGGGAGGTTGTATGGGAGGCTGTGTGAGGAAGTGAGGAGGAGCGAGAATAGGTACGAGGCGGGGGCGGTGTTGTTGGGTGGGGAGAGGCCGTTTGGACAGGTTGGGTTGTTGTGGCAGATTTTGGGGGTTGAGGAAGAGGGGGAGGGGGGTGGAGATGAGGGCGCTAATATTGGGGATCGGAAGGAAGGTGGGAGGGAGAGGAAGGGGAGTGAAGTGGACAGGGGCGAGAAGGCGTGAGGATGGGGGTGCGATACCCAGGCAGGAGTCATATAGTTAGCCAATATTTTTGTGGGTTCGCGTCCGATGCTTCAATTGAGACTTGGAAGTGAATTCTGCGCGTCCTTGGACGGTTCCTTTTTCGGTTTGAAGCTATGGCTGGATATCTTGGCATAATTGAATGGAACATGGCGCTATAGCGTGTCTCCGTACAGACATCCTTTAGCAAAGGATTGTCCAAAATTAAACGGAGGACAAAAAGTAACATTCTCAGCTTTGGATTATTTGGACATATCCGGAATTGAACCGGACACCTCTCGCATGCTAAGCGAGCGTGATAAACCAACTACACCATATGCCCATGTATTGCTTCTCTCTTTAGAGTAGTATAACCGTACAGCACTCAAGAGGAATGGCCAAGTGAAAGCTCCGTTGGGCGTGCCATACATACATCTCACTAAGGTTCTTTGTGTACAGCAAAGAGCCCAGGTCGAAGCTCCCCCAGGCAGTCCAAAACGACCCCCAAAACAACCCATTGAAAACTATCGATTCCTTCCGCGGACGGATTTCCCTCTCCGTCTTGTACCCTCTGAATCAACGCCCATTCGTACGTCTCCCAGGCCGCCTTCAAAGCAGCCCTTACGTTCGTCCCATCTGCGCCACGAGGATTGGCGATGAACTCCTCCCGGATGCTCTTGACGATCATCCCCGCATGCAAATTCATGCCGGACGTCCGGTCCTTGCGCCATCTCTTATTGGCGCAATTAGACAGGATAGCCCCGACGACGACCTCTTCCTCGGCAAGAATGTCGGTTGGGGAGTCCGTCAGCGAGTGGGTGACGCGAATGTAACGTAGTTCGCGGGCGTATCGCTCAAACAGTGTGGAAGGCGCAGTGCAGTGATGATAGAAGTCGGAAGTGTTCTCCATGACCGATAGAACGTCGCGGATGAAAGGCGTAAGAGTTGTATGGATTGGGTCGTCACCTATGTTGACTGCAGTGCCGTCGCTCGACCTTTGGTGCGTACTATCACTGCGAGCGTTGGAGGCAGCATTGGTAGGCAGAAGCTCAACGTTCTCGAAGAGGCGACCAAGCGCGCGATCGGACTGGTAGAAATCGCCCTCTCTCTCATCCGATACCTCCGCCCGCGCCCAATTCGGTCTGAAACGCGTCGGTGGGTAGGGGATCCTGTCAGTTTCGACGGCTATGCCGTTCTTCGGGTAGTCTACTGCTTGCGAGCAGAGTTTGGCGAGTTCAAGGCAGAGAGGATTGCTCATGCCATCCTGTATGCGATCTCATAGCGTGAGTTTATACTTGACAAGTTGATCTACGACGCAAGACTCACTTCTGATTGATCTGGAGAAACGTCGGTACCGTTAGTAGGCCGGTGGACTGATGACGAAAGAGTCTCACCGGCGATAGTGAGTAGTCTCTCTGAGAGCAAGCCCTAGACATTCACGCCCGTGAGTGTTCGTCCACAACAGCCGACAAGCTACAACACAATGACCTACCAAGACATCGGACTGGATGTACTCGACGACGAAGGACCAGACGTCATCTTCAGTAGCCGGGTGATCGAGTGTATATGTTCCAACGGACTTGTACTCTGCGGGCGGTTTGTGCAACGTCGGAAGCAAATTGGAGTCACAATCAAACCCGACTATGTCGAACATGTCCCTGTGAGAGTGTGTGTGAGGGTGGAACGAGTGGCACGGACTAGAGCAAAAACAGTCATTTTTATAACACGTACCCATCGACATCACCTCCTCCGAGACACGAAGCCAGCGATCGAGTGCCTGAGGGAGTGGAAACATCAGTGGAAGATTGTATATATCATCAAGGATCTCAGACGACGGGTAGACTAACCCGGCACGGCGGGTAACACGACAACATTCTGCAGGCCCCTAAAGAAGCAGACCTTGTCTTCCGGTGGCTTGCCGATAGCGCGGACTCGTTGGACTGATGGTCATACTCAGCGGGTACTCCATCAGGTTGCGAAAACAGGATCGCAACTCACTGTCACCAGGATCATTGACAGGGCTCCTTGTAATGAAGCAGTCTCCCTTCAAGAACTTCGGTTCTGCCTTATGGCCATCCCGAACGCACGCTGAACATTTAAAGGGCGAAGAAAGTTGAGTTGTTATCGCCGATTCAGGACTCTATCAAGGACAGAAAGAGTCTTCACCATATATTTCCCCCTCCTTCAGGGTGGCCACTGAACTCGGATCCAGTCCTTCCTGTATGTACGCCTGGCCCTCGTCCGCCACACCAACCAGCTTGAAACCTCCGGGAACCGGTATCTGAGCCTTATGTTTGAGGTCCCTCAACCGACTGTTCATCGCAAACCGAAGCACGCGTTCCAAAAACGGGTTTTCGAATGATCTAACGACATTTTTGTGGCTGCTATCCTTGAGGACAGCAAGGCGTTCAAGAATAAGAGGAAGATCGAATCCAATGCCGAGCCGATTGATACGCAGGAAGGCGACGAAGCTGGCGATGGAGTCTCCGGCAGTGAAGATGGTCTCTTTTGCTTTCTCCTGAAGTTTCATGAAGGTGTCTATGGGCACACCACGGTCTTCGAGGACCATGATGGTAGACCTGGAAGCAGATTATCACTAATCAACGCGTGGGAGAGTGAAATTGTGAGAAGGACTCGGACCTGTTGAGGGAGTAACGATTTGGTCGGTCGAACGCTCGGACTATCTCGAAGCTCGCGTTGTTCTTCTCTTCTTCATCTACGTCAAACTTTTTCATCGAGGGCCGAAGGCGCATCCTGATGCCCGTCAAGCAATAATCGACAACTACTACGCCCTTGAACCCTAGAAATCTGAAGCAAAGTCAACAATGAAAAAATACGCAGACTTGGAGACGAAAACACACCTTATCTGGAACTATTGAACAAGAGTAGTTATTAGTAATGTCATACCAATAGGAAAATCAAAAACAAAGAACACACCGCATCAGGTTTCGCGCGATCCTTATCCTTATCCCACCCCTTGCTGCATAAAGTCGCCCAAATCTCATCCCGCAGATCCGAAGAGATAGTTCCCACTCCGTCTGTATGCTCGTACGGCGATTCACCTAAGTCAACCATATCGTCATCCCATTGTTCCCTTTTCAGTCTTACGGAAGGCGTTGTGGCGGAACATGTCTGGCCAACGCGCGCGGCAAGCTTTGACGGCTGGTTTATCACTGTGGAGAAGTTGCCAAGAGAGTGGCGTATCATGTCTGCGGTGATATGCCCACATAAGATGGTTGGACTAGCACCAACGGGTACATCGAATGGATGGATGGCCCAAAGCGCGTGTGAATCGCGAAGGGAAGACGAGGAATATGCGAAGAAATCAAAATGTCTTCCACCCAATGAAAACCCGGGTTTGAGGAAGTCTAAAACACGCTTTTCGAGGAGATATCCTCCTATAAGACATATGATATGGGCCTGTAGTTGAAATAACTGTTTCCTTGTATTAATGCGAAATGACTGCTCACCGTCGACGGCCCTGTTGAAGCGGTACTGGAATCTGTTAAATGAGACACTTGTCAGGACAACCACGTGCACCAACTGACATGAAAATTTGTACCTGTCCTCGTCACGAAAGTCCACCCTAACGAAATTCCCAACCAGCGTTGAATCGTACTCCTGATAGCCTCGAATGACCCGATTGTTCTGTGTTGGATACGGCCCCTCCAACAACATCCGCGTTGGCGTGATCGTAATATGGTGACACATGAAATAGCTGTCAGGAAGATCCATCTTTCGCAGCCGCATTCTCTCATCCTTCATTCGTCCGCAAATCATGTCGAGTAAATCTTTTGGTGAAGTCTTCGAGCCCGAAGCTGCGCCAGTAATCAATTCCACGGAAAACTGACGCAGGATCTCACTAGCGTCTGAGCCATGCTCCGCGCAAAGATTGTCGATATGAGAGCGAAGGTTTACCCAAACTTCGGTTGTCGACAGGAGACCGTTGCGCATGAGCAGTTCGACCTGAAAGGCCGTATCCCAGTTCATACGAGTCAACCACTTCTCGATCTTCTCGAGCCTGCGCGTCAGTTGTTCGCTGGTGGCGAGCTGCGTATTGTAGGAATCCAACCAGCCCGGTGATACTGGCGTATAGTAGACAGGTAGGGGCTCGACACCTGCGATGGTGCACATGTCCATGAACTGGAAAGGGTCGTCAGAATCTTGCAGCGTCAGGCGAAGATGACGAGCGTAAGGAGCCACTTGTTCGTGCGTGTCGTTCAGCCAAGGTATACGGCGAGTTTGAGAGTGCCCGTCAAAGCCGCCCCTTACGAAGATCGCTGATGTGATAAGGTTAAAGACGATGTCTGGTATGGAGGCCAGAATTTGGATCAGATACTGTTTTCCCACACCAGTCACAGCGAGATGGCTTACAAGCATTACCGGAGTCATTACCCATGCTCATAGAACGAATGCTTGACCATTTTATGATAATGGTGTCCTTTTTCAACTCCGTCTGCGAGTTGCCCACCTGCGATTGACGCGTTAGTACGTGGCTCAACATAGCACGGTTGACAAAACGAGAGAATGCTAACGTAAATCTGTATCTCTTTATGCTCATAGTGAATACCAAGCCAAGCCTTCTTTGAGCCGTCGTTGAATCTTTGTTCATGGTCGAAGGCAAATGCGCGGTTGGCAAAGGGAGGCATAGGCTGTCGGTCCAGGGTCCCGAACTGGACTGCTGAGACCCTCAGGTTCCCGTATTTGTATAGCTGACTCAATACTTTATCGTGAGACTCCTGCTTCTCCGGCCCTGCTCAAGTCAACGTGAGATGATATGTCGAGGTCTAATAAATTGAAACGTGTGCTCGGGGAGGACGACGCAGTATAGACTGGCGACATCACCGTCATCTGCAACTTGGGCATGAAAACGTACCAACGTAGATAGTCTTGGCTAGTGTTGGATCGTACTTCCTCGTTCGACCAAAAGAAATCCGTATTTTCGTGTCCGAGCCATCTACCTGGACACAATTTCCGTCCGTTCGGAACCACCGCTGACAACTCTTGCCAAAGTCTTCGCTGTGGACGATGAGCTTTCCAGTACCATTATGACCTATACCGCCAGAGGTACGCTTATTTAGGACAATACGAAAGTTCGGTGGTCTGCCTTTGAACCACTTCGTTTCGTCCGTGGAGTCGAAGAGGTCAGGGCCGTGTAGGACGCGTTCGAAGGCTTTAGTGACATGGTATTTAGTAGTAGTATCGAAGGGTATGTCGGAGAGAAGAAACTCCATAAAGTGCTGGTATTCACGCCGAGATGATTATCGGAAGGAAAGAGGTGTGTGGACATGGGCAAGGGCATGCTGAGTTCAGGCGTTATACTTATAGTGGTCAAGACTGGTCAAGAGTAGAAAACGGTGGCGTGGGATGGGTACGTCGTGCACGCCACGCCAGCCTGAGCGGGCCGGAAGAGGCCGGAAGCAGTTCTGCCGGTTCAGCGCCAGTGTGGCACCCATCCTGCTTGTCCCCACACCAGCCAACACTTCAGGTCCTTTGCCAGCCTATAATCCCTATATCTCTGGCATTGAACTGTGTCAGATGCCGTTATGGCCATTGACATAACGACTTTGAAGCGGCACAAGAACAACGTCATCGGAAACCCGACTGCGAAACTCGCTCTTGCCAGCAACTTCTCATTTCTCCATGCGTTCGTTCTTAGTGTTCTTTCTGAGACTGTTATAGTACTCATCTGTTTCCACAATAGCCTTGTGGGGTGCTTGAATGATGAGAGCTCCGAGATAGCGGTGCAAATCGAGGCCGCGCAAATCATCTCTTCGCTTTCCTACGGTCCGTCATTTCACTTCTTCTTCCCCACATTTCTCAGCTGAAGCAACTAGCCTTTCTCGAGCAGGGTCATCCACAGCACTAGAAACTCTGCTTCGAGTGAATGCACACGGTGAAATACTTCAAGCTCTCTATCATTCAAATAACGAAACACCATTAGCACTTCGGTCTGCTCTCGCACGCGCACTGCGAGCTGTCGCGGTTGCAACAGCAGACGCAGTAGGCCCAGCATTATGGGGCTTAGGGAACGATGCATCTCTCTCCGGAACGCATGATGACGCAAAACTCGTGTACGATTACTTCTTTCAGCTGGAGGTTTTGGACGTCTACCTTCCCCTCCTTGAACCATCTTTACCCCGAGCACCAGAATCGTCAGGGGTTCCTCTTTCCAACTCCGGCTCTAGCTCCAGATCGCGGATAGCAACAACTGCATCGTATACGAATGCATCTCCTGGGTTGTCAATAGCCCAGCTTTTGGCTTTCGCGCTGAGAACACAACCTCATCGAGAAGCTATAGTAGCGTGGCAACCAGAACACGAGAGGGAGAAGCAGCATGCGAAAGAGATGGGTTCTAAGGGAAGGCGAGGGTGGGAGAAGATTACGAAGGAAGGACCTGGTGATGGTTCGAAGGAGGGCGGAGGTTGGGTGGCGAGGAAATTGGTTGAAGGATTGAAGGCCAAGGAAACCAAGGTGCAGTAAATCTCTTTCTTATGGGCTTTGAGTCGATGGTTCTGGTATTAACGCCATAAAAATTGCTTATGTGAACTATGTATAGGTGCAAGAAGCTATGTTGGGCGCTCTTGCAGCCCTTGCAAAGGACAACCCCGAAGTCGCCACATTATTGGCACAACCAGCTTTTGATTCCGCTGGAAATGGTGGGTTGAAAGTGCTCTATTTCATCTTCGGCATAAATAAATGATGTTTACCAGAACGTCCATCGGCACTCTCGCTGGCTCTGACGCTGTGCAAATCCCGCTCGCCTGATGTTCAGCTAGCGGCCGCCTTATGGTACGTCATTCATTCATACACGCACGGAACATATTAGACACTTATTTCCTGGGAGACAGCGCAACACATATAATCCGTGCCGGCTCCTCGCTCAACCCCTCCTCTTCCTCCGCCTTCCATCCACATCCCACACTCCCTCACTCACACTCATACGCTCCAGTCCCACATCCCCATTCTTCCTCTCTAGCACATACTCTTTTTCACCACTCTTCGCCTCCACCAGCACCAGCACCAATGCCTCACTCCCCTTCTACCTCTGCTCACGCACCATCCCATCCTTTACCTCATCCATACCACCCGGTTTCTGCCCATCTAGCTTATCATCCACCTCCCACATCTCCAGGAGCCTCGCACAGTTATCCGCATCCGCATCCACATTCACCGGCCTCATCCCCACATTCTCTCCATCATGGACCTGGACACGCGCCCGGAGGCGTAGGAAACATGCCATTAGGACTGGACAAATCCGCCGCCATGACGGTATTGCATGTCCTGAACCGCATCATAGGAGGATCGAGCGTCGGTGCAGGTGCGAACGCCGGAGGGGTGTATGTGGGGCGAGGAGCGGTGGTCGATTCGAATTGGAATTGGACGAGAGCGAGGGCGTGTTTCGTTTTGCGTGGGTCATGCTTTTTTCTTGCCCCACTGTTTTGATATGTTTATTTTGTATGCTGACGTGTTTTCGTGGGTAGACCATCTGATTACGGACGAGAAAGAGTTGTCGCAAACTGCGTTCGACCGGGGCTCGTTGGGCAGGTTAGCAGCGTTGGTGAAGGCTATTACACCCATTCCGTCGTCAACCTCTTCCACGAACGGCAATGGTCACGGTGTAGATAATGGCGAAGTTAACACGAGTGGCTTGGGCATGGGTATATCCTCGATTGGTTCGGGATTGGGAATGGGCACGAGTGTCGGATCTGGTTTGGGTACGTTTGGGAGTATTGGGAGTATGCATACGAGTGCAACGGATGGTGCGTTAGCTGGCAATGGTGCTGGCAATGGCGTGACGGGTATGGGTGAGGGAGAAGGCTGGGAGGAAGAGGAGGCGGAGAGTATTGGACGGTTGAGAGAGGTGCGTCGATCGTGCTGCCTCTTTCGCCTTCCATTAGGACCTTCCTTTCCCAAAACAATTTCAGCCGAATTTATACAGAGGCTAACATTTATGTCTCGCTTTTGGTGGATCAGGCAGCGCTCACGGCGATTTCAACTCTCGCGTTGAGTTCACCGGAAATTAGGACGGCCGTGACGGATGTGCATCAACTTTTGCCGATCATATCGGTCTCGATTGGGCATAGGCTTGTGGGCGTTCGGTATGTATTTTATTATTATTCCTTGTTCCTTCTTGCTCGTCTTGAAAGCTCTTACTAAGAAGGGTCCCTCAATATCCACAGATTTGCAGCATGTCAATGTGTGCGTTCTCTAAGCCGCTCCGTCGCCGTCGCACGGACGAGCCTTGTTGATACAGGCCTCGGAATGAAACTATTCAGAGAAGCCTTCATGAAAGGGTTCGATCCATCTAAACACATCGCCTCTAACACCACCTCTACGTCAGCCGATATTTCATCGCCTTACGCTATCTCCTCTTTGTCCTCCTCTGTAACTTCTTCATTCTCTTCTGAGGATGAGGGAGACGATGTGGCTATGGGTGGGGGTGCGGCGGGCGTGGCGGAGGAGGAGGAGGAGGGCGAGGATAGGAGGGTGTTGTATGCTGCGTTGTTGGCGATTTGTAATCTGGTCAATGAACATTCGCCGTTGAGACAGGTACACCTCCTTCTGGCTTCTTCTCCCAGTACTTTTCGCTGACTTGTTTGTACGTACATACAGCCCTTCGTCGAGGCAGGTCTTATCCCACGTCTCGCAAATCTGATGACATCGTCGCACGTCAAGCTTCGGTTGAACGCACTCTGGGCGGTCAAGAACTTGATATATAAGTGCGACAGTGGGGTGAAGAGGGAGGTTATGAGGGGGATTGGGTGGGGTGGACTCGAAAGGTCTGTCACCTCCTATAGCCTTCAGTTCGTCATGGTCAGAAGATTAGAAGCTCACGAGTTGTTTATTTGTTGATAGGTTGCTGAGGGATCCTGATCCGGGTGTACAGGAACAGGCTTTCTACGTGATTCGGAATTACGCGTCCAGTGAGGAAGACATCGACATTATTTTCCACGAGGTGGGCAGTGAGAAGCTCGTTGATACCATCGTAGATGCATTGGAGAGTAAGACACCTGATGTCGTCGTTCAGGTCTGCATCTATCTCTTTTCATATTTTACTTCTTTCAAGACCTCTGACGACTTCCTCCTTGGCGGTGATATCAATAGGCCGCCTGGGCGCTCTGCAACCTGACAAACGGCACACAAGACCACCAATCCCACATCCTCTCCAACCCCGAGATCCTCCCCACTCTCCGAACCCTCCTCGCCGACTCGCCAACCATCGAAGTCCGCCGCGCAGCCGTCACTTCAGTGCTCGAGATCGCGAAAACGAGCCCTTGGAAGCACGCAGAGTTGAGGGAGAAAGGGTTTCCGAGCACGCTGAGACATTTGTGTGAGGGGAGTGGGAGTCTGGTTCCTGCTGGGCATGGCGTGGGCGGTGGTGGAGGGTATGTTGGAGGGCTAGGACCGGGAGGCGGGATGATTGGGGGTGGGATGATGAGTGTGGAGAGGGAGGTTAGGGATAAGGCGAGGATGGCGTTGGATTGGATCGAGCATGGGCCTGAGGGAGCTGGACTTGTTATCTAGGCGATGATATATTGCTTTCGTGTACTTCTAGCTGTACTGTCTCGCCTTGTCTCTGCCCGCAAGTTCTATCCAAGCATGAATGGGCCACACCGTCTGAAATGCATCGGTCGTCGTCCCACGCTCAAAAATCTGTACAGGTTTCAACCATCCCAGGCGCCGTCGTACGATTTATATATGACCGAAACCGAACGCTGAGACTAAGCAAACGCCCGCAGAGGATGGGGGATGTGGCGTCGGCGGCGATGATTTGTCGCGCGTTTGCGTCGGGGCGCGAACGGACGCTAATTGGTCGCCCGAGAACTCCCGGCGCCCCAAAGCTCTCTTTTCGCGTTCCGCCAGCCATTACCTCCCTCTCCCTCTCCCCTCTCCTTCATAATGGCCTCCCTCGCCCGTCTCCGGCCACGTCTCGCCCCCAGGCTTTCTGTAAGTCGTTGCGAACAATCATGAATAAATCTTGTTTGTTCTGATAGATGTAATGCTCGATGTAGCCTTTCGTCCGCTCGCTCCAGACAGCGGCGGACAGTACACAGTTGACCCAGTCGCTACCGGACGACCACTCGCATCCGTTCACGCTCAGGCTTCATGAGGACTCTTTCAGGACATACAATGCCGACCTGCCATCGTTTGATGTCGATGTCACCAAGGCGGACCTCCTCAAAATGTATCAGCAGATGACGACGATGCGGAGGATGGAGCAGAGTGCGGATGCGCTCTACAGGTCGAAGTTGATTCGCGGTTTCTGCCATCTTGCTATCGGACAGGTACGTTTGACGTTCGCGTCGACTGGACGTGCAGTCGTTGTGCTGTGTATGTTACGTGGCACGTTTGCTGACCGAATTGATTCGTTTCGTTCGTTTCGTTCATTTCATTTCAACCCACCGCGTACTCTGTTCGTCGGAATGCTTCGAACCACCACCAAATCATTTATGCACTATACAGGAAGCCGTCGCCGTCGGCATTGAACACTCCATCACCCCCGAAGACCTCGTCATCACCTCCTACCGCTGCCACCCCTTCGCCGTCCTCCGCGGCGGCACCATTACCGGCGTACTCGCCGAGCTCCTCGGTCGTCAAGGAGGCATGTCCAACGGCAAGGGTGGATCCATGCACATCTTCACCCCTCGTTTCTTCGGAGGGAACGGTATCGTCGGTGCCCAAGTTCCGCTCGGTGCAGGTCTCGCGCTCGCGCAGCAGTATATGGGCAAGCCGACGGCTACGTTCGCGATGTATGGTGATGGAGCGTCGAATCAGGGACAGGTGTTTGAGGCCTTTAACATGGTGCGTTTCCTTCAGCGCTTATACTTCCGGCGTTTGCTTGGTGGAAGCTAAAGGTTGTGTGCGGTGTGTGGCGTGATGTGGCGTGGCGTGGCGTTCTTGTGTTGTAGGCTAAGCTCTGGAACCTCCCTTGTGTCTTCGTTTGCGAGAACAACAAATACGGTATGGGTACCTCCGCCGAGCGCTCTTCCTCCAACACCGAGTACTTCACTCGTGGAGACAAGATCCCCGGTCTTCAGGTGTGTTCATTTCGCGACCTTTCAGTGTTGTCCTTGCTCACGGTTTTGTGGACGAATTGGATGGGATGTGTGGAATAGGTCAACGGTATGGACATCATCGCTGTCGCGCAGGGCGTGAAGTACGCACGTGAATGGGCAATCTCTGGCAAGGGCCCTCTGCTCCTCGAATTTGTTACTTACCGTTACGGCGGTCACTCGTACGTTTTCATCCACATCCATGTCTTCCTGTCTTCGTACACTGACCAACTTATCCTTTTCACTTCGCTTTGTCTCTGCTCTGGAAAAAATTGGGCATTGTAATGCGGATTTCGATAAATAGGATGTCCGACCCGGGAACCACCTACCGTACCCGTGACGAGGTCCAGAAGATGCGGAGCACTCAGGACCCGATCCGTGGCTTGCAGAGGTACATCGAGGAATGGGGTGTCGCTACCTCTGAGGACCTCAAGGTTCGTTATTTTCACCATCCCCACCCTCAATCCCTAAATGTGGCGCAAATACTGACCCAACGCGGCGTTATAATTAGAAAATGGACAAGGAGGCCAAGCAGATCGTCGACGAGGCGACGGAGGAGGCTAAGAAGTCGCCGGAGCCTGCGCTCGACGATCTCTGGACGGATATTTATTATAAGGGTACCGAGCCGCCGTTCATGAGGGGTAGGGAGAGGGAGGAGGTGCATTACTTCTGATTGTGACGTGGAAGTGGAATGTGCCGTGACTTTGTTGTCGTAGCTACCTTTTTCTTATTTCGTTGACGTTTGACTGTCGTGGTTTGCTGTGCCCGCTCTTGAACTCTGGATGAGTTGATGGCGGGTGACGTGTTGCCGTGCAGGGTGCTGGCAATTCTTTGGGCTTCGCTTTATGGCTTAGGTGAATAGCGGCTAGCCTTCTTCTTTTTCTTTTCGATGCGGTCCAATGAGTGGGGTATCAACGCATCTTTGGGCGTGGTTATGGTAGATGTGGATAGACGCGAGTCCCGTTTGTTTGTTTGTTTTGCTCTTCTCTTCTCCGTTAATATGTCGGTTCGGTAGATATATTAAGTAGATAATTCATGGCTTGGGTTCATGGCATTGCGAATGCACACCACTGGGAGAGTCTGATAAATATTGTTCGACCGGTACATACTGCGACGACTTTGTCGATGCGGAGTTATTAGATTCTCGCTTTCGCCTCTGGGGAGTAGGCAGCCCTGGCTACATCTCTTCTTCAAGTCCACCGCCTTCCCTTCTACCATATCCCTCGTCTTTCTGCCATCGTCACATTCATTGTCTCCTTCCACCTCACCGCCTTGCAACCTCAACAAACGAGCTAACAGTCCCATAGCAATAACGGTATTCTCAGCTCGTATCAAGGATTCGAATGAGAATAAAGATGATACTCACAAACTAGGTCGCTCGTTGCGGTGTGGGCGACGAGAGTAGATAGAAAAATCACCCAAGTCGTCATGTGGGATGGTCATATATTCCCTATCCGGCGAGATGGATGAATAGTACAATAATGTGAAGCGCAACTCAGAATTATCGGAGGCCCTCCAAGCACGAACACGTCCATCTGAATATGTATACAGTCGGCTATATCGGTTCCACATAGAAACAAAATCCGTGAGCTCCTCGGAAGATTGTGGAATCAGCTCGCCACTGGCAACATTCCATATGCTGATGTGCTTGTCGCAAGCAGCGAGTATGAATCTTCCATCTGTAGAGCAGTCGAGATGGCTGACAGGGTGGTTAGGCTCTGCGAAGCTGTGAATAATATCGCCAGAAGATACATCCCACATCATAGTGTTGCCGAACATGTCGCTCGAGATAACCCTGCTGCTATCCGACCAAAATACCACAGCACTGATCCAAGTTTTATGCCCGGTAAACTTGGCCAGTTTCGTTCCCGTCTGTGCATTCCAGATGCGAACTGTATTATCCCAGAACCCGGAGACGATGTATCGCCCGTCTGGAGAGATTGCAACAGCGGAAACAAATCCCTTGTGACCCTTCAGCGGCCCAAGAATACTCTCGCAGGTTTGCACGTCCCACACTGTGACTGCGCCGTCAACTGAGCCAGTGACGAAGGATTTTCCATCGGGTGCGAAGGCGGTGCAAATAATGTGCCTGCGGATCGGGAAAGAGATCGTTTTGTGATGATACCAGTCACCAGCTGGGGACCAGTCTTTGAGTGTGCGAGAGTGAGTGGTGCCGATGGAACGGGGAGGGGTAACAGGATGTCGGTGGCGTTGGACAGTGCTGGCCGATGCGTGAGCGGACTGACTCTGCACGTCCATGGGATCGATGAGACGCGGGTGGAAGTCTATCGTCGACTGTGTCGTGGAAGGAAATGGGTGAGGGATGATTGAGGTAGATGATGTATTCGTGGGCGGGGCAGAGTGTGGGGGCGAGTGCTCGACGTGTTCTGGGATATGGTACGAGTTTTCTGAAATTCAAATGGCGTAGCAGACGTGTATTAGGCACAATTTGTTACGGACACGATATTCTGGAGAAAGCACACTTACGATAAATATGAGCGGGCGGCATGGATACATTGGATGACGCGTGAGCCGCAAACGATGTGTGTGACGTTGATACGAAGGTCTGAGGGTTGAACTCGAGTTCGGTGTCTGCGGACGGTAACCCGTGCGCACTGGTTGTCTCCGGAACTGTGGCCATATCAGGATCCGTAAAAGTGGAAGGAAAAGCTGGCTCGAGAATCGATGGTGTAAAAGGAGGACCGATCGACGGATAATTCGAGTCGTCCACGAAAGAGTAAGAGATATAGGGAGCATCTGAAGATTCTACAAGTGGTATGTGATGGTTTCCGGGTTCCGTGCTTTCGGAGGCCTGGGGCCTATCAAGCTCCACGTTAGACGACGAACTACATGAAGAGCAGGAAGAAGACGCACTCGCACGAAATGAACTGTAAAGTTCTGGTGCTCGAATGGTTAGGCTCGTCATCTGTTACACGCTCAACCAGAGGAGGCCCGTCTGCATCAGGACGGTTCGCCATCTCAGAGTAGTAAACGTTCCACTGTTCGTCTTGGAGAAGCTTGGTGACAGCATTGTTATGTTCAACAAGCATCTGCGATCTGGTCAACTCGCCGTCTTTGACTCGTGCGCGCAGTTCCGTCCAGAGAGTTTTCAGCTGTGGATGGTTGGCCTTGGCCATGTCCCGAGCGTTCTTCGAGCGAGGTCGTTTGAGACGTGCGGCTGAGGAGCGCATAGCAGAGGTCTGTGGTTGGCCGCGGGAATGTTTGCTCAACACGGCGTTTTGGTGGTTCTGTATCCACTTTGTGACTCTCTAACGAGTGGCGCAAGAAATAATACCTCATCAAATGCACTTGTCGTAAAAATAACAGAGTACATACCCGTCGAATTTCTTTCCATCTAGCAACTAACTCATCATGAGTTTCCGTCATTCCGCCCGGTGTGCGACGAGCGATGAAAGGAAACGCGTCTCGAAAGTCGGCGACGAGATTTTTGAGCCATGGTTTGATGTTGGTGTCGGATTGGCCTCCGTCAGCAATGATGCGAGCCTCCAGCCAGGCTTCCTCCTCCGGTATCCATCTGAATACTGGCATGGGTGACTGAAAATGACGTAGCGTTAGAAGGTCCACACGTTCATAGCAGGGACAGTCTTCCTCACTTGCACGAATGATGAAGCGGATATCCTTCCGAGACGATGAAAACGGTTGATATCAAGAAGAAGCCTAGAGGCAGCAGTAGTGGAGAACGAATAGTGCGGAAGATTGCTAGTAGACCTTACAGAGGTGACACACTCTGCTTTATACGAGTGCAAAGGCGCTCGCTGACTAGTCTAGATGGGGCGTACAACTGCCGATTAGACTAGATATAGCACTGACGAAGGCCGCTGGTGCAGTCGCGGTATTATTGTGCATAGCCTGAGGCAACAGAACAGGCGTGGACAGCATGGCAGCCCTCTTAGACACATCGGGCTAGTCGAGCATGCCTAGTTTTGGGCCAGTTTTGTAAAGTGAAGACGGCGCAAAGCGACCTCCGAGGGGCGCCTATAGAACTTTCGCGGTGATGGTTTGCATCAGCACATACATCAGCACCTACACGCCAGAGATCGTGCCGTCTCAATGCTCTAGCTATCAAGTAGAACAGCTGCAAACGTCTTCCAACTTTCCAGTTACTAGCTTCGAAGCAAAGCGGCGCCTAACAGTTCTAGACATTGACAAACGAGACTTTGGCCAGGCGAGACTTTGGCGAAACCGTTCGGCGTTGGCCCCTGAAAGTAGTCCCTGTCAGCTTTACATGTGTACATAGAGACATGCAACGGTGATGGGGAGGACGAGGGAGGACGTCGACACAGAATCTCGCAGAATAAAGGACGGGATTTGCCGGTTACCCTTTGCCCTTGTTCACCAATCTTAGGCCTTTCTCAGTCTTGTATGAAGGCTGGCTCCTTCCTTTCCTTTCTGTGACGATACCTTGTACTGGACTTTGCGTCAAACCACGGGGACAATACCATCGCTTATTCAGGAGAGCCGGAGGCATCGACTGTGTAATGGGGTAGTTCGCTTGGACAGGTATGTGGATTATCAGATCCTTGTTGATCAAGCTGAATGAGAGCTGAGATTTGTTTTTTAAAGACACAGACACGGTGGATGATACTATCGGTGGACAGACAGACAACCAAACAAATACGACTTGGCGAAATACAGGCGATTCCTCCCCGACATGCATACGAGGAGAGCGTTGTAACGATCAATATTAATAAACCCGGGCGAACGGATAGGAGACACAACACAAAGAAACAAAAAGAGGTACGTAATGCTCGTACGTACGTATCCAAACCATAGTACGTATCCAAACCATAAACGAAAACAACCACTTTTAGGCCACACCAATTACGCTGTCGATATATGCACTTGGCCCCACGAAAAAGCCACCACACCTAACGTACAGACATATCGCACCCGCGGTCCATCGTTCGTAAGCTGTTTCTCCCCGAACATCTAAATCACTCCGATCACGTCGAACCTTTTCCCCCATCCCCTGTTGACCCACCATGCCGCGAATCTCGCAGAAACGGGAAGGTATTCACTCCCGATAAAAATCGGCACGTACGGCTCCACGAAATCGTCCCCAAAGGCCTCCGCGACGTCTACAATATCCTCTATCCACTGCATATCCACCATGTACGACACCACCTTTGGCCATGGATGCTCCACGTTCGCGAGCCTCGTCTCCTCCACCACGTACGCCTCGATTTCCGACATGGCCTGCGCTTCCGGCACCTTCAAATCTTCCTCTTTTCCTCCGATGATGACGATGCGAGAGCGAGGTGGGCAAGGCGACGGCGCTGAGTCGCCATCTTCAGGTGGTAAAGCCCTACAAAAGGTGGGCGTGTCGGGGTGCCACTTCCCAAGGGTTGTGTCTGGTGTTTCATAAATGACGAGAGGTTGTCAGTGTTTCAATCAGGGTGCAGATGATGAGGTTACACATGCGAACTGACCTGGAGTCTCCGTTCCGTCATCTCGGCGAGCTCCGTCGTGCGCGTTGTATCTTTCTTATCTGTTGCCTGTGTAGCACAGACAGCTGGGTCGTTCATCAATCTGCTGACCGTCGCGTCGATGTCGATTGGGGCCGATTGAGAGATGTCGGCGTGGATGCTGGTGTGCTGCGTCGGTCGCGCTCCTGCCTTTCTCTCGAGTGTGTCATTGATGAAGCGAAAGGGTCGCGGTGTAGCGAGCTGCATCTCATCGGAGGAAGGCGACGATTCGTCGCCAGAGTGTGCGCTGTCGGACGAGGTGCTCGCCTCCTCAAAGTGCAGAAGTACTGGATGACTGGCACCGACACGATACGTCGCCTCCAAGTCAGCGAAATAGTAAGCCCGGGCTTCGGGTTGGGCGACCATTGGCTTTCGTGCCATGTAGGGAGCGACAAGACCAGCCGGCCCCCAGATCGATGGGCGGCCGAAAGTCGTCCCATTGCCGATATGGAAATCTCGAGCTCGATGCTGCACCAGGGGCCGGCGCTGAGGAATGGGAGTGGATGTGACGAATTCATTGTAGAACTGGCCTACAGTTGGACTGGTTGCTTCCTGGTTCGGCCCAACGGTGTTGCTGAAATGCTCTTGCCAGGAGGGTTCCGGCAGATCTGCCAATAGTCGGACTGAGAAGTTCGTGCTCGTCAACAGCGGACGGATGGGGGTGTGCGTGCGGATGATGGGTATGTCCTCCATCGTGCGAAGGGACTGCAGATTGCACAGATGTGTGGCAGTGGCATTAATATTCTGAAGAAATGGGAGAGAGAAAAATCATGGACGTACCTGAAGATCCGCAACTTTGGTCCAAGCTCTGTCTGCAGTAACGGGAATCGGTTGTCCGGGGAATATCTCCTTCCATTCCTTGGATGATGTAACCTTTGTGCCACTCGCACCCGTCGTTGGTGCTGTCTTCTTTGGTGCCTAAGAAAGAGATCGATGGTGAGAGTGATGAACAAATAAGGATGGATAGGGTGCAATGTCAGTCCGTTGCCCTCAGCACATACGCTGGACGGTGGAAATAACTGCTGCCAAGTGTCCACGGCCGATTCCCGGCTGGCACCACCAACGGTGACGTTCCCCGATCAAACCCATCGACGTGTAATTGATAGGGAGGGGCATAGGGGAGGAGCAGAGGATGAAGCATAGGAGGATGGCGTACCCTCGAGCTCTCAACAGTGCCGACAACAACCCTCTTCCGATCTGCATACCGGTCCCCACTCCTACTCGCAGGCTGGACCAACCGATTCTGCGTCAACCTTCCCTCCTGGGCGGGAGCGATCGCAGCAGTGTGTCTTGTCGGGTGCCGGGGTGTGGCGGAGGTTTGCTTTGACGGCTACAACAGAACAAAAGCGGCATGAGTTCATCTTCCATATAGGCCCGGCACTGGTAAGTCATATCGAAACACACTCACCATTGTTTGTGGGGTGTTTTGTATTGGGTTCTGGATGGGAGCACTGTCACTGTGAGGTAGGAGGATAAGTGGGCAAGAGAAAGTCTGTGCCTTCTTTAAATTCTGGACACCGGCAAATCCCACGGCACGGAACACTGGCGGCTTTTGTTCCACGAAACGGTTTAGCGTGCTTTCCTGTGTTATCTGATCATCCGCCCGCGTGTTTGCTCATGTGGCTTTGTTGATTTCTTTGTTGATCAGGTCACGCCTCTGCATGGTCCGTGCGTGCAGAGTCCTGCAGACTCAATTTCCTCGGCACCGATGTGGCACCTTGTGCAGCTCGGTATCCCTTTGCTTTTGTCGCCACGTTACTGTACTTGCATTGCTTTTCTGTCCTGCCACCCAGTATGAAATTGACAGATGAAATTATGAGCTCATGAACCACTGACCGACGTAGATGTAGACGGGCCCACGGCTCGATAAAGAAATTAATCAGTCTCTGACAGGACTTCGACTGCGATCCTGGATTTCGAGCTTTGATTAATTCGGGTAGTATCAACGAACCGCCAGCGGATAACATCAAACGAACACCCCGAGATAGATACGAAACAGGGAGAATATCGTCTTTCATAGAAAAGCAACAATGGTCACGGATACAAGAATAAGTAATATGGTAAATGACGAGCAGATTAAAGAAAGAATAACGAAAGAATCTGGGCTCTAAAGTCAAACAAAACCGAAGGATACTTTGGCACAACGAACGAGCTTGTGGGTGTAGAGAGTAGGAACCATCGAAAACTCGAGAAAAAGGTAGCGAGGAAAGGCTTGATGGACCTATTGACGTTTCTCACAAATCTTCTTATGCGACTTCCAATCTCTTGTCTGCACGTCCACGCCCCATCAAAATCAGCATGACTTCTTCATAAATTAAGCAGCCACAGAACAATAGAACGGGAATAGGAACACACCTGGTGTTCCTTGCAACAATAAACGACTTCTCTACACCTTTGACATCTCAACAACTTCTCGCTCCCCTCGCCCAACGCCACATTCCCACCTCCCAACATCCTCCACTCCATCCCGCCCGCGCCCTCTCCCTTCGTCCACTTCGCTTTACCTATCTCGCCCTTCCCATCCACTCCTTCGCCTAATAGATAACCCCTCTCACAGCCCCATAAGTTGCATACTACGCGTCTTCCGAGCCACTTTTGCGTCTTTTTGCGGTCGCGGACCATCGGGGTGTTGCCCGCGAGGGTGGCATAAGCGTGTCTCGAGAGAGGATCGGAGGGGGGGAGGTGGAAGAGGAAGGAGGCACATGTGGGGTTGTTGCAGTGGGGGCTGTTGCAGCCGACAGGGAAGGAGGCGAGGAAGGTGCGAGGAGGCGTGTTGAGAGGAGAAGTGAAGAGGATGCGAGATTTTCCTATGAGAATTATATTTATTAATTCAGCAAAGATCATCACATGCGGAGCATTTGAAAGGGTAGCAGGCAAGTTGGCGTACCGTGCGCAGTGTCTCGTTGTTGGAAAACAATGAAAGGAGGTACATAGCCTACTGCTTCGTCGTGGATTAAGGATCGCACAAGAAGGTCAGCCTGGTAAAAGCACGGAAGACCATCTTCCTTAGTGTGGTCGTAGACGTGCTGGACTATACCGCAAGATGCCACCATGAGAGTGTCAGTATCGAGGGGCGAATGAATAAGAGGACACCGACTCTGCGTCCACTCACACTCTTTGTCGCGTTCTTCGGGCTTGTCCGCCCAGATTCCTTTGCTCATATTCACCCAGTAGTCCATGGCGAGGCCTATGGTACGATTTGACCAGTTGAGGACAACGACAGGGATATCTGCACCTCCTTGATCGTGCATATTGCGAAGGACGACGAGTTCGTGAATCTATAAACGCGTTTGGGAGCGAGAGAAATCAGTGACGATACAGGATGTATTTGCGGAGAAGTCATGCCCACCATGATTGCGAGCGTATACGCCTCCCAACTCGGAGCATTTTTCTCCTTCTTCTGCATGTCATCGACGCCCTCCCAATGGCTCTCATGTGCATACCATTCGATCCTGAAATCCGCACACTCCATTGGTAACAATCTCCCCGTGTCTACTGTGCGGAAGAAAATATTCTTCGGAAGGAACGCCGCATCCTTCTTGAGCACAACATTCCTCGTTTGCGGATCGTGGAAGTCATACACAGATAGTCCTGATACGTTGTTTGGGTCGGATGTGTCGAGGGGCGGAGGGAGAGACTGCGAAATTTCGCGGAACCAGACCTGCCAAGGGGAGCCTTCGGGATGTCCTTTCTTCTCAAATTGTTCTTCTTGAAGGATAAAGAGTGTGTCGCGGTAGTCTGCGACCTTCTTCGCGCTCGTTTCGCGGTTGACAAGCTGGCAGTCTGAAATACGAGCTTGCACTGCGGGCGTAACCTTGTGAGACTGTGTGCGCGACATATTCAGAGAGTAAGTAAATTCGCAGCGGCTGGAACGAGCTGAAAAGTCGAGCAAACGCGGGATAACGAGATAGCAGACGATAGGCGCGGGTGAAAATGTGAAAGGAAGAGACGCGTTTGGACGCGTCGACGCGACGCGACAATAGACCCTAACCCTACCCTCAGCCTTCGCCACAACGCGCTCGTCATCGATCATTTCCGACTTGAAGTAGCGGGCGGTGACACTGTTTCCTTCAAGATACACTTGACAGGAACCTCACTCTCGACGTCTGTCTAGTAAACTAGTAAAATTGTGATTTCAAGCTTTCAGGCCATACGGTGTCACATCCTGAAACCGCGATCAACCTTCACTTTTTCAACCACCAGTCTGGATTCAGAATGTATCATCCAGAAGTCTCACCTCCGCCGCCTCTACGGTATATAAACTTTCGCACATCATCACCCATACTTCATTATCCTCTCCCCTACTCTCTTACCTTCTCCTCATCCTAGCAGTGGTGCGCGGTTCAAACCGTGCTCCACAGCCTACGACCTCGACACCCTCTCCTCTCAACGAGTGCAGCTTCGTCTATGCCCAACAGCGACAGTGTTCATCCTTCATAAACGATGTACACGGCTTTGGAGCTCGCACGTCCCTGCGCTCGTTCGAAGTGAGGGTGGTGCGTGTAGATGAGCCACCGATGGTCAGCCAGTCTGATACCCAACGATGGTCCGACCATCCGAGGCTAACATACGGTGTAGTCTACACGCACACTCGAGTCTGACTGAACTCTGGTCCTCACCGTCAACTTCTTACCTTCGCACAGAAGTACGAGATGTCGATGAGGACCCCGGGTTTGGGATTCGTGGGTGCTGGGCTCTGGGGACCGTTCATAACCCTGACGCACTGGAAGGTGTTTACCATAGTAACCCAAGCCTTTCTCGAAGTCGGACAAACCTCTGGTCTCGCTGCTCACTCTGTCTTGACCTTGGTGTCGACGAGGATGGCGGCTTGATTGGTGTGGAGTAACCGGTTTACTTGGAAGTTGGGGTCGCGCTCTGTGTTCGGTGGCGGGAGAGGTACGGGAGCCGAGGTAATGTATGATATCGTCCTTTCACTTTCGTAGCGTTACTGTGGCTGGAGAATTTGGACTTCCGTGTATGACTGGGTGGATAGACGAACGCGTGTATTGCCGATGCATGGTTGTGTCGTCCTGTTGGGTTTTGGTTTTGGATCATGTATGACTGTCGCCGTGGCCTTTGCGCCCTAGATAACTATCGTTCCTGCCCGCTGTGCAGCATACTCCAAACTAATGGTCGGTGACGGGAAAGATCAGAGTCAGAAGACGAGCTCATCTGAGACGAAGATCTGACAGGTACGGGGTGGTTGCCAATAGCCCAAAATATGAGTCGCAGGGGAACGCATTAATTATCGTACAACATATAACGGCGAATCGAAAGCAGGGAATAATGACTGGAGAGCACAAGCAGATAAGACAGTAGAAGAGGTGAACATGAGCGCAAAAACCTCAAGGTTTCGGAGGGTTGGGAGGTTCGGTGGGCGGGACGCCCCATTCCGGGAGACCCTTCGGTCGTTGGATGCGCTTGTTCTCCCATTCATCGTCCTGAGCTGCGCTCAGTTTCTATGCAAAGGACATGGAAGAGGTAGGAAGGCAGAGTGTCAGTAGCTTGGCGGCAAAGTGGTAGGGCAGGAGTGGTGCGAGGACGGTAGTGGCGTAGGGGAAAGATGAGAGATTGGTGGGAGGAGGATCTCACATAGTACTCTTCTCGAATGTCGAACTTCTTCTTATCCTTCTCCAAACCAAGCTCTTGCTGCTTGCTCACCTACATTATCAACGTCCAGAGCCGAAACGAACAAAAGATCGTCAGCAGCCTCGCCACACTGTCTTCCTCTCATCCCAGAAGCATTGTCCTCACTGATCGAGTCCCGCGAAAAGAAAGAGATTAACGCACCTGCGTAACTTTCTTGTCATGCAAATCATACCTCGTCTGCGTAAAACTTGACAGCGCAAACGAGGACCCCACGATGATCACAAGGAAAGGAATCCCAAAGAGGAGAGGGTTCCTTCGGAGCGTGTTGTGCAGGCGTGGCGAGTTTACGGGATTGGATGGGAAAGTAGGCATCACGAATATTACGGCCCAGCTTGAGATGCAGGCTAATAGCAAGCTGTTTGAATGCAGGAGGCTGTAGTAACAAGGGTTTTGTGTGCGGTGTAAGAAGCTATAGCTGTTGAGTTGAGAGTTGGAACGAAGAAGGACCAATGACGAAAGCAGGAAATCGACGCACCGAGCTGGCGGAACGGAGATGTGCCGGCCGACGAACTTTGATGGAGGACTTCCTTTCTGGGACGTACCAACTCCTCTAAAAATCGGCCGTGGCTCGGAATTTGTCTATCGGAGAACACATCAATCAGTACACTCAGGACGAGTCATTGTAACATCTGGTCTTTACCTGCGCTGGTGCTGTAGATATACAGTCGAAGTTGTTGGGTGCATAGGCGACTATGAGCGGTACGTTCTTTTATTTCTCTTCCTTATACCCAGAATAATGTCCCCCACCTCGACTTTTGCGGAGAACTGACTCGTTTCGACCCTTTTTACGCATTGCGCATTATGGGTATGGAATGATACAGTGACTGTCGTCCTCGGCTCCCAATGGGGCGACGAGGGCAAGGGCAAGCTCGTCGATATCCTCTCCGCCGAATTCGATGTCTGCGCTCGCTGTGCGGGTGGTAACAACGCCGGACATACGATCGTCGTGCCCATCGGACCGGAGAAGAAAAAGACTACGTTTGCGTTCCACCTGTTACCTTCTGGTACGTCTCTCTTTCATAACGGCGATAGAGAATAGACAAGGTAAGAGGAGGGGGCTCATAATGTCCTGTATGTAGGATTGATCAACCCCGAGTGCACTGGTATCATTGGATCTGGAGTCGTCGTGCACGTTCCCTCATTCTTCGTGGAGTTGGATGAACTGCAAAAGCAAGGTCAGTTAAGCTTGAATTTTCATTCTCTACCTGCGCACATCGAACGAAACACTGAGATGTTCATCAAAGGCTTGGACTGCACGGGCAGACTCTTCATCTCCGACCGTGCGCATCTCGTATTCGACTTCCATCAGATCGTTGATGGATTAAAGGAGGTCGAGCTGGGCGGAAAGAGGTAGGCCTGTCCTCTTGTATATCTGTATCGGGAAACGATGCCAATTCTTGTTACATGGGTACAGTATCGGAACGACCAAGAAGGGTATCGGCCCCGCGTACTCTGCCAAGGCCTCCCGATCTGGCCTGCGCGTGCATCACCTTTTTGACCACAACACGTTCGCGGAGAAATTCCGGAAGATAGTCGAGGGGAGGTTCAAGCGGTATGGGCATTTCGAGTACGATACCGAGGGGGAAATCGTGAGGTATAAGGTGCGTATCCATTCTTTCCTACGTCATCTCCTCATGTTTTCTTATTTTTCTGCTGATGCTTGTTATGTGATGTTGCGTATGGGTGTATTTGTGATTTTAGGCTCTCGCCGAACGCCTCCGCCCCTACGTCGTCGACTCGGTAGTCTACCTCCACAAAGCACTCGCGGAGAACAAACGCGTCCTCGTCGAAGGTGCCAACGCGCTCATGCTCGATCTCGACTTCGGAACGTATCCTTTCGTCACTTCCTCGTCTACCACCATCGGAGGTGTATGTACGGGTCTCGGTATCCCACCGAAGAAGATTGGGAAGACGATCGGGGTTATGAAGGCGTATACGACGAGAGTTGGCGGTGGGCCGTTCCCTACGGAGCAGTTGAACGTTCGTATTTTCTTCTCTCGTCTCATCTGGTGCTCCGTGATTTCGTGATAGAGAGCTGATGAGTGGCTGGGTGATATAGGATGTCGGAACGCACTTCCAGGAGGTCGGAAGAGAATTTGGAACGACGACGGGGAGGAGACGGCGGTGTGGATGGCTGGATCTGGTGGTCATGAAGCATTCGATGCTTATCAACGGTTACGACTCAATCAACCTCACCAAACTCGATATTTTGGATGACCTTGCAGAGGTGAAGGTGGCGACGAAATATCTTGTGGACGGGAAGGAGATCCTTGGGTTCCCTGGTACGCCTTACCCTCACCCGTCCCTCACTGTGCTACACCATTGTCGTGGGTCTGTGCTGATGAGACCCCGCATGTAAAATTCACAGCCGACCTGGACGTCCTTGGCAAAGTCGAAGTCTCCTACGTCACTCTGCCCGGTTGGAGAACCTCTATCGAAAAGGCCACCACATTCGACGAACTGCCAGAAAACTGCAAGAAGTACATCTACTTTATCGAGTCGTTCCTTGGTGTACCTGTTGAGTGGATCGGTGTCGGACCAGCAAGGGAGAGTATGGTGAAGAAGGAAATCAAGAACTGAGAGTACGATTGAACGGCGTAGAATGTATAAGCGAGTAAGATTAGAGTAGAAGAAAGTATCCGATACAAGTAAAGTACATGAAATGTTGCTATTTCCACCAGTGGTTCAGCCGAGAACAAAGGTTATGTGGCGTAACCGGCGGTGTGGCCCCATTCTCACGAGGGTATAAAACGGTGTGTGACGCTGTTTGGTTACGATCCGTCACCTCTTCGTCACAACCCGTCACCTACGAAAGGCCCGCCGCTCGTCTCGCTCTCGCTTTTCTTGTTCCTTTGCCCGCCTCGTTCGCGCGCATAGGCTCGACACACCAGAATATATTCTTGTCGTTTATTCTCAAGTTATTCGCTTATTTCGAAGGAATTTCGAAGCTCGAAATATTGATTTTCAACGGACTCCTGTACTGACAATGGATCCAACCTCACAGGGCCTTTCTCCCGACTCCCTCCCATCGATGCCAGCCTCTTCACCACGCAAACAGCGTATCTCACGAGAGAACGAGTCTCCCTCTCAGCGTAACAAGCGCGAAAAGGCGGCAGAGAGACAGCGGCGTAAGAGGGAGCGCGATAGGAACAATAACATCCAGAACGCGCTCGCCGCGTCCATGCCACCCGCCGTGCAGCAGCACGTTCTGCAGCAACAGCAACAGCAACAGCAGCAGCAGATCTCACAGCCGCCACCACAACCACCACAACCACCGTCGGTGTCTGCACCACCACAACCGCAGACGTTATCTCCCTTACAGTCTCAGCAGCACCATATTCCTCCCCCACCGCCACCCCCTGAAGCTTCCCATATCGATGCGATTCCGGTACAAATATCTCGACCGGAAGTACAGACGACATCCGTGCAGACGAGCTCCAACGACGAGTATATAATGTCTCCGGAGGAGGTCGCGAGACGAGACAGGGTCAGGACGGCGGCAAGGGAGAGGCAAAGGAAACATCGGGCTTTAGTCAAACAGAGGAAGTTGCGTGAGTTGGGTCTTGATATGGGGAACGAGCTCGTACAAGGCATGGACGACCAATATCGCGCCGCAGCCGACGCCTACGCTCATGCTCAAGCTCAGGCCGTCGCTCAAGCCCATGCCCACGCTGTTCACCACCTTGGGCCACCGCCACCCCCGCATGAGCTCGGACAACATCCTCCTCCAGGTGCGCCTGGACATTCCAGTCCTGGTATGCCGCAGGAGCCACCATTTCCGGGTGGACCGGGACAATTGGGCGGGCAAACGTTCGCGAGCACGTTGTTGTTGAGTTTTAGCTGTGCGCCGTTGTTGAAGGCGCATTTGCTGAGGACGCTCCAGATGACGAACGACGAGCTGGCGAGTTTGGAGCCGATCATCGCTCAGGCGTGGGATCAGTGGGATCATAACGTGAGTTCATTCTTAAAATCTTATAGTTCATTGTCGTGTGGCGGCGCGTTATCCTTTTTTGTGGCCCGAAGCTTGTTGATTTCGTTTACATTCGTACCGATGTTCAATATGATCTCATACCTTGCCATTATCCAGCGTCGAATGCATTATGCCGCCCATGCCGCCTCAAATCCTTCTCACCCTCCACCGCAGCCTCCCCACCCTTCTGACCCCTCCTCATCCTATCCCACCCCACCTCACCCCCACCAGCCCGTCGACATTTCAGATCCGAACGCTGCAGCGGCGGCCGCAGCTGCCGCCGCCGCCGCTCAGTTCCAGGCTCATCAACACCAAGCTCAACAGCAACAGAATAACAATGGAGCCGTGAACACGAACGGAGCAGTCACGGGAATAGAGGGAGACGGAGGATCTGCTGCAGGACAAGCACAGGACCCGAACGATTTTAGGGCGAGGTTTCATCGTCCGTTGGTTGCTCCGAGCCCATTCAGGACGTTCGCGCAGGCGGAGGCGGAGGCCGTGGCGGGTAGGGCGAGCGCAGCGACGGGGAACGTGAATGGGAGTCCGGGCTCGAGCGGAAGTGGGGGGAGTGCGGAGGGCGAGGAGGGCGAGTCGAAGACGGAGGAGATGCAGGTGGATTCGGAGTTGGGCCAGGCGAGGGGTGAGGCCGAGGGAATTGCGGGGAGGTTGGAACGGGGGTAGTGGGTCCCCGGATGAGATAAAGAGATTGATTGGACTCGAGTGCGGGTTGACAGTCGTGGTCGTTTGCATCGTTTCGTGGTTACGGTCACATTTTAGTTGTGTATTCATCTCGATTCGCCACCGTTTTCAGTACTGTGGGCCACGGCGAGCTTGAGATCCAGTTTTCTGTTAATGTTTTACTTTTAGTGGTGTACATCGTGTTGTTACTGTATTATCGTGACCTGACGGCTCATTTATCCCTCTCCTTTCATTCATGCTCATACTTCTGATTATACGTATGTTTACTCCTCACTGTGATTGTTGTTAATGTTCATGGGTGTTCACCTTGACCAGCTTCTGTGGAGAATACGGATATCTGGAAGCATGAGCACAATTTCATGAAGCATGAACCAGACAATAATGTGATGGTCGTGGAGTATGAGAGAGCATGGGTGCGGTTTGAATCGTGCTCGTTATTCCTCTCTGATAGAGCGGAGAATGAGACGAGCAGTGACTATCGAGAGTGATGCTTTGAACGATGCAGGCTGTTGTCAGAGTAATTCTCGTCGAGGTCGACTATGCATGTGGCGGGTATGTCTTGAGTGCATGGCTGCCGGGAGGACATAAGTGGCGCATCGTTGACCGGGGCGGGACGACTTGGCGGATAGCATCGAATCCCATTAGCAACAGCCTGGAAGGCCTTGAGTTTTCGGAGCACGACACAGGAGGGCTGTTAGATGCTTTGTATGGGGGACGACTGGCGCGTAGCAGATGCAGTATTCTTCGCCATATTGTTGGGTGCCGGGAACGCGACTTTACCCTCAAGAGCTTAAGAGAGCGAGGCCTGTCGATAGCCATATAAAAACGCGCAATGGAGAGTGAAACGGGCAATTCTATTGCGCGAAACCTATCCACAAACGCTAACAATCCATCCCAGCCTCTCTAGTGATGCGCCTCCTCCTTTTTAATCTGAGCAACGTAGGGGTTGCGGGGGTCATTCTTCCATTGCTCGGCTAGAAAGACGAGGAGGTGATATAGCGAACGAAGACGCAAAACAAGGTCAGACAAAAGCATAGAAGGCAGAAGAGGAAGTGACGCACAGCGAACACCCATGTCCTGCATCTGGGCAACGAGATAGTAGGTCACCGCGGAGGCAGCGAAGAATGGCCACATGGGCTTGACGACCTGTGTAGCGTAGGCGAAACAGAGAGAAATGACGAGGACGTTAGGATACGACGTGCGTGTAACGCGGGACAAAAAGCAACAATATCGCACTGTCAGTGAGCGGAAACGCTGGTAACGTGAGTAGAACGTACGGGTACGGGCCATTTGCGCATACCAAGGAAGGACATTGTGATGGAATTATTGGCTGAAGAATGACAGTGACGATGAGCTGGAGGGCGTCGGGAACGTGGGACACGACGAGCTCACCTGAGGGGTTAGTCGGAGAGGAGTGTGGGAAAGTCGGGCAATAGCGCCGGAAGACGTTCGTTCGCCACGTGGGCGACCGGATGCCTGAAGGAGTCGCCGTATTTCTTTCCAGTTTCGACCTCAGGCTTTCGACTTCTTTATGCCTCATGAAAGAAATCGGACATACTAAATTAGATTGCTTTATTCCCTCCTCTATCTTGCTAGTGCACGTGGTTCTCTCTGGTTTTGCTGGATATATTCCCTGTACCTGTTTTGAGGCCTTCGAATTCTCGTCAAGTTGGACACGACAGCACGCGATCTCACTGGCAGGAGTCAGGCCCACGTCCCGATATCTGGGATAATCATCGCTGACAATCTGTGGTGAGAGTCAAACCCAAGTCTTGAGGTCTGAAGCTTAACTATAACCTATGTTCGCCGGATTAGGTTTGACTTTGGTTTTCGGTGACTATTGCTTATGGAACGATTTATAGGCTTTCAAGGGACTCGGAACACCCTGTCTTCATCGGCGGAGCTGGGGATCATGATACTGGAAGTATCTATAGTGTTCCCCTCTGCAAGGTGTTCGATAATGGTTCGTGCCGGATTCCTGAAGTGTACTCTGCTTCGTCGAGGATCGGACTGGAGGCGCGATACCTTCGCCGCCGCCAGACTCGTCTCGTAACTTATTAAGCGGTGAATTCTGGTGCTCAACACCGCTTTATCCTCCGCATTCCACTGTCCTCTCAATCTGTATATCCTCCACGGCAGCAAACCTACGAAAAAGCAGAAGCGGCTCATGTTTATCTTCGGCTCCACCGGAGTTGTGAAGCAGTCTATTTTGTGTCGCTGGACTAGAACGATATGACTATCTGCAATCGAGCGTTGGGGTGAGCACTCGCACACATGACGAAGACGACCCATAGCTGGAGACCATATGGCTGATATACAGCCACCTTAATATCACAAAGGTATCGCAATTCCACTCAGCATTACACTCTCGATGAGGCTGCGGTTTCGTGACTTTTCCAACATTCACCTTGTCACTAAACAATCATCAACGGGTAGGAAAAGCGGGATTAGACGATGATAGTGTCATCCAGCTAGGGAAAGCCCACTCGAGGACTTGCCAGATGACGAGCGTTGGGATCAGAGACGCGAACACGTTCTCGATATATGACCTATCTTCCTGTGCTTCCCAGCAGTCGAGGAAGGCCTCTGTCTTGATCCGATAAGGAAGAGCTTCATTGTACACGGCTTCTGTGAACACGCTACTCACCATTGAATTCTGCTGCTGGCGAACTCCACAGGAGCGCAGGAGACCGGAATAGATGTAATTCGTTTCACGCACCACCAGTGGCGTCTTCCGCTTGGCTCATGCGGCTCAAAATCCTATTGGCTGTGCGGTCTTCAATCAATCACTCACTACTCTTTTACAAGGAGTTCGTACCCATTAACCCGCCTCCCAATAGGGACCCGCTTGTGTTAATTCTGGTGGTCCAGGAGGTGCGTCGTTTGTGTGGTCCCGGGTTCCATTGGCTGTTGTAACGTTCTTCCACTCATTCGACAAGCATCCACTGGGAATGGTCATTGACTAATCAAAAGGGTTTTGTAGGTCGTCTCGGGCTATCCGTACGACAGGCACTATAGCGGATGCAGTCCTTAACTACGCTACATAGAACACCGCCGAAGTCCTGCAGGAAGTTCAGATACTATTCATGCATAAAACCCTGGATAGATTCGTACACGTTCAAAGTGGAAAACCGTTCAAGCCAAAGGAATCTACTTATTCGGCAAGCGGCGACTTGCGTATCCTCCCATGGTACGCATTCCACTCCGGCCAATTCCTTCAGTTTCAGGTCCCGTATCTGCCCCGCCTGTTTTTGAACCGGTCTGGCCATCCTACAGGACCAAACTACCTCCTTCCTCTTCTCTTTGTACGGATCATGACATCGATAGGCGAAGATAACGCTCCCAGTCGCAATACCTTTTCGACAGTCTGGCCGGGGATAGCATCATGTCTGGTGTGATTAATTCTCACGCTTTGAGGCGTCTGGTTCGGGTATAAAACCAGCGTCTCGAGTGGTTATTGTCGGTTCTTCAGGTCGTCCTTTGCTCTAGGTCGCCTCCCCGAACCTTCTCTGTTGAGGAGACTGTTCGTGGTAGTCGGGCTGTCCGACCTCGGACCCTTTCAACTTGCGAAAGGTGTGCCATGTTTTGAACGATATTCCCGCCTTTCTGCGCACTACTAATTTTCAAACGTTTCTGCTTAGTTATTCGTCTCGTTCTCGCCGTCTTCTTCGTCGTATTCTCAGTACCGTCGACGCCGGTGCTCTTTCCTACCTACCACTTATTCATGCGTCGTGCGTCTCTTACCCTCGGCTGTGTCCCCCGCTTCGTTACCAGGCGCTGACCTTATCCAATTGTAGTCAGGTTATCGCGTTCCTAAACCTATCAGGCTTTAGCCTCATACATCCATTGTCATCACACGCAACCCAAGGATACCGATACTGTATCCGGGGTGTCCATCCCATGGTTTTCGTTCGTAGCCGGCGGCAGAGGTGTAGCATTGCGGGATAGATATGGTGGCAGGTGGCGGCATCATTGGCGACGGGCTGGGGTGGACGAAGAAGACGGCGAGGGCGAATTAGACAAGGCGGGTAACAGTCGAGGGGTCCAGTTGGATGGCCAAGGGTGGGTGAGTGTTGGGGAGATGCGTGTGCGTCGTTGTAGTTCGGGTTCTTGTCGAATCTGTGCTATGGATAATTCAAAACAACAAAAAGAAATCTTCCAAACTTTCGGTTTCGTTCTGATTGACGGTCTTTCTAATAGTGATCGCGTTCCTGTGTGCTTTAAGTGTCGTTTTAGGGAGTTGGGCAGGCTTCCGTACAGCCGGAGGAATGACAGCATCCGCGAAGCCAATTGCGAGTGTGGCGTAGGGTGTGCCGTTCTGGGCTTTTGTACTAAATTGTAGTCGCACTACAACTAAAACGTAGGTGCCTTTCGGAGCTCAAAATAACTTGGCGCACTACAAGCGGGATCAACCGCGCTTTCACTGTGGCTCTCTCACTTGACTAGCACTTACTAGCTGTTCTGCTTGCTTGGTGTCGTGTACGCGTCCAAGGTGGTCAAAATAATCACGACAACACTGGAGGACGTTCAATATACCAAATTTGCTTGACGAACGCCTCACAGGACTGAACACCGAGTCCACTTCCCGCGTGGCTCGAGACTTCGCAAACATGACTTCATCTCTGAGTTCTGGTGCAGCAGCACCAGCCGTACGTCCTCTGTCTACCATACACGCAGATATTCAGAACTCAATGTTCATGCTGCGTTCTAGTTCAAACAATTCGCGTTCTTCGACGTCGTACCAGTCAAGGATACACACGACTTGGGAGAGAGCCCACATCTCCTACGAGTACGTCTACCCCAGGCCCGCACAATTCCCCGCAGTTGACCAATCCTCAGAGCGCCAACGAAATATCCACAGTCTGCCCTTCATCCTACGGGATCCTCGTTGCGGACATCCATGGGAGTTTACACGTATTGAACAAGGAGTTTGAACCTGCCATGAGTTGGATTGCGCATGTTGGAGGACGGGTGACGCATATGGTAGAGCGTCGGGGTTTTTTGATCACGCTCGGGGTAAGCATCGTTTTCCTTGTTCGTGTATGGATGCAACAGAAGAGAGGAAAGTTAACGAGAATTAGGAAGAGGATGCAGTGAGGCAACCACTATTGAAGGTGTGGCATTTGGAGAAGACAGACAAGAATGGTTTTCCGTTACTCCTGCGGTCCATTAAGGTCCAGCACAGTAACCGCCCCCATCCAGTGAGTCACTTCTTCGTCTCTTCGTTGAACGGACTAATGAACTTTCTTGAAGGTATCAGCCATGGCCCTCTCCGCTACACTCTCATACCTTGCCATCGGTCTCGCGGACGGCACTGTCCTCCTCTACCGCCACCTTGACCAATCCATCTTCTCCACCTCTACCTCTCTCACCGCCCTCCCCAAACCACGCGTCATCCACGAATCGCCCACAGAACCTATCACTGGCCTCGGATTCAAAGAACCTACACCGGACGCCCCAAATGTTCTGCATCTCTTTATTGTCACGACGAACAGTGTCCGGTCATATCAGGTCTCGGGAAAGGGAAGTGGAGGCACACCGAGCGAGGTATACGAAGTTGGTGCGGCGGTGGGATGTGCCGTTATGGATTGGAAGGCGCAGAACCTAATTGTGGCGAGAGACGAGGCGGTCTTCATATGTGGCATTGAGGGCAGGGGAGCGTCGATTGCGTATGAAGGTATGATACTACTCTGATGCCGCTCCCAAATGTTTGTCCTGACTGATGATACGTCCTGCAGGTCACAAGTCATCGGTCCATACGCACCTAAACTACCTAGTCATCGTCTCTCCTCCATTCGTCCCAACCGCGACTTCAGCGTCCGCCACCGTACGGAATCTATGGCGTAATGAATCCATTTCAGGGAACGCAGATCTCACCAAGGTCACCGTCTTTGATCTCGAGAATAAGTTCGTCGCGTATTCTGGTGCGTTCCAGGAGGGTGTGCGTCAGGTCATCTCGCAGTGGGATCAAATATACATTCTTCCGAACGACGGAAAGGTGAACCTTTTTACCTCTCGCCTTCTGTGTGTATCTTCTCGACTGACGAACGGTGGCGTTTTATAGCTCGTCAGTCTACGGGAGAAACCGACCGGAGAGAGGTTGAACCTCCTATATGGGAAGTCACAATATCTGACCGCGCTGAACATGGCCAAAACGCAACGACTGGACGAGTCGAGTCTGGCGGATATACATCGGCAGTTCGGCGACAGTAATTATAGTAAGGGAGATTACGACGGCGCAATGCAACAGTACTTGCAGACAATCGGTTACGTCCAGCCAAGCTATGTCGTCCGGAAAGTGTGTAGTTCCTTTGTACGTTGCGAGTGGACTTGGCTGATATTCTCCCGGCACTAGTTTCTCGACGCTCAACGGATACACAATCTCGTCACTTACCTCCAAGAACTACATAACCTTGGCGTGGCAAATTCGGACCATACGACCCTTCTACTCAACACGTATACAAAGCTCAAAGACGTGGCCCGCCTGGATAGCTTCATCAAGACAGAGTCGCGGCGTTCGCCCTTAGGGGAGAACGACGCTCAAGAGGAGAAGGATGAGCTCCCTTTTGATCTGGATACTGCGATTCGGGTGTGCAGGCAAGCGGGATACTTTGAGCATGCAGGGTATCTGGCGAAGAGATGGGAGAGGCACGAAGATTATCTAAGGATACAGGTTGAGGATGCGGGAAATTTCGCCGATGCACTGGCATACTTGCGAAAATTGGGCCCACAGGCGGTACGGATTCTCATCATCTAATCGAAACATATCGTATGCTGACATCTTAAACAGGCCGAGCACAGTCTTGCGAGATACGGACGCGCTATGCTCGACGCTTTGCCCAACGAGACCACCCAACTCCTCATCGACATATGCACAAGCACAACCCCTCTCACCTTTGATCCTGAAGACCGACCAACGTCTCCCGTTAAGCAGGCCACGGCCACTTCGACGACCGCATCATACCTGTCTTACCTCGCCATCAGCCGTGGGGCAGCCCCCATCGCCCCTTCACCAGTTGTCGCCTCAGATCTACCGCAACCCTCCTCTGCATCGACTATCACGGCCACTACTGTCAAGCCATCATTGGAGACTGCCCGCAAGGACAGCATAATCGATGGATCGAGGGATTCCACGCCACCGCCACCTTCAGCTACCAGCACGAACGGTACCACAACAGGCCTGTTGTCGACTTCGAAACCACAGACTCTGTCCGTCAAACGGCCCTCACCTCGGCTCTACTTTCCCAACTTTGTGGGCCACCGAGAACAGTTCGTCGTGTTCTTGGAGGCCGTCGCCCTAAAACGGTGGGGCCAGACAATGGATGAGAACGTGACCTTGCCAAGCTCTGTGGACGAGGAGCCGGACTTTGATGAACAGGCAGAGAGGAAGGATCAGGAAGCGGTTTGGAATACGCTGCTGGAGCTCTATCTTACATTGTCAGGTGTTGGAGAGGCGGGATCGGAGGGACAGGTGCAGAGGAAGGGGCAGGGGAAGAGTGCTATGGGCGACAAGGCACTGAGGCTCCTGAAGGACGACAAGATCCCCTATGATCCTACTCATGCGCTCATCCTCTGTTCCACCCGAAAATTTACCTCTGGTCTCGTCCTGCTCTGGGAACGCTTAGGAATGTACGAAGATGTGCTCAGGTTCTGGATGGATAAGGATCAAGATCCAACGTCTGCGGCTGAGGCTTCGGGAGAGGTGATGAGGTGTTTGGAGAAGTATGGCCCGAAGAACAAGTATCTTTATCCGTTGGTGTTGAGGTTTTTGACGAGTTCGGGAGAGGTGATGTCGAGGCATAAGGAGGACTTGAGGGAGGTATTGGATGTGATCGATCAGGAGACGATCATGCCGCCGTTGGCTGTTGTGCAGGTGTTGAGTAGGAATGGGGTAACGAGCGTAGGGCTTGTGAAGGACTGGCTGATGGGCAGGATTAAGGAAGCGAGAGACGAGATCAACACCGTGCGTCTTATCCTCTTTTGTACCACGCCAAAACTGAACGTGTTTCTTTGCAATGCACTAGGACCAACAACTTATCGCGTCGTACCGTGGAGAGACGGAGACAAAGCTCAAACAAGTCAAAGAGCTTTCCGATCCAGATCATCCAAGAGTATTCCATGTCGCGCAGTGTTCGCGTTGTGGAGGCCAGCTCGATCTCCCGAGTGTGCATTTTATGTGTAACCACTCGTACCACCAACGGTTCGTTTTTGGACCTCCATTTATCTTCATTTCATTAACCCCTACATGCGTCATTCAACCTCTTTTCTTATAGATGTGTCGCCGAACACGAGACAGAATGCCCGAATTGCGCTCGCGCCCACGGCGTGATACGCGAAATCCGCAGGAATAACGAGAAGCTAGCGGATCAGCACGACCTGTTCCTTGCGGATGTGAAAGACAATGGGTTCAGTGCGGTGGCTGCGGGCTTCGGGAGGGGCGTACTGAACGCGACTAGGTTGGAGAATGTGGTTTCGTAGGTATGGCATTAGCATGTCGTTTATTCGTGTTCGTGGAGGTGATTTGGGACTGTTCGCTTTGATTATGTATGGATTATATTTTGCTTCAAGCGAGACGATGCGATCTCTCTTTCTTTTCTCAAGAGTTGTTTGGTATAACGAGAAATTGTGGACCCTGGGACACGTTTAGTGAATGTCGACATAGTTTCGAACCTGTGGTATTATTAGTGTCGCGTAGTCTGCGACCCGTCTATACTCGACCAGTTTCAACTATAACTAGTTTTCGTTGGGGGAGAGGCAGGCACACACTTATCACGACAGACGACGTACGAGAACGGGGTGTTCGACCTCATATGAATCGGTCGCAAAGCAACAAAAAGAAAAAGGGACAAATGATTCGCCACAACCACCAGACCGACCACACAACCACCAAAAGGGCACGACATTACTTCCTTGCTCGTCTGCGTCGCTCGTCATCCGCTACTTGTCCTCCCACCCATATGTACAAGCCTCACATTCCAATACGTCAACATGCGAGAGCCTCGCGGGAATCGTAATCTCAAACCCAGCAAAATGAATCATCCACACAGGTGACTTCTTACCGACCTCCAATCCCAGCATAGTATCCGCCCCTCCTTCCCCTGCCACCCTGTCCCTGTCCACCACCTCTTCTCCCGTATCCGCCCCATCCAGGTACATACCCACCAGGACCCAAAAGCCCCAACCCACCCGGCTCCCCAAACGTCGCCACGTTCCTCTCCCTCTCTTCCTCCCTCCTATTTCTGCCACCCATTCCTCTGCCTCTTCCCCTTCCTCCATGTCCGCCTCCATGCCCTCCGCCTCCCTGTGCCTGCTGTCCCTGCGTCGACGAAGACAACGAGTCGAAGAATGACGCCTTCGGGTTATACGCCTTCTCGCTCTCTTTCTCCGCCTCCTTCCTCTTCTTCGTCTCTTCATCATCATCCTCATCATCCTCCGACTCATCCGACGGGTTCGTCTTCGCATCGTCATCATGAGCGCCCGGCGACGGAGACTTCACTTTCGGAGTCTTAAGCACCGTCGCACCGCTCACCCCACCCGCCAACGCAGCCTTATCGAACCTCGCGTTCGAACTCTGAAAATCAAAATCGGCCGCAGGAACCCTCAGATCCCCAGCCTTGATCTCCGGCTGTCCACCACGCCTCCTTCCTCCTCCATTCGCATTTCCACGACCGCCTCCGTTCGTGACTCTGAGATCACCGAGCGCGCGTTCGACGCTCTGTAAAGAGGCGGCGGCAGAGTTGAGGCTTCCACCGTTGGCGGCTGCGGCGGCTGCAGCTGCAGCGGCGGAACCACGGGGTTGCGGTTGAGGTTGCGGGGGTTGCTGCTGCTGCTGTTGTTGGATTGGAGGGGGAGCACGTTGTTGGGGTTGTTGTGCGGGGGGTTGAGGGGATTGTTGGAAATTTTGCGCAGGTGGGTAGGGCGCGGCGTAAGCACTGCCGGCCTACATGAAGATGCGAGTTAGCGTGGTGAGACGGTGAGGTAAAAAGAGAAATAAGAGGATAGTATGAGGGTCAGAAGGAAGGCAACGGGATATCCACATGGGGTTTTGCGCTCTCGGACACACGAGCTTGGCTCGCTTACATCCGTAAATGATTTCGATCATAAAGTAGGAGAACGAGTAGGAACTCGTACACAGAAGGGGTGAAAGCAAGATGGGAACGGAACGCACGTTCAGAACGGCAGGATCATTATGGATATTCTGCTGCGGTGGTGGTTGCTCGTCCACCGACAGATCCTTCACTTCAGACGCTCGGAAGATGATATATTGGTATGGATCCTGGACTGGCGGGATGAAATCCGCTGGCGGCCTGTGAAATTTCAATGCGGACAGGGACGTCAGTCGGATGGACTACAGACAAGAAAGTGCGAGAAGTGAAAGCCAGTAGGCGAGAGAGAGTTGTGGGAGAATAGAGAGAAGGTCAGAAGGAAGGCAACGGGATATCCACATGGGGTTTATGCGCTCTCGGACAACCGAGCTGTGCTCGTTTACATCCGTATTGGTTTCATCTTTGGTTCGAATAGACAATAAAGAACAGGGTATAGAGGGACAAGAAAAGATCGACTATAAAGAGCATAGTGTCAAGCACGTACCGTCGTGATTCAGTGCCCATAGAATAAACTACAAACCGGGCACACCATCGGGAAAAGCACGGGAGAAGAATCAGCATATGATTTGGAGCAGACGAAGCGCAAAAGCGAAGAGAAAGCAAATGTACCATTAGACAGCTGGATGGTCGCCGCAGCGGGGTCTATCCCGGCCAAAACTCCACGGTAACGTACATCCGAATGGGAGATGAGGGAGATGGTTTTTCTGCACTAAGAATCGTCAGTACGTCTCGTCAACTGCGCCGACAGCAAACGACACGTCTACACGTCGTCACGGTGTATGACCGGTGGCTCAAGCGAATGATCATCTGAAATGTATATGACCAGAACTCTCATCGCTTGTGTTGGTTCGTAGAGAAACTCTCCGAACATATAGTCGTACCACCGACATTAAAATCCGGAGACAGGGTACGCACCCAATAAAAGAGGTGGACATGATGGCTCACGCCCGACAACACGGTCAGAAAATGCCAGAAAACGAAACCAGAATCAACAGCAAATACGACAAGGGAAGAAAGCAAAGATGAGGACGGTCAAAGTACTGGTAGAAAGGGGGTAAGTAACAGCGTTGAGATGGTAGTTGTCGGGCAAAGTTGGTGGGGACGACGACGACGCGTCAAAACGAGGTTGAAGCTCCGCCGGCCATACCCGAAGTCGCGCGCTTTGTGGGCGCTCCCCAAAGTTGCCTCCACACGACTACATCGAGCTCGTTCCCTCTTGTTCTTTTTTTTCACAGAATGAAGTATATTTCTATAAACGCGTATAGAAGAGCAGTGCATATGGATTCCAAGGTGCGGGTATACGCGAAAGCATGATATAATACAAGTACAACAAAGTAGCATAGCGTTCGACTCAACACAACAGACCTGAACTGGGGCTACATGGGCATGGCATGGGCATCATCCTAGTGAGTCGTCATGATCGTCAAAAGGTCCGTGGATATCGAGCACTTCGACATCGTTTCCGTTTTCATCCTCATCGAATCCTCACTTCCTAGAGATCCGAGGTCAGCCAGGCCGTTTACAAGAGGCGATCGAGTGAGATTCGAACGCACATTACCCCACATACAGAAGTACCGCCGGCAAAGACACTCATTGTCTACCTCCCGAGTCTCTCTTCTTATAGTGGTAAGGCGGTGGGCTGAGCCCTCCTGGTACGGGTGCGGGGACGAGGTACGGGTTGGGCTTGGAAGAGTCGTTGTCCGATGTAGGAGACTGGTTAGAATCAGATGAGTTCTGTGAGTGCAAGTTGTTTGGTCAGTTGTGGTTCGGGTCATGGAAAGGTTAGAGGAGCCCAGCAGGAAGGCGTACTTACTGATGGGTTTTGAGACTTCTTGGCTTGCTCGTTTTGGTTCTGGTTGTTCTCTCCGGCCATGGTGCTGGGTAGGTTGGATGGGATAGACTTGGGTGGCGCGGTGATGTGGGTAGGGGCTTGCGCGTATGCAAGGGTGGGTGAGAGTAGATGAGAGGGGGTGATAGTGTGAGTGAACGCGGGGTGGGTACGAGCGCGGGGGATAGGAGAAGTGGGATAAAGCCTGTCTCAAACCACAGGCTTTATAAATACCGTCCGCTATGACACCCAGGCAGCGAACCACGGAGGGACGGAGGGAGACCTGGCCTGATACGGCCTGTGCCCCAGTCCTTACCATTCCTTGCCTTACGCGCCCTCAATAGCCCCCCAATCCAGCCGTCCCCAGCCACGTCCGTAAGAACGCTATCCATATCACACACACCGCTCCTCGCTCCAACAGAATTCTCCGGTTTTCCGAACAGAAGACTTCTCAGACGCCCGGACGGCTTGCAGGCAGCCTGCCAGACTGCGAGATTGCGAGAGCTTTTGAGCACCCTATTAGCGCTCGCTTCGTGCTGGGCCCAGAGCGCATTTGCGACTGGCACGTATATCACTCTTATTCTTTCAACGTGAACGCAGCGCCCTGCTCTCGACCGGTTCGATCACAATTGTGAATTTACCCCGACCGGCCCCTTTCTCAATCTCTCGACATTTCCAAAACAAGGCTAAATCGTCATCTCCGCACGCTCCTTCAGGATGTTCTGAGATCGGGTAAGGTACACGACCATCTCAACCGCGCTGTTTGTAGTGACATAGGTCTTGTGCGGTCTGGAGCTTTGATAACCGTCCATTCTCCGCTCTCCAAACACCGTTGACCCCGGCGAAGGTCTCCCGTGAACTCAAGTTTAAGGCGAATGCATAACCGAAAATGAAGATTGCAGAACGATTTAATACACCGCAATTCTCGCGGACAAACGGAGTAGGCAGATCAAGTATGAGAGCTTTCTCATCGACAGAAAGTCTGGGAGCTTAAAATTCATCAAACTGTACATCAAAGTCCACGAACCACCGGACGATGGGTGTACTCGCTTCACACAACTTCTATCACTGCGCGCGCCTGTCGAGTCCCCGCCGAGCTATATCAGGATAGAGCGTCCAGTGACGGCACGATGTCGACGTCGGGCGAACGATCGCAGGGGAGAAAATGGGAGGAAAGCTTGAGCCAGATGGCAGTGGTGCACAGCTGGAAGAACTCCGACATACACGAGGCCTGAAGAGGCGTCCAGCGTTCCAGGTCTCCGAGGCCTCGAGGCGAACGAGCAATAAGCCTGCGTACGTCAGGGTCCGCTCGACCTTCGAAAGACGACAAACTTCGCGAGAATTGAACGATACCGCCTCAGTCGTGGCTGGAGCATAGGAGATAAACAGACTCCCATCGATATCAACCTTGTCAATCACATAACTATGGTGATCCAGGAGGCTTTCACCATTTCTGTAGATACGCTTTAGTGCCTGAGAAACGGTGTACCGAGTAGTGAACAAGCCTCGACATGGGGATTACCAGCTTGAAGGGGAAGAAAAAAGGGTCGCATAAGGCAAGTTCAATGTGGTAAGAGATCGGAAAGAAGAATCTCGAACTCAGCTCAGGGAGAAGGTCGGCCGGGGACCAATGCTCAACGGACGCACCAAAACCTTAAAAGACAAACGCCTCGAATGAATGAAAGGTCTCGCTCTTTCGTTCGGTTAATCACCGGCCCCGATGCTATCCAGATTGCGCGTTTTCTCAAGCGAGACAAAAGTTTCCACCACCGCTGTTGTCTGCGAGCCGCAAGCCGGCTTAAATCGGACTCGGATGAGCGGTAAACCTATGTGTAAACCAGGATTTCCCGAGCACATTGGGTAGATCACAATAGGAGGATACATTCCTGGAGGTGGCACCCATGAACGAATCGTGGAAAGTGAATCTGACGTCCCGTCTCACACCAGCCCTAACGAAGAACATACCTCGTAAGACAATAAAACACTCCGCCACCACTCCGCCACCCTATTGTTTTCGCTTCGTCCCGTGCGGGCTTGGTGAGACCTCTCAGCGCTCGTTCCCAGTGAATAAAGTTCAACATACCTGACATAGTCCTCACTCCTATGTTATATCTGTATCGCACTGAGACCGTAGCGCCGAGAGACAAAACCGGAAGAGGGTTAATAGCGTGAAGGAATATGTGTGAACTGCGATGGCTCGGACTGAAGCGCTAACAGCAGTGGGAGTAGGCGGTAGTCCTTGGGTCGTAAGTTACCGTTCGGCGTGGGTGCACATGGGAAGGAAGCGAGGCCGGATTTAGTATGTTTTCATTATGGCGAAGCTTAGTTAACGGAGCGGAGGAGGGAACTAGAGGGGCCTGCGATGTTGAAGGAGTAAGAGGAAGAGGTTTGCGCTTCCGTGCAGCCCTTTAGACAGCCAAACCTTCCTAGCGAAGAACGGGAAACCACGATGAGCGGATGAGTACCATTACTGCTTCGGGATCGCCAGACGCACGACAGCACACAATAGGATACTGGCAGCGTAAGGGAACATGAATGAGCTTACTGAGCTTACGAAAACAATATATGTCGACTTCTCGCCACTCACCGCATCAAGCTGTTCTCAAGTATTTTAGAGTCAGCTTCAATTTTTTAATGACTGAGAGAGGACGCTGGAGGGACTGCCGAAGAAAAATATCAACAGATTGAGACTTTACCTAGGGAGAGAGAAGGGTATCCTTTCAGCACAACGCTTTTCGACCTAGCGCTATGGAGATTAGGCTGAAGCGGCGGATCATCGAGAGGAATACAATGAAAGACAATCACGAGACGTCAATTATAGCTTTCGAGGATACGATGCCCTCGGTATGCCATGGACTTGATCATTGACTTCGTGTTGTTACTGTACCACTGTATGGTCCTGACCGAAGGGTACAAGTTGGGGATAAGCGGCGACTCCCACCTGCGGTGATCAAGCGGTGGTTGCCGAGCACTCGACTGACCCCCAAGAACCTCGACTCCTCTCTGAGTACAGTGTAGGCCCACTCCTTGATCCGCCACTTAGACTTAAATCATTTTCTCGCGTCCCTTTCTACACTCATTCAAGCTGTTGGCTTTAGGGTCGAAAGCACCTATTAAGGTCCTCAGAATAAATTACACAGGGTGCCCAAGGTGAATATGCATTCTCGGGAGATCAAAAGGTGGTGTGGCACTGAGCGCCACAAAAATTCACTCCTTGATCCAACCCCACGCCACATGATTCCCCCTTACAACAACGAGCCAGGCTCATGTGTGATCTTGATATGTGTTCAAGTATCCTGTATTCACATTTTTTTGGAGTGATACCAAAGGGAGAGGAGCTGTGGGCAACCGAATTGCAGCGGATCAAGGACCGGGGTTGGATCAAGGAGTGGGCCTACACTGTACTGATCGCCACAATTGCCACCCAGGACCCCGGGCACTTGGATGGGCAGCTCGCATCGCCTCTGTTGCCCGTTCCACTACTTTCCAACCTCCAACATGTGGCAAAATACCTCTCCTTCCCTCTGGCTACTTGTGCTGCCTGTGCCCATCACGAACATGGTTTGCCTTGTTGATGTCGCTTAGGCCTCATTTCATAACCTGAAGTCGATGTCTGTGACCGTCTGCTGAAATTTTGGAGCGATACAGATGGCATTCAATCTTAAACACAGCATGCCATTTGCGTGCGAGAGCGTTTAGCACTTTGTCACCCTGGCTGCCGCCGCGTTGTCTTTCACAGTGTACAGTGGAAGCTGGTGGGCGACTGATGGACGACGCGAATGCTATCGGCGTGCTGGACGCTTGTCGTCTCTGGGTCGTTAGTCGACACGTATACAGGCTGGGCGACTGCTGCGACATACAGGGAACACGTATTCATCCGCTCGAGCGATGACTCGGAGCGGAGCCCTCCTCACCGTGAAGCTACCTTTATAAACGGACCACCCGCCGCTTTGACTAGGACCATTCTTCACCTCCGCCTTCCACATCCAACACCTTACTTCATATCACTTGGCTTTCATACCATTATTCGCCATGACTTCAACTATCATGAAGGTCTACACTATCGGCGGCTCACGTAACATCGGGTACTATGCTAGCCTCAGACTGCTTCGTAAGTTCCTGTGTAGCTTTTGCATCTAGCTTGCATGGATCTGACAGGTCGCCCACAGGTAAAGGCTGCATAGTGACATTCCTTGTCCGGAACCCTTCTTGCTTCGACGACGACGGCGACATCCAAGGATTCGTTAAGAAAGGCAAGGCCCGAATCGTGAAGGGAGATGCGCTAGTGAAGGCGGATGTCCGTAAAGGCTGGGAGATAGCCGGCCAAACCGTTCCAGGTTCCTCACCGGAACTTGATGGACAAGTCAACGTCCTACTCTTCACCGTTGGTGAGTCGCAGCGTCTCTTTCTATCTGACGCTCCCCGGAATTGTGGCGTTGAACTCTACATTTTTAGGCGGCTATCCCACCTTCCACCTAAATGGTGGTCTCCTTCTTGACCCACCTGACCTCTGCTCCCACTCCCTCCTCAACGCCCTCTCCACAATGCCTCGCACCTCTACACCCCCACGCATCGTAGCCCTCACATCGAGTGGACTTACACGCGAAAGTAACGCCACACTCCCTTTCGCCGTTCGTCTCCTATATCGTACCCTACACTCCCCTCACAACGACAAACTTGGTGCCGAAAGAATTCTCGCGCACGTGCTCGGCGAACCCGAACCCGAAGAACACATTCTCGCAGGGAATTGGAAGGAGACTGCGGGATTGCCAGGGAAGGGAGAGCTGAAGGGCGTGGTCATTGTGAGGCCGGCATTGTTGACGCAGGGGGAGTGTAAAGGGAAGTATCGGATCAGGTCAGAGGGTGATCTGGCGATTAAGGGCGGTTATACGATTAGTCGACAAGATGTGGCGCACTTTATAGCGGAGAGGCTTCTTGGGCACGAGTGGGATGCTTTTGAGGGCAAAGGCGTTACTTTGGCATATTAGGATACCCATCTTACCGACGGCTCGTGTATGGTTACTGCTCGAGATTAGAGCGATTATGTTACATGTATGATAACTTATTCAGTTTCTGTTGACCGTTTGATCTTGAGTTCTGTATAGAGTCGTCGCGCGAGTCGTGAATAAGTATGGCCCAGCTGTGGCGGAAATGCTCGGGAGTTCCCGGCCATGGTTGTTCGTTTTCCGCACCCGGCCTTCGACTTGTTTCTGTCCCTTTGCACCAGACCGTTGCACGGTTATTATCCTTCATCAATGAGCTTGTGACCCATGATTTCCCCTCTTGAGATCATCGGAATTGATGTGTCGATGCAGTTGGAGTGAGCAGTGTGTGTCTAGCAATGCGGTCCGAACAAAATGCTGTTAGGTACAATTACTACAACGGTTCGTTCTTTTGTCTGACGCGCACTGTCTTGCATGAATAAAAACACTGAGCTGTTTCAGGTCTTGCTACAGTTGTGAAACTCACGGCATGACTTCAAAGTTACCAATCCACTTACATAGCCCAACTCAATGCGGCGCTAAACTCCCCATCAGCTTCCATCTCCTTGGGGGTCTGGTCATGACTCCTTGTGTAGTCCAACATCGTTCAAAGACCCGAATAATAATACTCATCACTCATGTGACTGATGCAATCCCCACCCCTAAATCTAATGATATAAGACCAGTCGTGGTGCATTGTTCGACTCATCGTTGACCTCTCCCCAAGGTTCATTCCACCACGATGATGCCGCGTCTCCTCATTATCGCGGCCTGTCTTGTACCTTTCACGCTGGCGCAGAACACAACTTTGACCGTTGATCTTGGTGAGTCACTTGAGTGTCAGTTTAGAGAGGCATTTCATCAATCGTACATCAGGGTATGCCACGTACCAGTCGAACGTTTCACTTGCATCAGGCGTGACGAGTTTCTTAGGGATACGCTACGCAAGTCCTCCAGTTGGTACGTAACCCTAGTACTCCAGTGCAATCACAGCTAGAGCGAGGTATGGACATGATCCTGGGGATTTAGGTGAACTCCGCTGGCAGCCTCCACAGCGCCCTGCCAACGAAAGCGACATTCAGCAGGCAACCGTCCTTCCGCACGAGTGCATCCAGGGGTCCAACGGTCTCTCTGCCACGAACCCTTTTGAGAGGCGGTCATTGGTGAAACGATCAACTGACAGTGAGGACTGTCTCTTTTTGAAGTGGGCGGCAATAACTGTACCTCTGTTTCTCGCCTGTACTAACTAGAATTCCCCGCAGCGTACATATCCCGTCCAACTTCAGCAGCAATTCTCGCCTTCCAGTAATCTTCTGGATTCACGGTGTGTCGCTCTCCATCCATCTGACCTATGCTATATTGATTCATTACTTAGGTGGAGGGTACGTGTCGGGGAATGGGACCGAACCTGCTCAAGACTTCGTCAAGGAGTCTGGGTACCAGGTGATCTCCGTCAATGCACAGTATCGCCTAGGGCTGTTCGGTACGACGATTGCCTTTCCACGAAGTATCAACTGTCGACTGATATCTCCCTAGGATTTTTACCCGGCCAAGAGGTCAAGGACAATGGCGTTTTGAACGCAGGATTGCGTAAGTCATCACTTGAACTTTCGTGTACTGTACACCTCTAACTATCCATTCCTTTCCTGCAAAACAGTCGACCAGCAATTCGCCCTTCAATGGGTTCAAGACCATGTATGGGTTTTTTGAAATTTTCGCGTCTCAGGTTATTATTGATTGTTATTGTAGATCGCTTCTTTTGGTGGCGATCCCGCAAAGGTCACAATATGGGTCCGTTGTTTTTCCCGATGTCAGACTCTAAGTAGTAATATTAACTTATGGGTACATACAGGGAGAGTCTGCTGGAGCTGGATCCGTTCTTCAGCACGTAGTAGCCAATGGAGGAAACACGCAGCCTCCTCTCTTCCGGGCTGCCATGATGAGCTCCTCCTTTCTCCCCTTCCAATACGATTACAATGACACCATCCCGGAGGTACTTAATTCGCTATTAACCCGCCTAGGAAGCACGCTGATGACTCCGAATGGCACAGAAACTCTACTCGGAAGTGGTGATTCGATCGAAGTCGGTATTTCTTCTTCTTTCTTCTGGACTGCGTATAATTGAAGTTGCATGGTGCGTTATGCAGTTGCACGAACTCTTCTGAATCCCTTAGCTGCCTACGCTCTGCCGATGTGTCCATCTTGACGGAGGCAAACAACGAGATTGGGGCCGCCAATTTTTATGGCACTTACGCTTGGGTACCGGTTGTGGACGGCACTTTCAGTGTGGATCGGCCCTCCGTATTACTCAACAGAAGTCAGTTGAATGGAGTAAGGACGAACATCACTCGCATTTACTTCATCCACTGATTTGATTTATAGGAAGCCCTCCTGGCCGTGACTAACTCCTATGAAGGCAACATCTTCGTCAACGCCTCGGCCTTCGATAATACCAGTTACACTCTGACGGACTATGTATCTTCTTTTTTTTCTCTGATGAACGAGGCACAGATTCGACAGACCGTCGAGATTTACTCTAATGTATCTGACCTCCCCGATGTGCTATCCCAAGCCGAGGCTGTGATGGGAGAAAGTGAATAGTTTCATTCTAGATTGGTAACTAGCGTCTCACCCGAAGTTCCAACCGTCAGATATCTTTATATGTCCGACGTACTACGCTCTACAGGCATTCGGATTGGAGGCTTGGAAGGTCCGTTCATCTTGCATACTTTTATTATCGGTCTTTACTCACGGTTACACATATTATACAGGGCGAGTTCGCCGTCCCGCCAGCTACGCATGGCCTTGATCTGGTCTACTACTTCCAATCGTGAATCCACCCTTCCCCTTTTAGTCGCATTTTATCAAGACCGTTCTGACCTAACATGCATAGCGCCTCCGACGAACAACCACAGTCAAACACAGATTTCTCGAACGCATTTTCAGGCGCCTTCCTTGACTTTGCGGCATCTCTTAACGAGTCTCAAAAACTGAACTCCTCGACAATCACGCCGCCGTGGTCGCAATGGAGTAATGGACACACAGAGATGTTGTTCAACTTGACGGCTTCGAGTGAGCCGGTGATACAGACGATCACCACCGATGATGCACTTTTGGAACGATGCGAGTAAGTATATCTTGTCCGTTCTCTTCCTGGCTCCGCACTGAAGTGTGGATTTTTAATAGGTGGTGGCGCAGTTTGAGTGAGGTCAACAGACAATGAGACAAGGCATCCTGATCCACATAAACTCTTGTGTCCTCTGTACGCCCTTCGTTATGATCCTCCTCGCATTATCCTCCTCAGTATTGACTGCCGTGTAATAGGTCTTGTTTTACAACGTCTACTTTTGCGCAATGTGGCATGCCTCGATAATACAAGATTGCCTTTAGTGCCCGTGATCCAGCTAGTTGTGATACTTTACAGAGCTAATGCCGGCCCAAACCTCTGCATCACGAGTCACATTTTAGCAAGATGTTTCCACTAAAAAGGTTTCCTTCGGATACCACCTGACCTGTGCTCAGTGCCACACAAGATCAAGACCGTCGTGGCGAGGCGACCTCTCAACGAAAGGATATATCATGATAGCGGCTTGAGCGGTGCGCGTGGTCCACAGTGTCATAAATACGGACAAAGATGAGACGTCGTGCTATTAATTGAACACCAGCGCAGGGATGCAGGTACGCATTCCACCTTTTTGATTCAAACGCGGAAGCATGACAAGTGTACCTGTAGTCGGTGTAGATGACTGGCTACACGACACACAGATCGGGAGGTAGATGTTTGCGACCTAAGACGTTTCCAGATGTATCATAGTCCTCTAGGCTGTTCTCAGGAACACAAAGTGGATCAAGTCCGAGAATGTGCTATCCGAATGAATTGTCCACAGCCTTGTGACACCATACCAGGCGCTCATCAAGACCGGCTCATATAAATATTTACATCCTTGGGGTGCGTCGATAAAATCACTCTTTTCTTTCACCCACAGCACCGAGATGCTGCAGTCAACGATCATCGCGGCCTGTCTTGTCCACCTTGTTGTGGCGCAAAGTGCCACAATAACTGCAAACCTCGGCGAGTTGTTCTCCGTATTTATTATCTTGAAGGCCGACTTATTTAAATCTCCTCTCATTCAGGCTATGCCACTTACCAGTCCGACCTCTCTCTTGATACTGGGGTGACCTCTTTTCTGGGCATGCGTTTCGCCGCGCCTCCCACCGGTTAGTGTTATTTACAACACTCGTGATGTTGTGCGTCAGATTACTCATGATAAATAAATCTGGTAGGTCAACTGAGGTGGCAAGCACCCCAACCCCCAGCCTCCGTGGGCGGTATCCAGAATGCTACCACCTTCCCTCCAGAATGTCCACAGGGATACACCGGGGTTTCCTCTGTGAACCCTTTCGAGAAGAGATCCCTGCTCAGGAGGGATACCGACAGCGAAGACTGCTTGTTCCTCAAGTATAGTTTCTCCTACGTCACTTGCCATTAGCTTCCTCAGATATCTTCTCATCGTGTTTACTTCCATCAGCGTCCATACTCCCTCAAACATTAGCAGTAACGCCAGCTTACCAGTCGTATTTTGGATCCATGGTATGTGTATCCATCACTATTGAGTGATAACTAGAATTCATCGATGTCTCGCATAGGCGGTGGATACACTGCTGGAAACGCTAGTCTCGAAACGGCGCAGGATCTTGTCAAAGAGTCGGACTACCGAGTAGTAGCCGTCAGCATTCAGTATCGTCTGGGATTATTCGGTACGTGTCAACCTTAATCCTCGTACTTACCTCACAAAAGTATACTAATTCCAGTGAATTCAACGCAGGTTTCCTCGCTGGTCAAGAAGTCAATGACGGCGGTGCATTGAACGCTGGACTGCGTAAGTACCAAGTGTTCTTTCTGCCAGAATGCTTAAATCTGAATGACCCTCCATCTGCGCAGTTGATCAACAGTTTGCTCTGCAATGGGTTCAAGATCATGTAAGACGCTGGAGGGTTCACTTCATGCATGGGACACAATGCTAACATCCCATCAGATCGCGGCCTTTGGCGGAGACCCACAGCGAGTTACTATCTGGGTATTTTTTTTCTATCTCCGGGTGTCACATTCGAGTCTGATCATTGGACATAGGGTGAGTCTGCTGGTGCAGGCTCGGTACTCCAGCATGTTGTGGCACATGGCGGCAACACACAACCGCCGTTGTTTCGAGCCGCGATGATGAGCTCGTCCTTCCTTCCGTTCCAATATGATTACAACGCTCCAATTCCCCAAGTAGGTTTTATTACACATCCTTGGCTTGAGATCGGGGCAGACTGATAGGGCTATCTGGACCAGAAACTTTATTCCGACACAGTTGACGCGGCAAAGTACGATTATCTTGCGTCCACAACCTGTACATTTCCCGGGCTGATCATTCTTTAATATTAGTTGTTCCAAAGCTCCTGACACACTTGAATGCCTTCGCTCTACGGATATCGGGCTATTGAGCGCCGCGAACGTTGCTATCGCGGCGAATAACTTCTACGGTACTTATGCGTTCGTTCCTGTTGTCGACGGGTCGCTCATCGTCGAGCGACCAACGGTTACACTTAACCGCGGTCAGGTTAACGGGGTGTGTCATAAATTTTCTTCGTATCGACGATGCTCCCGCGCTCATTGACTGTACAGGAGGCCCTGCTTGCAGTGACTAATGCCTTCGAGGGAAACATCTTCGTGAATGCCACATTTTTCGCAAACACTTCTTACAGCCTGGCGGACTACGTCAGCCAACTGTTTGACGGGTTAAATGAGTCTCAGATTCAAGACACAGTGGACCTCTATTCTAATGTTCCTAGTCTTCCTGACACGCTATCTCAGGCCGAGGCTGTGATGGGAGAAAGTTTGTGGCCTTTTTGTGGCCGTTCGCCTTCCACATACTGATGTCTGATCGCTCTGCATCCTAGGTATCTTTATATGTCCGACATACTACACCCTCAGAGCTTTCGGAGCGAACTCTTGGAAGGTGTGATCCTCATTTCAGGCAAGCACCAAGGTTTCGATACTTATTCATTATGCAATCTAGGGCGAATTCGCTGTGCCACCAGCAACGCACGGCCAGGACGTCTACTATTATTATGAAAGGTGTGTTTTCGACCTCCATACTTTTTTTCACCCAGTGTGTCTGACTACCAACAGCATATATCCTTCAGTGCGCACATTCAACAACACCGACTTTTTGAACGCCTTCTCAGGGGCATTCCTCGATTTCACCGTGTTCCTCAACGAGTCCGACAAGATCAACGGCTCTAACATCACGCCACAGTGGCCTACCTGGGATGATGACTACACTGAAATGCTGTTTAACCAATCGACGACGAACGAGCCTGTTGTGGAGACGATTCAGACCGACGAACAGCTCCTGAAGCGTTGCGAGTGAGTGATCCCAAGAAAAGTACCGTCTAATTTTAGTCACTTATATGTGCCGTCAGGTGGTGGGGATCCCTAGGAGAAATCATTGGGCAATGAGTGTCTTCGTGATCTACTGCGTGCGAAGCCGATCTAGGATGACTGCACGTCCAGGGATCTCTTGGTATTACACATGCCGCCACCCCTGTGTCCCCTATTTATGCTCGCAATGATCGTTATTTTTCATGTCGAAGGTTCACATCGTCCCTCGTGATGCATTTGACACGAGTCTCATCCACCTCACCCGCTTCACACCCGTGGTTCCAGATGATACAACGTACGTTCGTTGGTCAAACGGCATCCCGTCCGGGGCCTTACTCCGCAATTGTTGGCGTCACTGTCCTCAAGGCTATGTGAAAGATTCATGCGGGTATGCAAATGCCTCTTCATATGTCTCTTCACCATACAACCCTGTTCGGTTGCAAAGCTGTCTCGAACTGTTCCCATCGTGAAAACCGTTTCCTTTTTTGCCTGTGAATTGCATTTGTATCCTTGACCCTCCTGACCTATGATGCCTGATCACGAGATGTGGGGTTGGTTTCAAGTGGGCACAGCTTGCCCTGGTATATAAAGGAGACGAGGAAGGGAACAGTTCGTCAACAGTCGAGTTTGCCCATCTCTGTTCGGGATGTTGTCTCAAATTGTAGCCCTTGTGACGTGCGTCGCCACACTTGCTTTGGCACAAAACACTTCCTTGACCGTGGACCTAGGTGTGCCGTCTGTTCATTCCGCCTGTGATCGTATATGTGTTTATCTTTGTTACAGGATATGCAACCTACCAATCCGATTTCTCGTTCGAAACCGGTGTGACCAGTTTCCTCGGTATACGTTACGCGAGTCCGCCTCTGGGTACGTGTACTTCCAGCCTCTCTACGACCGTTTTCCAAGAGTGAATCAATTATCATTACAGGTGAGCTTCGATGGAGAGCCCCGCAACCTCCAGACGATATGGTCGGTATCCAAAACGCTACCACTGAGCCAAACGAATGCATCCAAGCCGGGGATGGCACATCGGCGACCAACCCATTCGAGTCGCGCTCGCTCAGTAAGAGAGCTACTGCGAGTGAAGATTGTTTATTCTTGAAGTACACTTCTTTTGCTTCTTCTTCGCACCGGAAGGCCTACTGCTCTTTGCGCCTTGTACTAATTTTAGGATTGAATAGTGTCCATGTTCCGTCGAACATCAGCAGTAACGCGAGCTTGCCGGTTATTGTTTGGATCCATGGTACGTGAAAGTTCTCCTTGAAGTCTTGGAAGACGTGAGCTTGGATTCACGAAGCGTCCCAAATTAATAAGGTGGTGGATATGCCGCTGGAAGCGCCAGCGATGAAGCTCAGGATTTCGTCAAAGAGACAGGGTTCCAAGTCATCTCCGTCAACCCTCAGTATCGACTCGGTCTTTTTGGTCGGTATTCACCTCACAATCTTTTTAGTGAGTCCGTGGATGACTAAGTTCTTGTTTGACTGCAGGTTTCCTTCCTGGACATGAGGTGAAGGAGGGTGGCGCTCTGAATGCGGGATTGTGTAAGTGTGGGGCGATTTATGTTCTTGTTTGGTCTAACCTGGTATATTGTAGTGGACCAGCAGTTCGCTTTGCAATGGGTGCAGGACCATGTACGCTATCCTTTCTGCTCCGTTCTGAATAAAAACTGACCGTAGACTCGGAACTACAATGTAAGATCGCGTCATTTGGGGGAGACCCTACTAGGGTCACGATCTGGGTTCGTTCTCCTGCTATATTCAATGGTTATACATCACCGACTATGGTCTACAGGGAGAATCTGCCGGCGCAGGTTCCGTGCTTCAGCACGTCGTGGCACACGGCGGAAACACTCAACCTCCTCTTTTCCGGGCCGCTATGATGAGCTCGCTCTTCCTTCCCTTCCAGTACGAGTTCAATGACACTATCCCGGAGGTATCTATCCCCTTCGCCGTCGGTATATAACGTCAAAGGCTGACACGAGAGCAGACTTTATATTCCGAAGTAGTTGACCAGTCAAAGTGCGAGCTAGGCGATACTGCACCCGTCAATGTTCAGTGCTGATTTCCTTGTTTTTCTAGCTGCACGGACGCTGTCGACCGTCTGGCTTGTCTGCGAGCCACTGACGTGTCTGTCTTGACCGCTGCCAATACCAACCTGAGCGATGCCAACTTCTTTGGGACATTCACCTTCGTACCTGTCATCGACGGAGATTTCAGTATCGAACGTCCCATAGCCACACTCAACAAAACGCAACTCAACGGGGTGGGTCATCATTAGCACTCTTCACATACCCTCCCTAACCTGACATGTCGCGTTCTCACCTCATAACCTCACGATGTAGGAAGTCCTCCTCGCAGTGACGAACGCCTTCGAAGGCAACCTCTTCGTCAACCAGACCATGTTCAACGGCACGAACATCACGCTCACAGACTACGTCACTCAGCTATTTTCCCGCCTGAATGCCGAGCAGATACAGCATACCGTGGATCTGTATTCGAATGTTTCAGATTTGCCGGATGTGGTCTTGCAAGCCAATGCAATTATGGGCGAAAGTGAGTGCTTACTTTGAGTGAGAGTGAAGCTGATGTTGATGTGTGGCGCGAACGACAGACATCTTCATTTGTCCGACGTACTTTTCACTACAAGCGTTCGGGAATAAGTCCTGGAAGGTCGGTTTTCTGTTTATTTCAACCAGTTGGGGAACACTGTCGTTAAAATGAATGATAGGGCGAGTTTGCCATTCCACCCGCCACACACGGTGAAGACCTCTCCTACTACTTCGGAACGTGCGTACTCCATCTCTTCCTCTCCTCTTTCCCACTCTCACCCACCTCGCCCCTGTCCAACTCCACCCCCAACTCCTCGTCTAAATATACGTACAATCCAGCTCCCCTACCGCCCGTACCTTCAACTCAACCGCCTTCTTCTCCGCCTTCTCCGACTCCTTCTTCAACACCGCCCTCTTCCTCAACGCTTCTCAAAAAATCGACAATTCGACGATCACGCCCCCATGGGCAACGTGGAGCGAGGGACACACGGAGATGCTTTTTAATCAGACGGAGGGGCTGCCGAGCGAGCCGGTCGTGGAGGCGATTGTGACGGACGATGGGCTGTTGGGGAGATGCGAGTGAGTGTTTTTTCTTATTATTCTTTTTCTTTTTATTATGAGGGAGCTTGGGATGCGGCGTGTGTGAATGGATGAAGTGATGCTGATTGTGGTTTAGGTGGTGGAGGACCTTGGCTCCGATTAATGCGCAATAGGCTCTCGAAACTTTTGACGGGTATGGGCACGGGCATTGAGATATCGTTCGATTTCATCCTGAGTGTTCCGGTGTATATATTTATCAGCTCAATATCAATAAAATGAACGTCACATATGCGCAATTGCACAGGGCGAAGTCTTTTGTGTTATCTACAAGTCGTGCTTACATACATTTGTGAACCCGGACGTTAGATATGCCTATTCATAGAGTACAACAAACGCAAGCAAGCACACCGTTATACAGCATCGACCCTCTTCACCGACTCACCATCCGATTCCTACAAACTGACACGCACCATCTTCTTCTTCTGATCGCTTTCCCCGTTCCCCGTCCGTCATGAATGCATGATCCCAGCTTCTCGATTTTTCCAACCCACTCCGCCCACCGTCCCTCCCCATTCCACACCCTACTCTGTCCCCTGTCCCCTATCTCACTCCACCCCCACCCCCAACTCCCCGTCTAATCCAGCCCCCCCACCCCCCGCACCTTCCTCTACACCGCCTTCTCCTCCGCCTTCCCCTCCTGCTCCTTCAACACCGCCCTCTTCCTCAACGCTTCTCAAAAATTCGACAATTCGACGATCACGCCCCAATGGGCGACATGGAGCGAAGGACACACGGAGATGCTGTTCAATCAGACGGAAGGGGTACCGAGCGAGCCGGTCGTAAAGACGGTGGTGATGGGTGGGGGGCTGTTGGGGAGATGCGAGTGAGTGTGATTTTTTTTGTGAAGTTTTGGGGCGTGGTGCGACTGGATGCTGATTGTGGTCGTGATTTAGGTGGTGGAGGACCTTGGCTCCGATTAATGCTCAGTAGGCTCTCGAAGCTTCACAGGCATGGAGAGATCGTTCGACTTCCTCCTGAGTATTCCGCTGTATATATTTATCAGCTCATAAAATGAACGTCAATTGCACAGGGTGAAGTCCTTTGTTTTCTTTCCATAGGTTGTGCCTACATACATGATACATCTGTGGACCCGGACGTCAGATATGACTATTTATAGAGTACAACACAAGCAGACAAGCACACCGTTATACAGCACTGGTCCTCTTCACCGACTCACCATCCTACATTCATACACGCACCATCTTCACCTTCATCTTTCTATCCTAATCCTTGTAACCTGTCAAGACCCGTTTTCCCCGCCCCGTCATGGTTCCCGCTCCTTAACCTCAATCTCCCCAACCCATTCCGCCCACCTTCCCTCCCCCCTCCACACCCTCCCCCGTTCCTGCGCCCACTGCTCTCTCATCTCGTTCGCACAAGGCTTACACACGCCCTCCGCTTCCCAATCTACGTCTGCCATCCGTTGGAGACTTTCGAGCGGTCGGGAGACGCCGCCGTCCGCTATATAGTACGCCACGATAGATCGTCAGTCCAAAGTGAATTTGGCCATGGCTGTGGTGGGGGAGATGTGGGTAAGTAGGTGTGGGGCAGGTAAACATACCCAAAGCAGGCGAAATGACCCGTTCCATCCACCTATCCGCCACGATATCCGTACATTCCATATGCGACGTCGCGCCCACGGTGAACAAGAGCGGTGTGAATGTCGATATGAGGCTTTGGTGGATCCGATGAAGGGTGCGGATCGTCGGAGGGCTGAGTGGGGAGGTGTGGTGTGTTGTTGTTGTAGATGGTGGATCGGGGGAGGGGTCAGGATGTGGTGGGGAGGAAGGGTCGTGTGCGCCGGTGGGGTCGTAGTCTGTCGTCGCTACACTGTACAGGAGCGCTTTCTTCGTCTACTTCACATGATATACAAACATAAGTCACCCGGGTACATATGAATGATAAGAAGAAGAGAAATCAAATACCTCTACGCCGACGTCGAAGTTCATCGCGAGCTCGAGCGCATCTTCGAGATGTTCCTGTGGATGCTGGTGCGCGAATGGGTCCGGGCCTCCGTGATACATCCGCGAGAGATAATCCTTCGCTCGATCATTTATTGTGGGGATATGAAATTGGGATGGGGAGGTGATTCGGAGGAGAGAAGCGAGGGTGGGGAATGGAGTCTGCGAGTTGAGTGGTCTATACACAAGTATATGATCAACGAGCCGCAGCCTCCTCAAACAGACTGAAGCATGAACTCACGAATCATGATACATAACCCCCATCAACCTCTCAAAATCGCCTCCCCCCACCCTCCCCTTCATATCCCCCGGTAAATCCACCACGCTCAACCCCCTCCCATCCACGAACTGCACCAGATCCATCGCCTTCGGGTCCGTCGCTTCGATGATCCATTTATCCAATACTTGTGAATGACGAGTGAGTAGCGATTTGTGGATCTTGAAGATGTGGGGGTGCAGCGAGAGGAGGAGGGTGCCGTCGGGGAGGTAGAAGGTTGGGTGTTTGGTTCGGGAGGAGGCGGTTAGGTTGCGGGTTAGTGGGAAAGGACGGGAAGGGGCGGAGGGCGTGGTGGTTAGTCCTGGAGTCATTATATATACTGAACAGATCGTAGAGAAATGTAATGAAGCAAAGTCTAGTGATAATCCAAGACGTCGAGGTCGTAGTGCACTGTGGCTACGTACGCCACTTGAAAGGATTAGCTTACTCATGATCACAATTCACGTGTCACGATCGGAGCTTGAATCTCATCAAGTTCACGATCATCTTGAACCTGCCCGCGCCATCCTCTTCCAAGACTCTCACCTGGCCCGTTTTGCTCGTCGACATCTATGGCGATCTACGGTCTATGGGTAAGTAGACTTAACTTCGAGAGCAAGAGCGAGAGAGAGACTCTGACACCACGGCTTATTTTTTTTGTGCATCGCAGGTCATCAACAAGGCTGGCGGTCTCGTCTATCAACGTAACTTCGCCGGTACGCTCCCCTTCCTTCGCCTCCACGCAACCATCCCCTTCGCTTCTCAGATGCTCATAGATTGAATCGTTGCACAGAGGGTCTCGCGCAACTGACATCGAACGAATATCTCGTCTTGGCCGGGACGCTGCACGGTATCCACGCCATCACGGCTCGACTGTCCCCCAGTGGACCCAGTTCGGGCGCGACGGTCATTGAAGCCGAGACGTTTAAGATGCATATTCTGCTCACCGCCACCGGTAAACACTCCCCTCCATCCCACTCTCTCGATTAATATAAATCTGATCATCCCATACCGCTTATTTGACTATGATCTAGGCACGAAATTCGTCCTCCTCACCTCCCTCGCCGAACTCGCCGCAGACTCCATCCTGCAGAAAGTATACGAAGCGTACGGAGACGCGGTGATGAAGAACCCGTTCCATACGCCCGAGATGCCGATCCGGACGGAGGGCTTCGATGCGCGGGTGGGGAGTTTGATTGGGAGCGGACACGTTTGATTGTTTTGTTTGATTTGAGGGTGGTATGGTATGGTATGGGATGGGATTTATGTTGTGTTTGGTTGTTCGATGCTGACGGCAGGCCGTGACTTTCAATTTTATAATAATAATAAAAGGTACCTTTGAGCAGCAGATCGCCTCGGAGTGGACTTTATACGCTTTGGACGGAAGCATGCTTTCGTTTCTTGCAATCAACCCAAGGGAGACTTTCGAACTTCGAGAGCTCTCCCTCTCCCTCTCCCTCTTTCGGCAGGTTGTCCTGCATAACCTCGTTGGTACGGTTCCAATTCAACGACAGTGCGGCTTCGTTGCCAGAGGACTTTCGACCACGTCTCGATGTCTGTCTACACCCTCAGACTGAGTTGATGAATAAATATGTGCTGCGCGAAGCACTAAGAGTTCGCATCCGTTTTGCGCGCGCTTACCTTCATCATCTCCGAAGTTCACCATGTTCTCGTTCTCTGCTCTCTGCTCATCATTCCGATCCACAAAAGGTGAAGCGGATCGAAGTTCCCTGGCAGCACAAGTTCTGACTCAGACTCAGTCACTCAGGGTCCTCCGAGCCATACTTCGTGTGGCCCTTGAGTCGAGTCCGATCTGGTATAGGTATTATGCTGCTTGATACACGCACATGTACTGGCGTGACCCGTGCGTGCCAGGTCGTCCTGACTGAGACTTCTGAAATCGGATGCTTCTATGAACTGGCAGGCTGAACTTCGATAGATTTACGTTCCCACGCGCAGAACTGTAGTTTTGCTCACATTCGACCCGTTTTTCAGCGGTGTGTGGCAACAAGTATGAATGTAAGTTATGCATGGGCCTGAACATTATCACTTGGACGGGTTCACTGACTCCTCCACTGGCACGACACGAGATGACGACAGAAACACTTTCTCTCTACGGTTGATAACTTACTACGATCACGTACGCGTATTGGGCTGAAGTGATAAGTAAGACTGGTTAATATCTCTTGCACCAGCAACTGATCCATCATCGACATCCGAAGCCATGGCTACGAACTTGAACATAACAGTGACACCGTAGCTTGAACGTACCGCACCGCATTGCGATGAAGGAAGGCCTAGACGAGGCGAGACGTGAGCACCAAGAGAGGGCTGATCAGGTCCAAAATCCGAGTTTTCGGGAGTGGTCGTACGGGAACGATCTCAGGCTGAAAGGATGTATATTATGTGTTCACTGTCGGAAGCATCGCTAGGTTCTTCGTTATACATACTGTGGATCGGCGGATACATTGAAAATCAAGCTGAGCCGGACACTGAGTATGTACTTAGTAGCTCAACAAAGAAAGGAGCACTCGACGGTGCCCTCCCTCTCCTCCACACATTGATGAAGTACACACACCAGCGTGGACACGTCTGGCTGCAAGTTGAACGTTGAGGCTGCGCCGCCGGACGGAGGATTCGGACGACGGGGATCTTGAGGAGGACGGATCGGGCGTGCTGTGCTTGATCCAAGCTTGATCATACACGGAACAAATGATCTGTTGGGAGCCACTGACGGCTCCGAAGGACTCAGATAAAGTAGGATGGTGCGACCTTGGCTGGACCAAAAACATGAATATACTCGTGGATATTGTGAATCATCATCGGTCGATTTCAGGATACCTTGTAGGAACTCACAACGTTAACGGACTCGAAGTTCTTATTCTCCTCGATTGGATTGAACGTTGAACAAAGACAGGGGCGACGCTTTGACCCTCCTCGCGCTCCGAGCCCGTCGATCGCTCTCTGGTCGTCCGAGACCAACCGTTCTGTTCCGTCTCGTCGTCTCTCTGTAAACTGCAACCAGAGCTCCAGACCGCTCCAGACCACCCACCCAAATTCATTTCCATCGCGATTCGGCCTCCCAACGCAAAATGTGAGAGGAAATCTTTTCGTGGTCGCAAAGTTGAAGGTTGTCACAAGCGCACGCAGGGACGGAGACGTTCTGGAATGGTCCAGACCGCGATGGAACTGGCGTTGCGGGCGTTCGAGGAACGAAGCCATTGCCTTTGCGGGCCGGAGGGGCGGGAGATGCCGTGCGCATTTAGGCACGCGCGTGATTGAGGGATTTTCGGAGGGAGCGTAAAAAAGGCCAGTTGGCTAGACCTTTGCAGCGACGTCGAGGGGAGGGTTCCAAGGCGTTGAGGTGTTTAGCGTATAATATAGGCGCCCAAAATGAGAGGATGTTTGAAGTGCGATGGCGAGGAGGACGAATTTGTAGCGGGGTCGGGAGAGACGGAGGGAGGAGTCTTACATAAGCAGGAAGGGGAGGGTCGCTGGGAACGGCGAGATCGTTTAAAACGGCCTAAGAGCGAACGCACTCGCGGACTCGCCAACGTACCATCAGCAGATATCATCCATGGACCAGCCTGGCCCCTACCAACACCCCTCCCACCATCGCCAGATCTTCTCCACCCAACAGCTCCCCCCGCCCTCACAGCTCCACCTCCCCATCAACAACAACCAGCAGCAGGCCTACGCCCGCCCCAACACCCTCCCCCCCATCCCGAACCTCGCTCCCGCACGCTATCCCCCGCCCAACGCGCCCCCCTCGTACGGCCATCCTAACCTCGCACCCGCGAACAGCAGCAGCAGCCATACGCTTCCCCCGATTCCGTCGAGCAGCGGCAGCGGGAGCAGCAGCCAGCCATGGCCTACACATCGCACCTCGTCCTCGCGCGAAGAACATTATCCGGGCCAGGGCGGACATCCCCCGCCCTCGAGACAGCGCTCCGATTCGAGCTTGAGCACGAAGGGCAAGGCGATGGACGTCGATCGCGAGCCGCCTAAGGAGCAGCCGTCGGAGGATAACATGCCCCCGACGTCCGACTTTGTCAAGAAACTGTACAAGTGCGTATCATCGCGTCTTTTGAACGGTTCGGTTCGAGTATGGTGCTAAATTCATTTTTTTGGGTGGTGGTAGGATGCTGGAGGACCAGTCCTTCCACGACGTCGTCTCGTGGGGCCCGCACGGCGACTGTTTCGTCGTCAAGGACATGAACGAGTTCACGAAATCTATCCTACCACGCATGTTCAAGCACTCGAACTTTGCCTCGTTCGTCCGCCAGCTGAACAAGTATGACTTTCACAAGGTGCGTTCGGCGTTCCATTCTCTTTGCCTTTTTTTTTTTTGCGAGCAGCCGAGCGGCGGCACGCATCGAGGTGTCGCGACCCCTCACCCTGAGCCTGAGCCCGACACATTATTTTCATTCTTATTTTTATCTATTGTCCCACATACGGCGCAAACCACCTCGTCATCCGTTCTCCCCCCCCTCTTCATCCCCGTCCCCGTCCTCGTGTTCCGCCTCCTGTCTCCCCCCCTCCTATCCTCTCTCCTCTATCTTCTATCACTTCCTTCCTTCCTTCCTTCCGTGGATGTGAATGCGCGTACCCCTCCAGTCCGTACCCCTCAGAGAGAGAGGACCAGATGTACGCACGTACGCCGTGCCACGCCACCGAGACATGACACGCCTACACGCCTAAGTTACTCCGCTCCGCGTGCCCAATCCACCAAACTCATCTCCGCTCCGTTGTTCCGCATTCCGATCCGGGCTGCAGGTGGGGTGATTGACTGGATTTGGGTGTATGCGTATGCGTCCTGTGCGACGGTGTTGTTGGTTTAGCTGGATGTATGCGTTATTTGAACGCGTATATGCGTGGAATGTGAGGATATATGCGGTGGCGTATCTGTTATGCTTCGTCTGGAACGCATATAATCTCATATCCCACGCATATATCCGGTGGAATGTCCGTCCATCACCTCGGTATATGCGTCCAATTAAAATCCTTCGGGCGCATATACTCAATTTCCTCACATCCTCCTCCACGAATCGCTCGCTAACCCCGTCCCTCACACAGGTCAAAAACACAGACGACACCCAATTCGGGGAACACTCCTGGACGTTCCGCCACCCCGACTTCCACGCCGACCGCCGCGACGCCCTCGAAAACATAAAACGCAAAGTCCCCGCCGCCCGAAAATCCTCCTCCCGCACCGCCAACGCCTCCTCCTCCTCCGCTAACCCGCCCCACCCCTCCGGCTCTCCTTCGCCCTCCCTCGGCGGCGGGCTAGGGAGCGTGAATGTGAGCGGGGCGACGATCGAGCTGATGCAGGCGCAGATTGAGCGCCTGACGCAGAGTCAGAGCGATATGAGCGCGCATATTAGGAATTTGGAGGGGAATTATCAGAATGTGTTGGGGGAGATGGTGCAGTTTCAGAAGAATATGGCGCAGCAGGATGCGTTGATGCAGAATTTGATAAGTTATTTTTTGAGTATGGAGAATGGTAGGTGATTTTCGTTCTGGCTACTTCTTGCCCTTTTTTCTCTTGGAGCACTTCTTTGCTATCCTTCGAGCACTTTTTTGGGAGTTGGGGTTCTTGGAAGGTTCGGTTTTGTGCTTGTTTTTATTCGCTATCCACCCCTCCGTTTATTCGTTGGTGGTCGTTCCTTCTTTCTGTAGGATACATCTTTTGCTTCGCCTCTTGTACGTCTTACTGCACATAAATCACCGCTTCATCGTCACCTCGTTCGCTATGAAATATGCCATCCTACCCATTGTACTGTACACTACCCAGGGCATCCGAGGGGCTTTGACCACCCCTCGATCCCCGTCTTTTTTTTTGTTTATTTTCTTCTAGCGATTCGAACGAAAGAGGGGAGGCATTGGGTGGCGGTGGCGCCCTTTCCTCTCCTCTCTTCCCTCTTTATTCCCTTCCCCTTTTCCCCTCCCCTTTGATTTCCCATTTCCCCTTTTCGCTTTCCATCTTTCCAGTCCAGACCTCCAGACCGGGTCTGGATTTTCTCCTTTGATGGTTCGACTGGAGCATTTGATTGATCGGGCGTGGCCGGTTGATCGGATCTTTTGGGTTCTTCGGGGGATTACGGGCCTGGGTTAGGCTGGGCGAGGTGGCGTGCCTTGCCCAGAGTTACTTGACACTTGCCTGGTTCGGGTTGGCCGTTGGTTGGTTGGTCGGCGGTTGGTGGTGTACTATACGAGCTTTCTTTTGCTTTTTTGTTTCGATCCTTTTCCACGTCTCTTCTTCGTCTTCATGCACCCTCCCCTCCCTCTCTTAATGTCACAGAAAGGCCAGAGAACAGATCGCTGACCTTTTTTGTTTTTTATGTTTTTCTATGTCTTCCCTTTTCGTGGATCGTCAACGTCGACTTCAAATCTCGAACGTCAACTCAACCTTGGAACGTCAATGTCAACTTCAACCAATATCGCGGATCGTCAACGTCGAACTTCGGATTTCGAATGCGTCGAACGACCTTCTACTATCGGCATCTATATTTCCATATTGGATTCGTCGTTTCTTCGTTTCTTCGTGACCGTCGTTGTTCTCTCGTTCTTGCTGCGTGGTCGTCCTGGTCGCCCTGGTACCATTGATCATCGTCGTCGTCCTGCCTCGATTCCGGACTCTCTCCCATTCCTATCGCCACACAACCAGGCAAAGTAAAAGACGAGAACGCCAACCAATCCAACGACAACGCCAGCGGAGGCCTCGGCGCGGACCCGAACCCGTTCCTAGCGACCCAAGACGCCCAGCGGATGATGGGCGGTTCATACCCCGAGACGGACGTCGCTCGGGCTTCGTTGTATCAGATGAATGAGATATCGAGGCGGGCGGGCGAGGCGGGGATGACGTTTGGGAATGGGGGTGCGAGTGGGTCGGGGAATGCTTCGAGGGAGGGAGGAGGAGGTGGGGATGCGGAGGATGGGGGTGGTGGTGGTGGTGGAGAAGGAGGAGGAGCGGATGGAGCGGGAGAAGGGGAGAAGGAGGGGAAGGCGGAGGGGGGATCGGGCGCAAGTGGTGAAGGGTCATCACAATCGCAGTCGCAGTCGCAGATGAGGCAGCAGAATGGGGTGTCGAGGATTATGGCGGCTGGGTTGGGACTGATGGCACCGCCGGATGGGGGAGAGAGTGGAGAACCGATGAGTAGAGCGGACGCGTTGGCGGCTATCGAGGAGTTACAGAGGAATAGACCGCAGAGTCGGATCGGGGCTGGTGTGGGCGGTGGCGGTACGGAGTCGACGAGCGAAGGCGGGTCGTCGTCTTCGGCACAGCAACAACAACAACAACAACAGCGACAACAACAAACGACGGCGCAAGTCTCGGGTTCCGATCCGTTCATCATGCCTCCTTCGCCAACGCCAGGCGAACCCGGCTCGTCCGCATCAGCAGAACAACAAGCCCAAGACGCGATGCAAGGGTTCGGATCGGCCTCGTCCATCGCGCACGAAGGACTCCAGGTGTTCACGCTAGGACATCTCATGCCCCGGAGCGGAGTGGATGACGCGAATGGGAACTGGACGTTCGATGCGAGCTCGTTGGACGGGCTTTTGCCGCTTCCGCTGGGCGATATGACTGCCGGCGGGACTGGTGGACCCCAGGAAGGTGTCCCCGTTCCCGAAGGCGGCGACGGGTACTCCAACTCGCTGAATGGGGCCGGGGCGGGTCCTTCGTCGGGCTATGCGGACGGTGGTGCGGGTGGCGAAGGAGGGATGAGGCCGCCATCGGCGCAGAAGTTGAGGGTGAGAAGGACGGCGTTCGTGCCTGGGTGGAGCGTGCCGCCGAGGGTGTTGTTGGTGGAGGACGACGCGGTGAGCAGGAAGCTGAGTAGCAAGTTTTTGCAGGTGTTTGGGTGTACGATCGATGTGGCGGTGGATGGGATGGCGGCGGTGAATAAGATGAATTTGGAGAAGTATGATTTGGTGTTGATGGTGAGTTTCTTTGGTCATTTCCGTTGCCAGCTCGGAGGGGGTTTGGTTTGCTGATGAGTTGCGGTGTGATTGTAGGATATCGTGATGCCGAAGTTGGACGGTGTGTCGGCGACGAGTTTAATCAGGCAGTTTGACCATATGACGCCGATCATCTCGATGACGAGTAACATGAAGCCGAACGAGGTTATGACTTACTACCATTCCGGTGTGTTCTTTACTCTCTGTATCTTCTTTTGGGATCGGAAGACTTACTTGTGAGTTTGATCAGGTATGAACGATATACTTCCGAAACCGTTCACGAAGGAAGGCCTATTGGGCATGCTCGAGGTACGTCATTTTTCGAGGTAGTTGATTCGACTCATGATACTCATCCATAACCCTACAGAAACATCTCATGCACCTCAAAGTCATCCAACAGCTCGCCCGGCCCCGCGTCCCCCGCTCCGTCGGAATCCCACCCCTCTCCGATCCCTCCTTCGAACAAGCCATGGCCTCCGCCGTCCAGCCGATCGCGAACAATGGCGGGATGCCCTCCTCTTCGAACAACGGCGACGACGACGACGGGAAGATCAACATCTTCGCGGGCATGGGGCTCTCGGACGACCAGTACAACATGATCTTGCAGTCGTATGTGGGAGGCGACGTGGGGCTAATGGGACAGATGGGGATGCCGCCGCAGATGGGGAATTTGATGAGCTCGATGGCGATGATGGGCATGATGACCGGGGGTATGAGTCCTGGAGGGGGTGCGAGTGGGGGTGCAGGGGGGTCGGAGAAGAGGGGGTTGGATGAGGCGGAGGATGAGAGGGAGGGGAAGAGGGGGAGGTTCGAGGTGCTGGAGTGAATGAACGAACGGTGTTTTGCTAACATGGCGTGGTTCTTGCTTCTTTCTTTCTCGATTTCTTTCTTGAATGTAATCTTTATTTGTCTCGGTCGACTCACCCGATTCCCCTGCCCTCATTCCCGCTTCACATTCCCCCTCATCCTCCCACTCCTCAATATAATGCTACTTCCTATCTTTTCTCCCTTCCTTCCTTGTCACTTTCTAGCGTTCGCGTTCGCTGTGCCTCGCAACCCAACCAAACAACCTACACCCCGGTTCTTCTTCCGCCACGCCACTGATCCGATCTCACACAAGTTCGATGTACTTTGTTCTCTACGCTATCGCTCCCCTTCCACTCTCCTGTGTATATGACCCCATGCCCATTGTTCGTTCGTATCCAATATTCTGTCATGCCATACTGCGTGCCTTTCTTCGCTGATATTCTTTGTTCGATTGGCCCCCCTCTCGATATCATCTACTTACCCATCCATCCTGCCCAATCACAGTCATAGTCACACCACCACGCCCCCATCTCATCTGTCCACATAACAGTACCCACTTCCCCCTTGACACCCTTCCACCCTTCCACGTTCACTAGCACCCGCTCCATACATGTCTTTTTAGCAAACCCTTGAACCTTGAACGAATACACGCATGCGTTTTCTTTGCTGTCTGTCCGTTTCTGTCTGTCTGTTTGCTTGACTATGAGTCTTCAGTCTTCACTCTGAGGTAATGGTCCTAGGGCATCACTCGGATCTGATGTTGAGTGTATTATGAGTACCCTGTCGGTCATAAAGAACTAAATTCTAGAAGCATCAACCGCAAAAGCTGACTATTGTCCGTTGACTGCACCCAAGCTTCTCCACCATCTATTTCCTCGTAATCAGTGTGGACCAATCAAGCGCGAGAAAATTCGCGCAACTCACTCGCATCGTTCCATTAGCTCATCGTCAGTATGGAACGTCTCTACCACCGGTTCATCGGTGATCGACCGATTGAACAGCATCTCCGTGTGCCCGTCACTCCACTGGGACCACCGCGGCGTGATCGTCGACGAGTTGATCTTGTGCGACTCGTTGTGAAACAGAGCAAAGTTGAAGAAGGAGCCGGAGAAGGCGTTGAAGAAGTCCGTGTTGTTGAAACTGGGTCGCGTCGGGTCACTGGGAATGAATGGTCCACAAAGGAATGCGTGAATGATAAGTAGCAGTCAGTATGGCACGATAGTTGGGAGTATGAGGTCAACTCACGTCCCAAAGTAGTAGGGCAAGTCGCTGGCGTGAAGCGCTGGAGGGACTGCGAACTCGCCCTGGACATCGCATCAAAACTATGAATGTTTGTGCGACAGCTCGAGATGACAGGGCCTCATACCTTCCAAGCTTTCGTGCCAAAGGCCTGTAAAGCCCAGTATGTCGGGCATATAAACACATCTAGCGAAGGGAGTGATATGTCAGCACAGAAGACTTCACAGCGATGAATCAAGAGATAACCCACTTTCCCCCATCGCAGCCCCAGCCTGCGATACCACGTCCGCCGCATTGGAGATGTTCAAGTATAGGTCCACGGTATGCCGGATCTGCGTGTCGTCGAGTCGTGAGAACAAAAGGGTAAGATATTGCTCCAGAGTCATTTGTTCCACTGCGGTCGTATTGAGGAAAAAGAGACCCTCGAAGGAGTTGGTGACAGCGAGAAGCGCTTCCTAAGAGGACATTAGGGAGTGATGGAGGTCTGAACAATGCTGCGTACCCCGTTGACTTGACTCTTGTTCAACGTGACGGACGGTCTTTCCACGATGAGCTCGAAGTCTACGACAGGTACAAATGTAAATGTCCCGTAGAAGTTGGCCTCACTGACAGCCACGTTTGCCGCACTGAGCACGTAGGCCTCTTGACCTCGTAGACATGAGAGACGATCGTCGGCGGAGTCGCAGCTGCGCGTGTCACGGCGCGTTAGCGCATTATATGGGTTCGTATCTGCAACTAGAGCTCACAAGGTCTGGACGAGAATCTCATGATATAATGCCTGATGAGGTGTCGTCAGTGTGCGAAGTTAATCGACTCAGAGACAGTGTAAATACACCTCTGAGATGGTGTCGTTGTAGGCGTACTGAAAAGGAACGAATGTAGAGCTCATCATGGCAGCCTTGAAAAGTGGTGGTTGGGTGTTCCCTCCGTGGGCTACGATGTGTTGAATGAAGGACCCAGCGCCAGCCGATTCCCCCTATGCCGCAACGTAAGACACTTGTCAACCACAGAGAGGGACTATTTTAACAAACCCAGATCGTGACTCTGGTTGGATCGCCATCGAAAGATGCGATCTGGCAAACGAGTTGGTGCTCGATGATGCGTCAGGGAAAGTGAGAACGTACATGATCCTGGACCCACTGTAGCGCAAATTGCTGATCCACTGCAGAAATACTGTGAACATTGACTGGTCACCAATCTTATCAAGGCGTCACTCACGAAGTCCCGCGTTCAGAGCCCCATCGTCTTTCACGTCCTGACCTGGCAGAAACCCTGCAAAGCTGATAAACATGAGACGAGCCGCATGGTAAGACAGACATACCAAATATGCCTAGACGGTATTGCGGATTCACGGAGATGAAGTTGTACCCCGACTCCCTCACGAAATCCTGAGCCTCATCGCTCGCGTCTCCTAGCGTATATCCACCACCTGAAAAGGCCGTTTCAGTCGCATCCTCCAAGAAAGAGGACCAAACATACCGTGGATCCAAACAATGACGGGAAGATTGGCGTCGCTGCTGATATTCGACGGAACATGGACGCTGCCGTATAACAGAATATTAGAAATATCTCGCTACACAGAATGCACGACAAGCCGAACTTGAGGAATAGGCAGTCTTCGCTCGTGACCGGCGTCGCCCGTTTCGCCCAAGGATTAGTGGGCGACATTCCATTCCAACCTTGGATGCACTGCGGAGGCATCGTGGTCGCTTTTTGGATCGAGGTAACATTTTCAGGGGGTTGAGGGGCTCGAAATCGTAGGTCCCCTTCGTGTACAGGTCATCAGGTGCAAGACACATGATTCAATGATGTAGCTCATTGATCGTTAGAGATTATTTAGGACATACCGACTGGAGGGGCCGCATAACGCAGACCTAAGAAACTCGTCACGCCGGCCTCGAAAGAAAAATCTGACTGATATGTCGCATATCCTTGAACATTGTACTCAGAATCAGCCTTCGCGTATGAGGTCATGACGGAAATGTGCATACCGAGGTCAACTGTCTTCAAAACTGATGTGTCCTGAGCTGAAACCTGACAGAGAACTGCAACTGCAATGGTCGGAAATAGTGAGTACATTGGAGATATGTTGGTCATGCAGCTAACAACCTAAGTGGCATCGTCCTCTCTAGACTGAGCCTTATATACACGCTGAACGTGCGCTCGGGTTCGGTAGTTCGCTGGAGAAAGGCACCTTAGACAGGTCAGCCGGTCATAAAACCAACATGCCAGCGGGCCGCCACTCACTTCATGATGATTCCTCGAGGTAAAAAAGCTGAGATGTACGATGATTACGGAGTATATAGGTGATTTTCAGACGAACGGCACATGGGAAGGGAAACGAAAGAAACTCATTTCGTCGGTCACAAGCCCGTCCTGTGACGAACGCCATCGTGTCCGTCTTTGGTCAAAATGTCCGTTGGCTCTATTATAACGTCGACGCCCATGAACAAGCCAGATATCGACGAACATAGTACATCGGGATGGCTTACAGAGCCTGAAATGGAAGATGAGAACGTGCTAGATGGTAGAAACAAAAAGATTGCTCACTTAGACCTTGACAATCGCTGCTTTACCCACGCTTCTTCTTCGACGCTCTCTCCTTCTTTGTACCCTTCGATTTCACCTCGACGGCCAACTCTACTTCCTCTAAGGTATCTACGGGCCTCTCGCCTTCTTCCGCGTCATTCTCCGCGACCTCCTTCGGCTTGCCACGTCTCGCTTTGTCCTTCCCCTTGCTCGTACCCTTCTCCTTCCCTCCACCGTGCTTTGCGACCATCGATCTCACCTCTGCCTCACCCACTGTAATACTTTCGTCAATAGCAGATGGGCCGGTCGTTGTACTTGCTCTTGAATTAGTAGTATTGGACAGACGATTGAGGGCTGCGACCTCTGTGCGCCACACTTCATGATCGTCGCGCATTGGTGTCTCGAGCACGAGTGGTATGTTTTGCATGCGCGAATCAGTAAGAATATGTGCGAAGGAGGTGAGACGAAGTTCGCCACTATGATCAGAGAGAATAGAGCAGTCTTATACCTGTCAGCAGTGTGGCGAGTGAGAAATCAGTAAAAAGCACGCACAGTCCGATGTTCTCATGGCGATCTTTCTTGGATGCGAGCGTGGCTTTGGAGTCGTTGAGATGCATTCCGCGGAGGTACTTCAGGCCAACAATCCTGTCGAAATCAGACACTGTCAGGAAAGACCAAGCAGAATGAGCATCTGAAATTGGTTTATAGCGGGGAACAGTACCATACCTGTCGACCTGGATCGTGGTGGACAACTAGAGTCAGCTTCATATGACGTGATGAAGGAAAGTTGAACAAACGCACTCCCAGCCTTCTTTGGTCCTTATGTCATAGCCCTACGAGCAATTATGATCAGTCCTCGCGAGGGGCCTTTGACGATCACGCACTCACAGCGGCGAACATATGACCTGAAGGGGCAATCGGAGGGTTAGGTTACACTCACGACTGTGAAGGAAAGGATGTACAGGTATCGAGACAGACGCCCACCCGGGACCTGTCTTTTACTCTTGCGATGATACCCGCGAGCTCTTCGAACTTGCTTCCGATGACATTGCCTGCACCAGCCTGGTTGACGAAACAATTTGAGAAAAGTACAAGGACAGGAGGAAGCCAACAAACCATGTTCTCAATTACTGGTACGACGTTCTTAGTTGCCATATGAGCGCGGTTGATACTCTCTGCGATGAAGCCTATCGACTCGTCTGGAGTGGCGAGGCCGACGGTTGAGCCTGGACTACACACCACATCAATCTCATATAGAAGACCACACGAGCTTGATGAGGTCGAGACGTACTGGAAATTATACAATAGCAAGCCCAACTGCTCACACCGCTGAAGCTCATCCAGGAAACATTGGTACGCCTTCTCCCGTTTCTCTCTAGACGAATTCTTTCAGCTGACAAAGGGAGGTCGCTAGGAAAATCTCTCCTACGCGTCTGGGTTCCCTAAGTTTATGAGATAGCTTCCGTGCGGAAGGATGTGATGTGGGGAATATCCAAACGTCTTCAGACGCGAATTGAACGTTGATATCGAGTCGTCGGAGAAGGGTGGCCCAACCCATTTATGTTGGGACTTGAGGAAAAGCGCAAATGCATTCGCGCTAGCACGTCATAACGCGGTCAAACATTTGAGAGAAACTGGAATATATGGAGAGAACATACCCAATTCTCGCAGCATTCAGGATAGCGTTCTCGACACCGCCTGCAGCAGAAACATGCGCGCCAACCTTCCATGGGGAATTGACACGCCTCGGGTAATCTTCTGGAAATTCGCTCGGTGCAGACTTCTTTCTTGTCCTCTTCTTTGTCGATTCTTTGGCCACGGTCTCTACAGAGACGTGAGTCCGGCTGTGATGAGAGGAGTCATGAGATACGACAAACCCTGTAAGGGTACTTCCTCCGTCAATGCTGGTCCGACCGTCTTCTTCTTCGTCTCAGCTACTCTTTGAGTCTGCACAATGATGTTCATTTCGGATGTCATAGCCTCTATGCACAGATAAGTACACTCCTTTATGTTAAAAGGCTGATAGGACGTACCGTGCTCCGCTGTGGCCTCCGCGTTATCCTCCTCTACCTCCAATTTGCGTCTCTTCACTGCTCTGGGCGGAGCTATACCAAGTTTTGCAGCGCTGGAAGATCGTGTAGAGACCATCCTCGAGCCAAGTATTCTGTGTAATTCTGACAGACGCGAACTTCGGCAAGGGGAAACAAGGGATGTAGCGCGGAGACTGAGTCGAGCGAGCAACAAGGTGTCCAGTTTGGCGATTTCTCGAAGAATTGATTAACAGTGCGCTGGGTAGACCTTCTGATCTTTCCACATCCAGAGACTTATTTTGCAGAACTTGAACTCAGAACTGTGAAGAGGTGATCGTGGTCAATAATCAACGTTCAACCACAAACCGCAACAAGCGCGTCTGTCGCTGTGGCACTCTCGGTGACGGGTGTCATTGTGGCGTTCCCGTGCCTACTTGCAATGACTACAAATCTACCATAGTCGGTCAACGGTGATAGATAATTTGTTCGTGAGTGGCGAACGGACAGCAACAACTGGTCAGGATACTTAGGGTACAAAACAAGACAAGAGCCTATCAAGTTGAGAAAACGAAGTACCGTTCATTGATACAGGCGAAGGACCGGTCACCAAACAAGAACGAAAGGTATATTTCAAGCTGCTTCGCCAACCCATAATTTGATTTTGTAACAGACACAAGAACGAATAAACGAGAGCTTAGGAACCTAATGGCCAAAGTCCTCCGTCTCTTCCCATCGGGAGCGTCGACTCTAACTCCTCGATATCTTCCGTACACATTTTAACATATCGATACTCCCCCTTCCCCAGCTCCTCGAGGCGATATGAGCAATATCGATGTTCGATGCAAACATGAGCGGGGTATCGGAGAGACTGGACGTCGTCGGAATCTGTACTAACGATGAATGTCTCGAGTTGCTGAACAAGGCGATGGACGGCGGAGGCCTCTGCCCTTGGAGTACCAGAGATGCCGGGAGGGTGATAATGAAGAGCTAGAGTGTGTAATTGACGGGTGAATGACGCCGTGCTCTGTAGAAGTCGGCTCTGTGCGAGGAGTACGAAGGGTAAGACCAAATATTTAACGAGGGTCGTAGGGAAGAGTGGAGCGAATATCGTGACTGGCTTACCACAATTTGATCCTCTGCCCCTATCGTGACTGCCAGATGGCGAAGATGTACACATTCCGAAATAAGAGCCATCATCTCGTCGTCACACTCCCAAGGGCTCCCAGAGTATAGCTCCGGTATGATAGTTAAGCTTTCCAATGTGCTGGCATTTCCCGCGATGATGGCGTCGGAAGCCGGTCTTGACCAAAGAATATTCTCGGACGGTGCCAGCTCCTGCATCCCTTGAATTGAGAGATGGCGCAGGCCTGCTCTCGGAATGATACCGAAAGCATGAGAGTCGAAAGGCGAGTCGACGATAAGAGTACGCAGGGCAGTTGTGCCCTTGAAATCGATGGCGGGGAAGGATCCTTCGGCTGAAATCATCGCAGGGTCCTGGTGTGTGGAGAATTTGATGCGAAGGGTATCGAGAGATTGTAAATGAGGTGCTGTGGCAGTATCTATAGTGAAAGGAATGTTGTGGAGGCTCAAAGATTTTAGTCCCAGTGGGAGCTCTCGAGAGCAATGGGCTAGAAGAGTCTTGAGCGTAGGATCCTCGGTGTCGGGGTCAAGTGCTCTGCCATCGAAGGTATGGATACTCAGTTTCTCTACGTTCGGAAACTTGGGTATGAACTCCGCGACTTGGTAGAGGTGGCGTGCAGGATCTACGCCAAAGTGATTCAAGCTGAAGCCGAACTTGCCATCGCTGTAGATGTTGATGGAAACGTCCCGAACAATTGAAAACACCGGCATTGTTGGAAGGACCATGTACGCGGGGCAAAAGCCGAAGGCAATTGTGTCAAGCGTCGTATGGGTGGCCAAAGAGTCCATAATCACAGCGAAGAGCTGAGTGGTAAATGAGGGAGGCTCAACATTCCATCTAAGGATAGTAAGTGAGCGTGGAGTTTCAGGTACCGGACAGCTTTTTGGAACATACTTAAAAGACTTCAGTGATTCAAAGCGAAGAAGGGCTCGTTGCAAAATGCCTTCCACCTTCAAAGCAGCATTCTCAAGTTCCTCCATGTCCATCCCGATTCCATCATCCTCTGCCTCGGAGCCACTCTGAAAGAGATCATCTATTTCGAGGTATGCGGCGCCACCTTCAGCATTCTCTGGTTGCAGAGACAAAATGGCCAGCTCCCCTGATGCATCCTCCACTTCCGAAGAGGCTTCCTCCTCATCCTCCTCGTCCTCCTCGTCCACCTCGTCCCCCTCTTCCTCCTCGATATCCAGGTCGTCGTAAAGCCCGACTCTCACATCATAATCGTCGTCATCGTCATCTTCTGCAGAGCCCCAGTCATTGACCATGGTTCTGTCATAGATCGAGCCGAACAACAAATTCTCCGTGAACCGCGCTATCGGCGATGTACCCGATGCGATACTTTCAAGCATCTCCCGTATGCTCGATGAACCAGACAGTAATGCCTGTAAGCTGATAGTAAAGTTATCAAATAGAAGTGGCTCCAAGACGCTGTTCAACAACCGACAGACGAGTCGGACATTGAGTGCCCATTTACGATGACGCCGCGCAATGGCATCCTTTAGTGAGCAAATAAAGGGCTTGAATTAGAGATGGACTATTCCTGCAAATGGTTTAAATGTGCGTAGGAGGTGGGCTTACACTTTGTGGAGTTTTACGGTTTCTCGACCATCTTGTAGGAAAAGTCGGTAGCTGGATATCGTCCGGTTTGGCCGCCAGGGCAAGACCGCAGATGATACTCAAAATTTCCGGTGGAAGGACGAAGAGGGAAGTTGTGCCTGTGTCGGTTTTCATCCGACTATGATAATATATCTTTATACAGGGAGATTGGTGGTGTATAATAGGTAAGAGACGAGACTTGCGAATTGTCGTGGTGCGAGAAAGGGCTCAACTTCGTGCGCAATGCGCCACTGTGGCTCACCTCGTGTTTTTAAACTCCGCCAATCCGCCGCCAGCCGGTCAGAAACCGGAAGTCACCGTCAACCTTCAACATGTACACTCCTGCAGCACTCAGGCCTAAGGACTCAGGAATGCTTCCTTTATCATCCTGGTTTTAGAGCTTCCCATTTGACTGCGACCATCTCTTCGTTCCTTGTTGACTTGCTCCACGTGAGACAAGTATCCCAGAAGCTATGAGAATCGTTGAATGTGGCGATGCGATGGCCACTAAATTTGTATCGTCTGATCCTCACAATATCTGGTTGTGGTACTACTGGACTTCTTGCGCCCTTCTGGGAGCGTTGATACGATATGCCCACAGCACGACGACCTCGGAGAATTCTTGGCCCCTATGGACTCACCAAACTCACGCACGCTAACGTCACGGTACTATATGGAACCCGATCCAAAACACGGCCTGCGACTTTTTTAGACGAGTCAGAAGGACCACAAAGGCCCTGTTTTCGGTCGGCATCAAGTCGCTGGTCCTCCTTGTCCTTATTTTTTCAGGCTGTACTCATCAGCGTTCATCTCAGGCGCTCGATTATTAGATCGCGTCGCACCGCCCCCTTCACAGCATCTTGCGCCTCAACCATGATACCCTTCCAAAACACATATAAGGGTACAGTACCCTCGATCTTTCATCCTCCCGCTTCCCTCCCTCATCACACGCCCCATCCCACACGCACAGACCAACCACTCCCACTCAATACCAGTCATCCAATTTCCAATATGCAGCCCGGCATGCCCACTCCTCAACATCACCAGGCTTCGACCTTCTCCCAAGCGCCACTCAGACACGGTGATACTCACGACGTGGAGACAACGGGTGTATTTCAAGGTGGCAAGTACAAGATCGACCACAGGGATAGCAATACGTTGCTCTCGGTGACGCTGCAGCCAGAGGCGCAAATCAAGGTGCGTTCTCGTCTCAATCATCCCCAAATAATTACATGGTTTCTGCTCGATCGCATGGGATAGCTCATCTTCTTTGTGTATTTTGTGGTTTAGGTGAAGCCGGGGGCTATGTTGGCCATGGATCCGACCATGCAGATCCAAGGAAAGGTGCGTGTAACTGAAACATTCCTGGACATTCACCAATTGATAAGGAGATGTTCCTTCACAGCTGAAACTTAGGTAAAACACCTCAGCATCACCCGCTATTGACAAAATGAGCTCACATGCAACACCACAGCTTCTCGAAATTCTTCTCAGGCGAGGAGGTATGCGTCCTGTCCTTTCTCTATGCACACAACATAGACCTGATCGTATATGTTATATTGTCTAGGCGAGTGAATCTATCTTCACCGGACCTGGTGAAGTCCTCATAGCACCCGAGGTATGGGGAGACATCGTTCCTATCACTCTTGACGGTCAAGCACCGTGGAGTGTGAGCAAATATGCCTTCCTTGCATCTACGTCCGGTCTCGTCCGAGGAGTCAGAAGTCAAGGTTTCGCGAAAGGTTTATGTGCGTTACTTTAGCCTGTCACTCGTCCAGCATGCCATGCATCTGACTGTTGTGGGTATATAGTCTCAGGGGAAGGGTTCTTCGTCTCTGAGATCTCAGGCCAAGGCACCCTCTGGGTGCAAGCCATCGGTGCCATTGTGCAACGCCATCTGCGCCCGGGTGAAGAGTGGATTGTCGATAACGGCCATCTAGTTGCTTGGTCCGCCCAGTACAAGGTAGAGACGATCAAAGCGAAGGGCGGTTTGTTGTCCAAACTCCACACCGACGAGGGAAAGGTCTGCCGGTAAGTAGACCATTTCTATTCATCCTTAACATAGAGAGCTTACAATTCGGAAATGTTCGTTAGCTTTACTGGACCCGGGACGGTTTATATCCAGACCAGGAACCCGGATACCTTGATTGGTTGGATCACCGCAGAGCAGAGCGCTCGGGCTGGTAACTGATTGAGGTTCAAAGGCTCTTAAAAGTTCCACAAACTGTATCATTTATTTCTTGCCCCCAAGTATATGTAGTGTACCACAATCCATCTCTTTCTGATAGCTAGCGAGTTCCAACCAAATACGTGACTCCTACGGCGATGCGGCAGCTTCCGGTGAGCCTCTGCCGGTGAAATTTAAGTCCTTGTCCTAAATTGGGACGCGTTAATTATGTAAGCCAAAGGCCAATGTCGCGAACGCGAGGCGCGACGCCTCGCGGTCACTTGGCCCTTCTCCGCCTTTCCCCATCACCGTTCCCCTCCCCCTTTTATATCTTACATTCGTTCTGGTAGCATCACAATATGGTTCTTAGGACAAATGTAGTCAACGCTTTTGCATCGCTGGGTCTGGAGACGGTAAGGGCTTCAAGGTTGAATGTCAGACTAACGGCAGACACTGACTTCTATCTCGGAATATCGCAGGACGCAGACTTCAGTGAGGCAAGGCTGGCTTACAAGAAGCTCGCCCTTCAACATCAGTAAGCGATCCGTTCCTCATTTTTCCCACTATAGTCCATGAATTGTCGCGTATCTTTCAGCCCAGACAAGAACTACGGCGATTACGAAGCCACCCAAAAGTTCCAGGAGGTCTCCGCTGCATGGGAGATCGTTCAGAGACATTACGATAACCCAGCCTCCAGCCATCAGCCCGAAGGATTCAGTAGTGGAAGGGGCGACGATGAAGATGGATTCGAGGATGAGGAGGAGATGGCGTTCTTCTTCCAGTGCGTCCCTTTCTTTGCGCCCGAGGAACCCTCTATTGCTGTGGCATCGGGCTAATGGCGAGATGTTCCCGATAGGTTCATGTTCGAGGAGATCATGCGTGGAATGGCTGGTAATCGACGTGAGTGAGCGCTACTATTCTTCATGCTAATTCTGTGGCGTGGTCGCGATCGGTATGAGCGATTCTAGAAGCAGTTGACCTCTCGCGCCTACGCACTCAACGGTCTCACGTTCCATATATTGAATTAAACTGCAAATGAAACGCGGGAATCCTGTGTATTTGCATGATCTCGTTCTTGGTGTACCGCATATCCTCGTCGCTGCCCGGCGCCACTCGAATGGTTCCTTGCAATTGATCGAAGTAGCTCTGCTCCACGTGTCCTTTGAACGCCATCACACTTTACTCTGCTTCATCTTTTTCTTTTCACCGTGCTTTCAACCATCTCACTAATCATTATGTGCGATTTTTTCCTCAGGCGGTTTCCGTGAACAAAAACGCTCCAGTGGCGGTCGTCCCTTCGCCTTCAGTATGGGTGGTAACATCTTCATGTTCGGAGGCGGTCCTCCACCGCAGTCATCACGGTCCTCTTACGGCCCAAGCTACGGCTACAGCTCGTCGAGGTCATATTCACGGAATGAGAGTTCGTATGCGCGGGTGAAGGATACCAAGACGCAAGAGCAGAAGGACAAGGAGGCTTACCAGAAGAGGATGAAGGAATGGGGTAAATACTCATGTTATGCTCCGTATTCTTGTCACTGACTCACGGTGCTCTTACAGAGGCGGAAATTGCTCGCGAGCAGGCTGAACTCGACAAACGAATGAAGGACAAGAAGAACGCCGACCGTGCACGTGAACAAGCTCGCTCAAGGTGCTTCACCGCCGCGCGCAACGGCGATCTACAGAGTCTGAAGGCCGATGCCCAACAATACAATATCGACGTGACAGTCGCTCGAGGAGGAAACAAAGAGACGATGCTTCATGTCGCAGCGGCAGGGAAGGGCACGCCAGAGGTCGCGGCGTTCTTGATCGAGAAAGGCCTCTCCGTCGATGCCTTGACCAATGAGAAGTACACGCCTTTCCACCTCGCGGCGATGAATGGCAATCTATCACTCGTACAATACATTCACACCTCACATCCGAAGCTCTGTCACCCGTCGAAGGCCACAGAGCGTGGAACGACGCCACTGCAACTCGCGTTGCAGAGCGAGAATCCTGACGTCGTGAGGTATCTGGTGAAGTACGCACCAGTGCATGATGTGACGACCTGCTGGAATACGGTGGAGGTCAATCTGGAGGGAGCGGAGAACGACGCGGAGAGGAGCAAGTGGGAGAACATAAGGAAGGTGCTCCAGACGAAGGTTTGTTTCTTCCTTTGCTTCGTATCAAATCTCTGGTCCATGTTGGCTGATACACGACGACTTTGCCTTTATAGAGGGGCTTCCAGCCATTCGCTGGACCGGAGAGTCCTGTTGAAACTGAGGCTTCTTTGCCTGGGTTTGGAGAGGGGACATCGAAGAAGGCCAGGGCCAGGGCAAACAAACGCGAGCGGTAGGACTCATTGTCATCTGACGCTACCACGATCTTAACATTTCTTTGTAGGGAGAGGCAAGATGCCCTCGAGGCTGAGGCTAGAGCTGTCGCTGAGAAAGAGGCTCGTCTTGCCGATGAGCGTAAGAGGGCTGAGGAGAAAATCCGCAAGAAGGAAGAGCGCAAGCGGGAGAAGGAAGAGGTACGCGTTTGGTTTTCTGGTTTATCATTTTTCGCTCCCCACTCTGACACAATTTCGATCGTCCAGGCCATTCGCCGCGCAGCAGAGGAAGCAGAGCGCCAGGTCAGAGAAGTCGAACAGCGACAACGCGACGAGGAGGAACGTGTTCGCCGTGCTGAAGAGGAGAAAAAACGGGCAGAGATAGAGGCTATGGAGAAAGCCAAAAGAGAGAAGGCCGAAGCTGAGAAGAGGAAGAGGCAGGAAGATGAAAGAAAGAGGAAAGCAGAGGAGAGAAGGATTAAGGAGGAGGAGAGGAAGAGGAAGGAAGACGAGAGAAAGGTTAAGGAAGAGATCGAGCGGGTCAGAAGGGAAGAGGCTGACAGGATTAGGAGAGAGGAGCAGGAGGAAGAGAAGCGAAGGCAGGTGGAAGAGGAGAGAACGCAGAAACAAGTTGAGGAGGCTGAGAGGCAGGCGAGGTCAGAAGAAGAGGAGAAGGCCCGGGTCGCAGAGGAGAAGAGGAAATTACTGGTCAAAGCCAGGCTAGAGGAAGAACGGTTGAAGAAGGAGCGTTGGGAGCAGAAGAAGCAGGCTGATGTCGAGAAGAATAGGCAGAAGCAGAAGGAGCAAACGGCCAAGTTGAGAGCTGAGCGCGAGGCCTTGGAAAAGGAACGGAAAGCAACAAAGGTATGTTCTTGGTCAACTCGTTCGCGCACTGAATCTGACGACTCATATACACAAACAGCCCGATCACGCTCAAGCGACTCCTTCCTACGGCGCTGCCCCTCTTTCACCGCCGAAGACTCCCGAACACATTGCCAATGTTTCCTTCGATGGACCATTGCCATCCTACGACGAAGGCCTTCAGACAGCCGTGGCAGCCGATTATCTGTTTGATCCGCCGCCCGTGGTCAGGCGTCGAGTGAAGATCCCACAGAGGGCACCGCGGACGTACGATAATGTGTCTAGCGTCCACCCTACGCCGAAGTCGGCTGTTAGAGAGCTTGCATCGCCAGCTGAATGGACGGAGGCTTCGAGTGTGACGCCACTGGAAGAGGCGTATGTGCATAGAGAGGGCGTGCCCCGTGGACGAGGTAGGGGACGCCCGAGGGGTTTCTTTCGTGGCCGGGGACGGGGCCGTGGTCGTGGTGGACGTGGCGTTGCTGTCGAGTAAGGGTGCGGTGGGCGTCCATGGCGAGGGTCTGTTGCTAGCTTTTTGGTTTTCATCGTCGTGGTCGTGCTCCTTTGCGAGTGTCGCGACCGCTTTCTGTCGGGTTTCAGTTTCTTGTCTGGTCGAGCGACCATTTTTATTACTTCTTGACAACACATCTCGATGTTTCTTGCTCTGCCCCGTTTGCTATGGTATAACTTAGGTTCGGTCTTTTGTCTTCGTCTCCCACATTCCTCCGGTCCAATGCTACATACGTATATGTACAACTATTTCTCCCGTCATCTTCATTGTTCATACCCCTCCTCCGCCCACCCACCTCATCACACTGACTCAGACTCTTTCTTGCAATTATGGACCATGGGTTCATGTGTACATAGTATCAGTACTTTCTTGCTCGGGTGTGGCGTGTTGACATACTTATTAGATTCTACTTCTTGGCCCAATCTGTGTATTTTATGTTCGTGTCGCGCGTTGTGGTCATGCTGATCCGTAGTTGTGCACCTTGTACAATGCGCCTCTGTGCGCCTCCGGTTCTAGATGGCTTTGAACTTCGCAGGCACTTAACGGATGCATTGCAGATGCAGGAAGATGGCGGAACACTGGAACAACAGCTTTGAATTTGATCATGACAACATGGTCCTGGTGAGCGCTTACTTGCTTCATCTTATCTTATCGCAACTCTCTGGTGGCGTGCATCGTGCAGTTCGAACTGCCCCTCTTTCGACTCTTCCGCTTACCATCCAAAGCTTGCCTCCGTGATTCTCAACGGGCTGTGACAAAACATCTACTCAAGAGCCTCTCCACTCGAGTAGAATTAGTATACTAAGAGGAAAGTAACATTTCTGGGAAGATTACTACTCTCTCGAGCTCGTCGTGACGTGTATCGCCACACCTCGACATGGACGATGAAACGGCTGAAATCGAGCTGGTGGGTACCTCGATTTAACTCGTGTATAGCAGTACTGACCGCAGACCGACGCGCTTTTGATGCAGCTTGAGCAGAATTTGAATAAGACGCGTCAAATATCCCAACGAATGACTAGTAAGTCAATAGATCGCGATAGTTCGAGTGATGTGGTCTTGCCTGTGTATCCTTATGTCCCAACCGCCGCACACCAAGATTCAGTTGTGTAAAGGATCTATCACTTCCCATGGAAAGATGAAATAGGATAGCCTTTCCTTGGCATACGGGCACTTGCTAGTTGTTTCCCGCTTGGTAACCTTCACAATGCGGCATGCCGCATCTAAGTACCATGAACTGATGATTTGGTGTCTTCTTGCAGCTATTTTGAGCAGCCTAGATGGTCGATTAATCAAGCTCGAAAAGTCCATACTGCCCTTGTATACCTCGACCCAAGTCTTGACCCGAAGAGGGAATAGTGAGTGTACGCCCCATCCTTACCCGATCAAGAGTGTAACACAAATCAGACATCGAGGCTGCGCTACAGAAGATATACGAGGTTGCTAGCAGCCAGGAAGGCAGCGCTGCTGAAGAGGCCCTGATTCTACGCGGGTAAACTCGAACGTTTGGTCATCCTTGACGAGGTCAGACTAATCGCATTGATAGTCCGCAGCCTGACCAACTAGGAGCGTACCAAGATGCTTTGGAACGCCTGAACGCGAGCATTGCTTTCAAAGCTCAAGACCGCGACTCCGGTGCTAGAGAGAACGTAGGCTGTCCCGTGTTTTCTGGTGTTCTGTACGGCTGAAAATGAAGTTATAGGCTCGACTCGTTGAAAGTGGGGCAAAGAAGCTCGCTCAAATGTTCACCAAGCTCGTCGCAGAAGGCTCCTCTGGGACACCGCCCGCCAGCACCGACTTTGAGCTCTCTACATTCTCTCCTTCGCTGATGGCGGATCTCAAGCCCTTAGTTGCTTTCCTCCGCACTTTACCATTACCATCCACACATCCGTCTCATCCCGCCGCGCCGGCTATCCTATCAACCTTGAAGGAGGCACAGAACGGATACGCAGATATGCGCGGTAATTGGAGCAAGAAGTGCTTGGAGGCATATGGGAGAAGGGTGGTCGAGCGTGCAGAGACCATGGAGGGCGTTCCCGCGGGTCGGGAACTGGGCAAGTGGATCGAGAACCTCCTTGAAGTGGCTGAGGTACGTCTGTCAGGTCGGAAGTTAGCGTCATGCCTAATTGCACCTGTTATAGTCGGAATATAACCTGCTGAACGAGCTTTCACCACTGCAAAACCCTTCGCTGCTCGCCACAACATTCGCCACACTCCTCAACCCTATCATCCGCTTGTACAACGACACAATGTCTTCTCTGTCGTCACTCATTAAGCGATCACTGCACAAGTATACGTTCCTCGCGCTCTCCTCGTACTCTGCGCTAGCATCGCACCAAGCTAGTTGGGATTCCCTCATCACACGACGAGCGGACCGAAGCGCCAACGAGCTCAGAGATGGCCTGAACTCGCTACGAGGCGTCTGTTTGCGCAGCTTCCCCGAGTTTTTGGCCGACCTCAAGCTTGCGGCTCTAGGAAAGGGCGGTGAACTCGGTACGGGATTGGCAGACTTCACCGTTTCTGTACGTGTGGTCCACCTACTTTCTCGCGGCAGCGAAAATACTGATGTCTGAGCTGCCAGACTGTCAGGTACATGGAACAGATTGTCCAGGTGCAGGACGGCGTTGGGTCCTCACTGGTCGCTCTTGGTGACGGTAACTGGAAGATGGGCGAAGGTATGCGAGCGGCTGCGAACAAGGGCCCCAAACTCGGTGAAGGAAGCGAGCATATCCTCATCGAGCACTATATCTGTAAGTCGCGGTACCAACCGCCGTTGATATAGATGCTGATTGTCACCCGGTTAGATGACGTGGTCAACACGACCATTGGCAGCCTTCAAACCCTCTCCCGCTCCGAACGTATCCCGGCCTTCGGCTCAGTCTTTCTCCTGAACAACATCTCCTACCTTCGAACATATCTCCTCCGCCCTCGAGCCCCTCTCTTCGCCCTCCTCTCTCGACCCACTCAAGACGTCATTACCTCCAGCTTCAGAACCGCCAAAGCGGGCTACTTTGATTCGAACTTTTCGCCTCTCATTCAGGTCTTAGCAGATGACAAAGATTCTAAGGGAGGTAAAGCAGCGATGAAGGAGAAGTTTGTGCGATTCTTCGATCTGTTAGAGGAGGTCAAAGAGAGACATAAGATGGCGAAGGTGCTGGAAGGGGACGACGAGGATGATGCGAGGGAGATGTTGATGGAGGAGGCGGTGAAGCTTGTGGTTCCGAGCTTGCAGAGATTTACGCAGAAGACGAAGGAGAAGGAATTTAGCAAGAGTAGGTTGCTTGGAGTAGTGTCTCTTGGTTCCTATATACTAACCTGAACTATCATTATCAAACAGATCCGTCCAAGTGTGAGTACGGTCTGCATAGCCAATACGTTCTTGTGCTGATACTCTTTGCCCATTAGATATCAAGATGTCGCCCGAAGAAGTAGAAACGCAGATACGCAGCCTTTACTAGACTCTTTGTATCTCATGACGTGGGATGGATATGCGGACACATACCCTTGTATTCTCCGTGAGCCTCTCCCCATCAACCTTGCCCCCATGGGCCGCTTTTACTATGAAGCCTTGTCAGAAGTGAGCGCTTAAGCTGAAGAGGTATCAGTCAACTAGAGAGGCAGCTAGGTAGCTTGGAAGATAAGACCGTGAGGATTGTTCCTACTGATACGATGATACGGATGCCAGTGACAAGCACTTCCCGACTCGAAAGAGGGTGGGCATCGAGAGCGAGCGCCACCAGTCACATAGAAGTCTGACGTTGGGTAAACGTGCAGCTTGTAAGAGCGCTGTTGTCTTTTCCCCAATGGAGTGGTTGTATTCGACGATGCACCAGGCATATCATATTGTATCGACAGATGCGTAGGAATGGTCTTGACTGGAAGGTGCGAAGCTGACGAGCCATATCCAACGCTGGACATCACCGGAAGCGGAGCTTTATATTTCCACTCCGACACAGCGTTCCGGCTGTTCAGCGCTCAGCCCACCTTCGTGACGCAGCCGGATCAGACAGACATCCAACGAAGGCGTGTTTTGGCGATCAGTTTGTAACCAAGCGCATTGCCTACCTGCCAGTGACAGGCTGATACAGTACTGCTCGTACTCCAGAAGACGGATTCTGCTCCGTATAAGTATCTTCCCAGTCTCTACTGCTGATATTCGCCTATTGCGACGTACACGAAGCGTGTCACTATTGGTGCCAGGAGAACGACCAGGAACCATCCTGCATCTCGAAACAATGACATACCTATGACTGAAGACACATCCGCGATAAACGAACTCATTTTTCGCGCACTGAAGGAGATGAAGGCTCTGAACTCTGTCGAGTAAGTACATTATCCTCTCGGGTCGTTTCGATATGTGAGCCCTTGCTGATCGACCATAGATGGAACTTCGATAGCAGATACTCAAGGTGTGGTATCAACAACACGGTTTCTTGTGCCCTCGGCTCGCTGCCTCTCTTAGAAAAGGTCGAATTGATCTTCCAGTCCCTCGTCTCAAAGTCAGACACTCCATCCTTCTCTACCCTCCCAAACCTCCGAACTCTCCTTATCCGCTGCGACTATCCTGTCGGAAGGTATAATCAGCCAATGGACGTTGCATCGTATCTCGCTTTGATCTTATCCCAATCTCCCAATCTCGACTTCCTCGACGTCGAGATGCCTTCGCACGAAGGCGTCAAAGAGGTCCCTGACCTGAAGGACATCCTCCCAGACTTTTCCTCCGACGCGAGCACTCCTATACCTCTGCGGTATTTACGCCTATCGAACGTCTTTATCACCATCAACAACACACGCTTCCACATCTCCGTCATCTCCATGTTGTGAAGAGTACGATCACTGGTTGGGATATCACCAGGACCTCGACAACGAATGAAGACACGTTCCTTTCTCTCTGTCGTGAGGATGGTAGTTCGGATCTACACACCTGGAGGTCAACTGGATCGAGAAGGGTGGTCACCGTATCATTCCACCCTCCGGCTTGAAACATCTATCGGTCTCTGCGACAGGTCAGGCTGAAGTAATCATCGACGGCACTCCCCTTCATCGTACCTTTTTCTCGGTCATTCTTCCTGGTCATTCTGCGTCTTTGTTGTCGCTGCCCATCAACTCGTTTAATGCGGGGCCTTGGAGTTATAATAGTAGCATGATCAGAGGTGTGCTGAGCTGCGAACGCCTCGAGAAACTCTACATCACTATCTGCGAAGACGACTTTTCAGGCGACGCCATAGTGAGTCGATCTCTATTTCTCACATCAGTTGCTCCACTTGAATGTGCTGACGCCTACATCGCCAGGCAAACCTACTGAACGACCTGAGCTCTCTCCGTTACCTGGAACACCTTGACATCGCCGCCGCCTTCACGCCTGCCGAGTGGTTTTGTGGAAACGGTCTGATGGACCACCACAGGCACTTGCAGAAAAAATTGGCTTCTGCCGTCCAGGAGTTTCGAGGTATTGCAGGACGTCACTACCCGGCTACTGTGTCTGCGGGCTGTGATCATCGCTCAGAAGTAATGGAGGAAGAAGGAGAGTATGTGCATGCGTATATACTGTTCATTGGCGGCCTAACCTACATGCTATGTGTCAGGCGCGTCAACGCATGATCTACAATGACTAGGCCGAGTCCGTCGCAGACTTCCATCAAACCGTCCGGCCTCATTTGTTCCTTTAGCACACCTAGTCACAGTCTACCTCTGAGGATCGAACCACCTAAATACCGAGAGCATAAGTGACGTGCACAACGGGTCTTGACAGAGATACATACTTTGCTCCATCATCTCGAAAGTCAAGGGCAGCACCCTCCTTCAGGCACGCACACCGGTCGAGGTTAGGACACTCATATTCCCATCCTTGGTGCTGATAGCTATGACAAAGGTATTCAGAGATCACGGGCGATTAAAGTTCTGGGGCAGTGGAAAGACGTACCCTAAGTCATGAAACTGGTACGCCTGTTCTCTCCTGAGCAACATCGCAAGTCCGTAGGAATGGACGGGTGCGTCTCCCCATCGCTCGTAGAAGAACCCTGTGGATCAAGAGCTATGAGCGCGGGATGGAAGAACAGGGAACCGAATACGAAGAATCACTAACCGCCAGCCAGGTCCAAAAATTCGAAGAATGAAGTGTATAGCTCGCTCTCCCAAATGCTCCTGTGCGAGATCTCAAAGTTGTTCTACAATCGTACCGTGTGAGAAGGATTCGGTAGACGCTGCCAGGAACAGTAACTCACATATACGGTGTTGCCGGTCGAATCCCCACCGTCGGCCACTCCGTTCAAAGCACTCTCAACAGCACTGTCGCCCTTCCAAGCGAACGGGAGGTTTGCGTCTGGGGGAATCAGTTGCTTATTTTGGGAAAGGAAAAATGAAACGTTCGAGGCGAGCGATTCCTGGACCCAATTTGCGTCGTAAGTGACCTGTACGAAACCTGTCCATCCAATCAGGTGAGCATCTGAGTTAATATATCTGTGGACGTACCGTAGAGCGCGTTTTCGGATATTAAGCGTTCGACTGGGTCGTATGGCTTTGCGAGGGCTATCAGAGGCCTCAACGAAGGTCATAAGTATATCGAACGCACTACGTCGCAATGAAACTCTATGTCCGAGTCCAGTCGCCACAACCAATCATATCGAGATGTCGCGGGATGTCTCCAGAAGAGCCCTGTGCACGGAGGATCATGAGAAAGGCCACCGAAGCATCAGAATCATGTGCTTACCAGAATAGAATCGACACATCGCGCGATATCCAAGCGAGAACCTACCAATTGTCCGTCAATTCGGATAAAAGGGGCGGTCCGCTGAAGAGATGTGTACCCAATATTACGCAGAGATGAGTCGACTCGCTTTTTGTCTAAAAACGCCGGTACGTCCCAATACTCCTGTTCAATAACAGCTAACCGGGAACATAAGTTGTGCATGTCTCTCCGAACCTCTGAGACCACGTACCAAATGTTGCTCTTCCCTCAGTGATATGTGCCACCTTGGCTTTTATCTCATCCGTAATGCTATACGCCTCGTCATACGGTGTGAACAGAACATAAGGATACTTCAAACGCCGATTAAATCGGTCCTCTATGTTGTATAGAGCCATTGTCATCTCTGTCATTCTTGACGGAGAGACGAGCATCACTATGGCGGCTTTTGGATTATCAGCAGCCGCAGGAGTCGTATTCCACTCGGAGGACATCGACAGAATGGCAGTATCTAGGCGGCTAACGTGCGGAAAAAATATTGCAAGGAGGAAGAGGATTGTGGCCGCGAAAAGGACAAAGAAGACCATCACTGCTCGCTGCATCTTCGAATGGCGGCCGATACCAGCTGTTGAGTAGTGGGTGAGGTTTCAGAAGTACAAGCTGTTGGTCTTGGTGGTAGTCAGGCTAAATGCTCGAGTGTGAAAGCTAGATTGCTTGGCGGTCTGAGCAAAAGCCTGGTCTCATATAAACGCTCATGACGTTTTGCAGTCTAGATCCGCGTTATTCCTCGGAAAACGCATCTGCGCCGCCCTCAGGAACGAACAAACAGCGGCGATACCAAGAGAAAAGAAACAGAAACGATGAACACAGATTCCAGAACATCAGAGGAGCCTGACGTCTTGTCTGTGTTGCAGTGATGTTCCATCCGAACAAAGGCTCTTAGAACTCGTAACTTGGAGAACTTCTTGAAAGCAAAGATGTAGCAAAATCGGGCGCTGCTCTTTGATCGGGGTTCATGGCTAACCTGGCCGCATTGGCGGCGAGTGCCCTTGCATGGCCAGCGATGATGATATATGGGGGATGGTTGTGCGAACCGGCGTTGATATCGTAGGTCATAGTTAGTCAGATTGATAACACACACAATCTGGTGAAATATACTGGGACTTACATCGTACTCGTCCGTGCCAGCACAGGCACTAGGTCTGGCCATCTATTTGCTGGTGGGCCTGGGGGTGGCTATCACTAGCACTAAGTCAGTATACATACGAGGGCATGTTGCTATTCACGTCATACTCAAGAATGCACCTGACGCTCCACATACCTATAGTGATGCAACGAGATTTATATAGGCTATTAGTTGGTGTGAGTGTCTGTCCTGAGAAGAAACACACACGTCTGTTCTCAACGACGACTCAGAATTTGGAGTCGTTCGGAAGCCAATCGGAAGCCTGAGGGGATTGTCAGTTTCAGGGTCAGCTGGACTCCGAAACGTCGGAGTTACAACTGGGGTGATGAGCTAACGTGCGTCACCTGTCACCCAATTCTCCGTTCTGTCCTTCTCCATCTTGCTCAGTGCTCAGTGCTCAGTGCGTCAGTCTGAAGGTCTGAGGGACTCACCGTTACACGTGTCCTTCAATTCTCGAGGCCTGCCTCATTGGTACGGACTGAACTTGAGCATGAAAACGTGCAAGGTCCTGATTTAGTGAAAGGTTTTCTCGCACGAGCTATACTGTTTACCCTTTTCCTACCGCCCATCTACTCACCGCTGTTCTATAAGTAAACAAGGTATCCCCAATCTTCCAGTCACTGATCACCGCCTGCTCTCTGCCATATTCGGCCTTTGAGATCCGATTCGCACCTCGTCACCTATCGTCGCCTGATTCGCTCGCAATAATGTCCACTATTCGCTGCGTTTAGGCCTTCAAACTATCCTCCGAAGGTCTTCGCTGTATCGCACTTGTACATGAACTCTCCTGATCCTGTTACAGCACTTGATTTATTGACACTTAAAGGCCATGCATCTCCATCTAAATCTAACCTCCCACGCCGTGTCACTCGAAATATTTTCACGCCGAGTTTAGTACAATGTGGCGATATATTTAGTCCATTTGATGCTGCAATCTTCCCTTTTTTTTTTTTTTTTAAATTCAATTGCATTTGTATAGCGCCAGCGAAAGCCAGGGGCGCTGAAAGTAGGTACTAGTCAACTATCTACAGTACGAGAGGGAGTTGGTAAATACAATCTTCCCTTTCAGTCAACAGAAGTCCATGCATGGGAGACGAAGAGCCGTGGCGGTCTTTACCATGGCGTGAAGTTACATCCATATAGCTTTCTTCCCGGTCGGAAGTTACTGACGTTCTGTTCATGTGCTCCATGTAGAAGCCGATATTGTGACGAGCAACGTGTTACGATATGCCCACCTCCACGACGTTCGCCCCTTCTGCCACAACCCCCTCTTCCTGACAGCGCAGAGTCGTTAGTCTCGCGGATATACCGTATGCTATCATCTTTTAAGTGACCCGGACAATGGGAATCTCTCTGGTAAAAGCGGAGTTATTGGCGCTTTTCCTCGAAACATTTGTGTATGGTACGTACATTTACATCTTCCTTAGCACTGAAGTTGTCTGATATCCTTTGGCCTAGGCGTTTTCTTCATCCTTGACATCTTCCTCCTCGCAGTCCTAGCCTCTTCGAGAGATACAGGAAAAGCATCTCGGACGATCGCCTCGATCGCCGTCCTGATGCTCCTTCTCGCCACAGCAGTACGCTGCTCTCCTATGGTCAAAATGCCACCACATTACGAACCATCTAACTCCTCATACATTCAGCATCTCGCGGTTGACTTCGTCCGAGCGTTTCACGCATTCATACCCGAAGGCTCAGAGTCGATCCCTGCGTCGAGCATCTCGGGGTACTACGGCGACCTGTCTGCTCCGATTTTCACAGCGAAGACGTGTCTGTATTGGGCTCAGACGTTGCTTGGTGATGGCGTGATTGTACGTCTTCCATTCATGATACAGATCTAGGCGAGCAATGGAAAGCTGACACCGTAATTCTATAGGTGTGGCGTTGTTACGTCGTTTTCAGTAGACGATTACTTGTTATTGTTCCGCCTGTTGTAGCTATGGTTGCTGCATTTGGTACGTCTATATCTTTTGTTGCTACCCGTTGAAGTGTTTCGACTGGACTGATCAAATGGTTGTATGTAGTCTCTGGGGTCCTCGTCATGAATACCTGGTCCAAAGTCGTTCCCGGAACCTCCACCTTTGTCACTGCCCCACCCTTTGTCACCACCTTCTTCTCTGTTACCGTGTTTGTCAATGTCTACTGCACCTGTAGGTACCCATTCTGTCTCGTAAAACTCTTATACCGCTCTCATCTCATGTTGACTCCACTTCGAAGTGATGATTATCTACCGAATATACACCACTGGTAGCTTCCGCGACGACTTCCGCCTCGGAATGAGCGGCATGGTACCCGTTATCGTTGTCCTCGCAGAAAGTGGAGCCCTCTACACGTCAGGTATTATTGCGTTCTTGTGCACATACATCGCAGGCTCGAACGGCCAGTACCCCGCGCTAGATATTATCACGCCGCTGATTGTAGGCTCATCCATCTCGATGCATGCTACTCTCTGGCTGATCATTTGTGTGCATAGGGCATCGTATATTGTCTCATAATTCTCCAAGTCCGCTTCCACACCTCGGGCTCCCGCTTCTTCACCTCCACCTTCTCTACACCTACTGGACCGATTCGTCACAATCATCGTCCTCGATCATCCAACAGTACACATATCTCGTGGATCCATCCTACCGACCTGACGAGCACTGGCATGGAAGATTCTGACGATTTAGTGGCGCGTGGGGGTGCTGGGGAAAGGCTGGAGGAACTTCAGTGGAGGGTGCCGGTGCCAATTTATGGGCATGGTAATGACGAGGAACTGGGTATACGAGGTTCCAGTGGGAAAGAGTTTGGGGAGACACTTCGGATTCAGGGTATGGAGATGGAGGTAAGGTCGAAGTTGGGGACCGTTTGGGAGGACCCAGAGAGATGATAGCAAATATACCACCATGGATGACTTCGTGAGGTTCGATATCACGCAGGTATTGCATACAAATGCATACACAGTGAGCCCAACTTACTTAACGGCTTGTATCAGTACTCGGATGCTCGGAGTGAGCATCGCTCGCCCAAGCCTGGGGTAGTGGCCGCTATCGTTTGTACTGACTATTGGGTGGCCCCTCGAGTGGCACCAAGTAGTGCATGTAGCTTGGGAGCCGGCAGTATCCGGGGTGAGTCCGTCGAAAGTGGCTCATAAATGGCCAACAAATGATCTCCTTTGACCACCATCCCTAATTGCGACCGATCCCTACGTGCGCACATCTCACTGTCTTGTAAAACTTCTCGAATAAACACTGGATATGACCCTATTGTTACTGAAAAGTCGCGTTCTTTCGTGGAGGGGAAATGCGGGTTTTCCGACGGGACAGGACTATTCTCCTTATCTACGCCCCTAGCTATCTGCCGTGGCATCCACCTTGACCGATCCTTGGGCCTGAATCCTCGAGCTCGTGTTCAGTCTTAGATATCAAACCCATATAACAAATGTAGAGCTCTTCCCGGAAGCTATATATTCGACGGTAGCGGTCGACGATGGTCATCGTTCGACTTCTCCCTACTTCTCCCTCTTCGGACAGGTTGGAGTTTCAGAGATGAAGACAGGGGTGAAGTCTACAATCGCACTGGTTTTCCTTCTTCAGGGCCTGCTGTCGCGTGCGGACGAGGTACACTCGCACCATGTCCCTCTTGGCTACATATCTCCAGCCGTCTCGCCCGTCTCGTCCTCCAACGCAGACTCCAAGCAGCCGCAAAACTACTTGGCTAAATATGGGCCCCAATCCGATCTCTCCTACACAGGCCCACTGTCCTTCTCACACCTTGATTATGCTCGCTGTCTCGATGACCCATCCACGTCCTATGATATCGCCATCTTCGGCATGCCATTCGATACCACGACTTCGTATAGGGCTGGTGCGCGGTTCGGGCCGCATGGAATCAGGCTGGGGAGTAGGAGGCAAAGCGAAGTGTGGGGGCACTCGTTAGCATGGGGGATGAACCCATATGAGGGAGTGAAGGTCATGGATTGTGGCGATGTACGTGTCTGTTTTACTTTTCTCGTTTGGCTGGAGAATTCGAGGTGGAGAACGAGACGGCATATTGATGGATAATGTGATAGGTCCCGTTGAGCGCATACGATAATTTGCTCGCGTTGGACCAAATGGAAGTCGCATATGATACTCTGCTTTCCCATTCCGTCTCCAAATCCAACTGGACCCATCCTAAGATCGTCACGTACGTACAATCGCTTTCCTGCTGTCGATACGTACACATCTCACAGGTCACTAATATGCATCCTAAAACCTATCCAGACTCGGTGGCGACCATACGATTGTCCTTCCCATCCTTCGTTCTCTCAACAAGTTCTATGGCCCCGTCTCGGTCATCCACTTTGACGCGCATCTTGACACCGGAGGCCCCAAGCGCGTACCTGCTCCACCAAAGCCAGACCCAGTCACCCATGGAAGTTATTTCTTCGTCGCGAATGAGGAAGGACTGATGATCAAGGATACGAATATTCACGCGGGGATTAGGCAGAAGATGCCGGTGCGTCTGTCATTTCTGCCTGAAGCCGCCTGCGCAAATCTGGCTCTTTAACTGAAACATGGCGACTTGCTGGGAAATTGGTGGTTCTTAATCATAGGGGGAGAGCAGCATGAAGAATGACCTCGACGTCGGCTTCATAATCATTTCTGCTGAAGATATCGACGACATTGGAGTCAATGGAGTTATCAAGCGCATTCGGGATCGTGTGGGGAATAATCCTGTATATCTCACGTATGTCCCTGCGTTCACGATGGCTTGCAGTGCAATTTTCCTGCCGTTGCAGTGTATGTGCTCGTACTCATGACTGTTGGCTGTTGGTTTGGGCAGGCTTGATATCGATACCCTCGATCCTAGCATGGCTCCCGCAAGTACGTTCATTCTTTTTCATAGACATCCACCCCGGTCAATTCTGATAATAACCTGGTCACAGCTGGTACACCCGAAATTGGAGGATGGACAAGCCGTGAAGTGAAGCGAATTATCCGGGGTCTTTCCGGGTTAAATTTCGTGTATGCCTCTTCAAACACTCCTGCCTTATATTCTTCTGCGTGCGATACTGATCATCTTGTGTTCCCCATGCCCCAGTGGTGCTGATCTAGTCGAAGTTGCGCCCGCGTATGATAATGGTACGCTCCGGTCTCTTCAGTCTATATGTTATCGTCCTGGACTTCATCCTGACATCATATTGAATCGTCTTGATAGCCGACATCACAGCTATCGCAGCCGCGGACATCATCCACGACTTCCTAGGTGCGATGATGAATTCGAAGCCACCAGGCTCGCGGGATGAGAGGAAGGCTTCGAAGGCGGCGCAGGAATTATAGGGTAGACGTTTTGGGCGCACGAGTTCTCGGAGCATGTATGTATGCACTATATCATACGCAAGTGTGTGTATGGAAAGGATTACAGAACATGAAGAGCGACATCGGACCGGTAGATCAGATCTTGAGGGTGCACTCTTCGTTCATGCAGTCGGCCCCATCGATACATTGAGATAGGCCACACCCGCGCATTCCTCGGGATCAATGACAACGCGTCCGTAATGGGATGGACTATTGCCAGCTTTTGCTCCCGTTTAGTCCTGTTCCTTGTCCGTCTGTGTCCTGACGCCATCGTGCGCAAGGGTGGCTATTAGAGGCCTATCTGCTCGGAGTCTAAGGTAAGTAACTTCACATACATTTACAGTTCTGATATGCTTATCTTGTCATACTACCGTACCTGACCAGACCAGACCTTAAAAAGGTTTGGACCAAGTGCACGTACTAGGATGTCTAAGTTCCCCTAAGTTCTCAATGCGAAACATAGCCCTTCAGGTGAGGTGTATCTTGAGGCAGTGATCCTTTCCACTGGTGAGTCACCGGAGTCATCATCATGCTCAGCGGACCACATCAAGTGCGTGGGAAACGAACTAACCACCTCGAAGACGGTGTACACGATAGGCAGTGCAGGTGTATCGACATGGCGTTGATGGCTTTGACGGCCTGGGTAAACCTGTTGGAAAGTGTACGTCCTTTAGCGTACTGGCTGTTGGCTTTGCATTCTACTCGTTGCCCGAGCCCGATGTAGACCGAGTATATAATTCGCCTACCGCTTTGACTTGACGTCTCTCTACTACAGCTACAACTCATACTCTTTACTTGGATCTACTCCTTGTATCACCTTCTTCACACCATCTTCATCGGATAAACCAATGACTTCGACAACAATGAAAGTCTACACCATCGGAGGTTCCCGCAATATTGGATATCACGCTAGCCTCAGGCTTCTTCGTAAGTCCATCCATTTTCCTCGTGTGTTAGCGTCGTGTCAATCTGAATCTGCACCATGGTTGTTTGTAGATAAAGGCGCCACAGTGACGTTCCTCCTCCGAAACCCCTCTTGTTTTGATGAGGATGAAGCTATCCAGGGATTCGTCAAGCAGGGAAGGGTCCGAACCGTGAAGGGAGATGCTTTGGTGAAAGAAGATGTCCGTCGAGGTTGGGAGGTAGCGGGTCAGAATGTCCCAGGTTCCTCGTCAGACGCGGATGGACAAGTCGACGTTCTCCTTTTCACCGTCGGTAAGTTCACCTATACCTTTGCTGCTTTCTCGGAAGATTAGGTTGAATTGTGGTGCTAAACCCTATATCTCTCAGGTGGCACGCCCACATTCAGCCTCACCTGTGGTTTCCTCATCTCGCCACCCGATCTCTGCTCCCACTCACTGATCAACACCCTCTCCACCATGCCTCGCACATCTACCCTTCCACGCATCGTCGCCGTCACATCAACCGGCCTCACACCCGAGAACACCTCCACACTGCCCCTCGCCATGCGTGTTTTCTATCGTGTCCTCCACAGTCCTCACAAGGACAAACAAGGCGCCGAAAGGATTCTCGCTCGGGCGCTCGGTAATCCGGAATCTGAGGAACACATCCTACCGGAAGATTGGGACCAGACCGAAGGATTGCCAGGGAAGGGAGAGTTGAAGCGTGTGGTGGTAGTGAGACCGGCGTTGTTGACGGATGGAGAGTGTAAGGAGAAGTATAGAATCAAGGCTGAGGGAGATTTGGCGGTGAAGGGTGGCTACACGGTCAGCCGGAAGGACGTGGCGCATTTTATCGCCGAGAGGCTTCTGGGAGCGGAGTGGGATGCCCTGGAGGGCAAGGGCGTGAATGTAGCCTATTAGATAATTCTTAGTTCTGTCAGCTAGTTCACAATCTTGGTTTCGGACTGGACCGGATGTATTCCTTGTATGCTGGCGGCCTGCTTCCAATGTACTGCATCTTCACTCTCGCTCATCGCATGGTCGATGCGCACAATGGTCCATTGCCATGTCCAGAAAGCAGTCAATGACATCCGCATCGTTGCATGTCATGGTCCAACATACGTTAGAAACGATGCCGGCCAGAGGTCGAAAAGAGCTGCAAGATGAATCGATTTCTTGCATCGATACAATACACAAATGCGCAGGCAAGGATACATCCCCAACCACCAGATCTATACCTATGCTATCTTCACAGTCTAAATGTACCCAACACCCACAAAACACATGTCAGCAAAGCAGACAGGCCAGTCCGGAAAGAACGGACGCACCTTCGCGTAGAGCGACTCCACTACCTTGCTTACTTGTTCTAGAGTATCAATGGCAGCACCGTACGTGTTCTGTCCGATTGAAGCGATAAAATTAGCATATGCAGGAACCGAAACCAGGTAGAGTGATTAGGGAGAATGGCTACGTACGTCGCCTTCCGTTTCATCGAAGACTAGGAGGCATCCCCGTCCTTGATCGAGAACGCCGTGGAAGACTTTGTCCAGGATCATCTGCGACAGCCTATCAAGTCGACACCACCCATGCCACATCACAGAGAACGTCAGCGTTCCTCGCGAAAGAAAGAGAAGCAGAAGCAGAAGCAGAAACGCACTTCGCCTCGACATCCTGCCTGCCCTGTCCGACCCTCTGCGCCACGTATTCAATCTCCACCACTGAGTAGGGCTCGACTATCCGGAGCAAGTTCTGTTCAAGAAGAGTGTCGTACAGCGCTGCGAGATGTGAACGGATGGTCGGGTCTGAGGAAAGTTCTGCATTTGCCACCAAATCAATATCTAGTACAAGTGAAGAGAAAGACCGTGTGAGCTGACCTTCCCGGTAATCTCGGAGTGCCTTTTCAAAGTCTGCAAGGTCACGGTTCTGGTGTGCCCGTGCAACCGCACGCATGCTCTCGACATCTCTAAGTTGTGCGTACTTCAGGGCCAGCTTGATCGAAAGTAGAGAAGTCACGTCCTCTGGCTACACGTGCAGAGTTAGAATGTCATCATTTACTGCCAGGGTAGATGGACCTACGAGGTTCAACATGACTTTACACAATAACATATACTTCAACGCGTTCAGGGCTCCAGGATCATCTTGCGCGCTCATGTTCTCGAATGTCTCGAAGAAGTATGAGTACGCAGTCGTGTAGTCTTTGTCCTCCGCGTGAAGAATTCCAGATTGGAGGTCGAGGGCGGCTTGGAGATGGGGTGGGCAGTAGATCGAGTTTGCAGCGGTGCGGGAGGAGGTGAGGGCGGCCTATCAGATCAAATAAGAAAAAAAAAGAAAACCATTGATACAAATCTCCGGATGTTGAGGAAGGATGTGAAGGAGGAGGGGGTTGCAGACCTTAGCTTTGGGAAAGTTTCCTGTTCCCCGGTGGACGCGGGATTCGAGGAGGTGGACTTCGGTAAGGATCATCTTGTCGTCGAGGCGTTTGAGTTCGGTGAGGAGGCTATCAATGAGTGCGAGCGCTGGCTTGTATTGACCGATGTCGAGTTGGCTATAATATGAGACGATTATCAGCATCATGACCTACAGCAGTAGTTTTAATATAATGGTCAAAGTAATAAAATTTAATACCACCCGTATCAACAGAAGTAAAAGCTCTTTAGGGTGGATGTTCAATGAGTCCTCGCCTGGAAACACAGATATTCCGAGATCTAGTCTGGGCCACACACGCCACACAGCTATTCTCGAAATCGTCTCTACGGAGGGCGACAGGTTAAGATGCCCAGCTTATAAAACGATATAGCGCCCTGTACGGCATCTTCATACGCAGGAGAAGGCACTATATTTATATTGGCGTGTTGCGGACTGGCGGATTGCATAACAGACGCCGTAGAGGACTTCGTTCGAGTGGCGAGTAACCTGGTCCCAACTCACTGTCGATCCAAGATGAAGTGAGAACTTACATTCCAATAAGTCTTGTCTCCAGCGATTGCTTCAAGAATATCCGCTTCTCGCGCTTGGCCCAGTCGATATTATCAGTTAGTACGGCGATTTGAATGTTCTGGCTGTCCGGGATAGGATTGAAGAAGTCGAGGAGAGTGCGAACTGTACACTCATATTTAGACAATGAAATATGACGGGTGATGTAACTAACTGAGTTTGGCTGTCTTTGCCTTCGCTGTGGAAGACATAAAGGCCCGGGAGAGTGTGATGACTTCCGCCAGTCCCTGTGGGTTCCTGAGCAATAGAGTAGGCAAGCAAGGTCAGTCTCATACATGTCGGAGCATTGTCAAGAATTAACGCACTTCTGATCTCTATAAAGTTCTCCTAGCTTAACGAGCGCGGTCTCCTGGTTCCTCAACGCCTGATCCTTGGACGCATCGTCCGTACCAGCCACAGCGTCATTCCCTGAGGCATTGAGAATATCCCTGAAAATTTGTTCGGCGCGTTTTGGGTCTGTCTTTGACAGTGATTGTGCTTCAGTAAGGAGGCCTGCGGTGCTGGACATGATTAAACAAGGAATGGAGGGGATAATGACTTCGTGCAGGTTCAGGAAAGTGAACGCGTACGCGTACGCGTCAGACCCGATTCAGGGGTTAGGGTGTTGTGCACAACAGTGGCGAGCCCGGGTGTGGGGTTAGGGTGCCTGTTCAATTGGTGGTGACGCGTCGCGTCCATCGCAAGCCCCTCACGCGTTCACCGTTCCCTTCGTCTTCCAGACCCCGACCTCACTACTTTTGACAACGAGCTCAACAATGGCCGAAGATAACGTTCTCCCCATTCCGAATCTTACTCTCCCACAACAATATTATACTCTTCTCCAACCTTCCCTCTCCACTCTCCATGCAGCGGCCCGCACATCTCTCCTGGAAGGTATCAAGGCAGACTCCATGGCACCATACTATCGCCTAGTCACTGCAGCAGGTGCACTTAACATGGACGAAGAGCTGCTGAAACAGATGGAGAAGCAAAATGAGGAGGAACTCGAAAAGTTGGACAAGCGGCTGAAGGACGCTGAGGAGACGGAGGGTGAGAGCGAAATCGGGGACGCACTGAAAGCGAAGGCGGCCTATTTGACCAAGATCGGAGAGAGGGTGATATAGTTTCAGCCTATGTGATAAATGCCTTTGACTCGTGAGCTGATACTTTTGCACAAATTGGTTGCAATAGGAGAAGGCCATTGAAGCTCAAACGCTTGCCCTGGACAAAACACCAGGGCTTGGTTCGCGCATCGACATCACCCTTACTCTTGTCCGAATTGGGCTCTTCTTCGCCGATATCCCATTAATTACCTCCAACCTCACAAAAGCCGAATCTCTCGTCGACGAAGGAGGAGACTGGGATCGCCGGAACCGCCTGAAGGTCTATTCCGGTCTACACGCGCTGTCAATACGGAAGTTCAGGCAGGCCAGCGACCTGTTCATTGATGCACTGAGCACGTTCACTGCGACAGAGCTACTGTCGTACAACGACTTTGTGGCGTTGACGGTCATTAGTGCTGTATTGACGTTGAACCGGGTGGATCTGAAGAAGAAGGTATGTTGAACGATCCATTGACAAGTTTTTCTCTTTCTACTATTTGGGGTGCAGATAGACCACGGCCCACCCTGCAGGATTGTCACATGAGGCGTCTGCCACATACGTTCTACTTAGATCACCGCGTTATGTTTATCTAATATACTCAACGGCTAATTTTGCGCTCTATCCCCAGATTATCGCAGCACCAGAAGTCAACCAAGTTCTTCCCGAACTCCCAGTTCTTGCTGATGTCACAAAATCTCTGTACGACTGCCACTACGACAAGTTCTTCGTCGCCCTCGGTGCGTTTCAGTTGCATACCCTTCCCACCATAAATTTCGTCTTCAAGCTCGCTTACATCCTTCAATAGCAACCCTTGAACAAACCCATCTGCTACCCTCGCGCTTGCTCGCACCACACGCGCGGTACTACGTCCGCGAGATGCGTATCCTCGCCTACACCCAACTCCTCGAGAGTTACAGAAGTTTGACACTGGAGAGCTTGAGCAGAGCCTTCGGTGTTTCTGTAGAATTCATGGACACGTTCGTACCCTTTTCCTTCCATCCATCCGATAACTAATCATACTCACTAACTGCTGCGTTTCAATATTGATATGGGCTGTTGGGTCTTGTAGCGAACTCTCCCGCTTCATCGCCTCGGGTCGTCTGCATGCCTCCATTGACAAAGTACATGGGATCGTCGAGACAAATCGGCCGGAAGTGAAGAATGCGCAGTGCGAGACGGTGTTGAGGAAGGGAGACGTGCTATTGAACAGTGTGCAGAGGTTGAGTAAGGTTTTGTATTAGTTGCGACCGCCGGTGTCCAGTCAGTTCTGCCTTGTGTTTCGCATTTCGAATCAGGAAGCTGGGTGTAATATTGTGGTGCAGACTGTTATGAGATATTGAGGACGGGACTTCATTGCTTGGAGCTAGGAGCGCCACATCACCGACAATCGTGGGACATTCGCTGTGCCACGCCACCTGGAACGAGCTCTGGCCAGTAACGTTTTGCAGGCCTCGACGTGTTTGCCTTTGACCATACGATTCTCAAATGATACAACAGAATATGAATAAATCTATATGTCTAGAGGACCAGAACATCGTTACGCAGCACTCGTCGTCATCCTACACAGGTCGCATCCTTACATGGTATACCGGAACTAGAGTCCATCGACCATTAGCAAGAGCCAGACCACAAGGAGTTAGAAACGTACATATGGATTCTCGAAATCCGTCGCATCTGCCTCGCCGAGTCTCTTTCCTTCCTTGACACGTTCTTCGGGCGTGAGGCCGTCGTTCGCTATGAGCTTGTCCTTGCGCCGATTGCGGACAACGTAAATGATGCGCCAGACTGTGTTTATAATGATGCGATGAGGATGAAGGTCCAAGAAAAGCAAGAGAATTATGTCATTAAATAAGAGGGCAGGGGTGAAAAGGGACGTACGGCATATCAAGAGGACCTCTGCGCCAAAGCTTGCAGCGCATACCGAGCTTGCCTTGATATACCTTGGCTATACCGACATTGAACGCACAATACAAGTCGTACACGGGTTAGCCAGCGTCGAACTTGACCTTATACAAGGGCCACAATTAATGCTACGGGCGTGACTTACAGCATCCTTGCTCTGAAAGATTTGAGAGCCGACCATGTTACCCACACAATATCCCACGAACGTTAACGAGCTCGCCACCGTGCGTTTGGTGCGACCAGGGATGTTAGATGGGATGAGGCTCCATCCCATGAACATAGAAACTACAAAAGGAGTTGTGAGGAAGAGACAGCCTGTCGATTCGCCATATCGATAAAATGTCAGCTACCAACGAGAAAGAAGTCGAAAATACCGATGCGAACGTACCCCACTTCGTCCACCTATACTTATCATCGGACGGAAGAATGACAAGACCTAGGAATCCGGCGAGGGGACATAAGGATGAAAACACCATGAAGTATAGACGAAGATTCTGGTATCGTGAAACCGTGAGGCCGACGACAATGAACCAGAGCACACTGAAAACGTTGCTCGGAAGACCGTAGAGGATGACCTCCAGAGAGGCTATGTGAACAAGGAAACCATCAGCCTCCACAGTCAGATTCCTTCCTTAGCCTGAAGTTAACTCAAAATGAAACGCACTGAAGCCGAAAGACTTGTAGAGGATAGATCCGAAAGTCGTTAAGCCTCCGTTCGGGACAGAGCTGAAAAACGCGTTCAACAGCGTGATGTAGACCTTGAATACCACGCCACATTTCTCATCAACATTCACATATTTTGACCACCCTGATAGAACATACCACAGGATCGGAGAAAGCCTCCCTAACTTGGCTCCACTTCCAGCTCTTCACACCCGTGGTATCATGTCCCGTCTGATTCGAAACAATCCTAGCGTTCGCCATTCTTCGTTCTTCCGGCGTCACCCAACGAACTTCAGAGGGAGTACCGAGCAGGAATAGGCATATGATTCCAACTGCAATGGTGACGGAGCCTAGGAACTAACGTCGGTGCAAGAGGCAGTGAGTCATGAAGATATGAGGGCTACAGTATATGTGAGATGACTCACGTAGGACATCCCGCGCCAGGATTCGTCGCTCGAGTCTCGAGCTCCAATACCGTAGAGAATGAGTGAGCTGATAATTCCGAAGCCGGCGTTTGCACTCTGCAATTGCACACTTCTCGGTCAGCAATGAATACCTCATTGTACAATAACCGACGTATATATTGACCTGGAAGAATAGCGCTCTGGAAGGGTGCTCGCGGGTTTTATACCAAGAACCAATGACGAGAACAAACCCTGACAGACGCATGGTCAAGGCTAAGATGATTGAATATTATACGGATTGGAGACATACCTGGAGAGATGCAGCACTCCGCGATGCCCTGAAGAGCTCTCAGCGCAATGAGTTGGCTAAAGTTCTTAGCTGTTGTTTGGGCCAAAAATCAACATGACCGGTCATGGTACACGAGACTTCAGGGACGAACCAAAACCTATACACAGAACGATAATTCCCCATATTATCATGCAAAGAGACAGTGTTCGCCCCATTTTCCATCGTTGAAGAAGAAGGTTGGAAGGAAACTGCAGGATTGTAGGTAACCTGAGGTTATACTGCACAAACATCGATCATACCTCGAAGCACATGTACATCAGATCTGACCATCGAAGCATGGCCATAGTCAGTCTTTGGGCCCATGAGCGGGTGATATGTACAGTACTCACAGAAAATAGTTGTAAGCCATTGATATTGATTCCCAACTAGCCCCGTGCTCGTTTCGAGACCAAAGTTTGCCTGAGTGCCGAGTGAAGTCTTGTCGGACTGTTGAAGACCTGCTCGCGAGTGCAATGAGTATAATTCATCAATATCTGAGGAGATAGGGACTGACCGTAACACAACCACATGAGAGGAAGCAAGTACCGGTCGATCTTGCGTTTCAGAGTCTTGTACTGCTCTTCCGTGTATTGACCCTCCGCAAGCACTACGATGAAGGACATGTTAGAATTTTATGACTGTGCTCAAGGTGCATCTGGAGCTCGTACCAACATCTGAGTCGTCTTCCACATCGTACACTTCAGCAACTATGTCATTCTTCTCCATGTCCAAGGCCTTCTCAGTGACTTTTTCGATGTCGGCGTTAGGCTGGTAGCCGAGGGTGGACGAAGCGGGAGGCTGATTAGTCGACATCTTGTGTTGGTTGAAGAGACGAAGAGACATGAACGGTCGAAAGAACAGCCCACGAGTTGTATGATCACTCGATTGCGCCTATTTCTAGCGGCACGGGTATATCATTTCAGAGGTAGACTTCGGATAAGTGATACGGATAGAGTGGAAGTGGTGAATGTACGTGTCCGTCCATGCACTGCTCGACGGGATGTCCTTATCTGTGGAAAGGTTCGCTATCACAAAGATATACTATCGGGAGGTTCTGCGCGTGAAGCCCTTGAGTGTGACCCTTCTATGTGAATGCAGAGCCATCTTTAGAAAGACTCGACAAAAGTGACTGCGAGAACTGATATCATGAAGAGTCCGAACAAGCGGGAGAAGTGTCTGCTCGTTCTATTCTTAGAGTCTGCAGGTTCTCCGGACCTCAATCTCTTTGGCTAATGTCGTAGTTATATGAGCACAGTCAAAGGCTCATGTGTGGAGGGGCCACGTCCACGATAGCGAGCCAAGATGCGACACATGATGAATGAACAAGACAGCAGTGAGACGTTGGGCGGGACCTGCGACCTACACCTCCAGCTCAAATTTTGTCAGATGCCGGTGATACTGAGCCACAGTCCGGAATGGAGAGACCTCCTAACTATAACCAACAAAACAGGCTCGTACTACACCGTAGTCTAGACTCGGGGTTAAGCAAGTGCAAACTTAAGCAAGTTGAAAGCAAGAGTACTGAACTCAGCTTGTCGTGTCGGTATGTGTAAGTACGGCAACCTTGCGGCAACCATACCAAACAATTATACGAAAACTGGTTCGAGGAGCCGCTTGGTACATTTCTGAAGACATTCCTCGATTCTATGTGCCCAGGTACAGATCTTACCTGCGTGAAAGAGAAGATAGACAAAGAACACCATGATGGTAGCCGACCAGCCGCGTCCCGCGTCAATTGTGTTGCGGCCGCCCGGCCCGCCTCAAAAATCCCTTATTAGGGTCATTACAGATCCTTCCGATCAACTTCCCACCTTTATGTCTTCGTAGATTTTTTTCCCTTGAAGACATTGCCCATACTCTTCATAGAGATCCGACCTTGTATGCATCAACGAATCACTTATTTACTCTCCGTCACGACCAATGCGCTGGCTCAGAACGTGTGACTCGCTCAACACGGCAGAGCACACTCGCATTCAACAGTAAGTGCAGCTTTGACACGCTCTCTGTTTTCTCTCCTCTTAGATATGTCTTCTTTTCATCCAGGCCCCGTCATATAATGAATACCCCCGATAGTGTGCAGTAAAGCCTTGGAGCAATTCAGCGTCACGTACGCCTTGTTCACCTTTGTCCATCCTGACCTCATATACGAAATTGCTCACCATCCAAAGTTGAACTCTCTAGACTCCATGGACCTAACCTCCACTGCTTGTCCTAGCACAAGTCACCGGAAGCTCAAGATGATTTAGACGACGCATGTAATCTAGCAGTAGAACGCATCAAAATGATTGTCCAGGGTTGTAATCAAGACGTTAATCCTGAAGACGAACGGGCCTAAACAGAGAAGAGATACAGCCTGAGAGCGGTAGGTTGTAGTTTGCAGTCGAAATATGACCCGAGAAAGACCAAGGGCAGTCCATGGAGGTATCTCTTTCCACGCCACTCAGGCTCTGCGCCCTCTTGCTGACTACTTTCCAACGGACTTCGATACACCTCCATTCAGTCCAATGTCTTCCAAGAGACTATTCCGCCTTTGTAGAGCCTTATACGGCTCTGATTTAGGATCAGAATGTCCAGTGAGATTGCCTAAGTGTCACCGGAGACAGAACGAATGCGATCTCATCCCGAAGGTATGTCCTGGCCTGTATTTGAACCCGTGAGTTCGTCTCCGGGCTTACTGCTGAGATCTCCTTTCGCTGCCTGCCAGATTCTTGGAGGGTATGCAGCTCTTCCACCGCTTTCTGCAATCTTCATTTGTCCCCGTTGCGGGCGTATGATTTGGCGGCTGTTTGTTCCAAGCCATGCCTCGAAGAGAACCGTCTCCCCACATTCGTGTTCAGGACATTTTTTCGATGTTCCTGTACCTCTCCAAGGTTGCACTTGGAGTGTTCTATTCTATCTGCGAATAACATAATGATATAGTTCCAAAATATATCGAGAGGTCGTGGGGTCCTAGAGCGAATGGGGATGTGGTGCTTCTGTGTTGAAGTTCACGGGCGCCACACAACGCTTACAGCTAGTCAGCATGCACTACCAGAAGGAGGAAGACCCATAAGCATTTCAACTGCTTTGGAATCTTGCCTCACTCATCATTTGATGCAACTCCAGACAGTGCATTCGCCAAATTACATGCTGGACAGTATTGCACCCTTTTCTGGAGGAGGAAATGACCACGCGTTTAGGGAGGCCAAAAAATGATGTATTGTCATCTTCACTACCAAGACGTCGCCGTTTCAAGGTTGACTGGTTCTGGTCTCCGCTCAACTAAACACGGGTCTGCCTTCATAGTTCAGTGGAGGTAACTCCACCCCGAGCCTATTTTCTGACAGAACCTCACAGGCGCAATGTTCCGATAGCGGACGATTGAGTTCAGTGGAGGCTTTGCGTCTTGAGCGCCACACCAACATTACACTAGCGAATACAGTAAACTTGGTTCCTGTGCGGTGAACAAGCGCTCGTCCTGCAATACTTGATGATGGATCTGGTAGATGTTACTCATCAATGTCGGCCATCTGAGCGGCCTTTTGCATTCCCGTATATTTGTCTTTTTATTTTACTTTTACGAACTCATGCTTCCTTCCTTCGAAAGGGTAGATGGGATTGTTCCACCAGTAAAACTGTGAAACTGCCACTGTATGTGACCGATTTCATCGTGCGCGTTTCGATGATTTCAAGCCGTATATATTTTCAGAGAGCAAACATCTAAAATAATGGAGGTAATCGACATGCCTCTGTGAGATGCCCCTCCTTAAACGCCGAGTGGGTAATAGTGCAGTCTTGCACTGGCGGTCAAGTCTCTGTGACTGATGCGTGGATGTTTCATTGTTATCGTCGATGCCTGTGGTGTCTTCGGGCGCGGATGACACGATCAAGTTTGCGACGAATGTACGGGAGCTATTTATGATCACCCCTTGATCAGTTACATTCATTCGGCTTACCGGTCGTGGGTCAATCCCAAAAGACTGGCGTCTGAATGTATATTTCTATCGACGACTTTATCCAGTTCTTATTTGCTTGGAGATACGCACAGCGAAGGTCCACCCACACCGATGTCCGTGAGGGCTTCACGCCTAACCCTGACTCTAGTCATGCATGGAGTATTCCCAAGCCTTAGTGATCTTGATTGCAGAGCTGTCTGATCTCGAGCGCAACGCCATGTCGGTTTCAGTTGCGCTCAACAGAATCTGATATTTTACTAATTTAAGGACGTATATAGCCCTTGGCATCCCTCCCTCCACCTTCAGTTCTACTCCCGTCCAGCGACGTCTGATTTCTTGATCAGGTATAAGCTAACTAGCCAACGATGTCAGTCGAACCAATCCAAGCCATCGCTGGCGTGATAGGCCTCTTCACCCTTTATCTCCTCAAGCGGTACTTGAGTAACGGACGCCCAGCTCATCTTCGTTTGCCTCCTGGCCCAAAAGGTACGCAGTGATAGTGTATGGCTTCCGGTGTCCCATAGTTGAGAAAAGCATGCTTTAGGTCTTCCAATCATCGGAAATCTTCTCGACGTTCCTGTTGAGGATGAGTACAAGGTGTTCTCAGCATGGCAGAAGAAATATGGTGTGTCCTATGATTTCTCCTCCAGAATGCCGGTTAATCTTTTGATGTCACCATTTCAGGCGATGTCATCTCCCTCACCGTCCTTGGGAAACCTCTCATCATCCTCAACTCTCCAAAGGCCGCTCAAGACATGCTCAACAAAAAGAGCTCCATTTATTCATCGCGTCCTCATTACACCATGGCATGCGACCTCGTCGGCTGGAAGGATGTTCTCGTGTTGCTTCCTTATGGTGACCGCTTGAGAGCCTATCGCCGAATGATTCATCAGGTCATCGGCACTCGGGCTAGCGTCGACAAGTTCAATGGTACGATCGAGGGCGAGGCTCAGATATGCGTGCGCAGGATGTTGAAGGATCCAGACAACTTTGTTGGTCCCGTTCGCAAGTACGTGATCTATCTCCATCCTTGTGCCCTTCTGGGGGAAATTGACACAATATGACCGCGCAACTCTGCGGTACTCAGAGGAGTCGGTGCTATCATCTTGATGATCAGTCATGGGTACAAAGTCGACACGGAAAATGATCCATTGGTCACAATCGCAGATGAGGCAGTAAGCATTCATGCATATTTGACAGCCAAGTTATAGCGCCACTAATTCCTTTACGATAGACGGATCAACTTGGCGTTCTCCTCTCGCCTGGTAACTTCTTGGTAGATCTGATTCCAGCCCGTGAGTCTTTTATGGCCGTGAAGTCCATAGTGGAAGGTCTAATTAGCGACGAATACGTTCAGTCCGTTTCTTGCCCAAATGGTTCCCTTGGGCAACGTTCCACAAACAGGCTGATGAGTGGCGCAACACGCTGTTCGACATGACCGATAAGTCATATGAGGTCGTAAAAAAGCAAACCGTGAGGCCTCACTCTTATTCTTTCCAATTGAATGAGAATTGATGGTGAACTAGGCCAACGGAACTGCTGTCCCTAACTTCGTGACAAATCTCCTCGAAGGCGACAACATCACTGAGGCTGAAGAGTTTGAGATCAAGTGGGCGGCGTCAAGTCTATACTCCGGAGGCGCTGATACCGTAAGTCTATTTCAGCCGCTCAACATCCACATAACCCCAAGCGCTGACGCTCGTTACTTATCCATTTAGCCTGTTTCCGCTATGTCCTCGTTCTTCCTGGCGATGACAATGTATCCCAATGTACAGAAGAAAGCCCAAGCTGAGATCGACCGCGTTGTTGGCAAGGATAGACTGCCTTCTTTCTCAGACCGTGATCAGCTTCCATACATCTCTACCATGATCAAGGAGATTATTCGATGGGGTTAGCAGATTAAATGCATCATGTCATGATTGTACTGACGTTGAAGCGTCCGCAGGGCCTACAACGCCACTCGGCGCTCCTCACTGCTTGGAGGAGGACGATGTTTACGACGGACACTTCATACCGAAGGGGTCCACTGTCTTGGCTAACATCTGGTAATGCTACCACCTAAAAACTGCGGTGTAGGGGCAAAGACTAACGCATATCATCCCAGGCATTATCTCCATGACCCCGAAGTATACCCCGAGCCCAATGTTTTCAACCCCGACCGACTCATTGCCTCGGAGGGAAAGCCGGCCCAACGCGATCCTTATGGTCAGAATTTCTGATAGCCTTCCTGCTTCTGCTTCCACTCACATGTCTTCTGCAGAAATGTGCTTTGGTTATGGCAGGAGGTTCGTACCGTACCAGACTCGGAATTCCAGCCTTTTCTCAACTTGTATCTTTAAAGGTCATGCCCAGGGAATCAACTTGCCGATTCGCTGATGTTCATTTTCATCTGCACCATCCTCGCGGTATACGACATTGAGAAGGTTTCTGTCAACGGAGTTGTCCAAGAACCCAAGCACGAATTCACCAGCGGGGTACTCGTGTACGTTTTATCTCCTTCTCGTGTCGCTTTCATACCCAATCGGCCAACATTGAGCCCGTTGAGCCAGTCCAATCTGAGCGCTATCATTCCTTCTCCTCCATCCATCACATTCTCTGCAGTCCCGCAATCGATTCAATACTCCGAAGTTGCTGACTGCTATCTCCGTCACAGACGTCCGAAGCCTTTCAAGACGACCATCCGACCACGCTCAGAGAAGGCACTGGCCTTGATCAATGCCGTTGAAATATAGAGCTGGGCTACTCAGAAGGCTGTCTCCATAGTTCGTACATGAAGGAAATGAGGGGCATCAAGTTCTGGTCATGGTATGCGCATAGATTCAATTGGGCTGGACGCTACCATGGACATGCCTGAGCTGGAAGACCACCTACTATCATTATGTTCAGTGTTTCCTAGCACCGTATTTGTTGACATATCATTCCTTCTCTCGATTTTCATGTTTGTTGATCATGACCTCAATAATATTTTCCTAGTGGCCGTCGCCGTTGCTATCGTTCATCAGAACTGAGAACGGGTGACAAGCAAAGTGGTACTCGCACTCAATCCATCCGGCATCTTCACAGTAACTGTGTCGTCCGCTTTGTGTTCTACATAATTTCCCAGCCGCTCTTCCCTCTGGGAGTTCTCGGTTGCCGCTGAAGGACATTTATCTACACAACACCTGTTGACGTTTCTCCTGTTGGCTCTATCGTCGACTGGTCTCCGTACTTCCGAAGAGGAACGACTTCTTCAATCTTCCGAGTCAGTCTGGCTCTCGAGGCTAGCTTGGTGGTGGAGATCGCCTAAGATCGCCCACGATCGCGCGTCCCCAGTTCTATTCCTCCGGCCTTCCTTTGCTTTCGATCTGGACAGTTCAATGACATCATGGCTCTGCATGTTGAGATCGGCAGTCTCGTGTTGGTCTCAGTCTCACACAGTCCATCAAAATTGAGAATGATAACCATTGTGGTCGCATCACTATTCTACTGGTCTTTCATACTATTTCCTCTCTTTCGACCAACATGCCCAAGCCGCGCGTTCTCTACTGGTTTCGAACCGACCTTCGTGTCCACGACTCGCCTGCTCTCCATGCTGCCCTCCAACTCAACCCTGAATGTCTCTATCCAGTCTGGTGCTGGGACCCCCACTATGTCCTCCAAGCTCGCGTCGGACCCAACCGCTGGCAGTTTCTTCTTGACTGCCAAAACGACCTTTCTCAGACTCTGAAGCGGCTCAACACGAAGCAAAGGCTTCTCGTTCTTCGCGAGGCGCCGCAGACATTGTTGCCCCGCTTGTGTCGTGACTGGAAGATCACGCATCTTGTCTTTGAGGAGGATACAGATTCGTATGCGTTGGAAAGAGACATAGATGTGGAAGCAAAGGTTCGAGAGGCTGGTGTTGAAGTCGTCAAAGCGGTTGGAAGGACATTATGGGACCCGAAGGAAGTGGTAGAGAAGAATGGTGGGCAGGCTACAATGACCTTGAACGCGCTGATGAAGGTCTGCAAAACTACAGTTGTGAGATAAACAGCAAAACTGAAAGTACTGTCTCACAGATTACTGCCAAACTTGCAACTCCAGCTTCGCCACTTCCTACGCCAACCTCGTTACCAAACCCTGGCAATTTCACCCTCTCAGTCGCCAACGAACAACCACCAGGTAATTTTGATGGCCGTACATGACCTATCATTCTAATACTCATGCGGTCTTAGGAAGCCTAAGTGATGAATTTTCAATCCCGACACTCGCAGAGCTCGGAATTCCAGCTTCTGCCGTGACGACGCCACATCGCGGTGGCGAGTCTCTAGCGCTGAAGAACCTCCAGACTCTTTTGAGCGATAAAACCTATATAGCGACCTTCGAGAAGCCCAAAACCGCGCCAACTGCTTTTGAGCCAGCTGCCACAACCATTCTCTCGCCGCACCTCCACTTCGGATCGCTGAGCGTTCGAAAGTTTCACTTCGAAGTCCAACGAATTATTGCCGAATACTCTGAAAGCAGAAAAGCTTCTACGCCTCCTGCCAATCTGCCTGGACAGCTCTACTTTCGTGAGATGTACTTCTGCGCTCAATACGCCATCGGCCATCCATTTTCCCAAATTGCAGGAAACTCAGTCGCACGGTACATACCTTGGCACCTCCCTTCAACCATCCCTTATTCCCCCACAACACCCTACACGATCGACTCTCCCCTCGCTCACCGATGGTTCTTTCGCTGGGCCTGGGGAATTACTGGCTTCCCCTTCGTCGACGCTCTCATGCGCCAACTCCGTCAAGAAGGCTGGATCCACCATCTCGGACGGCATATGGTCGCTTGCTTTCTCACCCGCGGCGGGGCCTACATCTCTTGGGAGCGCGGTGCCGAAATCTTCGAAGAGCTTTTGATAGACCACGAGCCGGCTTCGAATGCTGGCAACTGGATGTGGTTGAGTTGCACGGCGTTCTTCTCCCAATACTACCGATGCTATTCGCCGGTAGCGTTCGGGAAGAAATGGGATCCACAAGGAATCTTCGTCAGGCGTTACATTCCGGAGTTGAAGGATTTCCCTGACAAGTGGGTATATGAGCCGCATTTAGCGCCAGAGAGCGGTCAGAGAAAAGCAGGCTGCTTGGTGTTGTCGTTCGAGGACGCAGATGAAGATGGGAGGTCGATACTGCCGGACTTAACTGTGGCTCACGCACGACCGCCACCTCCGAGAAATGGACTTCTACCACTCAAGAGACCTCTGACCGGCGAGCGATACTATCCAGCGCCCATGTTCGACTTTCCTCAGAGGCGGGATATATGCATGGCGAAGATGAAGACCGCCTATGGAGCCAAGGTGAACGGAGACGATCCTTGCGTGTTGGACGGGACGGGACGGGATATCGTGTTCGGGGGGACAAAGTTGCCAGAGGACGAAGGGGACGGAGGAGACGCTGAACGCGCCAATCAACATGAGCTGAAGAGGAAAAGACAGATAGATGAAGACAGTGGGCAGACTGCCCTGGACGTTTGGGTTAAGAAGGGTAGAGGGAACTGATCCTATTTAGTACTATGCATTGTGCCCTGTGGGCTTTGATTTGTCCTCGATCTCGTCTTTCTCATTGCGAATGGATTCTCCAGTCTCGTCTACGAGCAGTCTTGGTGCGGAGACGAAAGCGGATCAATCCGAGGATTGTCTGCACCGCCAATTCTTGACGTTTGTGCATCCTACTTGAAGAAATGGAGGCGGAGATGCGCTGACGAAGACGAAGGCCGGCAGGGTTAGGAGCATGACGAAGCGAACTAGTAGGAACCGCGGGAACCGAAAACAGCTTGGAAGATGGCGCTGTGCCACATCCGACGATCAACAAACTCGCGCGTCAAGCACGTGGTTGCTTCCTACGTGGCGTTGTGGAGATGCTAGCCCGGGGCCCGGGCTCTACATGAATCGTGAGCAGAAATGCATGACTTTGATGTAATTGAAATAATCGTATCAACCAGTGTGGATTATTATTCTTTAAAAAAGGGTAGTGATACACAGTAAATAATGCATGTTCAAAAAAAGAAACAACTATTTAACGACGAATTTAAAAAGTTACTTGATACGAATTTGACAGGATACCATCATGCTGAGACATCGTCCATAGATACGGGTTCAGCTTCAGTAGGGCTCTGATCATCGAGCTTCTCTTCGTCTATGTCCACAGCTGGGGAATCATTGGTAGACAAAACAATCTCTGAAGGGCCGCTGGAGGGAGAGCACAGCGCGCTGGCGTTCGATTCCGAAAACAGTGTACCACCACCACTGGTTTCTTCCCTCAGACGCGAGTCGGATTCCCCTATAGACTTTCCACGTCCGCAATCGCGGAAAGGTATGGACGAAGGCCCGACGGACGACGAACGGTCTCGTCTGGCCTGCGCTGCCCTGCGCTTCTCGGATCGGTAAAGCTCGATCCGCTCCCTGTCTGCAATCACTTGCTCAACCCAGGCTCGTGCACTCTTCACGGCAAGATGAGCATCATCCTTATGAGAGATACAGTAACCTTGAAGCTCTGCCATCGAGAAGCTCTGTTCGGGGATGGTGTTGGAGAACTCCTCTGCAAGAGCAGACAGCTCTGCGGAAGAAAGAGGATGCTCCGAGGTATTGCTAGTCATCTCTGAGAAAAGATGAATGAAAAGTCTAGACGCTTGACTGGACGTGGCAAGAGTATACGGGATGGTGAAATCAAATCGCCCAGGACGCGTCAGGGCAGGGTCCAACGTTTCTCGATAATTGGTCTAGTAGGATAAGTAAGTAGAATGCCCGGTGAGACGCCAAGACTGACGTACGGTGGCAAAAAGAATTCGACCATCCTCGCTGCCAACACCATCCAGCACATTGAGTAGGCCCGAGAGAGTAACCATCGTAGCTTGTTCATTAAAAGTAGGCATCGGTAGCCCATTCCGATCGAGGGCACTGTCCATATCTTCTCTGTTGACCATTGATGGTGGAAAGACGCAGTCGATGTCTTCCATTACCACAATGGCATACTTCGGTATAGACGAAAACAGGTCCATCAGGCTGACGTCGGATAAGCTAAAAGCGAAGTTAGCAAGCGGACATTGGCAGCTATGAGATTCTCAAACCTTCGACCCGAGAGCGAAAACATATGTATGGGCAAACCGAAGTGTCCAGCCTAAACGAAAACTTCATCAATGAGAGCGCGAACAATGGTCATTAGAATTGCGTACTATGGTGTAGATGGTCGAAGCTGGGTACACCGTCAGCATTCATGCATCGGAAATCAGGAAGACAAGGATTCACTTACTCTTCCCCGTACCGGGCGGACCGTATAGGAGATATCCACCTAATGAAAATTAGGCCCACTGCTTCCATATGCCGATCCACGGATACTCACGATGATATGGCACGCCTTTGGCGTGGTACCAGTCCTCCGAAGCTCGAAAGCGTTCGACGTCTTTCACGAGTTTGGCGACAGCACCATCATCGAGGATTAACGATTCTGAGGGGCGAGGCACCTTGGCCTTTGTCGTCGACCAGCCTAATTCATGATATCGGCTCTACGCAACGTGGTCAACATCGATCAGACTCCTCTAGCAAAGGAAAACTCACTATATTCACGGATCGAATGATCACGCTCTTCTTCCCCCGTGTTTTGTATGCCTCATGGGCCTCCTTGACCAGTGCGTGCAGTACCGTCGTGTTGCGCGTGTATAGGCTGCCATCGTCGGAAGTTCAATGACCGGAATATATGAGAGAGGTTTCAGATCGGCGCCCACCTTAATTTGAGCTGCGCGGGCGGTCGCTCGCCATACGTCTCCTTAGGCTGCTTGAACTCTACTTCCGCCCAATACCCCTTCCATCGGAAACGCTGAACGTGGTCGGTGGCTGGTTCACAGTTGGCGATGTCGTCGAGCTTGAATCCGGGATCTGTGAAAGCGTCATACTCGGCACGGTGGCCGCCATTGACTGCGGTGATGATGAGATCCTTGATTTTATCCCGCCACACATCCCGTTCGGCCTATACGACGTGAGGGTTACAGAGGTAAGCCAGGACGAACAAACTACGGCGCACATGTTCGATAGACGCACCAGATAGAATATGATCCACTCATAGGCGGCGTCCTGCTGTTGAAACGTAGCGGTTACATGTAGGGCTGTGAGAGAAGGCAAGTCAGTCCACGAGGATGCCACGTAAGAACCAATCAATAATGAACGCACAGAAACTGATTCGAGCCCAGATCCATCGAAACACGACCTGAGTCATTTCCATGGCGAGTCCCATGAGCACACCATGAATTGCACTGCCCACGACGGACGACGTGTCAGTGAGAGATAGCAAAGACAGCAGACGGCCCCAGAAGTGGAATCTGGAATCATGCGGCGTGGGATTAGGAAGTGTATTTTCTACAGCCATAGCTCAGGTGCAGCGAGGGAAAGAGGAAGTAGGGGTCTTACCATATACAAGACAGATCACCAGCCTTTATATATGTATTGGGTCCTTTGTCCCTAACTCAGAACCCTTGTGCGCCAGTTTCACGCGCCACCCATCGCTGTGTAATCTAAAACGAAAGGCTCGAATGCTCAAAGCAACAGACACGCCTGTCTATTGTCAGCCTTTGTGCACAGGAGTGTGTGTTTCGCTTGGCAATTAAGAGCCACAGCTCTATTTGTCCACAATAACATAGGCGCGCGCTCGGGCCCAATTCTTTGTGCCATAAACCGTTAGTCCTCGCTGAGGGCCACGACGAAAGTCAAGCAAGGCCACTCGCTCGCTTATAAGACGTTGTGCAAATGGGCTTCATAAACACACTGCAGGAACCCACGAAACCATCGCATGCCGACATTTTGAAGATCATCATAGAGAAGACCTAACGACTCTTCCACCATAGCGGCCCGGTACCGTGTGTCAAGGGTATCAGGAGCCCGGGCGTGAGCTCTGTGACACAGGACAGCCCCTGAGGGTGGCGAGTTTCCATTTCAAGACCATGCATATGGCACGAAACGAAACCTAATATCCGCATGATTGGTCTGCTGCTTGTCAACTGTGTTCGGCTAGTGCAACAATAGATCAATGGGAAGCGACATGGGGACTCCTTCGACCCGGGCGACAAGTCTCGCCAACGAGGCAGCCATGAGGCCGGTCTCAAGGTCAAAGAAGAGCTTGTAAGTTTTCCCTATGCGTAGAAGTTAGTACGATGGCATGGATGTCTAGGACACAGATAACAGAAGAGCAGATAGACGTGGGACAACAAGAGTGCCGGTGCCGATGAATCTTGGGCAGAAAGCGACATTAGTCCGACGGTGAGGTGCATGGTATTCTGCGCCTCGAACATTCTTCACTCGTACAGGATCCACGCAGTGCGGTCCACACTTGTCCAAATACGATTCGAGCACTCACCGTTGATTTGCCTCGCCGCGAGTAGATCATTCATCACTCAACGCCTTTTTCACATCCCTCAATAGCAGCTCGTCGTCCGATCTCAACCTCCACAGACAGCTCTCCTCCTCGCTCTCCCTCAGCCTCAGTGCTCCGCGGCCCTTTCCCAAATTCTCATCCATCAACACACGCGAAAGGAGGACTTTTAGTTCGCCTGTCATATCAAATTTTCATGGAAGATGGACACGATGAAATGGTTAGCACGGCTGTATGCACGCTCACACGCCACCGAAAACACGAGGACAGGATGGTCAAAATGGAGGTCTGCGGAGTTCAAAGTGAAGGAAGGTAGAGGGGGCGGAGGGGTAGAAAGAGGGCAAGTGCACAAATGGAGGAAGGGAGACTGCTGCCGACGAATTCAAAGATAGAGAAACAGACGTTACCTTCGAAGGGTAGCTGATCAGCAGCTAGAACTGAGATACGATAGTCAAGTTTCAATCCCTGTAGTCGGCGGACGATTCCATCCACCGGAACTTCACACCACCCTCTTGCCGAGAACTTCTCAAGCTCGTTCCAGGAATATTCGAACCCTTTCGCTGCGTTTGCGTCGGACTCGGAGTCGTCCAGGGAGGCGAACGAGGAGGTAGATCGTTGGAATGGGTTCGGGTTTGACGTTGACGTGCTCGCGGCGCTTTGTGCATCGTGCGGCGGATCAGTCAAAAATGGCGAGTCAAGGGAAATGAGGTCGGCACGCGAACCCTAGACAAATGAACACGACGTGCAAAGAATGAGCACGGTCGTTCACGCACGGTGTGGCCTTGCAGCCCGTGAGGTCGGACGCGACTCACCAACAGGTCAACCGGCTGAACGTTCCTCGGTGAAGCATGAGTCTCCTGCTGGAAGAAGTAAAATCAGTTACTGCTTCCTTGTTCCTACCCAGGCAAGCCTTGTGCTTACCTGCCTTGTGGCACTTTTGGTGTGGCCCGACCGGTCTGTTCCTCCTATCCTCGTCAACTCCACACTTCCCCCCATAGTGGCCAACTCCCCCGCAGTCATAACACCCTGCTGATCAGCACTGAATCCACGCCTCCCACTCATATGACTGTCCGCCCTTCCATCGTCCGACTTCGCCTCTCTTGTCATCCCTCTTCTCGATAGCCCCAGACGTGGATCCGGCGGAGGGTCGTAAGCTGCATAACGAAGTTTACTAGCCGCCATAGTGGGGCTGAGGGACCCTACCGATGGACTGGGTGGGTTGGGGTTGTGGGTAGGGCTTGAAGTGGAACGAGAAGGTTGTGATGAGTGGGCTGGTTTTGAAGAGGTGTGCTTGAATGATGACGTGCTCATGGAGGAAGGGTTGTGGAGGTAAAATTCTACGGAGAGAAGAAAATCGGGGAGCTATAGATGAAATTAGGCACGAATACTTTATATATTGCACAGGGCAACTGCGTCGCTTGTAAAGACGTACGGAATGTGATTTCGCACTCGATACAAGTTGTCGCAGGGTATCTCTCTGCGTGCTCAATTTCAGAAACTGGTCGTATCTCTGCGATAACATACGAGTCCACAGTAAGTGACCAGCAACGAGGTATCACGGTGCGTAGAGGAAGAGCATGAAACATACCCTAAACATATATCTTCCCGTACCCATCCGCATTTCCTTCACCCTCTCTACCACACCCTTCGGTACACCTGCATCCCCATCGTCACCATCCAATTCCGCGACGAGCCGCAACATGGCAAAGACGCATGCTTCTTGAACCGAGGCTACATGTATTGATTTATACATTGGGTGTTACCCAAGCTTGAGGCAAGTCACAGGAAGAGAAGCGTACCACTATATGCCTTCATGCGGGTCGCGATGCCTTCAAGGAGAGCTTTAGGAGGAATCGCGATCCTTCCGGCATATTCGCATGCAAGTGCTGCGACGATGACCATTATACTTGGGCTCGGTGTCGATATGGGTTCACTCGGTACTGCGATTTCATCGTCGGATGAAGGGAGTATTGGGTCAGCTGACTCAGAGAGTGGCGAAAGGATGGTGGTGGCGACGCTCAGACCGAACATCTCGTCGCCTGTACCGAAGCAAATTGATCAGGCTGAATTAGTGTCCTGAATCTGATACCTTAGAGGAGAAAGAAGTGGAGGGGAGGTTTCTGCTCACCATCCCGAATCTTCGTCAACACCTTCTCCACTGATCTCTGCAACACGCCACCTCTTCCTCCCGCGCCATTCGCATTCAAAACTTCACTGACCAACCCGGCATACGCCTCTCCCTCTTCGCCTGCCACGACCTCCACGACATCGAGGATTCGAAGCGTCGCTCCGTCAACGTCTGCCAGTGACGGCCTGGATGGTCCACGGGAACGCGATCCCGCGTCGGATGGTGCCAATTCGGAGGGTGCGGGCGAAGATTCTCTAGTGGAGGTGAGAAAAGAGGTCGCTTGAGAGAGGTAGGCGGTGAGGATGGACGAGTCGATGGAGTTGAGGATTCGGAGTGTCTAGTGTGGAGAGGGATAGAGTCAGCTCTCGTGGATGGATGGACGTGAATGACTGCTGGGGAAAGGCTGCATACCTTCTTCCTGACTCCTTCGTCCACACCCTCCAGAAATCCCATCATACGCTCTACCTCCAGCGGCTCCAATACGCTTGGTATGGCGGTGGGCCCGTCCTTCCCTTCATCTGCATTTCCCCCGGCAGTGAGGCCCGCCAAGTTCGCTACTGCGTCGTCAGCGGCGTCCTTCTCCTTCGTGTCTTCTGCCAGAGGATCTGGTTCCACCCCAGCAAGCAACTCCGTCTCTGCGCCAGTGTCACCAGCCACATGGCCATAACCACTACTTGCATCACCACCAACCGCCTCTGGACTCCCGATACCAGCCCACAAGACAGGATCTAAGCACTCAAGACACGCGAGGAGTATATACTGATCATTTGGATCTGGCGAGGCCAGGAGGAGGCGTATTTGGGAAATTGGGTGAATGGGCTTCGAGTTAGATGTTGGAGTTTGGGGTGGAGAAAGAATGGAGGCGAGGAGGGCCACTGGTGTGGCGTGAAGGAGGTGGAATGACTGGAGAAGAATGCCTATGTGGGTTGTAGGTGGTAAGCAAGTGCGTCCGCGATTATAAAACAGTGGGTATTAATGAGGGCCACATACCAGAGGAAAAGATCCCCTTCGAAGCCATCCTTTGAATGAGCCCCAACGCGACCTCGATTACTTCCTTCGCAGGGCTCCTACAACATATAACAACGTCAACGCCTGTGTGCAGGAAACACAGGTGTCTAAAAAGACATAAAATTACTTCGTAGATGCATGCAACGTTAGGACCCCCTTGGTCAACTGTCTCGCCACAGCAGACACAGCTACTGATCGAGCTGCGCGTTGCAGAATCTTGATGGACCCCTTAAGCTCGGCATCGTGCAGGAGACCATGCTAGATGAACGCCACAAATAGATGTCAGTATGTGAACGGCCCGCATAAGATAATCGCCTCCCCGAGTAACGTAAACGTCGAAGCTGAGGGGGAAAGAAAGGATGTATCAATGCTACCTGGTGCAACGCGGGACAGACCCTCAACGCTGCCCCGACGACCGGGCCTTCAGAATCTTTGAGCCTCTTGGGAATTTCGCGAGATAACCAGTTGAGAACGGAAGGATCGTATGCGGATAGAGCGTTAACGCAGAGCAGGGTACGACGGCGAATGTGAAAGCTATTATAATGGAGCAAATTGAGAATTCGTCAGTGGGTGCGTTCGAAAAGGAGGGACAGGGTGCGCGTGGCGTGGAGAGGTGGAGGGATGTGTTAATAAAAAAGTGGAGGAGCGAGCGCTAAAAGGACGAGACAGAAGACCTACTGACGAGTTGTGTGACAACAGAGCATGTAGACGTGCTGATATTGCTGGAATGACGTCGAACGACGGGCACTGTATGATATGGTCCAACGCTAGGCATATCGTAGGGACTTGGGGGCTCTCAAGATCCTGGACGAGTCGCAGTCACTCAGCCTATTATAAAGGGGTAAGAGCGATTGTGCAAGGACAGACCTTGCGTAGTGTGTTGACCAGCATCAACTGGAGTTCATGGTCTGAAGGCATGAGCTCAGCGCAGAACAAATATCCTGGACCACACGAATGTGGGACAATCATGACAGCATTAGGATAATACTGCGAGCAAAAACACTTGAGATGGTGGAAACTGACCTATCCTGCGTTCATGTATCGACGAGCCCGCAGCGGCGAGGTTGACAGCATGTGGAAGCGCGAATTCGAGCTGCTGAGCGAGAAGGGTGGAAGAGACGGTCGTGGAACAATAGAGGAGAAGTACGAGGTACTCTTTGCATTGTTTCTGCGGAATATGTATTGGTCAGCACATAATTAGGCTCCTGGTTTATGAACTGGGCGAGGATCATGTCGAGGGCTGTGGCGCCGAGTGTGGCACGAGTTTCTATGAGGTCGCTTCCTCGATTGTGCAGCTCATTTGCATTGGCTCCTCGTGCACAATATATATAGTATATCAATCATTCACAAGAATGACCTCTACACTTCATTCCGAGCATTTGATTTCAGAGAAACGTACCGTTGTCAATCCAGGATGCGCCAACCGCTCTCGTATGGAGTCCACTTCCGTTATCAAATACGTGTCGGCTTCTTGTAGACTTGCTGCCTCCTCAACATTCCGCACAAGTGCATAATGTATGGTGTTGAGCGCGCCGGACGAGATGAATGGGACGTCCATGGATCGGAATGGTCGAACAACACTTGTCTGAGTCCTTCGGCGTTGCTGGCGCCTGCCAAAATGTCAAGGTAGTGTTAGGCAAAGTGAAGAGCCTCCTTCCTATGAGATCCTTAGAGAGATACAAGCAGTATTTATGTTGTGTTGAGACTATAGAGGGACTGCCAGTGGATGTGGCCTGCAGAGCATGACGGACAGGAGCAGACACGTTAACGGGAATACATTGGAAAGCAGCTGTGTGGCGCAACCAAGCCACGTGGCTTTTCCCAATGGAGGGGACAACGCGGTTGCCACTCGTCTTGCGTTGTCGTTGTGTTGAACGTTGACCACCCCTTCTCCTTTCCCATCCGTCGCCGGGCTCACTCAGGACATTGCTCGCAGCATGTCTTCACAAGCTCAGCAGACGGCGCGAACATTCAACAAAATCCTTGGTCAGCCAAAGATCTCGTCGAAGACTAGGACGCAGCAGGATGTGGAGGAGGGCGTGAAGAAGTTGAGGCGGCTGATATTGATCGATGGAATTCCTTCAGAAATCGTGCGTAATATAGTTTATATTGCTTCCTGTATATGTGTGTTGATATTACGTGCGGACACGGCATACAGGACGCGACGCTACGCCCTCGTATATGGAAGATACTGTTGAGAGTGAACGACCTGCCTGCTGGAACATTCCTTGAATATGTTGCTAGAGGCCCCTGCGAAGTGCGAGAGAAGATTAGGAACGACACATTTAGGTGCGTCACTCCATGTTCTTTTTGGAAGTCTGTCTTGATCGCTGACTCCTCAGTGGGTGTGCTTCGCCACAGGACATTGGCCACAGACCGTGGCTTCAAGGAACGAGTGCGGGAGGATATGCTCGTTCGCTTGCTCGATGCTTTTGTATGGAGGAATTACGGTGCGTATCATTTCCTGGATGTGTTATCCTATACTGTCCATCTTGTTCCCATCCACTTCTCCACAATATCCGAAACCCGAACTCATGATCGATCTTATCCTCAGACCGTCAAGAAACGCACCACCTTGGCTTCACCTACGTCCAAGGGATGAATGTCCTAGCTGCTCCTTTCCTTTACACCATGCCTTCCGAGCTCGAGGCATTCTTCTGTTTTGCAAAGTTCATCGAGGAGTCATGTCCACTCTATGTCCAGCCGACCTTGGAAGGGGTGCATAGAGGGCTGAAGGTGCGTCTCATCGCTCAAATTCAATTCCAGGAGAAGTGAAGCTGATGATCTCTTTCGCGGCATAGCTGTTAGATCGATGTTTAAAGATCGTGGATCCAGAATTATTTTCATATCTACGTTCAAAAAATCTGTCTGCCGAACTCTACGCGTTTCCATGTACGTCTACTCTTACACCACATCTTCTCAATGTCTCCGTTCCAATCGACTGATGCCGTCGCTCAGCGGTACTCACTCTCTGCGCGTGCACACCACCTCTCGACCAAGTTCTCCAACTGTGGGACTTCCTCCTCGCCTTTGGTGTACATTTAAATGTACTCTGCGTCATTGCTCAACTGCTTCTCATCCGGGAGGACGTTATGCGTTCGAGCTCGTGCGTATCTGCCTCACTCTGAATTCCTTCGTCCATGTTATTGAACTCACAGGATGGATGTTGTTATCTTCTCTTACAGTCCGATGCGACTCCTTCGAACATTCCCGCCCCTGGAGGCACAACCCATTATCGGCATCGCAGTCACGCTGGTGCGGGATCTACCCTCCGAGCTGTATGATGAGCTCGTAAGGCATCCTTATGAAGTTGTCGCCTCGTGATCTTGACCCTTCTTCCTCGTCAATGCCTCTATCCGGCCTATCTGAGCACGTCCAACAGCTGCCCAGCACGATCTTGTTTGAATACTCTCACATTTCCTTTCTTTCGCCGCTCTAGTAACTAGACTTATGACTCATATTCATTTTCATTTTCGTTCGCCTTTCATGCCCTTCTTTCACTTTTACTCGGTTTTTAATTCCTCTTCTTCAACACTCCAACGCACTCTATCTTCTGCTAATCGTTGTCAAACACTAGTCCCACATCGCCCCATCGACTCATCGCATATTCGTCTCTATTCATCTAAAACCATGCTTTCTGTGCTATATCAGCCTCGCACATCTGTCTCATCACCCATCATCGCACAATATTTATTGCAAACTATTCCTCTCTTTTTAATCGTTCGCCTCCCCGTGTGTCTTTTATCGCTTCTCGTTTCTCGTTTCTCGTACCTCATTTCCCGCTTCCCGTCCACTCCGTCTTTCGCTTTTGGTCTGTGTATCTTGAATCTTGAACGAGGGTGCCATAGCCTGATTATCTTCCTATCCTTTTATCGGTGTATCGTTTTCTGTACGGTTTTAGACATTGTACAGTACATTATACACACCACGGACATCTGCACATTCCATTCAATCATCACGTATCATGGGTTTCCTCTTTTTGCCTGTCCTACAGGTCAATGCTCTGAACGGATAGTCTTTTGTCATGCTTCTTAACCTTTGGGCTTTCTGAACGCCTGCGCACTTGGATTGTGCACGAGTTTTCTATTGTGTCATTCTTGTTGGGCTGTACTGACAACTTGAGCTCTACTGGACGGTTGATTCCCAGACGTCATACTCAGGCTAACCTACCCTTGGCCAGACGACTCTGCTGCCACCACCGTTCATAGATTCACACTCGCCCAACCTCCACCAGCGCCCCCAACTGCATATATCCCATCCTTTGCCCTCCCGCTCATGGCCGACACGAACCCCTCATGCAATGCATGCCGATGGTTTCTATGAGATTTACGTCTTCGAGCCAATCGTCGGCGGCTTCTGCTGGTAAGACAGGGCTCATGCACGATCCTGGAACGTCACGTGCACCCCAGAAAAGGCTAATTTTCATTTGCGAAGTTGTTCAACACTCGCTGTTCAGCGTACGCTCGGTTTTTGAACTATCGAACAACACCATAGGCCGAAGTATGAAGATACGAGACTACCTGAGAAGATGGTTGCGATGGGCCGCAGCTCGTTGCTCCAGTGAATGGGATCCCTTTGGGATCCCTATTTTATGTGGCTCCCGGTCGTGCCACATGGGTCTGGGCTGTTAGAGAGCAGAATTTTGAACTACCACATGTCTAGCGAGGACCATTGGCATTGCATGTACATCCTCTCGAAAGCAATACATAAATCACCAAAGGAAACGGGGACTGTGTTGCGAAAAGAGCGAGTATAGCCTTTTGTGGAACGTGAGAAAATAGCATGTGACGTTTCAGGATCGTGCATGAGCCCTGTCTTAAGTATGGGCAAAGCATACGTGTACGTCAACGGACGGCCCATTCTGCGAGACCGGATCTCTCACGGCGCTCAGCCTCGAACGGCATGGCGGTCATGACACACCGAGCTTCGAGCCTCGAGGCTTACTCGAGGCTCCTCCGACTCCCGAAATGAAGAGATTGCGTGTAAGGCCCGTTCAGGGGAAGGCTTTGTTGTACGGATACGGAAGGAGGGTGCGTTCTTTTCATATGAAAATTTCAATTTCATTTCCTGTTTTATTTTCCTTTCCTTTTTTCCCCCCTTTCCTATGGTCTGTAAGGCTGCGTTCGGGGAGCGAAGCTGAATATATTGTTCTCGACAGATCATTTGTAATAGGACAGCGGATAGCTGGTTGTGGGCCCACTTCATGAAAAAGAAGGTCCCTTGTACTCGTCGAGCCGAGATCCTGGTTTGGTGTTTGTGCCAGGATACAGTCGGAAATAGCACGGAGTCAGCGACCTTGACTCTGGTCACATATCTATGTCATTGAGGACCGTCGATGAGGAAGATAATTTACTGGCGCGTCTGGTGGATTTGTGAGTGGGTCATATTGAATCGACCCATGAGCCCCAAAGCGTGCGGGGCAGTACTGTACCCCCCAGACCTTAGGCGACGTCCGGTGTCCCAAGGGGCCCATCACCCCCGCCAATTTTGCGTGACTCTCCCGTCAAATGGGAGTTCGCACGCTATGTAAGCGTCGTCTAAGTGCTGGGACGTACAGTATTCGAATGACTGGATCTGGCACCGTGCTTTGCACTCGAATGCCAGCATAAACTTTCCAGCGATCCTGCAGCTCCTGCATGGAAGCGAAAATTAATATGTGGTCCAAATGGGTGCGTTCCTTTTCTCCCAACTCATAGGGCCTTTCTCGATCGATGACATACACAAATATTCTCTAGAACCGATAACAAACGCATTCTTGCGCTCTGTGGTAACGCTTCTAAAAGTGCCGCCAGACGCGTCACCTCGTGAGCGTATCACTTCATCTCCCGGTAGGTGGCACGGGCGCGGCAGGGTGCCACTTCCACGACCCTTCCCACGGCTGTTCCCATCGGGGCATGGCTTTAACTGTGTCCATTTCAGAGTACTACGAGCTAATATCGTCACCCATCGGTACGGTTCGGTTGTCAGGCTGGATACAAACGCGTCGGCACGCAGGACGCGACCCTTTGTTCTGCTCTTTGTTGATCGTGTGGCCAACGCGTCGAGGAAGCCTTGTTCCGACGGGCGCCGGTCTTGGGCTGGGGGCTCCAGGAGTATAAAGGCAGTGAGGTTTTTCACTGCTGACACTGACCATCGTTCAGCTCCACATTATTTCCAGTTCCTCTGCGATCCCGTCGCTCCACCACTTGCTGCTTCTTCATACCATACGCTCTCCTTTCGCTATGTCCACCTCTTCTGCCAGGATGAAGTATGAAAGGGCCCTCGAGCTTTGGACCGACAACAACAACAACATCGATCCGATGTTGAGGGATCCTCGACCTCTCCCTCCCGTTCTTCCCCGCTCTCGTACTCCCTCGCCAGACATCACAAGTTTTCCGCAAATCCCTCATCCTCTACCCGCTACCGCCCGATCTCGTCGTCCGCCCGCAATAGACACGCCTTTTCTCGGTCTGCATATTCCTGGAGGCCCTTCAATAACACATCCGCCCCACCTCTCGTTTGTCCCTCCTGACACGCACGCGTTCGATCGATCGCTCGCTCCTCCCCCCTTCCCTTCAACCCAGCAAGGCCTCGCGAACCATCACCCTTGGTCCATGAGCTCTCTTCATTCTTTCCAAGCCCAAGTGTCGGTAGTCGCGGCCCACATTACTATGGATGAAAAAACGTTCGCTCCGGCCACTTATCAGGATCCTGAGCAGCTCAACGTTTACGATGTCTCCAGAATTCCCCCCGTGCAGTACGTCTCTCCTGACGTTCTACACTCTTCACCGGACTGGCGTCAGCGCTCCCCTTCTCCCGATTCTCCTCCTCCCCCTCCGCGACGCCAACGTCTCCGAGTCTCCTCGACTCTTGTTCGCAATTCTCCCCTGCCGAGCTTAGTCCCAGAGCTTGGTACTTCGTCGTCTCAAACTGTCACCCCTGCTGGACGCTACAACCTTCGCTCGACTTCGAAGGCCAAGAATACTGAGCCACTCGCGGACGAGACCAATATTCCTGGCGCGTCAGGATCGAACACCCAGCCCAAACCTGCACCTGGGAAAAAAGGTGCCCCCCGTAAGACGGACACGGAGGATGTGGAGACAGCGTTTGGGGTGGCGGTCTTCGCCGGCGAAAGGAACGAAAAAGGACAGCCAAAAGTACGCTTATTACACACACCTCTCGAGTGACATGCTATTTTCTGCGTAGATTAAAGCTCATTCTCTCGCCATCTCCGTAGTTCTCCTGCCCGGTCCAGGGATGTAAAAGCAAGGTATTAGCCGCGAGCCTTGCCCGTCACTTCGTGACACATTCCAACGGCGTGTCTTGTCCCGATGGTTGCGGCCAGTGAGTAGCTCCCCTTCATCATCTTTCTTCGCACCTCAACCTGATCCCCATTGGTGTGACTTTGCTGTGTAGGAAGTTCAAAGTTCGCAGTGAGCATGAGATCACACGCCACAGGAAAATTTGCAGACTCAACCCCGAGTCTACCAGACCACGAGAATGTCCAGAGGCCGAATCCTCAAGTCCTCAGGCGATCGGTAGGAAGGCGAACAGGGTGGAGAACAGGAAGGCGAAAGGTCCTTACACGAGGAAGCGCCGATGAGCCAGAGTCTTCAACCCTAAGTTGTGCAGGGCTGGTTTCAAGTTCGTATTGGTGTTGGTGTTTCGTTCCATCCGTTTCTTCTTTGTAATCTATATGGTCCTTTTGGGGGTGATATTTATTGAACTGGTCGAGTTTACTTTCGCCTTGTTCGTTCAGATTGTCTGGCCGTGCCGTCCTTCCCCGATATCCATATCCTATCCTTGTCTGCCTAATATCTTTACTTTACCTTTCTACTCCAGATACCGTCTTCTCCCGTTTATCCCTCCTTGTGATATCTGTCATCCGTCTACGCTTCCTTGTTCGATGCTGTCGCTTCGCTGTACATATCCTGGTCGCTTATCACGTCGTGCTCCTGTTGGTTCCCCGAATGTCTTCAATTGAATCTCTCTCGTTCAGAATTTGTAAGGATGGAGCGAATGTGTCAATCAGACACACGATGGGTAGAGCATTCAGCAAAGAGGTTCCCAAACTTGAGTAGGCAGAGCCACCCGTGTATTACAGTAGTTCATAAATATCGATATATATACACCCAAGCCCGAATCCATCAATAATATCGTTGTTGTTGGCGGGCTAGCCTCTCAGCACCTCAAATCCTCAGGGGCAGAAAACGATGTTGATCTAAGGGGCCGAAGTCAGCAAGAAGGAAGCAGGAGGTGTAGGTGGAAGAAGCTCACTCCGACGTCGCTACCAATGCATTGAACGGGTGCGCCATCCTCAGTGTTCGAACCCGTGAAGGCACCAGGGCAGGTAGCGGACGTGCAAGTCGCGCTCTCAGTGCATGCGCCGAAATAGTTGAATGCCATGTTGTACACGCTACACATCGTAAGTGATGAGTATTGCGTGCAACTGAACCACGAAGGTTAAACAAGGAGGCAGTAGTGACTCACTATTGGTGGTTGCCCTGCGTTTGGAACGAGAAATCTGCGGCGTTTTGGTTTGGCGCATCGTTCCTCAGAGTGAACTCGACGATACCGCAGTTGACGCCAGAGTTCAGGCAGTCAGCACCGGAGAACCCGTCGAGCCAGGCGACACCGCCGAGGAGCTGTCCGTTGACAGTAGCTGGACCTTGAGGGTTGCCATCGGCTTCATAAAGGAAGACTGGGCTTCCAGAGCCACACTTGTTGGTCATCTGTTGTGGAGAAAATGAGAAAGAGAATATGATCAGCGATATGGCATATGAGATAACCAGTAAATGTAGATATGGGTTCGGATGACACGTACGGTGACTTGGTGGGACTCGGCAGCAGCGTAGCCTGCGAGAGCGGCGATGACAGTGAAGACGGGAAGAGCGAACATTGTGTTGAGTGGGAGGAAGATGGTAATGGATAACGAGGTGAGTGGAGGTGGGGTGTGCTTGTCAGTGTATTCGACGCTGTATTCAAAAGCTCGAGTTGCGTACACTTTATATACTGCATGCTGCCTCCGGAGAAGGAAGGTCATTGCAGTGCCGGACTCTCAGTGACCATCGAGTCCAATCTTCGAAGCAAGTGGCAACTGAGTCGATTGTCATCGAGAATTGAGTACAAGCAGTGGTGAAAAGTACATCTGATCGAGCTCGACCGCAAGTGCATCAAACAATGACGAGGCTTACACCCTCGAAATGTGATGAGTTGGCTGATCCGAGACGAGTGCACAGAGCACGATCGTCATTTTCAAAGAAAAATGAACGTCGCTACTCAAAACCCACAACGAACCAGATGGTATCTGTCCCGAAGCGGGTCGATCGCCGTGTGGTCCACACGAAACGCAAACGGGTCGAGGATTGAGCCAAACTAATGGATCAATTACATCTGTCAGTAGCCTTATTATCCGCATGCTGATGGGCAGAGCGCTTACCACCAGATAGATTAGGAGGTTCATCCGTGAGGCGTGCTACAAAATAGAAATTAATGAGAAATGATCCATTGATGGTGCTTTCGCCAAACATTGCTCTCCGTGACTCTGTCTTCAATCTACCCTCGAAGTATCAGAGGTACTTCCATAGTGGGACGTACTCAGTATAGACAAGAAGCCGAGGGAACGAGGTCATGCAAGATCGTGCGGTGCATTGATTTTGTTGTAGAAGCTGAGATGAGTCGATAGTTCACCTCGAGTAGCATCTCCGAAATGTACATACGTCATCTTCCAGTGCATGGTCACCGTGTCGACGCTCTGCCGATGCCATAGCGCGCTTTGAGTACTGAGTGTTAGAGCCTACTTTAGGGTCGTGCAGGATATAGCCATGGGTATTGGAATGGTCCTTTGACGCTGATCAAGGCTGATCCGTGCACTTGTGAAAGTGCATCAGGAATAGCGTCTGACTAGCTCTTTTTTCCATCACCAGCCATAGCGGTGTAGCCTTGCGCAGCGACAACGCATGATGTTGATTTTATCTGGGGGGGTAGTGGTGATTCTGAGTGGTTAAAATGCTGACGTTCGTCCATTCCAGCCATTTCCAGTGCAGGTCTATTTGGCTAAGGAGATAAAATAGTGACGAAGTGACTGAGGACAGGAGGACACTAACGAAGTCCGGAGGAAAGGAAAAGATTGGGAAAAGAGGTGGACAAGTGATGTGCTGTGATGTGGTAGGATGTGGTGCCACCTCATGATATCAGCCACGTGGTGCGCATTTAGATTATTAATTACCATAGCGGTGAACGCCACTGTGGCACAACTCGCTGTCTGTGCTTGTGAACTCACTCGAAACCTGGAGCGCACTTTCGTCAAATTACATACTTTACTTTACAGATATATCACATGTACTTGGCAGTGTACGTCCTCTTCAAGTCCTTCCGCCGTACCTCAGATTGTCCTCACATCCGATACACCCCCGCCTTCATCCCCAAACCCAGCCCGACACCACCGACACCACTAACCGCTGCACCACCGCCCGGCGCGCCATTGACCACTCCTAAAGCCAACCCAAGCACGTCCCTCGTCTCTGTAGGTTTGATGATCCCGTCGTCCCATAGACGTGCAGTAGCGTATAGGGCGGTAGATTGTTCTTCGATTTGATCAGAGAGCGTTGAATGTTGGGAGGGGTCGCTGTGGTTATCGAAATAAGCTGAGTATGGATGTGACCGATCAAATCAGATGAGAGGGGATGTGACGAACCGCGAGACGGTCTGCATGACCGATGAGAGTTGTGAAGAGCCCATCACGCCTATCTTCGCGTTCTATGATCACCAACGACCCTAAAATATCAGATACACATGGTAGCGTGCAGGGTACTGTGGAACTTACTGGCCACATCCACATAAACCGCGGGGAGTACTGCATTAAGAAAAAAAAATCGAACCATAAGTTTGTGTGGGCATTCCCGCTTTTGAGGACCAAACCTACCGCTCTGCCAGACATTCCTGCGGATGGAAAGAGAAATGAGCCACGGGCTCTGCAAATACCAAAGGGCACATACCGTAGTTCCCTGCACCAAATGTCCCGCCAACCACGACGGTCAACTTAGGTACGTTTGCACACGCAACAGCGCGCACCATCTTCGCACCATCCTTCGCTATCCCTCCCTTCTCAGCTTTACTACCGACCTACCCAGCGTTCAACATCAGTCACGCATTTCTGAATCGTCGAAACGCCTCGTAAAGCGTAGCGAAGAATAACCCAGTGTCTGGAAGAGAGGCGACATCAAGACATACCATGTAACCAGCGACATTTACTAAGAACAATAGCGGGATGCCCCTTTGCGAGCACAGCTCTATGAAATGTGTCGCTTTCAGGGCAGCAGGACTGAATAGGGTGCCAGAATTGGCGAGAATACCAACTGGGAAGCCATGGATATGTGCGAAACCCTGTTGTACCCCACATATTCACGTCAGTTATTGTGCCAATGAGCGGAGAGAAGGTCGGAGAAATACAGGAGAAGAAAATAGAGTTTGGTTATAAGGGGTCAAAGAGAACACTGACAGTGATGATCGTACTGCCGTATTCCTTCTTGAACTCCCTGAACCGACTCCCATCCACCAGCCTGGCGATCACCTCCCTCATATCGAATGGTCTTCTCAGATCAGTGCCCACTATTCCATGAAGCTCACTTGCTGGATATAATGGCAATTCAGAAGGTTGCGTCTATCCATTTTTAGTGAACAAAAGCACCAGCAAGTATGTGTATGTGGTTTTACGAGTTGGTAAGTCAAGAAACACGCACCGGCATGCCACCTCTAGACCCTGCAGCCCCAAGATCGCCCACTATTCCCCTCGCGATAGCAATTGCATGTGCATCGTCTCGTGCGAGATGGTCGACTACACCGGATTCTCGTGCGTGCATGTCTCCGCCACCTAAAAGACAGTGCGTGCGTGGGCAACAGCATGGTTTGGTGCATAGTCAGAAACTTTATCGCCCTTTGAAGGCTGAAAGTCTCACCTAGGGTCTCCTCGTCGACCTCCTCTCCCGTCGCAGCCTTCACTAAAGGCGGGCCTGCGAGGAATATCCTTCCTTGGTTGCGGACGATGATTGTCTCGTCGGCCATTGCAGGAACATATGCACCACCTGGTAGATCATACATAAATATCATCATGAGTCTAGAAAATACATCGACGATCAGAATTAGGGTGGGCAAAGGTACCTGCAACAGAGATCCCATGTACGATGGCGATTTGAGGTATGTTCATCGCTGACATCTGCGCCATGTTGTAAAATATTCGACCGAAGTGTTCTTTGTCGGGAAACACCTAGAAAATGATGAGGAACATATGAGTTGGGTTACTGTAGGAGGTGCATCGTACATACGTTGGCTTGATGGGGGAGTGCGGCTCCTCCGGATTCAACTACACAAAGGTCAGCTCGTAAAAAGTAGCCAATCATTCAAGAGAAGTAGTACCGACCTACATAAACGCAAGGCAGTCCATTCTCCCTTGCAATCTCCTGCGCCCTCAGATGCTTCTTCACCTAGATGTATCAGGGCCACACACGTTAACGCCACACAAGACCGCCACGGATCTATGAGGTCTGCGGAGAGAGCAGTCGGAACTTACTGTAAGCGGGTAGTATGACCCTCCCTTTACAGTCGCATCGTTGACAACAACCATACATTCACGTCCGGATATTCTTCCTATGCCGGTGATAATACCAGCGCCAGGTACAGACTCGGGGTAGACGCCATGTGCGGCCAGTGAAGACAGCTCAAGGAAGGGAGTATGAGGGTCTAGTAATAAGGCGAGCCTGTGTACCAATATATATTTAAAAGAACCTCAGCAAGCAATGAAGGAAGAGCACACACCTCTCCCTCGGCAACTTCTTCCCCTTACTCCGCATCCTTTCAATGGCTTTCGTTCCACCACCCATCCTCACTTGGGCTGTCTCCATGTCTAAATTCTGAATCAGAGATTCCATTCCCTGCGTGTTCTCTTGAAACTCAGGAGATGTCGTCGAAATAAGAGAAGGAAGAACGGAGGCGTGATACTGTCTAATGGTAGCCTTGTCTAAGCTCGCGCTGGCGACAGGTTGTCGCTTTACAGAACGAGACAGCGCACGCATGGGATGAGGTATCCGAGTTGGCATTGTGAACCAGCTTCGCTTTGTAAATACGAGTGAGTGGTTTCGAACGGCGAGGATGACGTTGGTGAAAGGGGTGAAAGGCGGGGACGAGTGTGGGGAACTGTTGAACGACGATCCGAGCCCCGCATTCGACCCACGTGGCAATTCTTCCGGATCTTGAACTTGAAGCGACTATCTGTGCCACTGTGGCCCATGTTTCCAACTGAGCTTGTTAGGAATCAGCGGCGAGACAACAGTAGACACGTCCTCCGACCTCGATAGGCCTATGGAACATTATATCCCATAACATGGGCCTACATCCGCTGCCGCATCGCATACATAGTATAAAGTGCATCGCGTGCTGACACAAAAAGACTAGAATAACCAAACATTATATATTTACACCTGTTACGATTCTCATTCGTGCAGATGGGCACCACTAAAGAGGCCTGGAAGAGACATGAGAAGAAATTGAATGATGATCTCGATCTCGTCCAAGAGGTATCATGTGGATCCCGCCTGCCGCCTCTATGTCCTCTTCATAATATCTCTAAGAAGCGAAAGCATCAGCAGTCGGTTTGGAGGTCATTCCAGATACAATCGATACATCAGAAAAATGAGAAACATGGGCAAGACAAACGTCTCGACTTGGTGGGCAGGACGTCAAGAGTAAATGTATCCTTGCTTCCTCGATCGACGCGCAGACCAGGCTGGTCATCACAGTCTTCGACGATTCGATCCTTTACCCACCGCACGCAAGAAACGAACGATACGAACAAAGTTGGACTCACAGAAGGAGCACGCACCGTATCAGGTCCTCTTCCTCTCACACCCCTCTCACTTTGATGCGGACCAGGACTCCCAACCGCAACAGCCTCATAGTAGCCTTCCCTCCCTGTCCCTATCAGTTCGGTTCCGGCACCTGCTCCCGTCGTCTTGAGCGGCACTGAAGGCTCCTCGACATAATCACCAAACCCAGTCTCCAGCGGCGCTCCGATGTTTCCCCACAGTCTACTGCTCTCGTAGTCGTACTGTGGGCTACCATCCCCATGGCCGCGCACGCTATAACGACGAAGACGACCACCATGTCCACGATCGTCATTGACGCATGGCGCAAACGAGAGCTCGGGGATAGATGTAAGTGTTTCGGCTGCTGTGGGGGTGGTGGACGCCGTACTGAGCTCCTTAAGCGATCGATACCCGCGGAGGTTAAGAACTAGCCGCGAGACGAGCATGTTCGGGACGCTGTGAGGAAGCGACGACGGACGAGTGAATAGGGTGTGAGAAGAAAAGAGACCATGGTAGGTGAGACGAGGGGAACCTACACATTATAGAACGGACCGAGAAAGACACCAAAGTATGCTGTCGAATTCGATAGCTGGACGGGTAATACAAGAGAATCGTATTAGTCGATGAGGTGAAACAAAGCTAGCAGTCAATGTATATAGAGAGCGTACTTCACTGTTTGAATTATTACTAATCTATATGTTCAGTTGATTCAACATTTGTATATGAATAATGGCCTTGCTGGCAGGACAAGAATGTGACGCACAATGGATACTCCGGCTTGCATACATCCCAAGGAGAACATGACGCTACACGGATAGAGGAAATTAATACAGAGTCGTGCTCCTCGCAAAAGCCTGTACGAGAAGCTTACAAGTAGTATAGAGTACCATCTCTCAGAAGCAACTGCGCGATGCTCGGTGTTCTAAACCTCCTCATTTCCTTGACATGACCGTACGTCTTCGCAACGGTCATTGCGAACACGAATGTGTCGAAACCAAGGACTAGACATGGTTCCACAACGTTCACTTCATCAAAGCCAAAGCCAAAGCATCAGCTATACACCTCAATACAGAGCAAGGTAGGAGTTGTAAGGCGACGTACATCTATTAGCGAGGTCTCTGAGGAGGGCAAGGACGACGAGGATATGTGTGATCAGCCTTTGTGACCGCGAATGATAGGATCAAAGTGCATGGTTGAATGGCGCACTCACAGTATCGGTCCATCTACAAAGTTGCTCTCGCAGCGAGAGTACAAAGACCAGACGGTTCCTGCCGTGGTTATATTGGGAGTAATTGACATCACCTATTTGTTTCTCAGAGAATCAAGACGAGATGGGAGGAGATCGGAATCAGCAGGAAAGATGCAAAGCACGAATAAGACTCGAAGAGCGTTAAGCTCGGCAAAGAAGAATGCTCACGAAAAGATTGATGCCAAGACGGGTGAAGATGAAGAGCCCGCAGATGGATAGGATCGACTTGTTCTCCGAGAAGATAACATATACTCGCAGGGCAAAGAGTACTATCGTTGAACAGATGAGCAACCATAAACTCGAACCGCAGGCACGAGCACAGAGGCAACTGCGTAGAGGGAGTAGTTTTGTACTCACACGACGTTGTAGCGCAAGTTACTGCTTGGAGAAAGAATGTGCCATATCCTAGAGCCTCACAACTTCCCGCCGCATCCAATCCGACCATGCCACGTAGAATTAAATATCAGTCGACCGTTCCTCAAGACCAACCGTACCTTCGCCGAATGATAGCAGCGCCGCAGCGCAAAATGAACTCACCTGGCATTTCCGGCCTTGCCTGGCAAAGTATACACAACCGCCAGGGACCAGCCTACGAAGAACAGGTATCTATTCAGAATGTACAGTGCCGAGCTTCCTGAAAGTTTGCACCCCCAGATGGTCTTGATCTCTCGTGGGAGGGACTGAATGAAGTCGAGGAACCACAGTACTAGCAAGGGTCAAAGTCACGTCCAGCTGCTCTGTAGAAAGACGAGTTGCTCACCGCCAGAAGCAAGACACACGCGCGTGCCCATGAGCCTGAGAATTGATGGAAAGTCGCAACGCGCAAGTTGATCGTCAGCTTCGTGAGGATGGCATCACAAGCTTAAAGCTTAAGCTGGCGCTGACACTTGAGACGTACCATAACTCTTCCTGCAGGAAGAAAAGAGCCTGCACCATGTATCTTGACTTGGGCTCCGAGCGCACCGCGACTGTGGGTTGTCGCTGGGTACCGCGCTCCCTGCTGAGCGTCACAGTGTTGGTGGGCACGCAAACGGGGTATGAAGATTACCGCGAGGGGGAGGAGGAGGCGACGAACAAAGACGACAGCCCGTCAATAAATGTCCACAAGAATTGTCCTATCGTCGTCCATTGCGCAAATAGCAACGAAGACAAATTAACTCGCTCGGGTTAGAGACATGTCGCCGTGCCTCGTCTTCTCAAATGAGGAAGGCCTCCGTGGGAATAGATTGCCCCAGGCTGATCCGTTGGCTAGCGCGTGATCTGCGGTTACGACATTGATTCTGAGCTCGAGGGGATTGGCCTTGAAGATCCAATGAAGATCACAGGGCGAGCGAAGAACGGTGCAGCGTATCATTCCTGGGATGTTATGTGCCGTGATTCAAACATCACGGTCTACACCTCTCCTACACTGTACAGAGCTGAGATGAGCTTGGCAGCTCGACAATAAGTACATCGTAGAAATGATGAATTTCAACCTTCCCGGAGTCTGGAAGGTTCAACCTTCCTTCCGAGTCGGAAGAGGCTAAAACCCCGATACACATGCCGCAGCTCCTCCGATGCCAGATCTACACAAACTCAAAAGCGAACCAAAGGTAGAACCTGGTAGAACGTCAACAGACGTCAACTGACCAAGTGCCCGCGTCACCAAGGAACAACAAGGAACAAGATAAGAAATCGGCGAAGAAGTGTCTGGCGTTCGCGGGGACACATAGGAGAACGGACTAGGTCACAACGACAGGCACTTTGATCCATAAAACCCGTTTTACGTTCTTGTACTGTCCTGTAATCCGCGTAACGGCTTCACTTCGACTCATAGAATGTAACCGGAAATCCCAACACCCCACACTGCCCTTGTTCCATCCATCCAACTCCTCGACTCGGGACGTCCAGCAACCTCACCTCCTCTGTCCCGTTTAACCCGTCAATACTTCCCACCGGAAGCCACTTCCCATCCCTCTTCAAGGCCTCCGTAGTGTTGGTGTATCCACGGGCTTGCAAGAAGGCCGTGGACGGATTAGGATCGAAGGAGCGGGCGAAGGAGGCCCATTGGTCGACTATAATCTGCGAGAAGACGAGGTCGTTAGAGTCTCGGAAGGGCTGACCTGGGACGGATTGACCCAGGGTACCGAAGTTGAAGAAGAGTTCGCCGGAGTGGCATCTTTACCACCGCACACAAAATCATGTGTAAGTTACTGAGTCTCATGGAGTTCGACGAAGAGTGGCGCACCGGAAATAGGGCAACGTCGGATCGCCAAACGGATGCGTCTCTGTTGCAGGTGGGTCGCATATGCCTGGAATAGGTTCGAAGCCCATGTAGCTCCTGTCGAACTGGTACGCCCAGACGGAATTAAAGATGCGGTGCTTCGCGGCGGAGAAGACGGTTGCTTGATCCAGGCACCTGAATACCAATGCGTTGATTCATGACACCATCAGACCAAGAGAAGCGGCGAGGGAGGAAGATAATGAGTTTGGACATACAAGAACTGGCCATCAGTAGACACCCGGCTCGTAACGTTGAATATGTCCATCGTCTCATTCCCCGTCGACGGAGCCGGGAACAGCCCAGAATCCAGAGCGACTCCTGCTATATCCGCACTAATACTACAAGGCAAACATTACATGACATAAGCAGCGAGCTTCACTCACGAAGAACACGGACGCAGAGGAGACTGTGACGTACCCAATACCTTCGACAGATGCAGCCTGATTCGTTGAATTGGTGGGGAATGAACCCGCAAAATCTGTCCCATCATCAGCCATCCAGCCGAAGATGACGTGCGCGGGCGCGACAGAAACGCTGCCATTAAGAACAAGTTGATCCGTAGTAATAAAGTGGCCATCGACGACGATAAATCTACACCGCAATCAAATGGCAATAAACAGAGCCGTCAGTACTGTGATGTAAAAAGAACCAAGAGGCCACAAGGTGGCCGTCAATCTCACTTTGGCGCATTCGCATCATTCTGCAAAACGGATGCATCAATCTCTCTCAAGCACTCCAACACCTCCGCATCCCCACTCGTTCCATTAACCGCTGCACATCCCACATCGTTCAGGAAGGCAGCTGCAGTCACATTGACTTCTTCAGGTATAGTAAAGTAGTTCGAGTACGTGCTCGCAAAGGCAAAACCATCGAGGTTGGACTGAGCGATGGCACCCGCAAAGAGCCCAAATGCAGGCGGTGCAGCGAGGAGGGCACGAACGGAGCCTGCACCGGCGGATTGACCGAAAATAGTGACCCGTGAAGGGTCACCACCGAAGGTGGCAATGTGTGCTTTTACCCAATTGAGAGCTGTGATCTGCGAGGGGGAGAATACAAAGAAGTATAAGCAAGGGAGTTATAACAGGACAAACGAAAGCAAAACGAAGACTGGGATCAGACTAGACGCAGAGAAGGACGTTGGGGAGGAAGAAGACAGGTACCTGATCCGCAATACCAAAGTTTCCATTAGTCACACCATCTTCGAGGGCGAGGAAGCCAAGTGCCCCGAGGCTTATTGCACAAAATATGTTTTAGGATTGGGACTGTCCGATATCCAGAGCAGAGACACGTACCGATAGTTGATGGTCACAACCACAACATCGCCCCTACTCACCAAGTTCCCGCCATCGAAGATCGCATCACTCCCTTCTCCGCTGGTAAAGGCGCCTCCGTGTATCCAGAACATAACCGGCTTCAGCTCAGTCTGCCTCGGGGTTTTTGAGATAGGAATCAACGGGGTGAAGATGTTGAGGAAAAGGCAATCCTCATTCCCGGTTCCGCCGACTTGGATGCACGGCGAGCCAAAGGAAAGTGCGGAGATGTTGGTACCGGGTGAGGTGGGAGAGGTGCCGGTATAGAGATGGGAGTAGGTGAAACGCTCGGGAAAGTTGGCGTAGGGGATGCCTAGAAAGCGGAAGGAGAGGTGATCGCGCGTTCTACACATTTACACATCAGATCAAGCGACACGTCCTTTGTGCGCGGAGCGAAGAGGATAAGGCGAGTGGATCACCAAGGACGTACCCAGTGAAAGTTATGTTCCCGGACGAAACCTGCACCTGAAACTCCGGGCTCAGATCCGTCTGTCCGGAGATCTTGTTCGGTGCGCTATTCGAACAAAACGCAGGTAGCGACTGGTCGCAATCCACGCTGGAAAGGCCTTTCGTCGATACTGCCGTGCAGGCTCGCTTAGACGTGGAATCTGTGGAGCTGACCCAGTAATTTTGTGAGGGTGCTGCACCACCATTTAAGGCGAGGTATTGGATGAGATGTTTCGTGTCGGAAGAAAAGAAGGTCCCATTCGTAGTTAAGAGACTTTCGGATAACTTGGAACAGGCGGTTATTGCAGCAGAATTGGTGCGTGAGCTGAGGAGAATAGTGCTAGTATGTTCAGCCGTTGTGCGCCCTGCGGAAGGTGAAGAGCGATGGTCAACAGGCCTGAGTGTATAATGCCAAAATATACACATACAGTCAAGGTCATTTTGAAATAGCAAGCGTAGATCGGAGCCTACACTTTCGGCGGTCGGAATAGCTTGTACAAGTGCTCCATTTCTGCTCGAATACAGCACAGCGGCAGCAAGCACGGTCAAAGAGCATAACATCGTGCAGAGCGTCGAAGAGCTCGGGGAGAGTAGCATTGGTGCGCTGCTAGTTATATGTAGACATTGTAAAATCTTGTGACTGTGCTCAGTGAGACTGTCGAGAAAACCACAAGACCCTGCACAAGGACGGCGAAACCACGGGAATTGTTCGTGATTGAGACCTTGTGATCATATATACCGTAGGACGACGAGGATAAAAGTGCAGGCGTGCAAGGGTGAATCAAAGATAGCCACGGTGGGAGAGAAAAGGACTTGATTTGTGGAACGCAAGAGGTATGATGCAAGTATGGTGCTGCCTCTGGTAGAGCGGAAGCAGGACCCCGTGAGGTTCCGCATGCTTCCACGTTGTGCCACATGGGCATCACGTGGGCTTGTTGATATTACGATGTGAAGTTTGGGTCGAGCAGGCTGCAGCGTCCCTCTTTTCTGCCACCATCGTTCTCGCGCGTTATCCAGGAAGCCTCTGGCAAGAGCAGGTCACATAAATTGATACCAATAACTTGAACACCGAACCATAGCTTTCAAGTTCAGTTCAGGTGAGTTTTGCATTCGACCAGCCTTTTTCGTCTTCGGGCACTCTGCGGCTAGTATCGGTCGCTGGCATGTCCGCGAACGTCGCCCGATCCTTGCTTCGAGTCTTGTTTTCTATCATACTGAAATTCATCTTTTTTCTCCCTGAGGCGAACTGCATCAGACTATCCTTCTCTTGCGCTACGTCATATACACCGAAGAGAAACAAGTCACTACTATAATTAGCTTGCTTACAAGAGTGTAAAATAGGCTTTCTCATGTGCAGAGCCGCTAGGATGCTCGAGTTTGACACTTCTGTCTTTTGTGTGGCCCGAGGGTGACGGTCGCCTGTAGTTGCCCTTATCCATCGGAAAAGTTTGCCATGATTGTCGTCGACGACTCACGTTCGCATCATTCAGGTACATGTCCTGTTCCAGGAACCGATGCACTCTTTCAAACCTTGCAGTAGTCACATACTACTGTCATTCTCCAGAAGAGTCTCATTGCCTCGTCTCTCATGGGTATTGCCTTCCTCGGTCCCGGAGTATCCGGAGTGCTATGGCCATGACGCTTCATTCATCATGTTTACATGTCATGAGGAAACGTGGGATAGCTTATCCCAACTGAAATAAATGTGCCATGGCGATAGCTAATTGATATGAACGATCCCTCTCTTGCTTTCTCCCAGCCGATCATGCACTTCGCTCCTCTTCTATACGCGCTGACCTTGGTAGCTGTTCTACCGCTGATCTGTGCTTATGCACCACAGTTCGTGCCATGCGGGGAAGAAGCGGTTGTGCGGAACGCTGGTCTATCCAGATTAATCCTACCCCTAGGATTAGTAATATATGAAGTCCGGATGGACTTCTTCTGGCTTCCTAATGGACTTGTTCGGACTTCCGGGTGGACTTGTTCGGACTTTCGTGAACCGCAGTTACGATCCGGTTCCGTACTTCCTCTGGCTTACGCTGAGCTCCCGTCGGCTTATTCTCCTGGCATGTGAGGCTCCCTACCCAATCACTTATCCGGTCCGAGCTTCTTCCTTCTTTCGAACCTCAGTTCAAGATCCAGGTTATTTCACTTGTCCTCAACGCTTCCGGCTTACGCTTCCTTGCCGCATAGCTGGTTCTTTCACTTATGCTCGATGCTTCCGACTTATGCTTCCTCACCAGATAGCTGGTCCTTTCACTTATGCTCGATGCTTCCGGCTTATGCTTCCTCACCATATAGCTGGTCCTTTCCGAACTTATGATCGGAGCTTCCGGCTTAGCTTCCTCACCGCACATCTGGTACTCGCTCACGTCTAAGGCTCAACCTCCCTCACCGCATGTCTGTTAAGGCTTAGACTCGTTCCTTCGACCTGTCCGCGACTCCTTTATTGGTTACATATGTTTTCTTTTGTTCTATCATCCGCCTCTATCATGATGCCAGCGAGCTCTGAGTCAGGGCGTCTGTCGCCTCAACACTTTCATCCATCTGTCATTTTCGTCGGCGTACACAGATATTCATGTCCATGCAAATTTTCTCGCTACTTTGGTTGTCTTACATGCCCCACAAAAGACAGGATTTATCTTCACCACTACTGGTTGATTTGTGCGACCGCAACGGTCACACAACGGTAGTATATACCTCCGGTGCATTACCTGCGCTTCTACGCACGGGCCGAGATAGGCAGTCCAATTCCAGTCCTGAGATTTCCGTGGGAAGGCTTGGAATGCTTTCGCCAACGGGTACTTGGTATTCGGTAATTTGATTCCATCCTTCCAACCTTATGCCACCTACCTGGGCTTCGTGACTTCGGCCGTTGTCCCATTCAGGATTTCTATCTTTTGAACCTGTTTCTCACTACCAGTCCTTTTTCGTTGAGTAATCTGCGACTCTCGGATCCCATTCAATTTTCTCCTGTTGTTTGGGCAAGTAGTGTTCCTTGTTCTGAAGTTCGGCTTCGCCCGCTAGTCCTGGTCCGAATTTGCATAATCATTCGCCACCGGGAACCCGATTTCCAATGCGAGATCATCGTCGCATGGTCTAACTCGTTGCATCTTCTCTTATCTTCGTGTCTTGTCTTCCTGTACTCCCATCTTCTCCTCTCTACGCAAATCGTACAGAGCAGGGCAAATGTCGGCTCCATCTCACGCCTCTTCTCGCTCCTCCTCTCGCTCAAACAAAGAGCTCGGAAGTCCAACGTCCTCCCACTCTCCTTCAGATGTAGAACGTTCACCCCCTAAGACCCGCTCCGGCCTGACTCTTCGCGGGGGGAAGATTCCCAACAATTCTGCGAGAAATTATATGCGCTGCATCAATGAAGATTGTAAAAAGCCTTCGACGAAGGCTTGTACTGCTCGGTGTTGTGCGGAGCATTGCTCCACAGAGCTCACAGGACTGAAATGCAGCGTACACAAAGGAACACAGGCACAGCCAGCCAACCCCGACGAGCTCCCCTCATCTGCTTCCGCGCGTTCATCAACAAAACCGAAGCGGGGAAAACGAGACGGCACTTCCACGCCTGCTACGAAGCCCAGAGGCCGTCCAGCTGGTAGTAAAGCTCCTCGCGGCCAAGGGTTATCCTACTCGGCCAATCTGGATGAATCTTGGGAGCGTGTTCATGACAAGTCGGATGGCTATGCTGTTTCCGATCGATCAGCGCCGATAAACATGGCCCAAGTCTACTCGCAGCAGGAGGCCAAGAAGGTGACGGTTATGTTTTGGGAACAGGTGCGTTGGTTGCCACATCCCGTATTTTACCTGTAAGTCTGAGGCACCAGGCCGTTGATACAGAACGGCGTCCCCCCAAGTATTACCCGGGACTATACAACCCCCCACTACCCCTTCTTTCATCCCAGAGACCACAAAGACCTCGCCAGCGCCATCGCAGACAATAATTATTGGATGTACTACGACTCCTCTCGTCCGGGCTGGGTACGGACCGATGCTCCCTTAAGAATCGATGGTTCTGTCCTTCACATCCGACTTCATACCGTGACGGACTGCCCTGGGCTCCCCAGCATACCTCTCCCTCTTTTTCCTTCGACACCCCGTAAACGGAGCGTCTATGATGCCGATCCCACAGAAGACAGCCCCTCGAGTGCGTCCAAGCTCTCTCGCAGCAGCAGCTCTTCATCTATTGCGGACTCTCGGTGCGTTTCATTTGTGTATTTAGCTCCTTCCGAATTGACGGAGCCTATCTAGTAGCCTATCCCAACCTGCTTTCTTCTCCACGCCTCGTCACAAGAGGTATCAAGTACCACTTACACCTTCGTACGTTGCAGCCCCTCTGTAAACTCTGTGTTTTCTAACTCACCACATTTATGCACATCAATCGCTATAGTGTCGGCTCTTTGAGCCCGTCTCGCACACCATCCCGATCTGGCAGCGCGGGCTTCGTGACGAGCTCTCCATCTCCTAGTCCTGCTCGCACTGACCTTGCGGCTCGGCTCGCCGGCATGTCTGCAGTCTCCTCCGCAGATGATGATCACCCGATCACAACGCCTGAACCTCAATCACGGCCTCCTTCCGCACAGTCTTTGTGGAGCGACCCCATGAATACGACTCCTGTTCGGTCCACTGCTCGCATTCCAACTCCGAACGCCGTCACAGGAACCCCGCTCGCTCTCAATAAATCAGTGCCTGAGACAGATCACCAGTTTGTGGCTCTCTCCATCCATCCACTTACCTCGGTCGTTTTCCACTGCTAATTTGTTCTTTCTCTCTTGTATATCAGCTCGTTGGCAGGATCAAATAATAAGAGCTCCTCGTCTCGGTATTGTCTTTACTCCTGTCTCCGTCTGCTGCCTCTGATCCCTTATCAGGGTCCACTCTCGCCGCTTACCCTCACCTCCCATCGCGGGCTCATCTAAGTCTCCGACGAAGCCAATGTATGTCCTGACCAGTTATCTGTATTCATCACGACTGAGAAATCTGTCCATAGGTCTTTCCCATACACTTACGTCTGTGAGATGGCGCCGGCCATGAGAAAGTTCGATAGCACATCCGGGACGGTTCAAGAGCGTTTCACACATGCATTTCCCCATTGTAAGTGGGTGAAGGCTACCTGGTATAACCACTTTAATGTATGGGAGAAAGCGGTGAAGAGAGACAAGTTTGTTGAAGGCTATGAAAGGCTCGGGCGGACTGCAGAAGGGAAGTGGTCTCGGATGAAATCTGATCTCGGTATCAAATAGCTGTGGAGAAATGAATTGTCATCCTCGTGATATTGGTACGAAGTAACATGATAACATACTACAATTAATGTTAGTATGCGAGCAAATATTCGATCAACAAATGAGAGCCGGTGATGGTTACAAATGAAGCTTGGAACTCTAGGGTGTGAGACGTTCGCGGGAACGTAAGTTCGGGGAGGTTGTCCAAACCGTGGAGGAGCCACCGTCATCCGATCGGTAGACCTGATGATATGACCTAGCAGACGGAAAGCGAAGATTGCAGTGGACAAACAATCCTACTCAGTGTGAGTTCGAGAATGAAAAGGGAGCTTAAGCTGATTAGAGAAGCAGTACGAAGAACTGCAGGATATGTGGGTTGCGGGGACGAGCGCCTGTATGATTGGCGTAGTCGAAAGCGACGTTGATCTAACTTGGCCAAGTCCGTTCTGTATGTATGGTATTGTTTATGGGAGCATGAATTACAGGTGAGTCCCTTCGAACGTAGTGGTGCAGGGCGATGTGGTGGGTGCAGCCTCAAGTGAGATTAAAATATGAGTGAAGCTCCTCCGGCCTACGAGGGACTGCTTGTAGAAGCGCTAGACTCGGTAATGCAATAACAAGAGGAGAGGGTAGGTTCTGGCCTAACGCCAGACTGGCGATACAGATTGCGAGTCGAAAGTTAAATCCCGTGATTCTCCTCCTATGAGCATACATGAAGATATAAAAGACATAGACGTACCAGATGATTATGCCCTTCGTACCTGCACAACAATGAACTTGAATGGACTCCACTACCCTCTGTATCAGAAGGGCGTCTAAGGGAATGATACGGGAATGTGAGTTGACGTATCGCATTGCGAACAAGTCCTACATTGGGGCCAAAGCAGAAAGTTAGACGAACCTCTGCACATATTTAGTGGTCGGTAGTTGCAGAGAGTGTGTGTACGGCTTGATGATTTCCATAGACCATCACCTACTTTGGTTTGATAGTTCCGAGATCGAGCATGAGCTCGTCATGCACAGTGAGCGACGCGCTGAGTATCAGAGATCTCAACACATAAAGCACTAAAGCCGATTGCCTTCAATTTTATTACGTGTTTGCTTCCGGGTCCTTAGAGACGTTAGTCACCCACTATAAAATGCATCAATCATGGCGTGAATCCGTAGAAGGACTGATCATTCGAGAATAGCCGACCTTCACAGGACAGTTGTAGTGCCAAAAATAGTCATAAGAGCTCCCCAAGGTTGCATGGCTTACCACCTACAAATTTTCGTTCGTCGGCCGACCCGACATACCTAGATACTCAAGATTCTCCCTTCAGCATGCTCTCCTCGAGGCGAAATCACGGTACTTGGCTCCCAATAGTCGTACATTGTAGGTGACCAGGGTCATGGGGCGTCGCGATGTGACTTCGCAAGGTTGAAGTAGCCAGTCTAAGTTCGTCAAACATGACAGTAATGGACTTGACTGGGTTGGTAGAAGACTTACAGTGACGCGCACTTTGAACATACGCACAGGCGTACGTTGATTCTTGAACATATGGCAACAAACGCCCCCTGAACGATCACCGGAAATGCCGAAGTGCCGCGCAGCTTCGGTATCTTGCCGCTTGACCAAAGTTTGGCCGTAGTGTGAGTGCTCTTGGATAGACTGGTACGACAAAGCCAACCTAATCAGCAAATAACACTCTCAAGAGAGGTGGGCAGTGGCGCTGCGGCCTGTAGTAAGGAGGTTGAAGCCTTGTTTGGTACACAGTAAGTTGATCTTAGCCTCCAGGTTGGTGGCAGCTGAGGGTAGAAACAACTAAGTCAGCCGGTATAGGTGAAAACAAAGACACTAGGAAGGCATATCCGTCCGTGAATGAAGCATCTACATGTAGGTACTTGCTCCGGCTTGACGGGCCGGGTCAAGTCAGGTCAACTTGCGGGGCATGAATACGAGCGCGGCAGCTCCCGATGTCCAACACGCCGTACCTGGCGGCAATGAGATGCCGCGTTGACGTGGCATCTCTCCGACTTTGATCATCTTGCTTTCCTCCACTTCTCGAAACACCAAAGGTATACCTCATGTCATTTATTAACGTCGTTACCACTAAATAGGGCATATATGTAACGGTGTACATTCAAACCCCTCGGGAATCAGGAAGCGAGCACTGGCGGCGGCTCTAACGTTTTGAACCCGCTACATATGTGCTCTAATGATGGTTGTATTTAACTCTGCTAATATTTCTGGCCTGACCCTTGCCAACAGACCTTGCTACCATATCCACATACGATGCCTTCCAAGTGGGACCAGAAATCTATGAGCACAAACAAGGCGCTTCGGGCCGAGTTTGAATCTGCGACCATGACTTCGCCGTACAATCGTAGACCGTATATGACTACCTTGAAACAGCTCCCATGGAAGACGAACGCGGTCACATCCCTTGGATCTCTCTTTAATTGGTTTAACAATGGTCAACCGCAGCCCGGAACCATGTTGCAGGACCCCGGGCCTTCACCTCGCAAGGCGAGTATCATTCTCTTGATGCTTACCATGACCCTGATAGCAGTTCAAGATGATTGCAGTCGTGGCTACAGTCCCGTCCTCCAGTATACCATCCCTTTCGACCTTCCTGCTGGTAATGTCTACCGATTTGATCCACTTCAAGTCTTGATTATGAACTAGCCTTAGAGATACTCGGAAAAACTCGATCATTATGCTACCGTAGGCGTTCTTCAGCGCACCAGTAATGAGCTGCTAGTATGGACAGCACTAGGCCTGAGCACCACTATCCCCACTACCCTCCGTCATGTTGTTCAAAATCTGTCAACGATCACGTTTAACCAATTGGTGCGCGTTTTCATGGAGCATCAGCTGTTCGATGTCATGGTGTACGCCATCCATGGTCGACGTGATGGGCCATCGAGTTTTCCGGATATTCCGTGGCTGCGTGCACTTTCGCATGAACCAGGTTTGGCCTTGGTGAGTGCACATGTCACATACTTGTATTCACATATATCGATTGGCGTGAAAATTCCATAGCTCTATAAACGCTTTTTGGACGACTGGCCTAAACACCTTGACCTCACGTTCTCAAAGCAACCGGTGCGCTCAGCCCTGAGCAGTACCCAAATCATTTCACATCAGCAAACGAACAGCAACGGCCTCTTGTTCTCGCTTTCTAACGAGATACGCCTTCTTGCGAACTGTGTCGCACTCGAGCCAGGGGCCTCTCGCTCAAGCGCCATCATAAACCTCCAACTGGCTGCCTTTGCGATGTCACTTTTGTCACACGTTCGTTCTCTCGCAATCACATTGGTCTGTTATTCACCTTCAGGTCTTTTTGTAGACATCTATCTCCTCTCCGCTTCCAAGGGGACAACAGTACGCTGAGCATATCAAGCAGTACGTTTTGCGTCTGAACAGCGCGAGTACAAGGGCTAAACTCTGCTCAAACAGACGATACAATGCCAACAATTTGACCCTCGACGATGATTCCATCCCGCAGAATTGTTTCAAGGATAACAGCATGTACATGCCCCTTGCCCTGGCGTTAAGTATCTCTCCTATCTTCTTGTTGTCCGACGCGTCAACCTCGTATAAGAGCAAGGCTGCGCTTCCACACATATTTGCGGTAAGTGATAACGAACGCCTATGATTGCTCAGCTGGCTCAAGACATCTCATCCTAGCTTGGTGCTGCGCTCGGAAATATGGATAAACCGCGGCTTATTCTCGACATGGAGGACCGTATCTGGAGTGCTGTTATCCAGATCCTCTTTGGATCAAGTCCCGAAGCTCAGCTCGACGACCTGCGCATATTCTGGTGCACACCCGAATCCATACGACAAAGAGGAGAAGATGAACATACTTTACGCGCATGGTTCTCTCGTAAGTCCGTTATGAGAGTGTTCACCCTGCTCCGCTGATATGCTCCTACAGCACTCTCTTCGGAGCTAGGCTCCAACAATGATCACGTTCCAGCGGGACGCAACTCGGAATCGGCTGGTATGACTGCGCCATTGATACTCCATAGTGCTCGTCAAGGATCTCATCCTTCTCAATGCCAGTAAAACAGCCTCAAACCGCACCTGACGACCCGGTCCCATATCCTGCAGGCCCAGCGAAAGGTTCCAATTTATACCCTAGCTCCCCTTCTCCGTCACGGCTAACTATTTTTCACATGGTCGATACTCAGACACGGGCGAACTCAAAGCGCCTTCCACGGCATGCTTTGGAAGCGACAATGCCCCTGTTCTACCCTCTGGACCTCGGATAACTGGCTATAATTCTGTCGAGATCTTGGCCTTCTCTCCACCATCTCCGGGATCAGTGCAACCAAGTGCTGACACAGCACATGAGGAACAATCAACAGGTGCCACTTTCCATAGTCTTTGGGAAAAGCCATATTTTAACGAACTCGGCATTTCTCAGACGCAACTCCCTTATCAAAGATGCATCAACCGGTCAAGTTTGACAAAGGTGGGTCTAGCGACGCCTGTTCGGACCGATCGCATCATACTAACAGTAGTAACTTTGGTTATGGACTGACACTCTGATCTTTGTCTGGATGTGACGGAACACCTGTTCTCTTTTGGGTCACATTGGAAATGACTAATCGTCGGCAGCGTCACAGGTTTCCCAAAGATTAGGCAAGAGCGTACTTACTTCAATATTAATAATCACCCTTCTGACACGCGTCTTCAAAGGGGACGCAGATGCAGAGGAACAAACCGTCCATCCACGGAGCGAGGCGGACCAAGGGCGTGATGCTATGCAGGAGGTGGCAGTGCCATTGGTTCACTTTGAACAACCTAGAGGACAAGGCCAGGCGTGCGTGTCACCACAAAGTGTATGCGAGCGCATATTGATTTTATTCTGACTATCCTTATTAGGGACAAAAACTGTGTACTCTCGGGTGACGTCCCCAGTAACGACAATGCCCAACCCCCTGATGATACCTGCGACGATTATGCACAGCTCGGCGTTCGCCTGGACTTGATGTATGTGGACGAACATGGAGCTGAAGACGCTATTATGCAACACGCGCTACCTTCTACCACGTCTGGGCCGAGTAATTCAGGAAAGCGTATGCACGAGGTGACATACCTTGGCAGGCCGTTGCGATTAACTCACTGACTTCGAATAGGATGTAGACCAGAATAATAGACGTAGGAAGAGGTTGCACACCGGTATCGCCGAAAGTCATGGTAACGTACGCGAGGTAAACACCCTCTCCGACCTGGATGATCGCCTCGAGAACGCGCTCCCTGTCTGGGACAGTGGTGTGGATGATCCATCCAGGAAGTTACATACCTTTGTGTCCACGAAAGCCTCGGTGAGCTCGTTATTTATGTCAGTCGTGACACTCGGCGACTGAGCTATCTGCGTTGGACTGCCTTTGCGTTCGTGATATCAAGGACTTCGCACTTTACTCGGATATTGTCGCTGCACAGTTCAACGGTGACATGGCCACTTGTCGGCCGGAGTTTGCTGGAGAAAGCCCCAAGCCTCTTCACCTACACACTAGCGCCTCCTCCGAGACGTACAGATACGGAGATATTAGCCAGTCCTCCATATACAGGGTGCACCATGAACAATTTCGTTCCATGATTAAGAATGAGCCGAAGATCATCCAAGCTATCTTTGCTGAACGTCATATCTTGGTATATGGCTGCAAAACCGATTACGAATGGTCTTGGTGCAGTCGTTCACTGCAGCGTCTTGGACTCTTAAAACGTCCCATCAAGGTGCAAGGTCTGTGTCCAAGCTACTAGGATAAAACTGTTCGATAACTGAAAAAGTTTTAGATATGGAGTTTCGCGAATTGAACGACCAAGACGACGAGTTTGCCACGGAAGATAAATGGACACTCGCCGATATCCTCGCTACCGCACCAAGCACAGATGCCGCCGACCCGCCCGCCACATTGCTACATAAGCGATTGGACGCGTTCAATATTCCCAGAGGCCGCTCGGAGCTCGAGCACATTTTGGGTTGGAGGTAGGCACATGCTTTTCCGTTGCCGTTGTCAGGGGATTGACACCATCAGGACGCTGGCTCACGACATTGATACGATGGAGTTTTATGACGCCAAGTGGTCTGACGGGCACGACTACAAGCCTACTAGTCACCTTTCGCGGGCCACTGTGTGCTCAGCAGGCGTCATCTCCCGGATCGGTATCCACTCCGAAGGACTCGCATCGGCCATCTACGTACTTGACGGAGAGAAGTACGTAGTCGTAGCCGAACCACTCCCTCAGTTTGCCTCAGCCCTCGCTCTGGACAGAGTGTCTGCATTCTCTCAGTTTAAGGATCATGCCCTTGATAGACGCTTCCGGTGGGAAGGAGCCATGCTCACGAAAGGAACCATTCTGTACGTCTCACCCAAAACCGTCATGTACAGTCCACTCATATATTGCTGTAGGTTCATGCGCCCGTGCACACTTCACTGTGGAATCACGTTGAGCCCCACAATCACATACGAGAGAAATTTCTACTCCTCGACCACGTTGGATAGGAGCGTCTTTGGCGCAATCCATTCGCTTGTCGGCAATTTATGCATCGTCAAGAATACATCGGGAGCAGCCCTTCACTGCCTAATCAGCTTTATGGATCAATTTTTGGATCAGTCTTCCGATAGCGGATCTGAGTGTACGTTTAGATTGCTTATACTCTCCGGGAAGACGTATGCTCAATAATCGCTGCTATAGATATGTCATGTCCCAAGGATGATGAGTTCTATATCATGCTCGGCGCGGTTGCGGTCTTCGCCTACAGCCTTCGTGCTGACACGTATCAAGATCAACGCGGAAACTTCTACTCACTTCCTGCCGCCCGTGATGCGGAAGGTCGTCTATCACGCGGCGAAAGGAGATGCATTCAGATCGCTCGCATGGCATTCATTCGGTACATACTTATGAATGTAGCCGCCAAAAGATCGTCCTTTGCAGGAGCCAACAACGAGGGTTCTGTAGTTCTGGAGGACGGAGGAGTTGAGGGCCTACAACGACCGGTCTACAACTCAAGGTTGGCACCGCAGTGGGTCCCGGAGTGTTATAGGGTGGTGTTCTGCGCACTAGCGCACTTTGCCTGTGCGGTCGTGACTGCTCATATCAGGATAGGCAGGAGTACTAGCTCAAAGCAGATTCCTAGCGAGTACCTCATCGAGTGTCTCGCCGATGACTTTCATGATTTTCTTGGGGAACGGGCGTACGACCATATTAGGATGCAGCTCCACCATATTACGCGTGTCATGTGCCAGACTGACGGAGATGATGGAAAACATGACCTCGACGACCTCGACGAGGACCAGGACCTCGACCTTCGCTGTTTCGCACTCGCCGGCATCCAACACACGCCCTCGTCTGAGGACTTAGATACATGGGATCCGCCTCCATTCGAGGAGCAATACGATAAGGCGGCGGAAGACGATATCGGGAAACTTTCCCTGTTCTTGGATGAACGAGAGGGGCACCAGATGGACTCGCGATGCGCTTTCGACAGCTTACGTAGAGGTGTATGGTCCTCTGTAAAAGAGAGCCACATAAGCCTCCCGAAGAGTTAGTATACTTGGCTTGTCGCGATGATGGATATAGGTATGTAGCTTTTTTCAAACCATCGAGCCTCTCACGTTTGTCACGCTGGACTGATCGCTTTGTGGGTCGCGTGCTTCATTCGGCTCCAGATGTTGCAGCAGTGCCGGCCTGCTTGCGTGGTCTGCGTACTGTGTTCTGCACCTGCGATGTATATGCTGCGATAACGCACGTCGAAGGGTGCTATCCCGATTTTGATTGTACCCAGCTTGTTCGGTTTTCTTCCAGTGAATACATGGCATTACTAATATTGACTATCGGAAAAATCACGGCAGACTGCAGAGTTCATTCATAGTATAGTAATCGAGGACAAACACTTTGAGTATAACCAGCCGAATCAAGTGACAGCGTTATCATGTCTGACGGATTAAGCAATATCGAGCACGGTTACAGGCTAGACAAAGAGTAACACTGACGCCATATAGCTGTAGAGAGCCACGGAAGCTAGCAATCAGTTGTTGCCGAATTCTTCGCCGACAAGTCCTGCCGCTTCTTCTTGTCCACGATAGCAGCCTGTTTCGCTTGTCTTTGAGCCTTCTTCCGCTTGTTGTCCCGTTTCTTCACCGCCACCAGGGTCTTCCTCTCGACATTCCGCTTGCGGCTCCGGTGTTTTTGGAGAGAGGTCCACTCGTCCGGTGAGATGAGCCATCCAAGATGAACCCAGCGGAACTCCCCCGAGCACTGAGCACCTAGTTTTGAGGTTTGTCAATAAACTGTTTCTCTAAGGAAAAGTAAAATACGTGCAGGGCGGCGCCAATCTGGAAAGGCCTTTATACTCAATCCACCCAAGCATGCACGTCTAGGATAATGGTCATGCTCAGAACATAGAAGAAATTCGACGGAAGACGCACGGCATGCACAAGGCGCTTGCATGGGCAGAGATGTACGAAGTCACAGAGGTCACTGTCCTCCACCGACGATTGGCAGATCTAAATTCTTAGTGTGAACAGGCTCCATACGCGGCGATTAACACGAGTGGAAGAGAAATATACCTGACAGTGGTAGAAATACTCCGGGTCAGACTAAACATAGGTGATAGCAGGCTGGTGAGTATCGTGATGGTATAAATGATCTAAGGAAACAAGTACCCGGTTCTTGCGAGGGGAAGCTCTGTTGAATGCCTCGACAGTGCGAGTATGACTACCGAGACCTGCATGGACGATCTTCATACGAGGGCATAAGTCAGATCCACGAAATCGGACCAAGTACATTGACTCAATACTATACCTCGAACTTTTCCTGTGCGGTGAGGTTGCTGTTCTCAGGCGGCCGATGCAGTTTCTGATACTGGTGTTTCAATAGCCATGAGGGTTCTTTGGGTGGAGTGGGAGGCATCTCTTGGGCAAAGAACTTGTCGTCGTCGTCGAGGGAGGAAAGCAGATGCAGGCGGCAACTCGGCGTTGTCCTCGTGTTTCCACGTGTTCGCGTGGGAAGTGGCGGGTGTTCACGTACCCGAGGTTCGCTTCTAGGCACCCTTCCCTGGGCCAGCCGTCCCTCAGGCCTCAGTAGGCCTCAGTGGTGGAATACGACTCTGCATTGCTCTCGCCACACTTATCTCAATATCATTCTGACCGTGCGATGTCTTCCGCTTGGGCCTCGACGGTATTTTCAACCCTAGTCAGATGAGTGCTTAGGACACAAAAGTACTCGGACACTAGTAGTTCATTGAAGGACCGGCTTCTCTGTGTGTTTCATTATAACCTCCAATACTTGCTCTCTCGAAAGCTTGTCTTGATTTTCTACGGGCAGATAACAAGGAAGCTACTAGTAGCAGTGCATTATACAATCTGACTGATCTTGGTAGTTACTCAGCGTAACAACGCCTTCGAAGGATAGCAAGTCTGCAGGTGCGTTCATCTACTCTGTACATGATTCTGTAGACACAGATCTAGACATAAATGACATTCTATGGAATAGAACAATGACTTCACACCGGTCTCTTGTCCCTCCCGAAGCACCTTCACCCATCTCGCCACACATGAGCGCGTTGGCCACCGTCAGCAAGCCCCGCGTGATCTCCAATGCTTCCTAAACTTCCGAAACCCCAACTGTCACCCCAAAATCGTTCAGTGGTAGGCCGAGTATGAACTCGACAGTCTCAGTCGCAGGCACGACTCAGAGCATCGCCCTCCCTGTCTCCATGTACGAAGCCAAATCGCCTAAATCGCCTTCTTGTCGGACACACCCACCGTCGACCTTCAGCCCACCAACGACTCCTCGCGCACATCCTGTCTCCGTTCCCTCCTCGCCAAATAACACTAGTCTCAGCACGAGCGCCTCGTCCTCACAAAGCAATTTCATGTCTCCAAGTCCCAAAGCAAAAGCAAATATAAAATCTAATAGTTTGACACGGCCTGCCCCGCCACTCACCGCCCCTCCGAAGACTCAAGGCGCAAAACTACAGCTCCGTCCGCGAGAGGGGTGCCACCAGTGTCTAAGAGTTCCACCCCTGCGAGGAAGAGTAGTGGGCCTAGTATGACGAATGGGAAAACAACGTCGCAGAGACATATGGAGAGTGGGTCGGACGCCTTTAGAGTTGACGGTTTTGTCGCCCCCGAAGGCAGATAATCATGCTGCGAGCTTGAGGTTGGTGGCTGAACCTCATAATGCTGACAGCCCGACGTTCGTTGACACGTACTGTACAGCTCCAATCAAGCCTTCAGGCGGTGCTTGATATCCATCAGCGCAAACTTCCTCACTACAAACGACCCTTCGAACGTCCTCAAGCCTCCCGGGCCATGCAGCTACACGCCCTCCCTGCCGAGGTCTCGGCCCTGCGAGAACGTGAGCGCGAGAGGGAAATGGATGGTGGAGTTATCACGGGAATGTAGGATGAGGACGAGTTTTGTACCTGGGGTGGTAAGACTCACACCACATGCTCTCATCCTTGCTTAGACCTTTAATCGTTTTCTTCACCTGCGTCTCATTGTATCTTCCTTCCCGAATCTCGTTCAAGGCCTTCAATTGATCCATATCACCCTCTTCGTCGCCCAAATAATCATCGCGAACTCGCCCTGGTATCCGCCCTTCGTCTTTGCTCTCTCACCAAAGTTCCGTCCCATTACTTATATTGCCGCTTAGGGTCGCTATCATCCTTAATTGTGGGCCGTCTACTTTTGTTTGTGAGGGGATTGACGCCCTCCACCTTTACGGCTTGTATGGCTGGAAGTATTCACTTGCAAATCCTGCTTCCAGCGAAGTACGCAAAATCGACGTCCGATATCATCGGAAACCTCGCATCACACTTGACGTTCAAGATTCTCAAACACCTCCCTGTCCAAGAGCTCCTCCCTGTAGAGCCTGTTCGTACATTATGTCGTTTGCATCTCCCTTCCCTTGATCGGAGGTTTCACTTTGGGTCTTATACGTATTACAGGTCTCAAAGAAGTGGCAAGAAGCAGCTCACATGCCCGCCATATGGAAGCACACTGCTGCTTGAGAACCACAGCGACGGATCCTCCCCCACTCCAGCCGCCGAGGTCCTCTCTCACTGGTGCGTTTTAATTGACACATCTATAGTCCAGGCATCTTCGCAATGTAGCCGTGTGTGCTGAAACGCGCTATCGCAGGGAACAACCATAACGCTCGTTACATCGCCAAAAGCTTAACTCCCGCGATGCGCTCCCAAAGAGTGTAAGGTTCTCAAACACACGAACTTCCATACGACGCTGGTTCTACGCCGGTAAGTCCTGTTGCACTTCGCCGTCGATCCATACATACATAAGCCTTGTTCAGAGTGCTCATATCGAGCCCTCATAAACGCAGTATACGAGCTCGTATATGAGCTTGATATGAGCTTGAGCACAGCCAAGAGGCTTTGCCGAACAGTTTCTGCCTAATGGGGCAGCTCAGCCCATATCGAGCTCATTTATGAGCCTCATATATGAGGCCTCAATATGCGAACTTTGAGCAAGGCTATACATAAGTCGTCGACGTGAGGGCGCGACAGGTAAAAGTTTGATCAGTGGCTCATACGACGAAATGATTCGCTTCCGGGATACTTATTGAGACGGGTGAGTTGAAGAAGTGTTTACAAGTCAAGTGAGTCGTTAATTGTGTCGACTTCTTGGCAGATGAAGGTACGCAACTCTGTTCATCCCGCAATATCTGCGCCATCACCCTGTTCAACACCAGCGGACATCCCACACTCTCCAGCAGTCTTCGTCGTCGGTACCCACAACGTCGGCGGATGGCCTTCGACTGCTAGCTTCCCCTGCATCCGAAGTCAATCCCGACTCGCCCCTTACGCCTAATCGCTCTAGCAACAACCTCAGCACTGGGGCTAGGGATAGCTTGCATGAGCAGGTTCGCCAAACCTAAGGAAATTTCAATTCGGATTCTCCCAATCAAACCAATATTGCCCTCCGAATTGATATGCGGGTTTTACTGGATTTTTCACATCCGTGCATGTGGCGTGGTACTGGCGTGGCCACATGGCGATGGTGTGGCGACGGTGTAGTAGGTGCGAGCTCGGCCGTCGCCCTCTGATCTCTCTAGCATAGCATCTCCTAGTTACTCGCCGATAAAAGTAGCATGTAACACCTGGGCAATAGTATGCAGCTGCAAACAACATTGTATACAACCGACAGTGGCGACGCGTGTGCGCGGCTGTTTGTGATTGGATGACAGGCGACATCAGGAGGCTCAGTGAAGAAGGGAGTGTGGATAGTACAGGATAGCACAACAAGAAGAGCCGGTTACGGATGGGTTTTCGGACATTTTTAAATGAAAGTAGAGTACCTATGATAAAACGACAGGAACGTAGAGGATTATTCAAAGCTAGAGTATCCGAAAAAAGTGTCTCTTGAGGAGAACTCGACTGGCAGAGGCACTCGTGAGGATGGCGGCGGAACGGTCAAGACGAGAAAACTGTCGACCGTTCCGCCACAGCGTTCCACAGACTCAACTCTGGGACATCTTCATGGCCGTTCCTTCAAAGTTCGAGGACAGCGACTTACAGCTTCAAATATACCGGATGTAAAAATAAAATAAAAACATGTTCGGCAACAAGAACCCCTCGTAGTAAGTATTAAACGAGCACAGATAAGGAGACCAAGCTGTACAGAAGCGCTCAGGATAAAATGAGTGTACAAGAAAGATGTTCTTGTGTGGGTCGACATGCGAGTGAGAATAACATCGACGATGTTTATAAACCACGATCCCTCAGTCGAAGTCCCTTGACTCCTTTCAATGCGACTGCGACGGGTCGGGGGTTGGCCGGGTTGCTTTCACGTATGCTATAGAATGGCGTGAGGTAAGTAAACGTGCTACAGGACAAGTCAAAACCGGCAGACGTAGCAGATATCCACGCCATCGTCCCATCTGCACATCCTCTCCCGTAGTTACACGATGCTTACATGACGTGGGCACTCCATTTGGCGGGAGACTCGCGCAAAATTGGCGGGGGTGATGGGCCCCTTGGGACACCGGACGTCGCCTAACGTCTGGGAGGTACAGTAGTTCACACCTTTGTCTATGACACACACAATAAATACAATATGGCTAACATCGAAACGACAACATTAGGGCATATATGTAGCGGTGTACATTCAACCTCTTCGCCAATCAGGAAGCGGCCCCTGGCAGGGCTCCAACATTTTAAATCACTACTTATATGCTCTATTTGACAAAAAGTACACACTTCTACTACATCGAATACTGTCATAGGTCCTCCCATAACATAATCGCAACGCAGCTCCCATGCATTCCAAATCAGAGCCACGGAACGAGACATAGCAAGCACGACATTGAAGACGACGAAGACCGAACACGAGTATTTAATACCATTGGAGGCAGCTAAGCCGTCTCGTGTAACATCTAGGTGAGAGTTGGTGTCTTGTGCTTCACACCCTACAGGAAGACATCCTGAAACACGGGATGCAGACAAAAAGACCTACTAGGGCAAGAATCAACACCCGACCGTACCGAGACAACTCGAAGACACACACTGTACCGGATGGCGCGACACCAAATAGAATAGAACCACTGTACAGGAGGAGAGGGAAGGTCTGCGAGCAGCTCGCGGGGCTAGCAGAACACATTTCACCCGTAAAACCAGTCGACAATCAAGCGAGTCAAGTTGAAGGAGGCGCCGCACAGGTATATGGTTTACAGGAGCCTTGTACGCGCCCATAGATTATCGATTATCGTTCGCAGGGCCAGACGATCATATATGTGACGACGTATATGGCGCGTCCGCCAAAAGCCTGACGCCCTACCATGTTCAGGTTAAAGGCGGTGCCGTTCAGGAGCATCGGTCACGAGACTAGACGGCTCTTGTGAGACGTTGACGATGTTATATCACAGGTGTCTCATGAGCTGGAGGAAAAGCGAGAGGACAACCGGCACGAGAGGTTCAACGAGGAAACGCAGTCACGGTGGCATGGTGGGTGAACGTGAAAGTCAACGACGGCGACTGTTGCCTAAGGGACACCGGGAGAACACACCTGGACAGAACCAGGAGCATAGTGACTGTAACAAAATGGGAGTCAGTAAATAAGAGACAAGACAGGACAGGAACAAAAGAATTGAACTCGTAGCGGGAGAGCGGATAAGCAACATAATATGAAGTTGAGGTTGACACGCGCAAGGACGCGATGACGTCGTTTGTTTGGTGCTGTGAGGTTGGTGACATTCAGCGACAATTACGGCCGGACAAGGAGCAAGCAAGGTGATGGAATGAGGTAAATAAACGTGCTGCATAGAACGAGTCAAAATCGGCAGACGTACCAGATATCCACGCCATCGTCCCATCTGTACATCCTCTCCCGAACACAGCAAAAGCCGGTAAGTGCGAGTCTTGTTACATAGCCTGTAGGGCTCTGCTACGTTCTTGGCGTAGTCGAGGGAGTCGCCCGCGATACGACGGCGGCGGGTCGGGGGTTGGCCGGGTTGCTTTTGCGTATGCTACAGAATGGCATGAGGTAAATAAACGTACTGCATAGAACGAGTCAAGGTCGGCAGACGTACCAGATATCCACGCCATCGTCCCATCTGTACATCCTCTCCCGAACACAGCAAAAGCCGGTAAGTGCGAGTCTTGTTGCATAGCCTGTAGAGCTCTGCTACGTTCTTGGCGTAGTCGAGGGAACCGCCCGCGATACGACGATCTCTGCGGGGGAGAAGCATGGTGCAGAAAAATCGACTGGTGCAGAGAAGTTGTGTCGTGGTGGCGGGATGTAACACGGAGGGCATGGAATACGTGGATTACAAAAAAGGTTGGTGTACACGGATGACTATAGCAGGAGGATTAGCATGAGGTCAGGCTCAAGATCAACCGGGACGCACCAGAGCCGATTTCGGGACTTCTCTTATGGCGACGAGCGTGGAGTGCAGACGATAGTACACTGGTATCGTTGATCGTGGAGCGGCGTGCCCCTACAAGACTGTCAGATAAGATGGCGTGGAGGAGAAGGCATGTCGCTTGGAAACGGACCAGTGCCGCACGTACCATATCCGAATTCGCATCTTCCGATAAAATCTCCATTCTCCGGATGTATAATGGATCAATGAGTTTGACCATTGAAAGCAGACGCTGAAGGGAGCAGAAGATCGTTGGAGACGTGTCAGACGTGTTCGAGCGCATAAGCTGGGGCACAGGGACTTACCTCGATGTCTTTTGGCCATGATGATAAAAGAGAGATGTCTGTTCGTCAAGAGACACGGTCGCGTGCGTTTTAGGCTCGCAACTGCATCGCGCACCGATTAGGACTCGCGATGTGTGGCTGATGAGGAACAGATATCGCAGGTACCGACGGACGTTGACACCTAGTCGTGCTCCACAGTCGCGTACTGGTTAAGATCGCAACGGTCCGCACATCGGTTAGACGCGCAGCTTGTGCAACAACGATGTGGCGGGCAACGAACGACAGCACGATGATGGAGGCAGTCGGCATCGACGTCGGGCAGAGGTCGACCACATATCGAAAATACCGACGGACGTTGGCACCTAGTCGTGCTCCACAGTCGCGTACTGGTTAAGATCGCAACGGTCCGCGCATCGGTTAGACGCGCAGCTTGTGCAACAACGATGTGGTGGGCAACGAACGACAGCACGACGATGGAGGCAGTCGGCATCGACGTCGGGCAGAGGTCGACCACAAGGTACGTGGCCAGCTGTGGTGCGAACGGGCCGGCTTTGGCTGGCGAGCCCGAGAGATGACCGGACCGCAGCGCGCCGATGCCACAATATCAGTTGTAACCCACCGAACGCTTGCCCAACATCCACCGCCGAACAGTCCATTTACCACCATCTACTGCATATACACCCATCAAAATGGTCGCCGAACAAAGTGTCAAGGGTAACCACCTTCTACATTACTCCTCTTTAAACCAAATCTTTCACACTCTGCCACTGGTCACAGACGTCCTCGTATCACATCCGATGCATTGGCAGTGGCCGGTTGAGAATTTGGCAATGCTTTGCCCACAGGAGATTGATATGCAAGGTGCCCTTCTTTTTTTTCACGGTGTAATATATAGTCTCTCAATCAATCTTTGTATAGATATGCCGATCAGAGATGACAGTGAAAACCACGGCGATCTGTTGAGTTACTTCCGCCCTACGCAGTCTGGTGAAGAGGTTAGAGGCCCAATCAACGTACCGGATCTTCCAGAGTGCCAGTGGTGAGATCGCGTTCGACGCTCAAAAATGCTCTACTAATCTGGGTCATAGCATGCGTGCTCACGCGGCGGAATCCTACAAAGCAAAGACGGCTGGAGAAGGGATTCGTGCCACAGGAAGCGGTACCCGTCAATCAAGTTGCGGTTGCACGAAGCCGCCGGCTTGGGCTCAAACTCAGACTATCTGTCTCGCAAAGTCTGACCAATCGGTGAATGCTATCTCGACCCCCACGGATGTCAAGGCCACCGAAAATGACAGGACCAGTGCGACGCATGGAAAGTAATTGTCTCACAAGTACTCGAGGAAGTGTTAGAGTTTAGTTGATTCTGGGAACGATGAAAGTAGTTGATCAAGGTGAGCTGGAGCTCCTCATGCCGTAGATATGATCACTGCAACAATTCTTACCGGGCTATTCATAGTGTGATCAACGACAGCTTGTGAATGCTTCCCTACCCTGGCTCTACTCAATATGCTCGTATCAGTATGTAGTATCATTCTGTTGCGTGGCCCTTCGTCTCTTGTGATTCCTATAGACATCTCCTAGTTTGCCGCATGCTGCAGACCCGCCCCCGGTGGTATGCAATTTCTCCGTGCCCACGCAGGATGAACTCTCTATAGCTCATTTTATCTTCCTTTCCTCACGATGTCTTGTTTGGGACATCCGTCATCTTACGGTTCCTGTCAGAGTCGATCTAGCGTTTCGTGTCCGGATAGTCCAGCCTCCGCCGGCTCGTGTTTTTCTTCCTTTTCCTGATTGAGAATTAGTTGAGCTGCAGCACATTCGTGCATTCCTGGATGCGCGGTCTAGAGGCGGTCTGTAGGACCGTATGCTGGCCGCACCAGAGAAGGACGGCATGAATGTCCTTTCGCGGATTACCTTGATTTCACAAGGTGTATTGCACTCTCATCCATCCCACATGTTCCTCTCTTCTGCCAACGCAGAAACGAAGCACGTTCAAATTCTTCTGCTACAGAGCACATCTTGCTTTTGTATGGACGAGTTCGGAGCGTACAGAACGAAATTGGTTTCGTTTTGCTTTCGTGTCTGCCCGAGCAGAAAACTGGATCCGGCACTATAATCGCACTTGTATGCCACACGTCGATGATCCTGAACAGATATGTCTGCCCTCTTTGTATATGTAGCATCAGGACGCGTGAACTGCCCTGAGCCACGCGGACTGTCTCCCTGTCTGTGGGCACACCTGCATTCGTGTGCTCGCTCGCTCCGTTTCGTCTTCGAGGCTGTCATCGAGACACTTTTTTTGGATGGAACGGGGCGTGCTATTGATGGTGGGTGTAACTAGTAATCGGTCCATCATTCAGTCGGGTGGCGTCTGTGGTAGTCTGGCGCGTCGGGTTTCCATCTTTCTACTCATTTGTTTCTCATCGCACTGTGCAAGATGATACTGAGAGTTGGATCCAGGCCTCAATATTGCATGCTCATGCGCAGCTATCTACCACAACGACGTTCAAAGCCGTTGCGCAAGCTCGCGCTATGGACGCTGTCATCGAGATGTCGGCCAACCTTGGGTGAGCAATTCTATTCTCGGCCGAGATTTTTTGGGGCTTATACACACTGGCACTGTACTATCGTCTTTCTAGATCGATTTCCACCTCGGACTGGCATTGTCAATAAAGCGAATGGTCAGGGAAGGTAAGTCCCTATTGTTGGCTATTGGCTCGTCCATGCTACAACCGTTCAGATCGCCATGGTTGTTGGTGTTATACTACGTCAGTAGCATCAACAACTCCTCTGCTGTACCCTGACTGTGGACACGGGACTCATTGTTAACCACCGTCTCCACCCCCTCTTCATCAGCAAGACCTCCCTTGCAGCATAGGATTTCGTGTTCTCGGTGCGCAAGAGAAGAGACAATATTGTCTCCGTGGCCGGAGCTAATTCCTCTCCATCTACGTACCCCGTCTCTCTGATGACCTTCGGTTAAATCTCTCGGGAAGAATTCTGCAGGGGCCGCTACCGGATACCGTGGCCCCACCCGCTTCATCGGCGCGATCACGGATGAGAAGCCTTCCTTGAAGGTCGCAATGACCTGATGTCCTGCATCAGAGCTGATGTGGAAGACGACTATCACGAGCAGTAATAGTAAATTGTCAGCGGTCATAGCGGTGCTCGCCCAGAGCCATCACGGATTGCTCGCGAAGATGAACCGCAAGTTCCCGCCCCGCCCGTTCTCCGTGCGTACTTCTAACACCGTCGATTATTGACCCGGATCTGAGAGTTTTACACAGGCGAAGGAGATATATGGCGCTGGTGACAGTGATTCGGGTTTGTTCCGCGTTACACTTCATCCGCACGGTGTCAACTAACTCGCTCACCTGATAAAAACACGTTAAGTTGGAGAACGGCTCAATCGCAAGCCTTAGGCCCGCCGCTGGACTCAAAGCCATCAAACACACTCACGTTTATAATCCACTTCGCCCGTACAAATTCGACGGCGGCGTCAACTTGCTAAGGGACTGGTGTATGAAACTTCAAGGGCGCGACATCGACCTTGACCCTCATGGGCCTTCGTTTTCAAGCACTCACATTAGCATATGCGGCCAAGTAATGGATATTCGCTGTGGTTCACCCTTACCGAGTGTCTCCTGTGAGGTGGGGTGTGCTTACGGCGGATCTCGACGAAGCTCTAGTACTTCGTGAAGGTCTCTCGCGCTGCTTAATACTTCAGTTCGAATTTCTTCCTTGAGTGGTATAATCATGTTCGTTCCAAATGTTTCTTTCACTGACGTGTCCGCCTTATTATCTCATGGGTGTGGTTTCGTCCGGGCTGCTGAAAGGGTGCGTGTACAGATAGCCCGTCGCCACTGCGTCTCAACCATAAGTCTCACACTTCTATCTTAGCTAGCGACGGGGCCTGTATAATCTGACGGTCGTTGCAGTAACACATGACGCAGTGTAAAACATCCTGAAGCGCATCCAAACCGACAAAAATATTACTTCTACTCAAAACGTCACCTGATACTCATCATGATCCAAGTCCCCCTCTACCGTCTCCGCCACCTGGCCCAACTGTTCGGCCAGCGTTCGAAACTCCCATGTACTCGCAGTCTGAAGCATCCACCCCTGTAATCTCAACACACGCAACGGCGTTCCTCTCCACTGCAACCTCCAAAAGAGCGTCAACCAAACCCTTACGACGTATGGCAGAGCGACACCCCTCCCAAACTCCACAGTCACGATCTTCTCCCATATGTTCACGCCCATCGCCAACCTCCGCCTCAGAACGTCAGGAACCCGGACCCACGAATTTCCATTCCCGTGGAACACGACCCGTTCAACACTCCTCGCAGCCACTAAGAACCTCTCGACCTCTTCGTCCCTCGGCTCGCCAACCTCCAAAAAATCCGATCCGCCGTGGAGATGTAGCTGCGTCACCGACGGTAGAGATTCCACCCCGACCAGCAAGTCGGACAGTATCTCGCATGGTGAACTGTGCCGAGCAGAGAGCTGCAGAGCGAAGGACCGAGGATAATCTCCACCGAGGAGTTGTACCCTGCTCCCTGTACTCGAGACCCAACGCATGTCTATCTTGGATGGCAACGCCGCGCATGTCCTCATGACGGTCCTCAATCTACTCGCCGACGATATGCCCGCTCTTCCGACTCGAAGTCGAAACTTCCAGCTCTCAACACCGGGGAGTAAGAATGCTGCGAAGAGATGGTCGAGACATTTCATGCTGCCGAAGAAGGCGAATTCCGTCAAGGTTGCTAACGTGGTAGGCGGGAGCTTGAGGTCGTCTCTGTTGACAGCGAGCTTGCCTCCGAGAGTCAAGTCGACCAGCAGCGGCAAGGCAGCGAGGACATTTCGGAGATCTCCCAGAGCAATCGTGGATGCGGAGCTCGAGTTATCGAGGCGAAGAACGCGAAGAGATGTGTTATATGCTAATGCCGACGCAGGGTAGGATACGTTTGTCAACTCGATGTGTGTGAGAGCGGAGGGATCCACCAGCTCGGCAGGGAATATCGGAAGGGATACCGTTTGATCTCCGCTGCGACCTTCTCGACGAATAGTAAGGCGACGAAGGAGGGGGAACTGCACGATTTCGAATATATCCTTGACGACCTCCAGCCCATCGTGTTTCTGGTCGGACCGTACATAGAGAGTGAGTTGCTCGATCACGTCGGAGTACGCCACGATCCAAGCCGCCCCGAATGGTTCGCACTGCGACACGTCCGTCTGGACCCATAAAGGCAGCCCACTCGCCCGCTCCATCTGCTTGCCCACAAACTTGAAGCCCGCAGCAAGGTCCACTCTTCTCCACAGCTTCGGGCACCCATCGATCACCTCTTTCCAGCCTGGACTGACAAGTCGCTTATCATACCACTCCTCCATATCGTCTTCCTGAGTCAGTACGAATATATCGGTTACGACCTCGAGCGGTAAACAGTTCATGGTCTACAGACCTCGGTAAGTAATCCTACGGCGAGTTGCTCAGTCGACAAGGATGCTCACCGCAATCGGAAACAAAGAAAAAAGGCTATGACGGATAGCAAAACACGACCGGGAGGCCAGAGCGTGTTATGCGGATCACTACGGTTGGACCTTGGTATAGGAAGTCATTGATTAGGGATCATGATGGATCATCGAGTTTGGTCAGTCAAAATGTGAGGACAGCCTCACCTCTCTCAACGGGGCGGAGTGGTGACAATACAGCAGAACTCGAGGGGAGGTCGTTCGGAGGCAGAACGCGCAAGTCAATGCGAGGGAGTCGTTCGTCGCCTATGAGTATTGTCTGAAATGTTCAGGAATTCTACGCACACGATCAGAAGGCCTTCCCAAGGCCTTCTATCCAAATGAGACGGAAGATTGCGGCCCGCTACGGTGGCGTCAGTTCTTTTTATCCGAAGTTACGCTTCTCTTCGTGAACCCGAGGTTCGGGATCATAGATCTCTCTAAAACCAGGATCTTCGAACCGAATGCCGATCAATTCGGCGGAAGCGAAGGAACCAAAAGGAACGCACCAACAAAACCCCGTCGCATGCTATTCTGCGCCATTGGCCTGTTTCGGCCAATGACTGCCTTGGTTTCCCCTGCGTCGCCCCCACTTAAAACCTTCACTCGCTTCTCCAGACTCACGATGGCTGACTCTTGCTCCTCTTGTCCCAAGACTGTTCTTACGCGCCGTTCTCCGCCATTATCTGTCCCAACGTCTCTGACGAGTGTGCACCGGAACGACACTATCTGCGTCTCTCACATGGACACAAATACAGAGCCTCCTCCCGTTACTGTCCAGGCCAGCGAAAAGGTTCGTCGTGCTGTCTTACTCGTTTTCATATATGAAAGATTTTTTCGTATAGGCAGACGTTCCGGCGATTCAGGGTCTCGCTATCGCCCAGGCCGGGGATGAGGTGTGTACAGTGTTGTGGCTCATTTCGCTACTCACCTTTCTCGTATAGGCGGGCCTCGGGAAGCTTTCCGCCGCTGTCATCGAAGACAACTCTACCCACGCTCCGCCGTTCATACATGAACGTGCTAAAGATTCTTTTGAACCATCACCTTCCTCGAATGCCCATTCTACCAAGGATTCCACTTGTAAAGTACGCCCCATTTGTTCGTACCAAAGTGCCCCACAGATTGCTAACTTGCGCGATGGGGGCTTCAGGATATTGTGAGTGCGTGATACCCACATCGAATTGTCCTTTGTAAATTTACCGGACTTCCAGGTGGAGCATACGCCCAAGCCCGAGACATCCACAGATGCTCAACCAAAGGTCTGCTTTGAATCATTTGAGGCCTCATATCAGCGTTACTCGACTGATAAAGTCTACAGATAACTACGCCATTCCAGAAACGAAAGACGGTAGGTCAAGTGTTTTTCGACAGCTCGCGTGACCGCCTGACCATGTCACATTCGGTACCAGAGCGACGACATGGCAGTCGATCCATCCACTCCTAAGGTAAGCTTACTTTCCGCGTTACCCTGATAAATTAGTGATGCTGTCACCTCCTGCTCAGAAGCTCAAAAGGTCGATTGGCGACAGTCCACCCGTTCCTGGATCAAGCAAGAACAACGAAGATAGGTCTGCCCCACAGCATGAGTGCCCCGTCCAGTCTCATGTATGTGGTCCATATATCTCCTTATCAACATGCTTTCTTCTTGCCTGAAACTACTACTACCCTCCCTAGGACAATACATCGCTTGACAGGGAAATCGAAATTGTTGACGATTCCTTCAACAAGCCTGGGACTTCTGTTACGAAGACCAAGATCTATAAGCAGGCGAGCATAGTCATTAACCTCTCCGATCCGTATGGTTGGATCCTCACCAACTTCTCCTCCCACCAGACTTCAACTGACTCGGGCTCCGATGTCCAAGTAATCTCTGATTCTGGGCTTCCTATTCCGCGTAAACGTACTAGGAAGGTGAAGTCAAGGTCCACTACGCGTTTTACGTCGGCCCAGATAGCAAGGTTCAAGAAGCAGGGTTCCAAGGACGACCCGATATCTATCGACATGCTCGAGAGTGGATCTGAGGCCGAAGTCGTTGCGACTATTGCTTAGGAGTTGAGGGGCGCACATCGGGGATCGTTTGCTTCGTTTACTTGGGCTACTTACTACCATGTCTCTCATCCAACGCGTTGTCTTGATATTCGGTCTCAATGCCGTAGATCGTGAAATCTTCTACGCCTCCCATTTTGTTGGTCCTTATCCTATCTCCGTCCTATCCCATCTTTAGATTGGCCTGAATAGATGTGGGGACCAAGGGCAGCACATCCGGCGAACCACTTGGGAAGGTTAAGTAGCACAGCAATCGGACGAACGACCACAGAGAATCTGGTACTTGGTACTTTGCAAGTCACGCCCCGTAATACATTTACGAATGACCGGTTGGTGGATAACGATCCAAAGTAGTCACAGGGACCGTGGAGGTAGCTCTCATGCCGTGGCTAAGGAAAACCAAGCCAGGCGGTGTTCGCCATCCCGGATAGATTCTGCCGAGACGTTACCCACAGGGCGGCGACTGCAACGCGTAAGAAGACGTATGCTACTGAAATAGGTATATAAGTAGATAACACAAACGACCAGTGCGCTGACGCACCGTGGTCCGATCTCTTGCTCCTCCCAGAGCGTTCATCACCTCTATCGTTTACCTCACGTTCCTCTGTCTGTTTGATCTGTCTTGATTTTCTCGTAGCCATGTCCTCTCCCGGAAAGCGCAGTATCTCTCGCTCTCCCGGAAAGCGCAGTATCTCGCGCTCTCCCGGCAAGAGAGGCAGGGGTCACTATCCGGAAGAGAGCTGGACGACTGAATATCCTATTTACTCAGATCGCTTGAAAAAAAAGGTCGATTCCATAGTGCGGAAGAAGGCGGTGGCACCCTTGCCCGAGGTCTGCAAGCAGGGTACTCATACTATGGATAAAGGCAACTGGCGCCGTGTTGTATGTTATGCAAAACACTGCGCAGGTATGCAGGGATTTATCGTACGTATGCTCATCATGTCTCTCGTCCCGACATACGTCCTAAAATTGCCGTGCATTGATCGCTATTATCTGCTTCATCTAGTGCCATCAATGTCCCTCAGGTCCAGCCCGATTTAATCTCATTGATGGCCAGGAGCCGTTGACCCAAGAGGAGATTAACGATATTGAGGCCATCAGGCTTTCCGATGAACTCGATGACATGGAAGCTGAGAAGAAGGAGGAGACCGAGAAAAGCGACGTAAGCTCTTGCGGTTTCAATTTCACCTACGTACTGATATACCCCTTGGAATATCTACAGGAAGCTTTTGTGCGCGAGCTGCAAACATCGACCTCTACCGGCTTCATCGTCAAAACCGAAACTTCTAATACAGATGCTCGCCTGATCAAAACGGAACCACAACGTCTCGCCTACCGCCCTCTAGGGATTGATGCCCCTCACTCTGTCGCCGGCTATCCCATCAAGGTTGAACCGCCTCATTCTCCTAAGCGTACGGCAAGGAAAGCCGGAGAGCGCGTCGTCGGAGGTTTAGCGAATGCGAACGATGTTAAAGCCGAAGTGCTGCAGATGGATGCGCTCAAGGCGGACAGAGTAGGTCGCCTTACTTTGACCTTTTTCTCCATGCACGGCACTCATGGCGTCATTCCTTAGGCGGTGCTGGTGAGATTGCGCATTTGTACATATTAACATCCGTTAACCTGAGCAAATGTCTTTGTCTATACTTTTGTAGAACCTTCGCAAAGACTTGAGCCGAACCAATTCAGAGGAGAAGGTACATATGCGTATATTGTCGACTTAATATTGGAGCTCATATGTTCTCCCTCATTCAGAAACCAGGACCGTCGCAACCGGTATGCTTACTTCGTAAAACCATGTAGAAAACGTCTGAGTCTAGCTGACGAGTCACAGCAACGACAGATAAACAAAGGCAAGGCCAAGGCGGTGAGTCCATCTGTCTTGAGAGTTTGTATGTTGAGATGGATGTCTGATGCTTACTTCGACTACCGTAGGATACAATCCAGTCAAAGGAAGAAGCTAGCAGCGCAGTATGTGCATTTTATACATCTAGATACTAGATCGTCGTCTTACCACTGGGGTTGTAAACAAGAAGAGATGTCGAGTGAGTTATCTACTTGATGCGCAAAGTGGTGAATGATTCCTCATCGACACTTTTCATCTGTTTGTTAGAAGCAGGCAAGCACGCCCAAGCTACATGTGAGTCGTATTCCTCTGGACCCATGATAGTATGCATATTTATTGATGTGGACTGTTATGCACCCGCAGATGGCTACAGTGGATCTGGTACGATGTTTGCATTTATTGGATGTTCTTCTCATAATATTGCGTATTTGCAACTCGCAGGATGCAGACGTTATCGAAGTTTTTGACTCGGACGAAGAGAAGCCTAAGGTCAGTGCCAGACGGTTTACGATGCATGACTCAGTCTTATATCTTTGGGGACCGGGCTTTGTACAGGCCAAACGCGCGCGGACTACGTTGACGGTATGCTATCTGTGGCTTTGTTCTTCGCTCTGGGATCGTCTGATGGACGCAAAATGCCACTTATTTACTTTGTTAGGACGAGTCTACCATCGACATCTCATCCGAAGGCGAAGAGAAGGATGTCGCTCGATTGGGCCAAGGCTCCCAGCAGCACCCTATTGTTCTCGAATAATGTGTTTGAATAGTGATGGTGACATGATGGAGGATAGGATATGAATCAGAATCATATGATAGCTCTCGTATTGAATTGGTACGGTAGCTTTAGTCTACTAGTCGTAGAAGGGTGGGATATGCGCAGGATCGTATCGAGTCGCATGCACTCGTCTATTAAATTCTGATGGTCTGTTTCGCACTTAGCGGTGGCCGGTGGCGCTCATGGGGCGCCACCTAGGCTGGCGAACGCAATAGAGAGTCTTCGCCACCCGGAATCTGCCGAAATCGCTCAACAGAACGCAGAATTTGTGCAGAGGACGACAACAGACCTTATGCATGCTTAAAATAGTGTCGAATGGGAATATCTCGGTTTGCCAGAACAAATTTGCTCAGAATCTGGGTGGTGAAAACATCTCTAATCGCGGAACGTTAACAGTATACTCAGATCGTGCTGTGGCTGTTCGAGTGAAGGGCCACTGTATCGATGAACAATTGGTTAAGTCACGTGCCTTACCTTTTCTGACGTGGCATATGCGAAAATTTGTGTCGAATGCGCCGCCAAGCTTGCGCGCGACCTTGTCAGGCATCAGGCTTCAGGTCTCCCTCTTCAGCGTCTGCTCCTTAAATAAGGCAGATATGGACGTCTATCGAGTTATCGCCGCTCATCTTGCAGTACTTACTAGTGCGGGGCAGTGCTTGTTGGGCTATCTTATCGGTCTCACGATGCGGTCCTATAGTACACATCGTCAACTTGAGAATCTCGAACAACTCCGAACCGTGACTATCGTGCGCCTATTCCATATATCTTGTACAACTGTCTGGTGGCGGGGATTCGCTGCCAAACTTATCCCAACTCTGCTGGGAGGTTGGCGTCAGTACGCAGATCACTCAAAAGCGGAGCGAACGGAACAGTACTTGCCGGCACAAAGGTCTTCAGCTTCCCTTCCCAAGCAAGACCGAACCCTTTGGCCCTTTCGTCCCAGATCGTTTCCTCCACCCTGTATCCCTCGTCTACGTTGTATAAGTATACGTCAGATCTCCGCAAGTGCTTGATTCTAAACGGGTCTTACCTGAAGAAAGTCTGGCTTGATCAGCGTGGCGACAGCTCAGCTCCTCTGTCTTACCGGGCCTCGCCACATTCCACTCCAAATCCTGCACTACGTCCCGGAAAGCACGCCCATAGAAACCACTCGCCTGCATCTCCCACCTCGAAATCGACAGAGATCTCAGCCCAACGCCCCGCTCCTGTCTGTTGCGAAGTCCCTGTACCCAGACATCGGCAACCTCGACTTTGACCCAAAAACCAGATCGCATATTCACCTCCTCCAAGGAACTCCAAGGTAAAAGATTCCCATCCTCGGACGTATCGCACCCCCCAACTAAGAGCCCAAGCTGATGCCACCGGTCACCATAGCCCGACATGGTGAGCTTCTTCAGGCCGGCCGTGAGGTCGAAGAAATGGCCCCAACCCTCGTCTACTACATATTCCCCTGAATCAGTCGTCCCGCTCCTCAACGCCAAGCACTCAACTCCAGATACTCCCAAAGACTTCATCAGCTCTGTGGTAGAGCTCAGAAACGATGACGATGGAATAGGGATGGTGATCCGCAACTTGTTCTCCCCGAGCTCCGCCTGTACCGTGACGACCGATCCATAGCTCTTCTGTACCGTGACACCCATCCTCTTTGCCACACTGTCAAATCGCCGTACGTACGGTATGACCGCTCTGCAGAATTGTTCCTCCGCGGCCAAGTCCAGACGGGTCTCTACGTCGAAATCCACGTCTACTACCTGCGGCATCTCGAACAGATCAAGAAATGTCGTGATACTGGATCCAGTCCCGGAAACTCTACACCGCCGTAGCTCATCCAACCCCACCCTTCGTATTCCCCTGCTCGTATTAATCTGCACCGTCAGCTCCAGGGTCCGTAACTTGGGGAGGAAGGGTAGAGTCGCCATGAGAAAGTCGACTGAGGACAATATGTCGTCTCCAGCCCCTAGGAGCAGGGAAGATAGGTTCTGGAACCGCAATATACGTGAAGGGGACATCGTGACGCGGGATATGGAGAGCGAACGAAGCTTGGACTCGTTCGTGAAAGCGTCACCGTTCCATTCGACGTCTACCAGGGGGTCCGTTGTCCAGACCTCGCCAGTGATCTCTATCTCCTCCAGTTTAGGGAATCCCGCGTTCATAACCTCGTTCATGGTTTCTTGGGTTATGTCGCGCAGAATCAGGCGGATGATTCGATTCCGGTGATCTCGTAGCAGCGAGGGATTTGGCGAACCAGAAGCAGACAACCTGACCGTTATGGGGCGAGTCCCTGACCTCTCCAGGACTTTATGAACCCACTCCCACTTCGAAGTGACCACAACATGGCACCACAGTTCACCGCTCTCATTCATGAGGTCCCGCCACTCTCTGCACACCAATCTCCAGATCAGCCACCCGCAACAGCTTTGCGAACCCCAGTGAACAGCAAAAGTGGGCCAGTAGTCCACTTGCGCGAAAAGGAAAATCGCCAGCATGAGTTCGAGTGGGAGTGAACCGAAGCTCGCCCTTCGCATGGTCTTTGCGGTAGTGTACGTGAGCTTTTCATATCACGGTATACTCAGGAGGATGCGCTTTCTACGAGGATGGAATCTACGTACCGAGTCTGTGCCTTCGACGTTTCCGTGCTCGTTCTCGTTAGGAGATATGCAGCGTCCAGCGTTTTCCGACGGGGCAGATGAAGACGTGTGCGGCAGGACAGCGGGCACATTAACACTTCCCATGTCTCTAGCTGGAGAAGTTGGCTGGAGGTAAGATGGAAAGGTATCGAGTCGTTCTCGTCCGGAACACGACCGTAGGCGTTGGCGAAGGCTCAATCCGAGATAATTTCATTTGTGCCACCTACGGGAGCCGGCAGATCGTCTTCCCGATTTCGCCACACACAATGGATAAACGCGATGTACTGACGCAAGCGAGAGCTCACTACGGCCCGCCTTGTAGCCTTGCGGAAATCTTGAGCCGCATTGTGGTAAGTATCCCCTTGCAACCGTTTGGACCCTCTGTCTCAGGGTGCGTGAAGCGCTCTTAACCTTTGATTCACTTACACGACTCTACTATCAAGACCGAACGCGCACGCTTGTGCGATCCCCTCATCTCGATCTACTTACTGTCCGTACAGACTACTTAGATCCTTCCGAACGACATGAACGTCAAAGTCTGCGACAGATGTCGAGAAACCCCACTCCGTGGACCTCTCAAGCGCTGTAGCCGATGTTTGGCAGGATACTATTGCAACTTAGAGTGTCAAAAGCAAGACTGGGAGGACCATCGGTACGGTTCATTCTTGCATGCAACCCCGAGTATCGAATTTACCACAGTACAGTTTTACTTGTTCCCAGATACAACGTCTTGTGGCTTGCGGTGTGACACCTTTAACCCGAACCGCTGACTTGTGCAAATGGCGTCACCGACAAGACCGCCATCTCACTCTGGGAATTGCACACGCTGCCTACGATCTTTGCGGAAGTTACAAGAAGATATCTGAGTTCGATTGGAACTCCAAATTTGTCGCCATCACCGTCTCTGAAAGATCACTTAACGCGGAGATGTACAAGGCACCACCCTCACATGTGAGCTTGAATCTTCTCAACCACAATTCCTTCCAGCATTATCTTTATTCAGTTCTGGCGTCTCAGTGGTTCCTTCTTTCGAGCCTCTCCATTATGCCCATTAGAGATGTTTCATTGGTCCTGCCGCACGTCACTGTCAAAGATGCCCAAGCTCTCCTGCAGAATGAGCAGCGTCGTTATATGTCCAAACAGACCATCGACTCCAGGCCAACACTCGCAAGCGTGTTTGTTGCGTTGGCTACGAGCGATCGCAGCTCCTATGCATTTTACGTGGAGCACTTGCTCGAGGAACCCGGCGTAAGTAACAACATGAACAGAGTTGGATTATGTGATGAGCGCACGGGACACGACGATTCATGGCTAAGTACTCTCAAGTGCAGGTGCGTACCACCATTTCCAGGTGAACAAGTCTCCACTGGCAGTGCGTTATAACGTATCGATGATATAGGGTCTCCCGCGGACACTGTGCTATTCGTGCGCAGGGTATATCTGACGAAGCTTGGACGCTGATGGAGGAATACTGGGATACCACAGCTTCTAAGTTCAAGACGCGCGCGCTGAATACCACTGAACAAGTCGAGAATGGCTACATCCCCATGCTGGCTGGCATCTCGCTGTACGTGACCACTCCCGGAAAGCACTGCACCTGTCCTGTATATGATACATGCTTTGAGTTACTGACGAAGACCTAGGGACATTATACCTCTATCTATGACATCCATGCTTATGGAAGGAATCTCCCGCAGAGGAACCCATACCCTCGACCAGCGCACAACTGAAAGGCTCTGGACCATCTAGACGGGTATATATAGCTTTCTGGAGATGGGTTTCGCTACCAGATATATGTTGAGTGTGTCTACCATCATACCACATTGAAATGTTGGGTTCGTACCGAGCTGAATTGGGGTACATTTTATGCAGCGCTTGCTCAGAACTCGGGGAACTAAGCATAGTCACTCGTCGCCTGTGGGCACCTTTGCTTGAGCGGTTTATTTGAGTCTTGACATTCCGGGCAGCTGGCATTTTGTCCACGATATGTGCGATTTCCTACGCAGCCTTTCATTTGTTCGATCATGAACAGCATGATTCTAGACAGAGTGTATCTCTTGGGCGAGCCCGGTGAGATAAGTCTGTATTCTTCGATGATCATATCGACCCTGATCCGGTGCCACTCAGCGCCCTGCCCTGCGGCCCGCCTCCGCCCTCTGCGCCCCTCTCTTCAACGCTCCCGGCCCGTAGTAGCCGCGCCCTGGTCCCTCGAGCCCGAACTTATATTGCCACCATAGGGCCTGAAGGCCTGAAAGCCTGCAGCTTGCAGGCATAGCGTGCATTCCCACTCATATCCAGAACCGCCGTGTCATCGCACAACCGGTTGCATTTCTCCAGTGCGCATTTGGAGGCACAGTCCACGTTGGACTCTGCATCAAGTACACCTCACGGCCATCTAGACCACGCTTGGAAGATTGTGCACCACGAGGTTCTTCTTCGTATCATTTTTTCTTTGCTTTAGCAATGGGCAATGACGTGGGTTTGCTTCGCTGCAAATACGAAATACAGTACGATGATCGCCGTTCCTTCAAATTGGTTTATCCCTCGCTTTTTTGAACGAGCCACCATACTGGCCAAACCAACGATGATCTCCGAGTCGGCAGGTCACCAATCATTGCTCCCGATCCTTTTACCGAGGCTTTGTAGAAGTCTGCGCGTTTTCCTTTGGAGGCGTACGCTTGCCGAAACGGCGCTTCCGAAGGATTTATTTAGCTCCGTGTCCGGATGCTCCCGTCTCAAACCGTCTAAACGCGCATCGTTCCGAGCTCCCGCGCCTGAAGACCAGTAGTTGGCAAATTTTTCATTCACTACGTTTCTTATGAAGTGTTATGGGAAAGGAGCCAGTGATGACACAGAGGGATAAAGTCTTGTCCAAGCGTGGTTCGTGAAGATTTCGACGATGGAGAGCTGTTTTTAGCGGGTGTGTTCTCGCAAGATCACACAAGCACAGTCTTACCCGTTTGAGTCCTACCGCACAGCTGGACCTCCGTCCTTTGTTGCTAACGGGACCAGGGCACTCAAGAGGTCTTCAGTGTACCATGCATGACAAGCTGGGGTCCAGATCCTCAGATCTTCGGACTAATGACCAACTTTTCTTGTTGGGCACGAGATAGGCATCGGGGCTAATATTCCCGCCGTCTCACAATATACTGTGCGACACGGCCTCCTTTCAACAGTTCATACTTTTGCCTCGCTGTCTGATCCCTAGGCTCCCCTTCTCTTCCATCATGTCCGCGGTTTTGACTGAGGACGATATGTGAGTGACAATTCACACAATTGTACTCGTTGCATGTATTCTCGGCCGTCAGGCTCAATCACCACGCTTTCTTTAGTCGTCGCTTGGGAGCACAAGAGTTAAGTGTATGACTACGGCTACCCTTTCAGTGAATACTACCCGCATGTTGATAGTCTGTTATTCAGGACATGGTGAAGTCGTTTGGGCGACGCCAGGGCAAAGGAGGTAGTTATCCTCGTAAGGAACCAACCATGAGGAAGCATATTGTTGGACACAAACACTGCCCCAATTGGAATCTCATCAGGAAGTCCGTTGCTGGTGAAGCGGTCGAGCTGAACGCCACTGACGCAGTATTGTGCGGTTTGGTCAAACGTGACCTCGTCCTCATTCCGCCGGTACGAAGAATTCGTCCGCATCGTATAGCGTTTTGGTAGCCTTACCTTGTTTTAATCTCTTGCTCAGATGCAATCGTCATGTGCTAGCTCTTTGCAAGAAGGCCGTGAAAATGCTGCTCCCTTTACACAACCTGATAACACTGCGTTTGGCGCTCGAGAGATTTCTCAGCCCTCTCTTGTGGGTATTACCCCAAGTGCGTCGTTACGACTCTTACACCTCTTCGCCACATCTGCACGACTGACCAATCTCTAACATCTACATGTTCGCGACTATTTTGGACGACTAATATATCTATTCAGCTCAGCGTATGTGGCTCTGTCGTTTTATGCACACGCCTTCCTCCTGACGTCTTGTCATATGTCTAGAGGGTGAAGACGAGCTTCCACGGGGACATGCACAAGCAAATATTCCTACCGAAGGGGAGACAGCACTCTTAAAAGCGTCCAGTAAGCCTGACAATTGTGCGGAAGGGCCCGTTAACAACTCCCGACCGTCGCATGGTGACGGTGCTGGACTACCCATTCTCCCTCTGGCTTCAAGTAGTGAGTCCTTGCATTCATAATTCTTATTCTTATTCTCATCGCCATTGATAGGTGTGGACGTATCGAACCCGTCTAGCAAGACCGCTGAGAGTGGCGCAGAGTATATGGACACCACTCCGACGCCTCACGGTAATGATGCGTCTCTACCTTTGCTTCTAGCGGCGCTTACTTATGTTTTCCACCTCTGACTCCGTTCTCAACGTTATTTCTAGGTGCAAACCCGTTACTACCGTCTGACCAGATCGATGAGTATGGCGACAAGGCCATGTACAGGTCCCCATCGTCTCACGACGATGTTTCTATTTTAACCAGGCCCCTTTTGAATCTGGGAGGTGCGTAGTCCCGTTCATCATTCCTGGCTGTATCCTCATCGTCATTGATAGGTATCAATATGTCAGACCCGTCCACCGATGCGCTGATGGACACTCCGCCGTCTAACGGCAGTCATGCTCCGCTCACCGGGGCCGCTCAAAATATGGGAGGTGCGTAATTGCATCTGTCATTTCTGACCTTATCCTCATCGTTATTGATAGGAACGAATATGTCAAACCCGTCTAACGATGAGCCGATGGACATCCGGCCGTCCCACGACGGCAATGCTCTTCTACCCGTGGTCCCTCAGGACTCGGGAGGTGCGTATTTACGTCCGTCATTCCTGGCCGTATCCTTACCGTCGTTGATAGGAACGAATATGTCAAACCCGTCTAACGATGAGCCGATGGACATCCCGCCGTCCCACGACGGCAATGCTCTTCTACCCGTGGTTCCTCAGGATTCGGGAGGTGCGTACTTATGTCCGTCATTCCTGGCCGTATCCTCATCGTCTTTGATAGGCATGGATATCCCAAACCCGTCTAACGATGAGCCGATGGACATCCCGCCGTCCCACGACGGCAATGCTCTTCTACCCGTGGTCCCTCAGGACTCGGGAGGTGCGTATTTAGTTCCGTCATTCCTGGCCGTATCCTTACCGTCATTGATAGGAACGAATATGTCAAACCCGTCTAACGATGAACCGCGCTCGAGAGGCACGTACTTTGTCTCCTCATTTCAGATGTTACGCTAACTGTCTTCAATAGGCACAGAACTACGTGATATTTCCGGGATACTTCGTGATAGTACAAGGTCGCCGCCAGTTCGTCGCTCCTCTGGGAATCAACTCCCCGAAACGCGTCAAATAATGATTAGCTTCGAAGACCGTCGACTTGTAATAGACAGCGAGCCAACCACCGTTGATCTAGGACCTAAGGATTTCGAGACACGGATGGTCTGCCCACGCGGTATTGTGTCTGTCGCTGTAGAGGAGATTATAGGTTATCTATTCGTTCTTCGGCCTAGCATAGCCTCGTGTGAGTGGACCCCTTTGTTCCTATTATCGCACCTTTTTTGACGTCGTCCGGCATTTAGCTGCTTGTCGCGTCACCTGGCACTTTCCTCTTCTCGAGGATTACGAGCTCCTCCTGATTGAACGCAGAGCGAATGCTATGTCCTGGATAGCCCATGATCGTAAGGTTCCGCTCATCGAGTACAACGGGAATGATTGGGTTTATCTGCGTTGCACCCCAGTTGTAAGCTAGTCTCCATCATGATCACGATGTATGTCTCATACCAGTATAGCCTCTGCATCAATTGAGTGTGTTCTCGCCGCGGTCATCAACTTCGATGTCTCAGCCTCAGGACCAAAGCGTGCCGTCCAAATTCCCCACGTTACCGAACAGACCAACGCCTCACCACGTTATCAACGAGGTCGAGGATGGCGACCCCTATACCCAGGCGGAACAATATTACAACCCACCTACTACCTCGAGACCTAGCAGCGACCCTACGCACCTACCTATGGATCATGATGAAGACCAGGACACGACAGCGTATGACTCCTTGTACACGCATCAGTCCAAACCCAACACAATCATACACACCCACAGCAGTTTCTCGCCCCCGGTCATTTCTGCGGACAGCGATAACGGGGAAGACGGTCGCACGGTCGATGGCCGTGGTCACCTCGAATTCGGCACGCAACCTTCTTTGGGTGTGGCAACCCCAGCTCCTGTTGATCAGCCTCCTGCTGCGAAGGATCTTACGGACGCCGAGGACTACATGCTCAAGTACCTTGAGGAGGAATACAGCCAAGATAAAGTGCTGAAGCTTGTGAGGTCGACGAAACCGCAGACATCACACATCCTTTACGTTGTATATCAACTTGCCCTGACGATCGGGACCATCGCGAACAAATACCGACCGTCAAGTAATCTTTCCATCTCCCGGGCCCTTATTCCACGCCGAACCGACCGAGATACAGCTGATCTCGCTGTCACTGAAAAGGTGATGGTCGCCTTCTTGTGCAGAAGCTGGGGGCATATCCAGGACTGTCAGAGGGTTGCTCTCGCTCTTGCCAATCATGAAATCATTTCCCAGGACAGCAAAGCGAGGCAATGGTTGTTAAAACTTCAGAAAGGCGAAGATGCCCCGGAATCAGAACGCGGCAAAGGTGTACCTCGCACGGGGATTGGGGCAGTTTGGACAGACCTAGGAGTAGCCAAAGGTGATATCAGATTACCGCAGTAGCGTTGGGTTGACTTAATATACGTCGTTTACATTCTTGAAATATACATCGCGTTGGCGATCATCATCTGTCTTCGTGTCTACATCCGCTTTCTGTTTCGAATACTTACCGATCATCGTGAGTTCATGGCTTTCCAACGGAGTCGGAGTGACTATCAGGAGGGGTAGTTTGTCAAATAAATTTTTGACACTGGCGACATTGCGTCTTGTGCAAAGACATTGGGTAGTAGCGAGGGAGGTCCTAGGTAAGGAGCGAGCGGGAGAAAGTGATGGAGAGTGCGAGACGAGGCCGACTCGTCAGCGAAGCTGACAGCCCATTGAGCCCCTTGGCGAGCCTTGCAAGCGCTAGCAAGCTCCTCCAAGCTTCGGCTAGCTCTCCAAGAGACTATCGCTGATGGTGTAGTTTCCTGCACGAGACAGCTAAGTGTACGAAATTTACTATATGTATAGTCATAACATACATGGCACTGACGCAGACTGCAGACTGTAGGCGTGCGGCGTGTTACAAACGAGGACGTGTGTTGGCGGGAAACGAGCAGAACTTAAGTCACTCGAAGAGTATATTGGTGAAGCTTAGCCGAAATGACGCACCCGAGGTAGAGTTTGCTAGTAAGCGGAGGAGCGATGGGCTCGCGCGAAAAGGTGTGGAAGAAAATGTATATCTGTCCAGAACAGTTTGGTGCGGATGGTATCTTGAGACTATAGGAACCTCGAAGACAAGAACAATTCCCAGTAGTCGCATGAATGGGATTACGTACACTTATGCGTAGATAGTAGTAAGCACGCCGACCAGCATCAACGAGACAGGAGCGATTGACCACCAGCCGAGACTGAAATCCCTCTTCGTAAGTCAGTGAACGACAGGCCGCCATACCCAGAAAGATGGTAAGAGCGAAAGAGAAATATATCTGGGAGCGGTATTAGAAATACCGGGGACGAAAGCAGATGCAGGCGGCAACTCGGCGCAAGTCCTCGTGTTCCCACGTGGGAAGTGGCGGGTGTCGCGCGATACTTACCAGTGTACGATGGTCCGCACTCCGCGCTCGTCGCCATAAGAGAAGTCTCGAAATCGGCTCTGGTGTGTCCTGATTGAACTGGAGCCTTACCTCATGCTAACCCTCCTGCGATAGGCATCCGTGCACACCAACCTTTTTTGTAATCCACATATTTCATGCCCTCCGTGTTACATCCCGCCACCACGACACAAGTTCTCTCTGCATCAGTCGATTTCCCTTGTATATTTCGATGTCTACCACTCTACCTTTCAAAGATGTCAGTGTACTTTCAGTAGCACGAGTAGGCTTCGCAGCCGTATATACATATATAACATGATTCGGCGCACGCACACCGACCCCCGACGGGGAACTCGCAGGACCGGTGGCGGCTTTCGACGATTCCGTCATCATAGCTCGAACGCGACGGCGTCACTTGCACTCACCTTTTTTCGCCGACAACCACTTGTCTGCTCTGGACCTCAATGTTTCTGCCCACCTTTCACTCCTCTCAAGCTGTCTCTGTGCTCGCCATGAGGCTTAGATGACGAAGGAAGGCGTCCATGCTCCCTTTGGGCGTACTTACTGTCAAGGAACGGTGTCCTAACTTAACAATTAGAACTGAACGGCCGATTAGGTATGGTAGGGATGAAGTCTGCGAAGTCCTGATGACACTGCGGGTTTCATCCAGCGGATCGCAATTGGAGAAAAACGATCATTGTGGAGCGGCTGCAGCTTCGACTATGAGAGTGGCAGAATCTTGTTGAAAAACACGAGAAACACGTGGAAACGACACAACAGAGTCGCATAAATCTGGTACATCGAAACGTTGCTCGGACGAGTGCCAATGTATCTCTAACAAGCTAGCTAGTAGCCGAGAGCATGACTGTATAGTAGCTATGAAGTTGAAGCAGAGTAGACAGAGATAGCGAAAGCAAATATTGAGAGCAGTTGGAGGTGTATAATGAGGTATTAGGGGTGAAAATCGTATAGTAATCCGGTGTGGCGCAAGGTGCCACATTCATTCCTTGATCTCCCCGGGGCCCGTCCCCTTCCTGAGCCACACCTCCTCCTTCCCCACTAAAAAGAGCCTATCTTCTCTCAGCGATTCCGGCGTGGACAATAAATCCCAGTACGCCTGCCAACGAACCTGTGCATCTCCGTCAAGGGCCTCCCTTTCACTCTTCGAGAGCGTGCAGGCCGGACGAAATCCATGTCGGACCCACCTGTAAAGGCCGCCAGGACAGAACTGGGTGATACTGTACCTCTTCTCCCCTTTCTGGATCGGGATGTTCGAATGCCGGATACTGGCGGACGAAAGAAGAATGGTCGAACCCGGCGGGAAACGAATAATGAGCTTGAGATCTTCGAGAACCAGATGGCCACCCAAGTTGGGATCGTAATCCCCCAGGCCGGTGACTGAGCATGGAACAACAGGGATGTTACCAGGGTCTGTATGCTCATCGGTCACAGTTTGAGGGCCCAAGTTGAACGTGCATCCGGGGTAAATGCTATGGGACGGAAATGTCGGCTTCACTTTTGGATGGTGCTTGCAGATCGCCTCGACCTTCTCCTTCAAGTCGCAATAAACTTTCGGGAAGTGTGCAGCAAGGGACTCTGTTGCAGTTGAAGTAGTCAATCAGTGGTCAAAATAGTCGGAACGGATAGTATACGCAATCACATACCGTTCTGGAAAGCGACTACCCGTTGCGCATCATGGTTCTCAACCAGCTCTCGTACCATTGGGCGGTGCGCCTTCTTGTGTTGAAGGTTATGGACGTCCTGCAAGTGATGTCAGTACAGTCACAGTGATCAAAGAAGTTACTGATCTTACCAGAGAGCCGCTGCCACGCGTAAAGCCGACACTCACACCGGGATATGGACCACGGCGGTTGTGACGATCCTTCACCGACAATGTTGACGAGTACTTTTGCCGTGTGGTCTCAAGGAAACACCCTAGACGTTCCATGGACGCGTCCCAGGTCTTCTCTTGGGGACGGGAGTCGGTCTCCACAGGCTTGCCAACGCAGACGATTGAGATGTGGTTGGTGCGATCGATGATATGGGTGGTTCGTCTATAGGGTACACTGTCAGAGAAGAAAGCCCTGGCTCAAAAAAAGAGCGGTTTACGTACATGCCATTCCAGTTGAATAGACTATGCCCGGTCTCTTCAGCACCTTCCAAAGTGACCTGAACCTTCTCTCCTCCCCTTCTATCGACTTTCCCTGTATCGCCACCTTGTACCGCCCTATACTCAAACACGTCGAAGTTCTCCGTCACAGTATCGACCTTGAGGTATCGGTTCACGTATCCTTGACCGTGGACGGGCATTCGTCCTGCCTCCCTTCGCTCAGCAGTCTCTTCTCGCCTCTTCCTGTCGGCCCTCGCGGTATTTGCCGCTTTGGCACCCTGACCTCGTTTCCGTTTTTTCTTCCGCACGTCGCTGACATCCTGTGGTTCGGAATCGCCATCGGTGCGTCCCGCACGGTTGAGCGTGGTATCAAACAACACGGGGGCAGAAGTCGGCAGAGACGATGAAGGAGTGCGACGAGTTGTAGGGCGTTTTGTGGCGTTATCGACGGCCGAGGGCGGTCTGTCCTCGCAAGAAATAGGGACTACAACCCTGGTAGTAGGCACGGGTGGAAGGTTCGGATGTGGAGTTGTGGGGCTTGTTGAAGGTGTCGTGAGTGGAGACGAGAGTTCGGTCCCGCGATCCACGTCCTCATCCGAGCTGACGTCGAAATCAGGGAGGTTGTCAGGTTCGTCCTCGGGCTCTCCGCGAAGAAGCGCCGGATTCTCCTGCGCCTCTTTCTCTCCCTCCAAGTCGTCCCGGTGGCAAGCCGCGTTCCAGGCAGATTCGTAGTCGAAATTTGTCCGAACGATGAAGGCGGGGGAGAGACCCGGATACAGCCTGCCCGACCGCGTGGCAAGAGGAGACCAAAACTGTGGAGGCATGGTAATGGCGGAGGGCGGAGGGCTGGTCTTGAGCGTTATATTTGACGATTTAGACAACGCGGGGCATAGAGAAAAAAAGGAATAAGAGTTAGCGACGTGTTATGTCAATCGAGGAGATACAACCGCCGCGAATAGATATTCCGAACGACCACAGTTCATGACACAAAACAAAAAGGCCGAGAAGCAAAAAGAAGGGAAGGGACAGGAGCGAAAACATACTTTTTCAACACGTACCCGAGCAGAGCTAGAGAGCGATGATAGGCAAGCTCACGCGCTAGCGACAATTGGACGTGTTCAGACAGGATAGCGAAGACGTCCAAGCAGTTCCCCGAAAAGAGGGAGCGTAGCAACACGAGGGAGAATGAAAAAGAGGAGGGAGTCAGCATAGCAAAAACAAGGGCGCGAGCACCTCAAGCTTTGTCGGTGAGCTGCTTGACTTCGCCGCTGCGTCGGAGCCAAGGCAGTCTCATTCACGTTGGCTGACCAGGCTGCTCACCGTGACAAAGCATTGAGGGTGTGTGGAACTTGTAGACGTACCTGCGGGACGGCTCACACGCTAGCGACAATTAGACGTGTTCAGACCGGATAACGAAGACGTCCAACAGTTCCCCGAAAAGAGGGAGCGTAGCAACGCGAGGGAGAATGAAAAAGAGGAGGGAGTCAGCATAGCAAAAACAAGGGCGCGAGCACCTCAAGCTTTGTCGGTGAGCTGCTTGACTTCGCCGCTGCGTCGGAGCCAAGGCAGTCTCATTCACGTTGGCTGACCAGGCTGCTCGCCGTGACAAAGCATTGAGGATGCGAAGAACTTATAGACGTACCTGCGGGCCGTAGTAGAAAAGTGGGAAGAAGGAATTGTTGATGATAGGAAGGGAAACATGGGAGGAGGTCTTGTTTTATTGTCGCCATGACAGGCGAGATGGTAGCGAGACGGCGATCAGCAATACTAAAAATAGGCACCAAAACTTCAACCTGCCTCAAGTCGGGCCCTGTCGGGCCAGCCCCCAGTCAAGGTCACGTGTGTTGTGTGGCACACGTCCGAGGAGTCTGAACTTCTCTGAAGTATAACCTAGTGAACGATCTTCTTCACGTCAGGTGATAACGGTTGGTCAGAGCCTAAGTCTGAAGTGAACTGTGAAGCACGTACTACTATGTGCGAGGCAGGGGCGTCAGCCGGGAGCCCTTTGCGAGGCAGGGGTCACATGTAGTACTGAACATAAGTATGTACATGGCGTATGTCCACATATATACTACTTTGACCCAAGCTCACTGGTGAACCTCTCGCGATCATCAATGCCAATATTAGCGACTAATAACGGCCAAATAGTAACGGCGACTCATGCACAGTGTCGTCCCCTCTCGTAGTGCGCTTTTTTACACGGAGCGTACGTCGCCTTCGATGAAGGGACGTTCATACTACTGTTCACTATTTCTCAGAGTCCTCAAAATACTACTGCCCCTTATCCTCGTTTTGCACCTTCTCTCCCTTGCGTGACTTTACACACCTTCCCCCACCTTAGCCCCTCGCCATCACCATCACTTCCCGCTCCATATCATATCTGGCTCTGTATCTACCTCCCTGCCTTCTTCTCCGCCAACCTTCTTTCGACTTTTCTGCATATTCGGCCTCGGCCTCCTCCTCTCGGTCCTTATTCGGTAAATGTAGGTTCGTGCCCGGGAAGGGATCGCCTTTGGGTGCGACGACTGGTTTTCTTAGCCTAGTCCGAGCGGCGGTCGGTGTAGCGTCGGATCTACGAGCGAGTGACTTAGTGTTTGGACCATAGTTGGGATGGTTTTCAAGGGGCGATGGCAAAGGATATGTCGTGTAAGTTTGAGTGGGTCTGTGCGAGCGTTCATAGAAGAGTTCGATGCCGGGTATGATCTTTCACCTCTGCATTCTTCGCTTTTGTTTCGCGCACTTGTGTTTATACTCTTAGGAGGGAGTTGGTATGGGTATCTCGTCTACATATACGCGGTCCTGTACGTTGTACACTGAGCCATCGGTGAATAGATAGATGTGGAAGCCCATTCAGAAACTCATGGAAGAGGCAAGGAGCGAAATATGCAGCGAAGTATGACTTTCTATGAGCGTTGTACTCATCTTATGAAGACGACAATGATGGGGCTGCATCAGGAACAATAGACTACCTATGAGTCCTCTGCAGGATAGATGGCCCGAAAGCAGCACCCAGGCTCCGTATCGACATGTCTTAGCTCTCAGATCCATCATTAGGTCCTTGTACAGTCCAAAGGAGACAATGATGTTATTTCTCGGGGTCGCAGGAGATGTACGATACGTCAACTGTACGATCTACACAGGAGGAAGAGTTTACAGTACGTGAGCTGCGGCCCGGGTCCAAGCAGGCGATATACGAGGTTGAACATACGACATTGACTACAATCGCTTGGACAGTATATGCTCTGGTCCAGGGGAAGATTCTATAAGAGTACGATAACATGTCAGTATATCATCGATGAGGCATGATCAAGACTCTACAAACGCTTTTTTTGACGGGGAGTGAAGGCGGCGAAGACTCTGAGTGCATGGGAGACCGCATTCAGACCAATAGAAGACTATAAGATGAGACCAGGTGGGACCAAGGAACATACGTTCAACGGGGGCAGCGTGAGTGACGGTATTCTGCTCCAGTGTATCGCGAGCCTTGATGCGGTTGAAGATCTGTCGTGCATTGTCGGAAAGATCTTGCCGAGCATACGCTGCTAAAAGAGGGCTGAACGGCCGGTATAAAGGAGCGGGTGTGCTCAGAGTGAAGGACTGAAAACCACTATGAAGCGATAAAGCGCTGTGTGCCCGCCGGTCTTCAAGAAGCTTCCGTAAAGAGAATTGAACCATGCAGGTAGGATGGAACAGAGCATACCATTTGGTGACGTCCGTGATTCTGAGGCCTGGGTGCTTGGTACAGGGTACATCGAGTGATGTGAAAATACTGCAGAGCTAGGTTGAGAATAGAATGCCCAATCGTATCACAATGTAGTTGCTAGCCTGCACTGGTGTTGCAAGAACAAACACAAAACCAGTGGCATCAGCAGACGTCGACGAGCGCGGACGCCATGAGATAAAGAGACGATAAGATAAGCCCCGCTCCGTCGTGACCTTATTTATGTAAACAGTCTAGCTAATGTACGGTCGTGAAGCTGTAGCGTGCTTCGTGGACGTGCGAAGCTATTGCAGTCTCGGCCACGTTTCAGCCCAGTGTGTGAAACTATTCCAAGCGTGCAAACAGAGACGTAGGTTGATTTTGTATGGTTGTTTGGCTTGTTTGTTTTGTCAGGGACTATGCAAACTGCTGAAAACAGCTCAACGCAACGTTGCCAGCGCTAGGAAAAGCGACGAACAAATGATGCTCTAATATTGGCAGAAGATCATTTCCCAACAAGGGCAGTGCCCAGATGAGGGTCACGACTAGTCTCCCACAGTCAGACCTAAGGAGGGGAAGACAGTCGATACCGACTACGTACACGGGGACTACTGCATCGCCATGTACAGGGATCCTATGGTTTGCTCAGAGTCGTTCTCCGCTAACGTGCTGCATTAATCTGCCTCTGCTATTATCTGACTCGAGCTCAATACCTCGTGGCATTCCTAACTGTACCGAATTGTCGGACCTTTCCTGACACAGAGCGATTCCGAACTGATGCACCCATGCAGTGAGTGTGATATGCTTGAGGAACAGATTGAGGGAAGGTCTGGGTGTGGAGGTGTACCTTCCGTGGCCAGGGACCGGTCGTCGCCATGCATGGCCGCGTGGCGAGCCCGTGGTGGTGAGGGCAGGTGATGCGGGTCGAACTGCTTGTGGGCTGCAGTCGAACTGCTTGTGGGCTGCAGCAAGGATACTGAAGCTGCTGAGGTCCTGTGCGAGATGTGGTGTATGGGGAGCGAGTGATCGTCGTCTGGAAGGCGAAAGTTCAAGTTCTGTGTAAGGAGGACGAAGGGCTCTACAGATGCGAAAATACTTGGAATGTCAGAGGCAAACCATGGGAGCCTGAGGAAATGCACACCATGGTCCACAAGGAATTCGGAGCAAGTATGATCGCGCACGTACGCCTACGGCTCACAGCAAGGTCTCGGTATAGTGACAACAGCGAGGCTCGAACGAAAGTAGGGAAAATGAAACATGGAAACGGTTCTCAATAGCTCCTAAGGAACTGACTTATACATCATAAATCACGCCGTCAACACTAAAACCTTTGCAGAGAATTGCATGTAAGTGAAGGTAGCCGTTGAAGGAGGGAGTGAGCAACAAAACACGGACCTCGACATCACTAACAATTTATAACATCCTCGGCCTCAACGGGGGTAGCATCTCGATGGTATGCTCCCTCGGCAGCCTTCACTTCGCACCTCTCAACACCTCCACTTCGGGGAGCGTACGTTGAGGCCGGGTGGCGTAATCATGCAGGCCATTCTATCAGTGTGGCGTGCCAAAGGGCTCCGTTGTCAGCGAACGATTCCGATAGCACAAATTTGAACTGAAGGAAAGAGGAAAGAGAAACAGTGGTCATGGTATTAGGGACAGCATTCGAAACTCATGGCAGCCCCAAGCTCGTTGACCTCCCCTAACTCATCCAAATTCTCCATCTCCGAGTCCCTTCTCGGACGAACAAGAACAAAAAGGTTCCACCAGGGTTTTGAGCGTCACGGTGCCAGAACTTGACCTTGTCGAAGACATAGATGTGCCAGCTCGAAATGACGGGGCTGTCGAGATCTGCTACCCAGGTGAAAAGTGCAGGGCGTAAGGACGCCCACTCCACCACCCGAAGAGTATGTCCGTGTTATAGAGCAGACGAGTGTGACTTGTAATTATTCAACAGCAAGGTGACTGCTGCCGAAAGCAGCCCAGAGAGGCCTTGAGGCCTGAGGGGTGGTAGGGACAGCCGTGTGGGAAAAGCGCGGATGCTGGCCTTCCGAAAAAGTTGTACAAGGCCTTGCCTGTAAGCACCTCCGTCAGCAGTAACCATGTTACAGAGATAAAGATCGAAAGAGGTGGTGGAGAGTAAGTGGTGGATGAAGTCGAGGTACTTGGGTACGACCTAGTACGACCCGGCGTCCTTTGACGGGACGCGTATGCGTGTGGCGCGCCAAATATCTAATTTGGAATAAGCACCTGTTTTTGTGTGGCGCACTCTTGCTGATGAGAACTTGATTCTTGAATGAGCAGCTACTTACCATCGGCCATCAAATGGGATACTCACGGTCAAAGGCAGGCGCTGCTTGTCCACACTGGTCGCTACAAAGTAGCGACTTTCCTGGACTCATCCGCGATCTACGCCCGTAAAAACCCTTATTCGCACTCGCATTCACAACGTACAGACTCTGACCATCGGAGCTACTACCTGAGCTTGCCATGCTACCTGTTCGATGACCACATAACAAATATGAGGCCGAGGAACTAAGCAGGTAGGCGTTCAGGTTGTCCGAAAAAGAAGGGTTCCCAATCCCCAAACCAACTAACGCGCGGGCGGCCTGACGATCCTCGACCATGGCTTCACACGACATGTTAGACGGAGTGAGAATCGAGAAGACGTCGCAGTGGGTTGGAAGTTGCACGATGAGAGAGAGAACCGCGGCCGCGGTGCCATATAAAGGTATGTGTAGGGCAGATGGATCACAAGTGCTACAGGAGAAAGGAATCCGCGTCAAGAAAGGCCATCGAGCGCCAGACCATCTCGGTGTCGTGTTTAGGGCAGGCAGGACTCACCTGGATACCGTTGAATTCTGATCTCTGCATCGTATGACGTGACGACCAGCAGACTGAAATGAACGTCGATGGTCTATGGCCGCGTAGTACGCGTGTTTCACTGTTTGGTTCATTTCCGAGCTGTTTCCAAGGTCGACAAGACGTAGACAAGAGGTGTGAGCGTCCCAGAGGCTCCCAGATCTCCCAGGCCTCTAGGCGCGTTTCTCACTTTTGCTGATGTTGTCTACTTTTCTGGATTTCCTCAAGGCCGCAGGCAAAGAGGGAAGGGATCAGATAGGGTAGGGATCTGGGGAAACAGAAGAGAATGTGCTGTTTTGGAGTGGGATGGGGCCGACGATAGTGAGGGGCTGGAGGCCCATACTTGCGCGATACGGTGACCTAGAGAGAAACCGATTCGAGATAGTATCAGGCGGCTTTTGCTGTCTTATGATACTGTGGGATGCATATCTTTTAGACTAAACCTCCCCCTTCGTCGAGCTTGATGAAGGCAATCGAAGACCTTCATGCGCCCACAACTAGCTGCATGATAGACTTTTTATAGCGACAGAGAAAGAGGAGAAAAAACTTAGGAAAAAATGGACAGTGCTTCTACGACATCCTGACGGTCCTGCTCGAGCGTCAGAGTGCCAGAACTTGACCTCGTTGAAGACATAGTGGTGTTAGCTTGAAATGATAGGGTGTCTAGGGTTACTCAGACTGCTCCAAGGGAAAGTGCACGGCATAAGCACTCCCGCTCCAAGGAGTATGCCTGTGGTATAGAGCAGACCAGGAGTGCCTGTAGTTATCCACCAGCAAAGTGACTGCTGCCGAAGGTAGTGCAGCAGAGGCGCGGCAGTGGTGCAGCGGAAAGGGGCGGCGTGGAATTCCGATACGGTGTGGGGTTAGTGTTTGGTCAGTGTCCCGTTAGAACGGAGAGTGCCGCTACGTATATGGACTGCCCCAGCATGGGCAAATCGGCTCGCTCTTCATCACTCACCACGATGGCTACTTACAAAAGCTCACATAGGCGCTTTCCGCGCGGGGCTTTAAACACAATGACAATGACAATGACAATGCGTATGCAATATTCTGTATCTTCGCTATTTGGAGTCTGAGTCTTTGTTGGTACGTTCTACTTCAGTCGCCAGTAAAAACCAGCTACCGCATATACTCACCGTCACGCTCGACCGGCTCGCTCTTTAACAGCGTGACGAACCTCTCCATCGTCACCGCTGGCGTCGAGGATAAGAGGTTGTGAGACCTGTCACTTGTCTAGGGCTTCGTACATCTGGCATTTCCTGCAAACATCGTTTATTACCTCGTCGTTGAGCTCTTCGACGGCGCACCACGTCGCCACGCTACGGTTCAACCGATGGATGTCCGCTATTAGAAGCTGAGGTTGGAATCTAACCACTAGTCCGTGAGGCACATGGTAGTGAACAGCCCCAGACTGGGCCAAATAGTGAGTCCGAGTTTTCTACGCTGCAATATCCGACGTGCGGGGTGTTTCATTGTCGACTCATGCGGCGTCCGCGCCCAACCTGTCGACGTTGGCGCTACCTTCGGCGCTCATCATGTAAACGCGCCTTATACGGCGGGATGCACTCCCATGCGTATCCGCCCTTGGGTCTCATCGCTTCGTCCCAGATCGTCACACAGCATCACCCATGTCTTTCAACGACATTTTCCGGCCTTATGGCCTCTTCCATACGCCAAAACGAGAGATGCAGTTCTCTCATTTCGATTGGGTTGCATCTGTTCAGGACAGTCCTCGTACCACGCGACCCTATGTTCATGAAATGGTGCATTACAAGTCTGTCCATTCTCCCTACCACGAGTTCATCGTCGTATGCCTTCGGTGCCCTTTCGATCGCGACTGGAGAGGTATAGTGATACTCGAGCGTTTTGTGCGCTTCGGCCAGGGGGCACAGGGGGCGGACAGAGTTGGATCGAAGGCTGCGAGGGTGTTGTCGCCGGAGTGTTTCTCTGTAGGGTTTCCAGCTGTGGATAAGGTCACGGTATGCAAACCCGGAACGGTTTACGACCCTCCGGCACTTCCTTCCCCCAACGAAGCCGTCGTCATCTCCACCCTCTCAATGCCGAACGACCAGATATCCGACGTCCAACTCAGCGTACTATTGCACATTCTCCACGCTGAGCAGCCCTGCTACGACGCCCTGAAGTTCCAGTGCTATTGGTACGCTGCGGCTATCTATGACGCTGTGAGAGTTCAGTGCTCTGGGAGGACAGTCAAGGGTCCTTACTTCCATCTTGGTGGCAAGCATGCCGGCCCCTACAACCTCTTCTCCCGGCTCACTTTTTTCTCCGTCAACGAGAGCTCGATCAGAATCAGGCTCCCGACGAATGAGGTGCTAGACAAGTATGAGCAACAATTTGCGCGGTTCCAGAGCGAACAGGTACGTCGTATTATCTTAGAGTCTCCATGAGATCTGTCGCTCATCATCCTTTCATAGGCGGAGAAGATTCGCTTGGAGGATGCGCACAGGCAGGCAAGTTTTGAACTACAGGCAAACGTAAGTCACAAACGAATGCGAGCACGATGGTTCAAATGTTTTCTATTAACACCTCCTGCGACAGTTACCTGTGCATGTCGAATGGGAACGAGAGAGGGAGGAGAATCGAATTCGGCAGCTACTACCGGTCATACCAGAGGTGACGGCGGCGTAGTGCACCCCTTCTAAAGCAAGTTGAAGTACGTCATGTGCGCCTCCTTTTTGACGAGTAACTAACCTGTTGGTCCATTGGAGTAGCTCTTTATGAACTTCATAGTCTACGTTCATGCGGCATATATCGCGAGTTGTTCTCTTTTTGTATGATCTAGAAGCCAAATGTATCTATCGCTGAAGGGAAGTGATGTCTCTGCCGACTAGCAACGGTATAGTGAATGTTTGTGCCACAAGGGAATAGAATTACGCGGCAGAGAATTGTCGGAGTATAATAAAACGGACTACGGACTACACAGCGAGCTTGTCGACAAGCTACACAAGAAGTCTAGAGCGTCAACAGCTGTCGAAACCAGCCATTCCCTCGAACATAGTAACTCGCAACGTGCCCATTCTACTGAACTCTCGGAGCCCGGGTGCCTAATCGAAAACAGCGAGTAGAGGCTTGTGCCTCGGGTACGACGAAGCCAACGTTGTTCACGTTCTGGCTCTTCTCGAGTAAAGAGCCCAACTCAACGGGGAGAATGCGTCTTGTATCCTGCGGGGCACATGCTAAATTGAAAGGAGTCAGAGGTGGTAGACTGGGAGGACGAGGACATAAGAAATATTGGAGGTGTTTGTGGTCTTCAGTCAGGAACGTTATGTGCTGCTCCCGAAGAGCTGGGTGCTGTGATGCATCGCGGGCCACATATATTGGCGGATGTTCCTGGAGCCGAGGTTTGGTGGATAGTCAGAGTACAAAGAGGACGGAGAAAGAATGGCGATGGACGTGCGTGCCGCAGTGGACTTGTTCTGATATTTAACGAGTGGGTGATTCACTTTCGGCGGCACCGAAACCTGGTTCGTAGAACCTGCAGAGTACGATTGAAGAGGCGAGGGAATGTAGCTGACTGTCGGGCGATTCGGCACTGCGTTGAGTGAGGTGGCGTTTGGCGTCGTTTCACCATCGACTGTGCTAGGGTTTCGTTCATTATGGTCGCTGCGTGTCGTCTGCTACTCCGCTCAGGACTCGGATGCGCCACACCGGTGAGGACAGATCTCAGAGAGATTGAAAAGAAAGTGAACCTCAATAAGCAACGTATGATATTCTAGGGCCATCAGAGAAGTTAAGTAGCTGCGAAGAATACATTCGGTGTGCTCACCAGATTACAAGTCGCCTCAAATGTCAGTGTCGTTAGTTGTTGCCGCATAGTCATCAATGATATAGTCTTCCATGATCTTCCGAAGAGCAAATACCCACGATCAAGAGCACATTGGTCCACATGCGATCGTCCGAGCTTCCAGTTGTTGGAATCATCTGCGGCGAGGTGGCGAAAACGCACAGGAGGGACGTCATCTCGTCCAGCCCGGAAGAGGACGGCGTCGTCCGATTCGTTCATGAAGTGAAACCCGTACCCTACAGGAATACAAGAGGCGAATAAGGCACAGCCACCATAGCCTAGGGAAGACTGAACACGAACTCACCTGTATGTCCATTTATAGCATAGTTCACCTCCGGTCCTCATCGTTCAACTCCTTACTTATCGTTCGCTGCCGCCAAGTTCGCGTCCTCGTCCTCCTCGTCGGTCTTGTCCGCTTGTGGTGCTATTCGACTGTCGACACGAGGGAGACCGGTTGGAGCAGTTTGAGGCGAAGAAGACGGACTGGAGCTTGATTCAGGTGATGTTACAACACCGGTGGTTGACCGTGTTGACCGCGAGGGGCAAACCCTGGTTGTCGGTGACATGGCTGAGCTGTCATGACACATTGGGTTGAGTGGTAATTTAGACAAGAGACCAACCAGGCGGCAGGAACGAACCTCGACCACGCTCATAGCATTCGAAGTTCTCAGGATGTCGTCGGCCGCGAAGCTGCGCCACACGCCACACACATCAACTCACTATGTCCTCAACGTGTCCAGCATGAACGGCGCGGAGGAGTGCGAGGTAGGTCCAGTGTGAAGGTGAAGTTTGAAGGGATAATAAGATCGGATGAACTAGTTTGTATACCAGTAGGTTGAGACCAGAGCGCTAGAGACAGCGAAACTGTAAAATGATGATGATAGCGGTAGTTTGCATTGTGCGACATATGGCGGGCGTTCCGGCCAGAGAAGGGGCGGAGAAGGTCAATGATTCCGATACTTGCAAGAGGAGCCTTATAATACGATGTATGTGGATGCGGTGACGGCTAGAGAGAACTTGTATGTTCGAATTCCGGGCTTCCGAAATGGACGTGGAAGAAGCCTTCCCATAAAGCCACAAAAGGCGACGGATGCATACGGGCGATAGTGAGCGACCAGTGCTTTTCGTGATAATTATGACGCTGCCAGCTGGACCTGGCTGGACAAACCAGAAACGCGTGTTCGAGTTGTGAGATATATTAGGGAGGCCGAGCGAGCAGAGATGAGATAAAGGATGGATATAGAACACGCCAGGGTGTGCAATATGACCACCAAAATGTCAGTTGCACGTCTTCATGGTACTGGCCGACATCCATTATTGATTGATGCTTCGTACTTTTGAGAATATCGTAGCTGGTTCAGACGAAAAGAGCGACGCCGAATATCTGCTGGCAAATTGGCGTGTGCCGACCGGCACTGACGCGTGGTGGCACGTGGGAGCCACGAGCCACACAACGGGATTACCCTGCTTGCCGCATAATTATGCCAAGGATGCCAAAAACAAACAAGGCTAAACACGGTGGCGCAGTCCCACTACAACGAATTGTAGTCCGGGGGTAATACTAGGTGCCACTCCCGGTTTTCTTGCTCCAATATTGCTCTCCCAGGCAATACACACTCTCTTAAAGCGGGCTACTCCCAGGCTGCACTTGTGGTGTGCATTTTGTAGCGCAGCCGGAATCCCCTCATCATGTATCTCAGTATCGTGCGTCACCTTACAGCCTTTGTCCACGCTCAAATGACGACGCTCGTTGCTTCTTCCTTCCGCACCACCACCACCTCGCTCGCCCTACCTCGTACGCATTCGCACCCGCTCGTGTATGGCCACAATACCTCAACACCACACAAGAGACGGATTAATGAGTAGAAAGAGGTAGGATAACAGTTTGGTTGATCCAAGGAGCCGACGCTGAGGACCCAGGCTTTCGGACCATCCTTGGTATGTTCCTTTTCCCTCGTCTTGATCTCTGCTTCTCTTATTTTCCGTCTCCCTTGCTCAAGAGAGGTCGAGCCACTCCCTCTAACTAGACTCTCCCATCCGATATGTCTGCGAAACCCACGATGCGTCAGCTGGCGCCTATTCGTACGCCCCCTTCCGCAACTTCAGCTCCGTCATCGGAGCCGGAAAGTCCAAACTCATGTACGCCATCTCTTTCGTCCTGGGCGTCAAGAGCGCACAGCTCCGGTCTTAGCTAAAGAATCTCGTCTACCGAGGTAGGAGACTCTTGAGGGACTCGAATGGGGACGCGAGCCCCCAGTGGCGATGTGAGTCTGTATGTGGAACAGGGGCAAGGGGAGGAAGAGGGCGAAGGGACAGCGAAGAAGGCGCGGGTGCTGGCGGCTCATGAGGACGTGAAGGGGAAGGAGTGGAGGTTTCCAAGAACGTGAGTGTTTTTGTGTCCTCCTGGGTTTAGGGGTTGGTGTTATTGGGTTATCGTGTGGCGTGGCCTTGTGGCCCATACATCCCCGGACCCCAATCATCTCCTATTTATCCCGCTAGAAGCCCCATATATGCGCTGTGAGCACAATATATGCGTACTGAAATTTCCTTTTTTGCAGAATTTTTACGACCGGCGCCTCAGAATACAAAGTCAATGACCGCGTAGTAACCTACTCCGTCTACAACACCTCTCTAACCTCCCACAACATCCTGGTCAAAGCTAAAAACTTCCTCGTCTTCCAAGGCGACGTCGAAGCCGTCGCATCCCCCCGAAGGACCTCCCCCGAGTGATAGAGCAGCTCAGCGGGGGCTTGGAGCTGGCAACGGCGTACGAGGAGGCGAAGGCGGAGCAGGAGAAGACGGTGGAGAATGCAACGTTTAATTTTACGAAGCGGAGGGGTATTGCAGGGGAGATTAAGCAGTATAAGGAGCAGAAGACGGAGGCGCATAAGTTCGAGGCGTCCTGTCAGGAGAGGGTACGTCGCCCACCGTCCAGACTCCCTTTCAAACGCATGTATGCATCTTTTCTGACACGTATACCACTGTACTTGCTCGACTGCATAGGACTACCTCATCCTCCGTCGCGTCTTCTTCAAGCTGTTCCACATCGAAGAAGCCCTCGAGCGTAACGCTACGAGATCAAAGACCAAGCACGTACCCTCGAAAGTCTACACGAAAAACAACGCGTGCATGACGAGGAATTGGCAGATGCGAGGACGGAGCAGGCCAACGCAAGGTTGAACGCGATGCGGAAGCTGAGGGCGCTGAAGAGCGCGGAGAGGGCTGTTGTAGGGAAGGTGCGTTTCACTCTTACTGTTCCCTTCTTGCTTCCTTGAACTACTTTTTCTACTGACTCTTTTCTCTCTTCATGGGTGTGCGGTCGGTGCTGATATCGGTTTGTGAATCAGAAACCCGACCTAGTAACTACGGAGGGTAAAATCGCGCATTCGACTCGTGAGATCCGCAATGCAGAAACGACGCCCGGACAAATCGCGAGGGATAAAGAGGCCAGGGAGCTCGTGGTGAAGAACCATAAACGTGATCTAAAGGACGTGCAGGAGGCAGCCGATCAGGCGCAGGGTCAGTCGTTCGTTTTCATTGCTTATGTCTCCGAAAACCTGTTGATGCGGATGGCTGATTTGTGTTGTGTGAAATGTAGAGGAACAGAGGATAGTCTCACACTGAACCAATCAACATTGACAGGCATCACTGCAACTTGAACGCCGAGTGTATGTTGATCAATGGGTAAACGAGATATTAGCACCGTACGCGCTGATGCTCCCAACACGTGCGAACTTATCCAAACACGGCCAGCAACGGTTTTACTTGGAGCTTCATGTCTTATCCCTTCTGCTGTCTACATTACATAGTTGCTCGCCTACTTTGATGCTAGCCTCACTGAGTCATTATCCCCAGGCTTGCCTCAAGGCAAGAAGCCAATCGCCCTCCAGGCAAGTCATTAGCGTTGCGTGGCCAGAGTCGGACGCGACCGATCATCAAATTTAGTGACGACTAAGAGGGTCATGGTGAGCAGTTACGCAGTGTATATATTGAGCTTGAGCTGAAAACAGTCGGAGGCCTCATTCAAGAAAAGTGACACTGTATTAAGTTCAATAGTATACAACTGCTGCAAAACATCGACGCTCAGAGGGCTGTATGCCCCCCATTATGTTACAACAGACACTAGAACTTGTCAAACCGTAAATTCAGATAGATATTCGTTTCATTCGATGCAGAAGTAGTCCCAAGAAAAACGCAAACCACCAACAAACCGCATATATTCAGCGAAACGAGAGGTGATATCATCCAAAGAACTGCGACGAGATATAGGTAGGGAGGTTTAGACTGTGCTTGATGAACTGCCCGTCGATGCCACATATGCATCGACAAATGCACGAGCATTAGCAACTAGCCTATCCTTCCTAGCGGCTGCTTCCGCAATGGCCACCTTGGCTAAGGTATGTTCTTGAAGGAGATCGAGGAGATGTCGACGAAGATGAACACGGCTCCCACCTGCAGGGTCATTCCCCAGATCCTCGACGATGGGGACCGAGACGCCGAAGACGTCATACCGGGCAACACCATTGCCAAAGTCCACGCCGGCATCCTCTATGGTAGAGATTACATGTGAGTATACACTACAGTAACATCGTGGATGTGCACACGCTCACGTTTTCCGCCATTGGTGGACGGGGCTCGGACAACGTCAGCGTGGCTGTTTGATGCTGATCGGCCCCGACGCTGTGTGACCTTGCCTGGTTGAACATGTCAGCAAATCGACAGCGATATAGAAACGGTGGAAGAACCGACCTTTCGTCATCAGTTTCTCCTTGGGAAGGATCGAACCGTCTGAGTTCCTCGTCCACTCCCAATCGCAGGTCCGGTTCGCTAAGAAACATTGTGCACAGCGCGTGTCGTCCTCTGGGTGACTACAATCGCCGTAATCCGTGATGAGGCAACAGCTTGCCTTGCATTTAGGACTACCGGGTGAGACACCAGCGCACCACCCGCAACGCCTTTCAGACTGATGTCAGGTATCAGATAGTGCGTCTATATGATGACGAATAAAAACCTACTTTAACGACCTGCATCCCCCTATTTGTAATCTCCCTACGCCACAAATCTCGGCCGTGCGACTTTTTCTTCATGAAAGCCAAGTCATCGTCAACATAATAAGGACGCTTAGTGGCCTTTGCCGCCTCTTGCACTGTCTCCTCCTCTTTACCGTCCTCCTCTACGCCCTGTATATCGCCATCACTCACAACGCTATCCTCGCTACTGCTCTCGTCATCCTTTTTCTCTTCTCCACTCTCTACCGGAGCACGCTTGCGCTTGCTTCCTGTAGATGGTTTAAGATGTGGCGTCACCTTAGTCGAAGAACGCCTTCTACTTCTGGACGGCACAGAAATAAATGCCGCCTTAGCAGTGGACAAAGATGGCGGAATTTTCGAGAGCGTGTTCGGCGGCAAAGATTTCGTGCTAGGGAGTTGAGTAGCACGACGGCGAGATGTGGTGGCCGAGGCGGACTTCGTCGGTCGTAGCGTTTTAGGCCGGGCGGTAGAGGAGCGCGTCCGTGGCTTACGAGACCGTTTGAGAAGTTCAACAACATCTTCGTCGTCATCATCGGGCTGGTCAAGAAAACTCAGGTGAATATCAATGAATGACGAGTAAATAGCGTACCTTTTCATCCTCCCCTTCACTATTGACAGCCTCCTGTCTCAGGACAACCTTTTGACGTTTTCCACCCCTCTCTCCGCCCGAAGATTCCTCCTGTTCGACATCTTCTCCGTTGTCCCATGTTTGATGGTGCACGTTGTCTTCGGACGTGGACTGTTGGACGGGCGTACGGGATGGAGAGTCCCCTTTTTCCTTGTCGGAGACGAGACTGGAGCCAAGAACCTAAACGTAATCATGAGCGATCCATCCAGAGCAAGTGGAATAAAAAAAATGAGCGCCCAGCATGCAATACGTACGTGCACACCCTCCTTGTCTACCCTAGTATCGACCCCCTGCGTAAAAGTGTTGTCTAGATCCTAAATATAATATATTAGTTTCAAATGTCTATATAGTCCACGTCGACGAGAGGAGAGCACACCCGAGGTTCAAGAGTAGTGCGTGAGATATGCTGATCAGGGTCAAACACGGCCCCTTTCCAACAGGAAGAAAATGGTAAAGGTTGATCTCCGAATAGATCCTCATCCTGCTTCCTCCAATAGTCCCTGTCGAACAACTCGATCACACTACCCGAAGGTCTCGCGTCTCGCGGGAGTTCAGGATGTAAAGAGAGCAAACCGCGCCACCATTTCTCAAGTGCGAGTGTGCGTTCGGTCCATTTCAGTATAACGGAGCAGCTGTCTTCGTAGAAACCTGTGACGGGGACGATCCATGCAGCTAGTCCCCCGTGGTTATGCGTGGGCTCGTCCGCGTCCGCGTCCTCGTCCTCGTCCTCGTCGTCGCTATCGGCATCCTGTTTCAAGACGGACAGCCATCGTCGCCCTAGTTGGACGTCGGACTCGAGATGGCGAGATATCTCAGCCCATGCTGCAAGAACACCCTTGTCGGTCTCGATGGGGAGATTCCTGTGATACTGCCATCGACTCTGTCCACAATTAGATGAATTGTACTATTAATATAGTCGGAAAGAACATGGATGAACTCACCGCTGCGTGCGTAAAGGCTCGTGCGGCCACCAGCGACTCCGGACACGGCTCACGGTTTGGAAACGCCACAAGTTTATTTGCGAGGAGGCATAAGTGTTGGGAAAACTGAGTGAGCCAGGCATGTAGAGAAATAGGATCAGAGGGTGGGTCGGCATCTACATCGAACGACATCAGGGCAGTGAGATGAGGGGAGACGGAGACGGAGAAGTTGATACTCAGTCTTATATCGTGCAAGTTCACCGAGCCGTGTCAACAGAGACAAACACATCAGACCAAGGTCACGATGGTAGGGTCCAGTGACGCAACGGATTGCCTCTGATCCTCTTAAATGCTCTGTGGTGAAGGTGGGGTCTCAGTTTTGGGCCCATTTGTAGACAGCGTACCGACGTGGTAGTACATCGTGCGCATTTCCCATGGTCGGGTAAGTACCAGGCATACTAGTGCTAAGAACAACTTCAGTGAAGTGATTACCGCGAAGAACGAACACCAGGCCCCCGGATTGCTAGGAGCGTTCGACATGTACCATGAGTGTCAGAGTGGCCGGCGTTGTGCCAGTTACAAATAGTGTGGCGCAAGATCATCGGGGCAAGACTCGTGCCGCCGGCTGATGTCGGCGGGTTCCTCCGTTCCCGTTCTCTGTACTCGAACTTCTGCCCAAATGGAGGGCGCAAGGCGTACGGAGGTAAGTACTTTAGGTCGGAATCATCTTTGCTGGTTAAACGCAAAATACGTTTGGCGACAGACATGGCGCCTTGCAGTGGCAGACCGTTCGGACTGTTTTAATTTTTGAAACTCCCCTCTTTCAAGTTCTCTCTGCTACTAGCCGCTCTGCAGCTCAGACCTCGTTTGCTTGACAGCTTTGATTTCTGTATTAGGATCGCTTTGTAACTACAGGCGTAATCGTCTATACACCAGTGCCCGTCGCCCTACCCCCTGAGGCGTTTCTGTGTTATATTCGTAGTCGAGCACGCTCTGATTCTACCGCTTATTGTCCAACTTGAATCGAGCTGTTTCCTTCATGTTAGCAACCGCTCTGACGTCTTCCTTACGGCTACCAGTGGCTCATGCAGGCTCTGTCCCGGTTGTTTCTGAAGAAATGGGCACGGCCATCACGAGTTGTTTTTATGCCGCTCTGCTTGGTTGTTCCCTGGTGCATTTGTCTGCTCATCGACCAAACGTCCGTGCAACAGCTCTCTATCTGGCTTATCGTGATTAACTTAGTATCGGACTGAGCCACCTGCTTAAGCTCGCGTCATGAATTCAGTTCGCGCTCTACGGATCCCACTCCACGCCACCTCGGTCGGTTTGTCGTATCCAGATTGACACGGACATCCGTCACCAAGACTGTGTGCACCGGCCAGCTCGCCAGGCCCGAGTGACAACCGCTGTATGCCAACACCGATGTCCCCAAGAACCACACTAAACGCAACAATCATATCTTTTACCGTGCGGTCCCGTCCAGTGCCCGGCGCTGCTCCTCCCCAGCACACAAGCTATCGCTTCGCTGACATCCTTCAGCTGTCTACTATCCACGCCATCATATCTGAGGTCAGATTAATACATAGAACGGTATTATTTGCCGACTTGCCATACATTACCCTGCTTAAAATGTCCTTCACACCGTCGCAATTACTTATGCCGACCAACTCCTGTTTCAACATGTGCGAACAGGCTACGTACTCATACATAACCTTCCTCGCAATGATTCCATCACCCGTATTCTCTTCTTTTCCGTAGGTTGGGGGGAAAGTTAAGAGGCTGCCATCCCTCTTTCCCCGTGCGCTGTCCTTTGATCCCGGCGGTAGATTCATCGTAAACACGTTGGCCGACGACCTTGAACTCCATGGAAGATGGCACCTTTCTCTTACTCGTCTCTGAGCTTACAGGGCCGCTTACCTTCCATGGAGACGCTACTACAGAATGCCTTCTCTATACTTTCCCCACTCTCCCTGTGATGTTGATATCCGATAACAGCAACTTTCAGTCTAATTACAGGGCCGCCCTCAACGACTGGTTTTATCTCGGGACATGACACGCGTTGCTTCGACAGGAAGGGGTTTTACGTGCCTGGCAGGGCCAACTTTTCTCGCCTCGCGCTCCAATATCTTGAAGCTGGCTACGTGCGCAGAAGACACTGAAGGAGCCATGTAAACCCTCGACCCAACGTACTGCACTACATCAGAGGAGTTGACTGCATTGTACAGACACATGTCCTATTTGACGTCGTCATGATCCGTGTCGTCGTATTTAATGCCCCTCGCATTCTCGCGCTTTACATTATAGAAAGGGAGCTACAATCGTGTAGAGCCCAGTCACCACACAAAATGAAGGATCGAAAATCAGCTCGGCATGAGGGACTCAAATAGGTACGATGTTCTCATTAGGTACGATGAATATCATGACATTCTATACGTGGGCGAATGATTTGATTCGAGGAGAGCTCCGAACCCGACAAGATTCGAGTCTACGACGCTGGGCAGGCACTACAGGGCACCACCAGCCAGAAACAGTACTGATAAAACATACGGTCGGTTCAACACAGCTGTAGCAGAATCGCGGTGCCAAAGAAAGACAAGAGAACTCGGACGCGGCTCGGTTGACCACGTAGCATGTCCGAACCTATATCCCTTCCCTAATTGTGTTCGTGCAGCCGGTCGTGCGCATTCAGGAGTCGTGGCGGGAGCAGTCTTCGCCGGAGTGGCGGAGGCGGTGGAGGCGGCATCATGGGAGTCTCCAGCCTCGAACGTAGCGAACCGCCCTGCTTCATCATGGGAGCAACGGCGACTTGCTCTATTGTGGATACGGGGTTCGAGGTGTGAGCAGCGGGATCGTCCGCATCGACATCACAATCGTTGACGGATTTGGCTAGACTGTCTAGGGCCATTCTGGGACATGGCGCGTCGTCTGCGTTGTGGTGCCGGAGAACATTCTTCTTTGGAGAACGGTTGGAAGGGTCGGATCGAGCGTGAAGGGAATGGGTCGAAGGTTTGGCGGAAGCAGAAGACGGTTTCTGAGAGAGAGGAAGAGAGGCATCTACTCCGCTACGCGATGGAGGAATATTTTCTCCTTCGGCTTCTTGTATTGCTTGCTCGTCTAGAAAAAGCCACAGCCGAATGTGAGAAAGCTGTCGCAGTGACTTCAAAATTATACGCACTCTTGCCTATTTCGTGCGTCTTCGTCACCTGCCCCCCTCGTCCACCAACGCCATTGGATACGCCTTGCATGTCCCAATCCGCCGGCCTTTCCGACTTCCATTGCTCCGTAACCTCCTCCACCCATTCGTCGGTCGAGCATTGTACGTGATAGTCGATGATGTCTTTCCACTCACTCGTGGGCGCTGTCTGGTTTACAAAGATGACCGCACCGCCGCTGATCGGCTCCCGCTCCTATCATCCATTCGTTGGGCGACACTATCGTGTATATTCAATCCTTCGATTCCATTAGGCTTCATACACAACGAACCCAGACACTGAGATTACTTGCCAGACCCATCCCGTAGAAACACTACGACCGTCGTTCAGAGTATCGTCCTTCCACACATTCTGAGAAGGAGCGGGGGTCATCAAACAATGAATAAGCGTAAAGAGAATGATCATAAGTATATTGCCATATAACAGGTTGCGTCTGAGGGCGTGTAGGGCGCGAAGGAATGTTTGTTCCCTCGAGCGACTCTGACGTGTGACGTCATGAAACTCCACTGGCGACGCGGCATCGCGGCTATCCTCGGCATTGCGGCCGGTTTCAGTATCACGGCTGACTCATCTCCCATGCGAGAGTATGCCACCTTGTTTAACTTTAAATGCGTTGGACTCAGCGCTCAAGCTCAAGGTTGATCGCGCGTCGGTCGTGCAACCTATTCAAACGTTCTTCTCATTGTAGATTTTTTTTTGTCTGCTGCACTGCTTGCTCACCGACGAGATCTCTCTGGCAGTGATTTTACAATCGGCCTCGGTCGTTGGTTCCGAGTCGGTGTTTTGAAATTGAAATACCAATCGTATCTGGATCTGAGG